AGCCATTAGGGTTTCTTGAAAAATGGTGATTTCCGGCAGCTATAAATTGAGCCTTCCCCTACCCAACAAACACAACTCACAACCTGCAGAGAGCAAGCTTTTCTCTCTATCTTGCAAAACTTAGATTCGTGCACTGTTCATCTTCTTCTCCAATTTGTTCTTCTGGTAGCTGCTGGAAGAACCCTGTCTCTCTTTTTCTCTTTCTCTAGCCAAAATTCCTCAAAAAACACCCCATTCCTTACTTAAACGCTTTCATTCCTCATAAACCAAGCCTAATTTCTCTCTTAGTGCTAAACCCATGTTGGTTTTGCTCTCCATGCCTCATGCCACTCATGCTGAGCCTAAAAACCATCTGAAAGCATGCCAAAATTATCTGTAAGTCACTATTATTCTCATTGGTGAAGATTACTCAAAATATCTCCTAAGGTTTCGCTGCCCTTTCGAGGTATTTTGAGGCTTAATTTTCGAACCTAAACGAAAAGGGGCAATCTCCTCAGTCCACCTTTTGCAGCAGCCCAGCCCGTTAGCTGCAGGAAGAAAAAGTCCCCTACAGTTGTCTACAATTCCCCTTAGTTTTATAACACGTTATTAGCACGACATTGCTCTTGGTATGTTTTCTTCCTTTGAATTTTATTTCTTCTTATATGAGCTAGAGTCATCATATGGTATAGAGTTTCTTTATACTCACCATCAGACTTCATCATGCTCGTTTAAGGAAAAAAATTCTTATTCTTATTATACATGAATATAATGCCATGTTTTTTTTTATTTGTTTGTTTATTTAATTTTAAGTATGATCTTAATTATTATGATGAGTTTGTATTATACAAAAGATCAGGGCCCGAAGTTCCTCAATCCTCATCATATAACTAGATTAGGACCTAGAGTTCTTTTGATTGAATCAGAACCTGAAGTTCTTTGATTCCAAATAATTGAGGGCATGACGTTCCGCTAATTTAAAGAGCACATAAGGACATGAAACTCCTCGATTTTGTATTAATCAAAATCAGAATTCCATGAGGCCTACATATGTCAAGAACCCGAACCAGAAGTTTCGAGTGCATATACATCGATTTGAGTATGAAGTTCAAAGCACAACTATTAATTCAATTTATTTAGATCTACGTATTTGAACCTGAAGTTTCAAATATATATTGATATGAACCTGAAGTTCATAGTTTTTCATGAATCTTAATACTATATATGAACCTGAAGTTCATTACTTATTTGTGCCTATATGAACTTAAGAATTGGTTACAAATCCAATTCTTAAACTTGTCGTTTTATCTACATATTGAATCCACATTAATATTGGATTATCTTGGAATTTCATAGTCTTTAATTTATTTATTTTATTCCTCGTTTATACCACTTTACTCATTTTATTTTATTTTATTTATGTTGGGTTATTAGTTTAATTTCATTTTACAATGGTAATGTTTTGTATTACCACCCCAATATTGACATCCAGAGATGTCTATTGGAGAAATTTCATACTTTCTTTTGTGGGTAGACATTTTATGATGTCATGAACCAGAAGTTCATGAGGCCCCAATATTACACAACTATTACAGTAGTTGAAGTTTATGATGTCATGAACCAGAAGTTCATGAGGCCCTAATATTACACAACTATTACAGTAGTTGAAGATTATGATGTCATGAATCAGAAGTTCATTGATCGGATAACTTTTATGTAAGGACATCGTTTAAAGACTCAAACTATTATCTTGTCCAACAAATATCATTACACAAAATGCTCACAAATAAAAGCTGTCAAGAGATCATCTCAGTCAAAAATTGACTTTGACCCCTCTTTCCTTAAATAATTCAAGGGGATATTTGTGAGCCTATACAACATTTAATTATGGATCACTTCACTAGATTTATTGAATGTGCCTACTAAAATGGTCACATATTTGTCTATTGTCAAGATGCTTACGAGCACAACTCCCACATTATCCAATCTAGTCAATTTGACTTGATAATGATGATGAGTTTATTTTCCTAAATTTTGAGACAATTTTCCCACTGTTAGTAGGAGAAATGACAGTTCCTAAAGAACGTTGTGAAATAGTGTTGAATCGGTCCGCTTTTGTCTCATCAAGATAATGCATATATAAAGTTATGAATATGCAAGCATGAATTGATATTCATGTATCACAATCCATTAACATGACAATAAGTGACTATGAGCATGACAAAAATATAGATTCTAAAAACTTAACTCCCTAGAAGTGGAGATTATTTGAAAAATTCAAGCCCTATAAAAAATAACGCTCTATATGAGGTTATGATCCACATATTCTAATAATTCATCGTAAAAGAGATGTTTGTCCCATAAGTGACAACATCAGCCCCTGAAGAGAAATTGATACCCCAAAGCAATGAGATACTTATAAATTATGCATGCGCATGCACATGAGAATTGTGGGATCACAAATTGATGATACATTTGGTTTATTAGTAGCTACTACAATCATCAAGGGCTATGATTATATTAAATCTCGCCTTATGAATGTTGACAAGTTAAGTGATTGGCCAAAAATGGAAATAGATAATTCCATCTATCACTAAATAGGAAAGGTTGGATATTTAACCTATAACTCAAACACCAAATCACAAATGTTAAGTATGAAGGTTACGGATTGGTGTTTGTGAAGTGAAATAATATCACCAATATGAAATAAGGTTTCCTGGTAGAGACATGGTTTTAGTCTCCTATCTCATCATAGATGCATACACATTTCTATAAGTATATTTGTTATTTTAATGCGAAACTTATAGTATGTGTTAAATGCATATTTATTAAGATTGTATGGTACATGGAGATCCTCAAACCTCATGAAATATATGAGAGATATCGCATGAAGCAACCCCTTGAAGGATATAAAGTACCATGATATTCTTGATTAAGAGTTAACACTAAGAGTTTGTGTATTTTGAATTCAAATTTGATATTGTTGTAACATATTCTAACTATTAGATTAGTTGTTGATACTACTAAAGAGTTCAATCATTTCAAAAGTGAAAAACAGGTCAAATAGTGTGATAAACGATCATGTGTGAAGACAATGTTTATTGTATTGCTCAAATCAGAGAATGGTTCATTAAGGGTGACATAGTTTCATAAAAAAAACCAAGAGATTGGAGTTAAACAAATTCGTTCACAAGATAATCTGGCAAACCTTTTTACCAAATCTTTTCCTGAAGCCTAAATTCTAGAAGTTAATGAAAATCAAGGGGAAATATTAATCAGGGGGAGATATTAATCAGAGGGAGCATCCCAATTCTACTACATATAGGACATATGCACGTTGTACTCTTTTTCCCTTCGATTAGGTTTTTGTCCCACTGGGTTTTTCCTAACAAGGTTTTAACGAGGCAACATAAGCGTGTTCAACTCCATATCAATGATCCAGAAGAACGTTGCACTCTTTTTCCCTTCTCTTCGGTTTTGTCCCATTGGGTTTTCCAAGCAAGGTTTTTAATGAGGCAACAATGTCATTGTATGATGGACATCCAAGGGGGAGTGTTATAAATCTATGGAATGTGGATGACTACCATAACACCCATTACCACCACCCCTTATTGCTTTGTAACCTATGCCCTTATTATTGTAATTAGTATATATAAATTGTGGGTTAAATACATCTATTGTAAGCTTATAAACAGGCTTTTATCAAAGATGAATAAGATAAGTTGATACAAGTTCATATAATAAATTCTCTGTATTTCTCTTCCTCTTTTTGTTGTCTACAATTCTCCTTAGTTTTATAACAATATTTAATATTTTTTAATATCTTCGGTTTGGTTTGGTTAAACCATGGTTTTGAATATTGCAAATCGTACACCGAACTATATATTTCGATTTGGTTTGGGTTCAAACTGATGACCAAAAAAAAATTGAAAAAAAACCAAACCAACCCAACCCATCAATTTGATTTGGGCAGTTTGATCGGGTTACCGGTTTGAATGCCCAGCCCTACATGAAACCATGATATTTCCTCAGCCTTTATACAACTGTTTTTACAGTCTCGAAATTTGAGTTTTGGACGTCCCGGATTATAGATGATCTTAGAACATTAAAAAAATTGAAAATGGTTAGGTGGGAAAAAAGAAACTAAAAGAATACAAACAGGCGACGGCCGTCTCTTTTCTTCCTTCGCTTTTCAAAAAAGCAACGAAACCAGGCCCATCCTATTGCATATATTCTCTCTCTCTCTCTCTCTCTCTGTTTTTCTAGATTACCAATTTGGATAACTAAAATAGGAGCGAAACCTGCATCTGATCCAAGAATCTCAAACCCTGTTTCCAATTATTTATTACAGCTTCATCATCTGTAAGTCCAAGTTTCCCTTTTTGTCTTCATTGTTCACCTTTTCTACATTGCTCTTTAACACTACCAAAAAAGCACAACAATTCAACGGCTAGGGTTTCAGCTTGATTGCTCTAAATCTTTCTTCAGGCTTATTGCTGTATTGGGTAATCAGGAATATTTGTTTTCTGTATTTGCTCTTGCATTTTATCTTGTGTTGAATGCTTATGGTTATAAATAGATATTTCTTATATATGTTTGCTTTTCGGTTTTGGGTTTTGGTCAGCTATTATAATTGAAAATTTTGGCCCTTCATGTATTATTTGTTTTGTGGTCGGCCATTTGGTTACTCAGGCGAGAAGACTAAAGAGAAAAAGAGAATGAAATTACAATCTTATGTGGTATTTGTAAGAAAGAGTGAAAATTTATAAATTAAGCTTATATTAACTTGTACTGGCTCAATTGTACCATTCTAAGTGATGAATTTGTAAAATAATACAAGTTTTTTTTTCTTCTTCTAATTTTCTGAGCAACTGAATGCAATTTGTTTGAACTGTTTACTTAAATGAAGTGGTGGGCTCTGACCCACATTTGGTTTCAGTTAGAGATTTCTTTTTTAAAATGTCAGTGTGTGAATTTTAAGTATAGTTTTTGGTGTTTGACACAGTAATTGGTTTGGAGAAATGACGAGGGTGGGTCGAGATTTTGGGGATACAATGCAAAAGGATGCCGTTCCAGCTGTGTCTGCTGACGTAATTTTTTCCTCAAGTCGATTTCCTAATTACAAAATTGGAGCTAACAATCAGATTGTGGAGGCAAAGGATGAGCAAAAGGTACTATCAATGAAGGAAGTTGTTGCACGTGAGACAGCACAATTGTTGGAACAGCAAAAACGCCTTTCAGTCCGTGACCTTGCCAGTAAATTCGAGAAAGGGTTGGCTGCTGCTGCTAAGTTGTCTGAAGAGGTTAAATGGTTTCAAAGTTTTTTGCATTTTGCTAGAAAGTTAGTTTGCTTTCTAAGTGAAGTTTAGTATGTGGTTTGCTTCAATCACCTTTTAGTTTTTTCTCTCACATTTTGGAGGCTGAAATTGAGGGAAATCTTGGAAATTTTTGGTGCTTGCTATGTTTTCAGAAAATATACTGGGAATAGAATAATTTTTCATATTATGAGAAGTTGTAAGAAGGTTCTATTTTCTTTTTTGTTTTGTTTCGTTTGAAGGCTTAGTATATTTATTTCACTGTAGTTGTGAATCTCTTTTTAAATTGTTTTCAGTTTAAATAACTTGGGGAATTTGTGGTTTAATAGTTGTAGGCTATGATTGTAGAAAATGCTTCTCTTGTTCCTTTTTGGAAATTGAAATGAACATCTAAATATAGTCAATGATTACCAAATTCTGAAGTATTCACTTATTGAATACAGGCTAGACTTAGGGAGGCAGCTTCTTTGGAGAAACATGTCCTTTTGAAGAAGCTTCGGGATGCACTGGAATCATTAAAAGGACGTGTGGCTGGTAGAAACAAGGATGATGTAGAGGACGCCATTTCAATGGTTAGTTGTTCTTTTGCATCTTTTTTAATTTTCTTATTATTGTTCCTTTCAGTAAACTTATTCTACTTTTCAGTGTTAACTGGTTGATAGTTTATTTTATATAGCATGTAAAATTTATGAGGGGTACCAATTGAAGCATTTGCCTATTTGGTTGGACTTCTTTATTGCAAAAGTACAGGATAGCTTCTTTCTTTGTCTTGTTCATGGGTGGATTTCTTCACCCCTACTGGACGATGTTTTGTATTTTTGCAGTGAGACTGTGAGATCCGACAAGGTCTGTATTCTTGTATCAAATAAAATAAAAGATTTGATATTTGGTTGGACTTAATCAGTTCGTTTTATGTGATACTCAACCATGAAATATGAACATATATCTTTGACAATTTTGTCTTCTTTCACGTGAATTACAATTTACGAAAGAGATGATCTATATCTACATTTCTTGCAATTCAGAGAGTTTTACGATCTGCACCGACATAGCTAGAGATTGTATGTTTGGATTTAACCCCATCATTACGGGTTTAAAAGGAAGCTGACTATTGGAAATACTAACCTTACCTGCATGACACTTCCATTCAATTTAACCAGCAGATGTGTTCACTTGACCCTGTTTTCCAATCACCTCAGCCACCTTGGCTTATCCAGCCAAGGTATCTTGACTCACAATCCACCACTTTAGGCCACACTTCCTTGTACCTGCTCCATCTTTTCTTCAAATTGGTACATACCAAACTGGTACAGGCATGGACGTTATTGATAATCAAGGTTTGTTAACAAAGCTCAAGAGTAAAGGACTGCCCTTGTATGCATTTGAGTCATTGGATGGTGGTTAATGCTTCTTAAAGGTTGGAATTTAGGGATTTGGTGAAGATTAGCACCGTTTTAGATGTTGCAATGAATTGGAATAAGGTGTAGTTGCTCCACAAAATTCTGTGCAAGGAGGCTGCTCATGCTTAGATAGGCATTTAGGGTAATGTTAATTGACTAAATATGAAGGCCTATCCACCCTTTAATTAAACAAGTTTACTCACAGAAGAAATCTATGAAGTTTCAGGTTAACAAGGTACATAAATTTCATGAATGCAACAAAATATATAATATGTTAAAGAGAATTCACAAAGAAAACTAAAAGAGTATAAGAGAAAATGTCTGGTGAGAAATTAATTTGAATGTGTACAAATAAACCACCAATTGGTGAAGGGGAGAGAAAGATAGAAAGAAAAAAAAAAAAAAAAAAAGAAGAGAAGATTTATGGGAGTTTACAGTCCTGAAAGAAGCATTTAATGCCTTTATTTGTGTAAACCACTGATATAATAAATTAACAAGCCTTGGAAAAATGGATATTGTCAACATTTTATACTACAGAAAATGCTATAATTTCCCACCTTTTAGTTTTGCCTGTGTCCACGGATGCTGTAAAAATGCTTACCATTCCAATCCCTGCCATTTAATTAATTCACCAAGATTAAATGATTGCATTTGGAACGATATTATTCTATTTTGTTATAGGTTACTAATGAATTGTTTGATTTGTTACCTTTAGTCTTGTCATGTTATGATATTTTAACTTTTTCTCGTATGTTTTCTTATATTAGACTTTCATTTTCCATTTCCAAGTATGTTTAGTCGTCTCTATAATGTTTCACTTGACCCCTTTGTCTTGATTGTTCCTTCCTATAATTGTTTTGGCTCTGCTATCTTCAAAAGGAACAAATAATGACCAAGAAATTTATGATCGTTTCTTGCAGGTGGAGGCTTTAGCAGTTCAGTTGACTCAAAGAGAAGGGGAGTTAATGCAAGAAAAAGCCGAGGTGAAGAAGCTAGCAATTTTCTTAAGCAGGTAATTTGATATAATTTAAATGTTAAGGGCCTGTTCAATAATGTTTCTTTGGTTGTTTTCCTCATTTTGCAAAACCAAAACAGTGCAAAACATTGTTCGGCAAGTAAAAGGACAAAACATAGGAAAGCATGATCTATGACCCCACTGGTTCCTCTTACACATAAAAACACCAATCCACATTAATAACGTTGGGTGATGAAGATTATCAACAGTCAATTTTGCTACATGCCTCACAAAATTGGTCTTGATACATTTCTTATTTGTTTGTTTAATCACTTGAGTATTTTCCAATTTGAGTCTCTTAATCCATTTTTAGGCTTCAGAAGATGCTAAAAAACTTGTCGATGAGGAAAGAGCTTTTGCTCGTGCTGAAATTGAAATGCCAGAGCAGCAGTACAGAGAGTGGAAGAAGCTCTTCAGGAACAAGAACAAATGTCGCGAGCTTCTGGGAAGCAGGTGTGTGCTATATGCCTATTTTTAGACCGCAAAATTTCTAGAGCAAGAGTGTTTCAATTGTCACAGCCTTTGTTAAGTTCTATATATGGAATGCATCCATATTGACCCTTGGTCTTTGAACTTGTGTTGCTTGTTGCATTGTTTATAAAGATGTTAAGGATCAAGGAAAACATAGAATTTTTGAATGAAACATTTATAGATGTTATAGTTATTAATAATGCAGAGATTTGCCATGTAACTTTTATAAAATAGTGTATCTCTGCCAAATATATGGCATTTATAGTGCAAACAATATTGTACTTTAACGTTTGTCCAAAAAAAAATTGTACTTTAATGATTTATATTTTCATAACTTGAGTACATCTTTATATTAGATAAATCAATTTATCTCCTCTTGTATGGAACAATTTATCTAAGTTTTATAGCAATTTCATATCGATTATATATTGAATTGACAATTGAATTTTATTAGATACAGAGATTATAGTTGTTGGGAATACTTTAGTAATATTATTTATATTTGTCAATGTGTAGGATACTAATGACATGATCCATGGGCTTTATAATTCTTTGTAAGTTTGTAAAAAACCTTAGCCCATAAACTTTATCCAAATGCTCAGCCCATGTCTTTTGCCCACTTTCTTTAGCATGTGGGGTTACTAAGATACGAAGACACTTCCACATGGGGGTTACTGAGATCTTTTTTTTTCTTGTTCTTTTGTGTGGGTCAATAATAAGGTCTCTTTTGTTCCAAGATGTTTACAAAATGGGCCAATCCGATTTCACTGAAATTGACCTGATACAACGAATTTCTGTTGAAACTACTGAAATTTCTGGAGAGCGTCGGCAGTGTAATTTTACCGGAATTTTCAGTGGTTTCGGTGATGTTTAAAACCTTTGTTAGGATGCGGAATTTTAATACATTTAATGCTTCATTAATGGTTAGCACGCTTCTTGACATTAGAATGACAATTTTGGACAGTAGTAGTATTTTCGTTTCATGTTCTCTTTGGTTATTTTATATTTGAGACACATGAGTAGTATTTACTGCATTTTAGCATGTCTGTCCACAAGTCTATAATTTATCTTTTTGACCAGTACAATTTCTGTGAGATATTTAGGACTTGGAAGAATTAATGAAAGAGGTCCAAGAGGCTAGACGAATCAAAATGCTGCATCAGCCAAGCAAGGTGACTTTTTTGATCATTCGTATTTATTTTGTTTATAACTGTAGACTTAGAATGGTGTTGTGTGTTCTGTTTCATTTAAGTAATAGAGAATGTTATCAGGATATCCTATGAATGTCCTGTATTAAGTTTATACAATTTGGTTAAGGATCTCATGTTTGAAAATTGTGGGTTGTTAATTTAATTACAAGTTAGATTCTTCCAATTCACGAGGTGATTATCATATGCATCCTTGAAATATTGAGTTAATTTTGTGGGTGTATGTGCGTCTCTGCTTTGTAAACTTCTATTCTTTTAAAGGTATTATGCTTCTTGTAAAAAAAAATCCAGTAAGTGACTTTTCATTTGCATCCTCCAACGATCGAGTTTAAGTTTGTCTTTGTGCAGATATTTTCTTTGCAGTGAAGTGGAAGCTTCCTGGTTTTATGCTTCTATGCTTCTATGCATATCTAATATTGAATTAATAAACTTCTAAAATTTACGTATTTTCTTGATATTACTTTTATTTTGTATAACGAAAGCCACTTCTACTTAAAATTACTCTCTTTTCAATCTTTTTAGTGACTCTTGCCTGTAGTTTTTTTTTCTTCTTATTTTTAGTTTTATTTATTTAACTTTATACTTTTGTACATGATTACACCGTTTTGGGCTCTGTTAATAAATTTTTACTTATAAGAATTTCTTCATGGATTAATCATCAATTTGTAGGTTATGGACATGGAACATGAACTTCGAGCATTGAGGGCACAGCTCACAGAGAAGTCTAAGAATTCTGTTCGACTTCAGAAAGAGGTTTATTCATTTTGTAAATGCTTTGCCTATTTTGATATATCTAACTTTTATGATGTGGTTTGATGAGTCTCCGTTGCATAACATATGTCAATATGCTGAAATTTTGAAGGGTTCAAACATTTATGCATTTTCCAATAATCGATGTTAACATGGAGGTTAAGCTTTGCCTTTTTGTGTTTATTGCTATGCTGCTTTGGTTTTTATTATATTTCATTTTTGGATCAGTTGTATATGCATTCTCTCGGTACTTTCCTGGTTCTGGGAATTCCTTGCATTGGATCTATGGTTTATTGAAATCAGCAACTAAGTTTGCTGGGAAGTTTGTTTTGGTAGATGATGCTCAAATATAGTTTTTTATTTTATGTTATTCTTTGAATTTTTAGTTCTTAATGCATCTAAAAACCTTGAGATTTTAGGCAGAGTATCAATTACTTTTTGGGAAAAAATATGAAAAACCCTAAGAACAAATCTCATATTGCTAAATTGTTATGGTGGTACTTTAATTATGCCTCCACTTTCAGAAATCGTCATTTCCGTCATCTCAATCAATTTTTCCGTTAAAAATGAGGGTATATTTGTCTTTTCATGTGCTGGATTGAACAGAGACAGCCATATCAGCATCTCGTGTGATTTTAATCCAGATTTGTCTTTTTAAATTGGATTTTAAGGTCTGTTGGATTTAAAATCCAGATTTGTTCCCATGTTTTTTTATTTATTTTATTGTTTGGTTTCCTTTTCGATTATCCTTTCAAGATCTCATGTGTTATCTCATCAAATAGATTTGGGAGGAGGGTGGGGGAGAGAAATCGGGGTTGGGAAAGATATGGGTGGGGGAAGAAATATGGGTGAAGAAATATGAGAAATCGATCATGGCTGGGGAGAAGTTGGTGGGGGGTGGGTGGGGGGAAAGGCATTAGATCCAAATTTAGAACTTGGAGCCTCTGAACTATACATCCAGTAGGCATTAGATCCAAAACCCTCCAGATAAACCCCGACTTGATGGAAAAGAACAAGGAAAAGGAAATTGGCATGGGAAGAAATCTGGGTGCATGGGGAAGAAGAAATTGGGGGGGTGGTCGGGAGAGAGGAAATGGGGAGAGAGAGAGAGAGAGATTTATTTAAAAAAAACTTGTGTGAGAAGACATTTTTGCCCATGCCAAGTAGGACTTGTCCATGCCACGTCATCATTTTTAACGGAAAAGTTGACTGAGATGATGGAAAGGACGATTTATGAAAGTGGAGGCATAATTAAATTACCACCGTAACAATTTAGCAATATGAGGGACGAAAAGTAAAGTTTGGTTTAGTCCAGGGACCATTGCTACAATTTAGCCATTTACTTTCTATAAGATGAGGCGAAAGTTGTAGTCTAGGAAGTATAGGACAGAAAGCTTTCTGAGACCCATACCTATACTTCTGGAGTTATAGAAGCCCATAAGTTGCCTCCAGGTCTTAATGGGTTTCTTTCGTTTATACTGGATATAATGCAGAAAACTAGCTACTAAAAGTCATGGTGAGTGTAAAAAGCTGTGGTGAGGCTCAGCACGTCAATCGCCTTAGGTGTGCGATTGTTTAGCAAAAGTCATGGTAAGTGTATGCTTTGCTGTCGAGGCACTGCATAGCATGTGCGATTTGCTGAAGGCTGTGGCACCATATAGGGTTTAGACTTCTTATGTGCTTTAAGTTTTCCATTTGTCCTGATTTCTCCTTTTAAATGAAACAGTTTGTTTCACGTTTCTTTTATCTTTTTATTTTTTGGTCAGAGGTCATGTTTCTTTCATCAATTGGGTCTTTAGAAAAATCAATTGTTTCTTTTATGTTTAGTGGTGGCTTGTGGTTTACCTTAGACACTTGGCGTCATTTTGTTTTATCTTGACAAAAGCTCAGGCAATAGACAGTGGAAATAAAAAAGGATTGTGGCATATATGGCCCACTTAAGGAAAAACTAAAAGAAAGACTTCTAAAAACACAAAAACTTTATAGAAATCTATCAATGGTAAATAAAACAAGACTTTTAATACAGTAAATACTAAGGAAAGTAAGACTCTTAATAAACTTACATAAAACGCCTTGCCTTTAACACAATTCATTGCATCTACACTCAACTAAATTCTATAATTCTTGTATCGATCATCTGTATTTAATTTACCTAGAAGAGAAGGTAATCTCATTTCCTCATAGAAAATAGGCACATCCGACAAATGAGTACTGGACACAAAAAAACGTTTCACGTTTTGAATATGTTTTTGACAAGTTAGATGTGTGTCATGAAGTATTGGAGGAGTTTAGTATATCCAATCTGGATAAAATGAGGAAATGGCTCGCTTGACAAGTATTTGCTAAATAAGGGGATGATTCTGGCCTGGATGCAAGCTTTTCTTTTCCAGGGCAACAATGGAAGCAATCAAGTGTTAATTCCTACGAAAGATGAATGTTTAACATGATATAAAAGATGAGTCCATAGTGCTTGAAACGCTGGTTTTGATGTAGCAAAAGGATGATGGTCTTATTAGGAGTTTGGTGGTATATACTTGTATTTGGTCTTTCTCCTTTTGTTTCCTTCATTTTTCACAGTGTTGAGGGTGTATGTGGCCCAGTGGATGGGGGTAGTATAATATTGGCCTGCTCTTTGTACTCTTTAATTCTAACACTATCACTTTGTAACTTTCAGCTGGCAATGAGTAAGAGGGGCTTGGAACAAAATTCCCAACTATATGAATTAGATGGCCCTGAAGCCTTAGGTTCATATTTGCGAATTCAACCTTGCTCTGATGATGCTCCAGAACTTTCCAAGTGTTCGATTCAATGGTATCGTGTATCATCTCAAGGTGGCAAGAAGGAGCTTATATCAGGTATGTATATGTTTTCTATACTTGTTCTGATTTTTCTGAACAAGGGCACGATAATTATTTGTTGGGTGTTACATGCATAGGCTGGTGTCACATCATGCTCATTTTGTTACTCTTCACTTCCTTTGGTGTAGTGTGTGTGCTCATGCGTGTGTGTTTATTTGATAAATAAATAAAATTTTAATAAATGAATGCCAGTGGCAGTTAACCATGTTGTCATAAGCATGCGGACATGCACTTAATTGCTGGGTTGTCTTTGATATGTTCTGTGTAGATTTACAGCTGTGGATTTTTGTGTGTTTTAATGTCTGATATGTGTATGAATTCCTTTGCTTGAAGTAGAGGAACTAGCGTTGTGGGCCAGGAATCAGAATAGCCTCCTACTTTCAGATTGTGTCAGATGTCTAACTAACCAATTATGTCACCACAAGCTAGTGACTAACTAATCTCAAATTTCCGTCCATTGGAAATAAATTGACATGATGGATTGCAAATCTTGTGCTATTATGTGGTTGATAATATTGTCTGATTCACTCACGTACCCAACAATATTTATACTCAAGTCCATGTAACATGTATCTAACTAGCTAAAAGCTCACTCAAGTAGTGAAGTTTTTGGGCTTTGCCTTTATAGTATTGAACACTCTGTGCTTGGACCTTGATGGCAATTTAGCTGAGGCTAGACTATGACATTATTGATTCAGTGGGAGAAGCAATCATGGGCTTATTTCTCCCTATGGTGGAAGAATCGAAGATACATTCACAAACTTCACCATGCAATGCTGCACTAAACTGAGTGTCATTAAAAGCTGTGCTAATAGGAGACTGTCTCTGGAAGTTCATGATTGTATAGTTTTTTATTTTTTCCTCCCACTTTAGTTGTAGAAGGACAAAGGATAGGGGTATCCAGGACCCTCGGCTTATTTCTCCCTATGGTGGAAGAATCGAAGATACATTCACAAACTTCACCATGCAATGCTGCACTAAACTGAGTGTCATTAAAAGCTGTGCTAATAGGAGACTGTCTCTGGAAGTTCATGATTGTATAGTTTTTTATTTTTTCCTCCCACTTTAGTTGTAGAAGGACAAAGGATAGGGGTATTCAGGACCCTCTTATTGTTTTAAGAAAAGTGACTGAATGGGCTGGATTCAGGACCCTCTTTTTTCTTTAAGAATAGTTGGTTGAATGGGCAGGACTGAAATGCCACCCTTAATGTTTCTATGCAATCACTTTCTTCTTGTTTGATTGTTTTATTGGTGGATTTATATATATATATATATATATATATATTGGGCAAACTGGTTTATGAGGACTATGATATCTTTTTTCTTGCAAGTTATTTTTTCTTTTCATCTCAATTCCTATAGCTAAGTTTGTACAGCTCTGTTGAAGGTGTTAGATTGAGTAAAGTTTGTTGTTCTATGATATCCAACTGAATGCAGAAAGCTGTAGATTCAGATACCACATCCATCAAGATTAGATTTTGTCTTTCCCTTTTTTTCTTTTTTTTCTTTTTTTTTTCCTCTCCCTTTCTGCTAATGTCAAAGTTGGTTTTCATATTGGGTGGAGAAGCCCAGGAGGTTTTGTGAATATGAAGGGCTTAGAAACTGAATACCCTACATGAGATATTTACATTTTCAACACATCCCATTTGCGTGTTGCTGGACTATGCCACACATTTGCATTAATTATATTGGGTGGCTTGTAGCACATGTGCCCAAATTGTGCTTAGCAAGTGGATGAATTGCTTGCTCTTGAAACCTTGCTAAAGTTGGAGTAATGGGTGGCCCATGAGTTTACATATGCAAGGCTTAGAATACCATAGTTGAGATTATTATATTTTCAAGACATATCTGTATTCATTTCTCATTCTACTATCCCTACCACAGGTGCTATAAAATCAGTTTATGCCCCAGAGCCTTTTGATGTTGGGCGAATCTTGCAAGCTGATATTATTTTGGAAGGCCAGTGGCTAACATTGACAACCGCTGGTCCCATTGATCCTGGTCTGGTTTAGATAACTGATTCTCTTCTTGCATCAAGTTTGAAATTTAAATTACTAATACATTGTGATGACATTTATTTCAGTTCAAATCTGTCAACATTTTTTTCTTTTTGTGATTTATAAAAATAATAATTGCAAAAAGGGCTGATTTCATTGTTATCATCAGCTGCTGGTTTGGGAAGCTATGTGGAGGCACTTGTGCGGAAGCATGATATTGAGTTCAATGTATGAATACCCAAATCTTTTCCACAATTCTTGGTTTGCATACCTTATTACTTTTTCAGCCTTTGTGTGTGACAAAACTCATGTTTTATGGTTGAATTACGGATGATATTGCTTTTCAAAATTATTAGGATGATCCTTTTGTCAGTTTCCTAAGAACTTTTCCATAGATCGTATATGGACTGACTACTTATTAAGTTCATGTGCTCTTCTCTGTCCGTATTGAGTTTTTGTGGAGATCAATAACTAAATGTATAAATCTTAAAGTAGGATTAACTTATGGAAGAAGGTTTGGCGTCCCCATGGCTGTCCATCGAGCTTGGGTTTTACCCCTCTTTCTTGATTTCTGTAATGATATTTCAGTTATCTCATTTATTCTTATAGTACTGTGGTTGAAAAAAAAGGGAAAGAGAAGTGTTATTTTCCAGCCTTAAATCACCCATTGCCTGTTTGACGTTTTTTTAATACTTTCCAGGTAGTTATTACCCAAATGAATGGGGTCAATCATCCCTCAGAATCTATTCATGTATTTCATGTTGGAAAGATGAGGATTAAACTTTGCAAGGGAAAAACAACAATTGCTAAAGAATACTTTTCTACTTCGATGCAGGTATTAGATAATTTTATTAGTTTATGTACGTGTTAGTAATATACGAATGTGGATCTATCCAATTGCCTGATCATCCTGCTAATTACTTGAGGCAAAAGCCTGTTCATATATAGAAAATAATTAATTGTTAAAGAAACAGTAAAACAGTGAATTTTGGTGACCAAAATGATGTGGCATTATCCTGTCTAAGTACTCTTTCGTCCCGTAGGTTTTCTGTTGCATTTCATTCTAAATGCACCACATCTGAGATGCATAAAGTGAAATGTACTTCTAATAGCAATAATTTAGTTGTCAATGCAATTGAAACCAAAATAGAAACAGCTTCCCAATGGGCAATGATTTTTGTATCATAATGTTAGTTGTTTTCCTTTATTTTTGTTTCAGTGATTTTGAACCATGTCTATGATGTTGTTTGTTGGTGTCCTATAGCTATGTGGAGTTAGAGGAGGTGGGAATGCTGCAGCTCAGGCATTGTTTTGGCAAGCAAAACAAGGACTTTCCTTTGTATTGGCATTTGAATCGGAACGAGAGAGGAATGCGGCCATCATGCTTGCCCGGAGATTTGCTTTCGATTGTAATGTATGTATAATTTTATCGTTCATATATACTATTCATTGTTAGTTTTAAAATTCCTGCTTCTCCTTGCTCTTTCTTGGTCCCTTGTTTTGCTATATGAAGAGATTGCTGATAAGAAATACATAATATGGCAGATCATGCTAGCTGGGCCGGACGACAGAGCTCCCTTAGAAACTAACGGAGCCCCATAAATATCTTTTTTTCAGTAAATGTAATTATTGAGTTTTCCCTTGTATTATAAGTTTGTAATAGTAGAATGTGGCATTGTGTAGTTGTTCGTATAGGCGCTTGCATCCTTATTTTTCCTTTCCCTTTACAACATCAAGGCATTTTTTTATTTGCCTTTTTGTTTTGAGTGTAATTGATGACCTCCCACGTTTGAAATTGGAGGTTGATTTCAACTGTAACACCTTTGAATGTTGAATGATCGGTATATTTGATGATTGGTGCGTGATTGATTATGATATCAATGAACTTACATTTTGGTCTTGAGTAAGGTAGATGGTTTCGGAAATATTGATGGTCCAAAAATATGGAAATTTCAATGGAAATATCGGGAAATTATTGCCATCAATAAAAATTGAATAAAAACTATGGAAAGTGTGAGAAAAACTTGGAAATTTTTCTTGAAACTTTGGAGGTTGTTTATTTATTCAATTATCTATTACTTTACCACAAAAAAAAAATTCGAAGGAAATGCATTGTATGATGGATTTATCTAATTTAAGTTGATTATATAACAAGCTGATAAACACTAGTGTAGAAAATATGTAGTAATTAATGAAAGAAGATTAAACACATCATAATAATTTATTTATAATGATTTACTACAATATTTTACACCATATACATTTCATGGTAAGATACATAAGTAACTTAGTACCGCATAGAGTTCCTATAAGGTTCAAATTTGAGTTATTTACATTAACATCCCTTGAGGTTTTTAGCTTTTTCACAGAACTTCTTGAGGTTTTAGAAATTATAAGAATAACCCTGGATGTTTTAAATTGTTTTCACAAAACTTATTTTCATTGATTTTTCATCCAAAGATTGATGATTTTATACAAAAAAAATCTCCAAATGACAAAGTTGGCCTTTGAGATTAGATTGCATATACTGCATTGAGGTTAATTTTGTCATTTGCATAAGTTTTTTTTTTCCAATGAAATCAACAATATTTGGACAAACAATCAATGAAAAAGGGTTTGGTGAAAACAAACTATCGATACTTATACAATAATTTCCTTTCCTTTTATCAGTTCTTTCCCCACAACCGTACCCTATTCAAGGCGTATGTTGCCGAACAACACTTCCGAATCCAAGACTTGAACATTCATACATGTTCAAGGTACTCACGAAGCACAAATTCAAGAATCTCAACCCAGAAATAAATCCATATATATATACACACACACACACACACACACACACACACCCCTCACACCATCATACCCATGGAAAATAATCCAATCCGGGGATCGTTTAACTAGACCATATGGAGGAATCCTCAACAACCATGTGGCCAGGAACGAGCCGTCCATCTGGAGGACTGGGCTAATCAGCATGCACAACAAAATCCTCAATACTCGTGCATGTGACAAGTTCTACGCGCGTAGACTAATCAACTATCCATTTCCATGTATCAAAGTATCCATATCCACTGTTTCCAAATATCAGTATCCAAAGGAGGTACATATGATAATGCACATGTACCGGGGAAAATAATCTGACACGGGGATCGTTTGGCTGAAACACATGGAGGAACCCTCAACAACCATGTGGCTAGGGACAAGCGATCCAACTGGGGGACTAGGCTAACACCCTGTCAAGGGTGCCCGGGTTTCGACATACCCAAACCATATCCACAGTTTTACAAGTATCCATCTATTCCAGAATCAGTAACCATGGAAGCCTACATGTCGGAAAGTCCAGCGCCACGTGTGGGTATAGTGATCAGGGAAAGTACATATGATGGTGAGGTTTATTCATATAAATATTATAAAAATAATATTCCCTTCCTTAATTCAAATTTTCCAAATATTTATTCATAGTATAGAAATAAACTCTCGAAGCATATATTCTATAAAGACCCAAAAATAATTCAAATAGTAATCAAAACTTGTTTACACTTAATTTCCATAAAATACTATATTCCACAATTAAAATAATAGACTTTCGTAAATAACTAGATATCACCCAATTCATATACTTCAATAATAATCATAATAATATAAAATAATAATAAATAATAACCCTTGGAGATCTCATACCTCATTAACCCATATTAAGTCAATTTTCAATCAAACTTCATTATGCAAGAAATTCTATATTAGAAGAACGAAGTATACTTAAAAACAAACATCCACTCCTTTCCTAATCATCATAGCCGAGACCCAAGACTCACTTTCACAACTCATCAATCAAGTATCCCAAGCTCATCCATTCCATAACTTCAATTATCAAACTAATATCCAAGAATTCCAAAAGATACTATAAAGCAATCTCATAACCCTAACATAATTAACATAACTCAAATAACAGTCAAGACTTGTTATTAAGGTCGTTCTAGTACTCCTTGAAGGGTGAAACTACATCAGAAGACTCACGGTCAACCGAGGGGTAAAACTGCCCAAACTTGGTCAACCTGGCCCGTGGGGTCCACGACCTCCGATTTCCGATCCAAAAGTTTCTATGGGTTCAACAAAATTTATTATACATGTCCTGCAAGTTTGGTCCGAATCGAACGGTCGGATCGCTTGCGATCACATGATCGGACGGTTACCGTTAACCTAATCTTTGAATCATTGAATCAAAGCATCTAGGACTTTGATTCACGATATGTGAATTCCTACACAATCCTAGAGATGCCTAGATCAACATATTTGAAATTGGAGTTTACCCGGATAACGCCTAATATGCATAATCCAATCGACAGTCAAACGATAACCAAATTCAAATCCGAGCATACCATTGTGCTCGGGATGACATGAGGAAAATTTTAGGACCAAAAGGGTCACCCAAACAGTGCCCACACGTTGCCACCGCGTAGGTGCTTAAAGAAATTCTGGTGACCAGAAAAATCTCCCAATTGCCGGTCAAGACCTATACCTGTATGACTAGGACAATGAGTGGAGCAACTTTTGTTCTTGGACCATGGCCAAAAAGTGACCGGAACTTGATCAATGCATAATTCTGTATCATTTTGTTGCACTCCATCCTATTGTTTGTTTATGTTTTAAAGTAAAACTTGTGCTTTTAATCTATTTTGTATTTGTTATTCAGTTCATTGAGCTTTAGGTACCACTTGAGGCATTTGAAGCAAAATAGTGCAAAAACTAGAGACTGAGTTAGAAAATTGTTTCGGACTTATCTTCTTCATCCGAACTTGGATTGGGCCAAATCACATGTGGTTGGAAAGGAGACATTCGGAACTTCAAGATGGACAGCTCAAAGTCATCAATTGATTAAGGCAAGAACAATTTGTGAGCCCATGAAATTACATGTCATGCTGACCTAAGGATGAGCTGATTGTTGCTTGGTCATGCTGATCTAAGGATGACCTAATTGATGCTTGGTCATGATGAGCTATGCATGATCTATTGTTTCTTGTGGGAAGTGCAGTAGCCAAGAAATTGATTTTCAATTGCAAGTGTTGTAGGCATTAGCTATATTCAATTCAGATTTCTCACTTCCCTCTCCCTATAAATACCACTTTCATTCCACATTCAAGGTGTGCACATCCTAGGATTCACAATCCCACAAATCACTCCATCCATCCTCAAAACACTCTCATCATTGCCCATACACTCCAGAAATCAACCCAACACTCTAAACAGCCTCAAATCACCAAAACAATTCCAGAAAGCTGTCCTTCCATTTCCCTACGAATTTCCTCTTGCTATGCCATCATAACTCACCCATACTTATCCCAAATCACCTCCTTAGTTGTCATACATCCTTCTAGACTTGGAGAAGCATTAGACGTGGAGAAGCACTTGGAGAAGCCTTGGACACCACAAGAACTTCAGAAAAGGGGTTTGTCTACTCTTATTGCATTTATTATGTTTTCTCATTTCTGTCTAAGTTTCTTTCCCATTATGAGCAGCTAAATCCGTAGCTAGGGTTTTAATATAACACGACAAGACAGTTTCATGTTTTCAAGTTAAATGTTACCCTTTGTTGATTACTTCTAATTTTCTGGTCTCATTCACTTATTCTTAGTTGAATCTTTGTGCATGTTTAAATAATTGGCCACGATTAACACCTGCATGTTGGCTATCTAGTTCAAGTTTAATAAACACCATATGACTCTTGAACTGATTAGTGAATGAGTGGGTAATGCAATTAGGACAAACACCATGTTTAAATGTTTACTTGGTTCCTTAGTGTTCTTCTTAAGCTTAATGGATTCAGATTCATAGTTTAGACTAAACACCATAGCTAAGTTGTGTATTTTGAGTACTTGATTAAAACCAAACACCATATAGATAATCATACATAAGAAAGAATGAACTCCAGAAATTGAATTAATCAACTTAGGTGATTGTTAACTTGTAGCTTGAAATTGGATTGTCATGGTGAACTTGAACCCCTAGTGCTTGTTTTCATTGTCTCTAAATTTTCTAAACATCTACTTGTTGGTCACTTGCTATTTTTGCAATCCCTTTTAGTAGTTTTTTAGTCACTTGCTATTTTGCAATCCTTTTTAGTAGTTTTCACTCCAAACAAACTCAAACTCAACCTCATTTAAATTCTGTTTAGTCTTAGGTTACTTGTGAGTCTAAGTAGTAGTATTAAGTGTCTTTCATCCAAGTCTCTGTGGAAAAACCTTGTTCTTGCATTCCTATACTATAATTGGTTCGTGCACTTGCGAGAAATAGATAGAGTACAATCTGTCCCACAAGTAAATGGTGCCGCTGTCGAGGACTTGATTAAGAGTCTTGTTACTATTGCTTACTTTCTTTAGTTATTCTTTGTTTCCAGGTATTGCATGTAGAGCAAACCAATTCTTGAACAAGTTGTATCAGCGTTTTAGAAACACGCTCAATCCCCATTTGCACCTTACACTACAAGAAAACATGCCTTTTGTGAAGATGGGTAGTCGTCACTGAAACATGGAATTTCGTCACAGTTGAGTATATGTGATGCAATTTTAGCGTCACAGCTTTCGTCATCTATACCCCATCACCTATTCTCCCACGTGACGCTTTCTCTCTTCGTCACATATATACGATATATGTGACACATACCGCGTCACTATACGTTGGATTATGTGGCTGTCCATTAGTCACTTCCTACGGTTATTAGTGATGCGTGATTTGGGTCACGGTTTAGTGGCATATGTGAGGAGCAATTCCTCTCCTAAACTGGGTATAAAATGCTCATTCCTATACAATACGCGACCCTTTAGGCGTCACATATTTATGTAGTGTGTGATGACGCACACATCACATATTTTTTTTTAATGTCTGACGATGCACACGTCACATAATTTTGTAGTATGTGACGATGTATACATAAGATGCCTTTTTAACTGTGACGATGTTGGCGTCACATATTTCTTCAGATTGTGATGAGGTCTGTGTCACACATATTCCATACCAAGGTACCTAATTATGAATAATATGTGCAAATCCAATCACAATTCTCTGTTCTTATCTTTTTCAATGTATAATATAAAAATAGATAATCGCATTTCCATTAATAAAAGCAGGTAATTACATTGTATGTTCCAAAATAAAGATCCCAAACTAAGTCTAGACTTTGTACAAACAAAAGTAAGTCTAGAGCAAGTGTGTTCCAAAATAAAGATCCCAAACTAATTCTAGACTTTGTACAACTAAAAGTAAGTCTAGAGAGTAAGTGTGTTCCAAAATAAAGATCCCAAACTAATTCTAGACTTCGCACAACCAAAAGTAAGTCTAGAGAGCAAGTGTATGTTCCATATGGATATAATCCCTAAATCAGTTCTCATCAAGATTGTGGTTTGCTAGTTCATCATAATAGTCATTATCAGAATGGGCACCATTACTACCTCTTGAGCTGGTGCTGGTCTGGCCATGAGATGCAGTTAAAACAGACCTTAATTGGGCTCTCAAATCTTCATTCTCCTTTTACAAAGTGACGAAATTAGTTGATAGCATCTTGAGATGATCATAAATTTCACTCAACTCAGAACTTGAAGCCATTGAAGAAGGAGTGGATGAGCTAGAGGTCTCCATGCGAGGAAAAACACCTACACCCCCGAGCTTCTCACCCATTATTCCGAACTCAGCATCTAATAGCACTTGTATAGAATCAAACCTGCATTGAAGTGAAAAAAATAATATGAATTTTAATCTCTAGAATACCCCACTTAAGTTTTTATTTTTTAGTAGACTTAATTTGTATGACTTGTCTGAAATCTTGATTTTTTAATGTTGATGAATTTTGCTTGGGAAATAAGATTGACCATGCTAAGCACTAACCTAATTCCCACAAGCAAAACTGTTCATCTCAAGGTTAGGACTCAAGTTTACATCTGAAAACCAATTTCAAAGACATCTCAGACAAGGAAGAAAATTTTAGAACAACGTAAATTCCTGTTAAATTCCTTGTTAAATTCGAGTTTGATTTCTTGTTAAATTCCTGAACAAAGTAAAACAAAACCTAATTGAAGATGAAGTCCACATATTGCAACATTATAATAAACATGTTAAATAATGCAAGTAGCTACGGGAGTCTTGTGAAAGCCAAACAATATAACCTACACCCTTGAATTATGCAGGGCTAGTCAATTGTCAGAGACAACCAGACAGGTAAACCAACTCTGGCATCAACAAAGGAGTAAATTCCCAGGACAGTTGCAGCAGTATAATATGTGGAAATTATTCTTACCAATAATTGCAAGAAGAGAGAATATTTTCGCAAAACAATGATGTTTACCTCTATAATGTGTTCCAATTCAAAAGTATTTGCATTGCTTTCTTGGTTCTCAATGTTCCAGCAAAACTGAGGGCAAAGTTTCATTATGCTGTCCAGTATCCTTGATAAAGAGCTAATGTCCAAGAAAGATTGTAGGAAATTTTAGAATTCCATGAGCATTATGCTGCAATAGAAATATTATTAATGAGTATCGGATTGGACATACATATAGTGCAAGCATGGCATGGAAAGAGAAGAGAAGGAATAATAATAATGTCAAGAGTGCACTCTGCCACTTGTGCATGTCACATTGAATATATTTGTTTCATGGGAAAGTTTAGAATTAAGAAAAGAAAGAAAGGAGCAAAATTATTGCATCTGAAATGGAACTTTAATAAACTTGACTATTAATTTCTCTAAGTAGAAAAACAGAGAATTAATTCAAAAAATGGTGAATGCAAAGTGCAAGGCAACAACCAACTGAACATATGACAACATTATCATATATCAAATTGAGTACTTGGGATATATAAGCCAAAATCTACACCACTGTCATTGAACATAAGAGTATTAAGCACCAAAAAAAAATTGCCCAGATTCATAGAAGAGTCAAATTGTCAAAATACAAATGACAAAAGTCCTAGTCAATTGTAGAATTAATTCAGTCACTTGTCAAGATGAGAAATTGGTCACTAACAATATAATCAGGACAATTCATATCAGTCCCCTATTTTATCAAATCGGTGAGCTACTGTGGAGTAGATATAGTCATTTTATTTTTAATTTTTTTAGTTAAGATGACAGAGTTGTAGTTTGGTTTTGTTGTTAATGAGATTTGTATCAAGATGATGGTGGAATAGTAGTTCACCAAGTCTTTGTAACACAAGGATGCATACAAGTGTGTTTGTTGAAATGAGATATAAAGTCATGTCTGCACTTACGGATAAGACATTCTTCAGCACAGATGCAAAATTTAACATCAGGTAGAGGGAGAACCTCGATAACATTGCTATAAATGGGTAACTTGACAGCAGAGGTATTGTGATAATCTGCATATGGGAATCATGTGCTGGAAAAAAAGAACCACAAAGGTAAAGAACAATATAGGTCAGTAGGCATTACGTCGAAAGACATGTATCATGAAGAAAAAAAAAGCAGAAGCTACAACAATGCAAAGGGAGCAGGAGTTGAAAAATTACCCCTCCAATGCGAACAATCATTACAGGACCAAGAAGCCTTTCCACAAATGGGTATAGGGTGATTTGGAACACAAAAAGACCAAAATCTACAAGTTGATAAAATCGTCAGCGATTATTGAGCATCTGTAGAGTTATTTACATAAATCAGAAATTGAAACTGTATCAAATGCTCTATCCTTTGAGTGAACTTATTGTCAAAATAAGTTATTCTACAATTCCTCATCTAGTCAAATTGTCAAAATACAATTTCTCATATTTGGCCATGTTCATATTCCAAATTAAAGCATGAATCAAAACAACACAAACCAGAAAGTAAAAGAAACTTACCTCGAACAGAACGAAAACTAGCAAAATTGACCAAGAGCACTGCAACACCCAGAAGAAATTTCTATTTTACCTTAAATATACAGAAAAAGCCAACGAAAATATATCAAATAACAATCAACAATTGAACAGGGAAATAACAATTAACAATTTAACAATCAATGAAGAAATTTCTATTTACCTATGGGTTTTTTAGAGTGGGGGTCAAGGGGATGAGAAATTACAAGTGGAAGGTGGACTTAATTAGATGTGGTCATTGTTGAGGGAATATATTGAAATGAGAGTTTGTTGGTGATTGAATGTGGGAGACAATGGGTCACCCGAAGAGGGAGACAGAGGGAGAAAGAGAGAGCAAGAGAAAGAGAGAGAGAGAGGAAGATGAGTGGTCGTCGTCGCCGGAGAGGAGTGGTCGTCGTCTCCAATGGTTTGTGGATGAGAGCACAGCTAGTGATTACGATGAAGGGACTGAAGCTTTGATTAGGTTGAATGAAGCGTTGGGTTTTTTCTTTGTTTTTTTTCTTTTTCTTTTTCTTTTGGGCCATAAGTGACGCTGTCAATCTTCACCCAATAAAATTTCTGAGCCCCACTTTCATGCTCTGTGACGAATGTGCATCATTCGTCACATTTAGTAAAAAAATTGGGCGCCAAGATTTCCCGCTATTTAATATGTGACGACACCGAAATTATAATGTGACGAACATGGAGCGAAAATTTTGTTACGTCCCTTCAAGACGTTTAGGTGATGATTTGCAAAATTTTCTCACTTATACAAGCCAAATGTGACGGAATTTTCAGCGCCACATAAAAGTTGGTCACAGAAGGCCTTATTTCTTGTAGTGTTAGCTTTTGTCATTGTCATGCCACCTGGACCCATGGCCTCTCTTGCTCTTGACGACATTGCTCTCTCATCGATCGCCCCATCTTCTTCATGGCACTCTTACTGACCCGGTGCTCTTACAGGTTGTTGGCTTTCAGAATTCATAGTCGATTTGGGATTGTCTTTATCACACTTCCTCAAAACAATCCATTGCTCATGCTACCCAATTGAAATTCCAACTTCTCTTTGTTCAAAAAGGGCGCAGACAATTCCTTAGTACCTCTCCCTTGTCAAAAGTTTGTCTGATCAACTTGTTGCAGTCAAAGAACCCATTTCTCCATTAGATCTTGTCACTTATACTCTTCGTGGGTTGGGACCTAACTACATGATGTTAGTCACCTCTATCCTTCAACTGCACCTTTTCTTATTAGCCATGTACTCCCACATCCTCCAGACTCTTGGGACCTCCTCTATCCTCTCGTCCTCCTCTTCAATGTTGGAATTATCCACAATTTGGCCATATTGCCAGTATGCATTCTACGTACACCTCCGACCCTAATTAGTATTTGGATTTGGGAGCCACCCATCACATGACTCATGATGCACACTCTTTAGCACCCACCGCTGGCTCTACTCCATCAGATGGTGTTGTTTTTGGTAATGGTGACTCACTTCCTATCACTCACTCTGGTAATCTTTCCTTTTCTTCTGATTCCTTTGTGTTTTGTCTTTATGATGTTCATCGTGTTCCTTCTTTACACAAAAAATCTATTATCTATGGCTCAATTTACTCGTGATCATCTTGTGGGTATTACATTCTGTTCGCGCTAAAACTAAACAAATAGAGATAAGGCTAACTTACAGGTGATGTGGATGGCTTGGACCCGAGGTGCCTTCAGTCCGTGGCGTCCTTCCTCGAGGGTTGATGCTGGATTCGGCCTGGAGAAAGAAACTGCAGGTGAGGTCTAAGACACCGGTGCAAGGTGCCTTCAGTTCGTGGCATCCTTCCTCGAGGCTTGATGCTGGATTCGGCCTGGAGAAAGAAACGGCAGGTGAGGTCTAAGACACCGGTGTGGCACCGGCCGAAGACCCTCTGATGCCAAAGTTAGTGACTAAGAGTAATTCTATTGACAGTGTTAAGGCACAAGTCAAGTAAATAGTCTTACCTCTTGGCTGTGCCAAGGGGCTCTATTTATAGAGAGCATTTGTGATGCTCTTAGTACTTAGTTTCAATATGGGACTCGTGGGAGTGCCTTCGACAGTCGACAAGTGCCCTAACAGGTTCTGGCGGGAGTTCCGAGGTTATCTGTTAGAGTCGGCCGGATGTGCTAACTGGTCGATTGGCATGGTGTGCCGAAGGTTGGTGTGGGTGTGTTGGTCGATGGCACTTACCGACTTGACGACTACGTATGAATAAGTGGAGTATGTCGATTGACCTTTCGGCGCGGCTCATTGAGCTGGTCTCAGCCTTGTTTACATTCCACGTGTTATGACGTGAGTGGGGGGTCAGATATGGTACAAATAGGAGTCCCCCAAGTTTCCGATCGAGAAGGGACTTCTTGGTTGAGGACTTGCTTGTCCTTTATCTCCGGCATTCTGACTCGGGTACGAGCGTCTTCCATCGTATGCCGATGGTGATCATGTAGTCCCCCAAGTCCTCGAGCAAAGGGGGGGCTGAAGATTAGAAGGGCAGCAAGAGCCGAAGGTGTTTGAAGTTTCGAGAAAAAACTCGATCATTGTGTGCATGCTATTCGGCATGAGAGGTGAGTGAAACTCGACCAATGTGCGCTTGCCGTTCGACATGAGAGGTGAGTGAGAACTAAACCAATGTGCGGTTGCCGTTTGTTGGGGGAGTTTGTTTAAAAAAGAAGGTTTGAGAGAATTTGAAGCGCTCGCTCAAGTGGGAAGCGATGGCTCTTGGGCTTCCCTGTGCATGTGTGACATGTGTCGGGAGGGTTGTGAAGAGTCGAGTCATTTCATTTCTCGATGCTAGGTTCATCCTATAAATGGACCGAAGAGACGATAGGAGGGGTACTTGAAATTTTGTGAGCAAACGGAGCTTGTGAGAGGCGATTTCCGGCGAGTGCATTGTAGTGGCATAGGTAATTTCCGGTGAGAATTTCAAGGAGGAGGCGATTTCCGGCATTCTCCAACCACCGTGTAAACAAGGTATGTTGCCGTGTTTTCTTCTAAATTGAATCAAAACTTTTAATTGGTGTATGAACATGTATGAACATAGATAAACGTAGATGAACATTAGCTCTTGGGCTTTAGGATAGTAGTTTGATTCTAGCATGGCATTTAGTTTCGTTTCGCTTTTGTTTGTAGATGTCAAATACTGAATCAGACCATAGTGATAGCCCAAGAGCATTTGAGGGAGAATCAGCTTCGGTGAGTTCAACTGCAGGTCTTGATAGTGCCGATTTTGATGAGGTAGTAAGGGGTACAGAGGTGTCTACTAAATCTGGGGGCACTTCAAGTGTGGAGGTGGTTGAGGTTAATAATTCTCAACCATCGACATCCGGTCACCGAGCCGAGGCGACCGAGGCTGATGTGTCCGTTGCCGATCCCGGAGAAGGTGTGCTGATCGTGGTTTTTGGATTTCCTAGAGCTGAACGCCTTGAACGAGGCTGAGTTGGCGAAGATTAGGGCGGAGTTCCACATCCCAGATTCGGTGGTGATGCAGATCCTAGGGCCGTTGGAGTCCTTAAGCAATCCGGATGGTGAGGTGGTCTTCTTCACCGATGTCTTCAAACATTGACTTCGGCTGCCGTTGAGACATTCGGTGCAGAAGATCCTAACCCACATCGGCTATGCTCTTGGGCAGTTTAATCCGAACTTCTGGATTACACTGCTTGGAACGATCATGGCGTTCGGCATAGCCGAATAAGGAGAGCCAAGCTACGAGCAGTTCTTCCATTTGTATAGCGTGACGAGGGCGAAGAGCGCTAACCAAGGGGGGTGGGTTCAGTCGAATTGCCTGGTTACAGGTTAGTGTGGACACTTCGTAGTGGGGGTACCGAGCTCACAGAAGATGTGGCGTCGACATCAGGTGCTAGTTTCCGGAGCTTGGGAATCAGCACCATGGGTGATAGTGCAGAGGTCCATCCTCACCTTCTTCCAAACATTTGGTAGGCTATAGGATGCCGTTCGGTGTTTTGTTGTTGTTTTTTTGGTTTTGTTTTTTTGGTTTTTTGGTTTTTTTTTGTGCCGAAGCTAACCTGGGTTGTATATTTTTGTATCAGTGTCTTTGAAACAACCGATCGCAATAAGGAGGGAGGTTGAAGTAATCGAGCGGGTCCAAGGAAAGGTTGCCGAGGAAGATCGTTTCTTCAAGACTTTGTTGGACTTCGGCAATCTGTTCAAGGTGAGCTTGATCAGCGAGCCCGAGCACGCCAGAAGGCAAAAGGAGAAAGAAGAAGAGGAGAAGAGGAACAGTAAGTGTTGCCGTTTGGCATGTCTGGTATTGTTTCTGTTTCTGCATGCTGTTCATTTGCAAACTTGGTGTTGTTTTGACCTTGTTTAAGTGGCGGGAGGTAGAGCAATGACAGACGCGATAAGGAGGTGGTTGGAGTCTCGAGCACCTCAACAGAAGAAAAAAGATGGGCCCTCAAAGCTGAGGACGAAGGTGATGGCTGTCGATCGTCCGCAGGAAAAAATGGTGGCCGAGGTCTAGGCCATTTGCGAGGTCCCCCTCCAAGCTACAGGGAAGAGGCAGATCGTGACCCCTCTGCTGAAACGGCCAAGGATGTTGAAAGAGGGGGCTGCCATTCTGATTTCTGGTGACGAGGCGGAAGAGGACGTCGGGACAGTGAATATGGCATGCCTGCTGAAAGCCGTGCCGTTCATGAATTCTGTCATTGTTGGTGCTCAGATGGAGATGACAGAGCTTGAGCAACTGCCAGCGAAGACAGTACGCCGAGGCCGGCAAAGCCATTCAGGATGCCGATCGTCTTGCCGAGGAAAACGCGACGAGGATTGTAGAGCTCTCGTCCAAGTTGGTTGAAGCTGAGAAGGCGATGGTGGGTGCTGAAGAGACTAGGGCGGCCGTGGCTGAGTACGGTCCTCAGATAAGTTCATTATGCTGCTAAACAAGGAAGTCATGGACCAGTGTGATGACCTTGTCTACCAGTTCAAGTGCTACAATGCCGATAAGAAGCTGAACCTAAACTTCCTCCGGGATCCTCCTCTATTGCCCGAAGGGATCACAGAGGAGATGGTGGAGGCCTACAAGGGTGAAGATGCCGACTCTGAATCCTCAAGTGAGATCGACTCGAGCAGCGAGGAGGACGAAGCCATGCCCACACCTTCTACTGCCGATGCCGTCATACTCGATGCTGATGTTGCCGATCCCCCGGAAGCTTAGGGTTTGAAAAAACAAAAATTGATGTGTAATGAAAAAAAAATTTGATAGTGCCGTTCGGCACATTTGTTAAGACTATAGCCCTGTTGTGGCTTTTTATCCAAGTTTGCTGTGAATCTGCCTTGTTATTTTCTGTATGCTAATGTATGCACGTATGCCGTAGGTAGTGCTGTTTAAGGCGTAATCGATTGCATAGAATAGGTAAACAGACAATAATGCTGAGGATAAATGTTACAAAAGTGGAGTGGCTGAAGGTTCGGTCACTTGTAATAAAATTTTAAATGTTCAACATTCCAAGGGAGACCAAGGGTCTGACCATTGGACCCACACAATTGGTAGGTACCCGGTCTGCAGACCTCGATGACCTCATAGGGACCTTCCCAAGAAGGGCCAAGGGTGCCCTTGGCAGGGCTTCTTGTTGCGAGAGAGACTTTGTGTAAAACCCAGTCCCCTACCCTGAATGACCGACATTTGACACGTGGGTCGTAATATCTGGCGGTTCGTTGCTTATGTGCGGCGTTCCGAAGCTGAGCCTGCGATCAGTGCTCTTTGATGAGGTCTAGGTTCAGAGCAAGTTGGGCACGATTTTGATCTGGATCGTAAGATGTCGTTCGGCATGTTGGTGCGTTGATTTCGACTGGTACGACAGCTTCGGTTATGAAGGAGAGGGAAAACGGGGTTTTGCCTATTGACCTTCAGTATGATGTGTTGATCGTCCACAGTGTCTCTGGTAGTATTTCCGGCCATTCGCCTTTAGTATGATCTTGTTGATGGCCTTCACCTGCCCATTGGACTATGGATGTGCCGGAGACGCGAAGAAGATTTTGATGTCGAATCGGGAGCATAGATGCTGGAAGCGAGAGCAATCGAATTGTTTACCATTGTCGGTGATGATTGCGTTCAGAAGGACGAATCGGTAGATGATGCTTTTCCATACGAAGTGCTCAATTTCTGCGGCGGTGATCGTAGCAAGAGCTTCAGCTTCGACCCACTTTGTAAAGTAGTCTATTGCGACGACTACGAATTTGAGTTGGCCCTTCCCCTACGGCATAGGGCCGATGAGGTCCAATCCCCACTGTACGAACGGCCAAGGACTGACCATTTGGGTGAGAGGTTCCGTTGGCTGGTTTGGAATTAAGCCAAAGCGTTGGCACGGGCTGCACGGTTGTACAAGTTTGACGGCATTAGAGTGGAGAGTTGGCCAATAATAGCCTTGTCGAATGGTTTTGAAGGCCAAGAATCGAGCTCCCGAATGATCGGTGCAAGCACCTTCATGAATTTCTCATAAAACATAGTCCCCCTGTTGTGGCGTGACGCAACGTAGCAACAGTAGGGAATGACCGTGTCGGTACAACTTCTCTTGCAAAAGAAGATACCGTGTTGATCGACGGCGGACGACCTTGGCATCAGCTTGGTCAGTCGGAAGCGTACCATCTGTTAGGTATACGTGGATTGGGTCCATCCAACTTGGGTCCTGCCAAATGGCATGAACCTTAGCTTCGGTAGTGCTCCGTCGAGTAAGGATTTCAATTGGTACGTGGCGTCCTACCCAATCGTCGATCGTGGATGCTAGTCTGGATAGAGCGTCGGCATGACTATTCTCGGATCTAGGGACCTGCCAGATTTGGTATGTGAATTGATTGAGCAATCGACAGGCCTGTGCTAGGTAGGCCGTCATGGATTCGTCCTACGCTTCAAATTCGGTGATTACCTAGTTAACGACTAGTTCTGAATCGCTACAGATTGTTAGTTGTTTGGCTCCCATATCTTTTGTGAGCCAAAGGCCTGCCAAGAGGGCTTCATATTCGGCTTCATTGTTGGAGGCACGGAACTGGAACCGAATGGCGTATTAGATTGTAGTTTGGTCTGGTGCCTTCAGGACTAGGCTCGCACTGTTGCCCTGTCGGTTGGACGAACCGTCGACATATAGTGTCCATTGGGGGATCATTGGGTCGAATACCTTTTCGGCAGGATGATCTTCTGGGGCCGTCGTGGTTGATTTGGGGTTGGCAGTGGCAAGTCGTTCACCTTCTAATGGAATAGTAAGTTCTGAGATAAAATCTAATACGACTTGCCCTTTTTCAGCAGGTCGAGGGTGGTAGTGAATGTCAAATTCACCAAGCTCGATGGCCCATTTGATCAATCATCCCGATGTTTCTGGCTTTTGTAGGACTTGGCGTAGGGACTGATTGGTGAGTACGTCGATGGTGTGGGCTTGGAAATATGGCCGAAGCTTACGGGCGAAGAGGATGAGGGCGTAAGCTAGCTTTTCTAGTTGGGGGTACCGTTGCTCTGCATCTTGCAGTGTGTGGCTTGTGTAGAAGATGGGAAGCTCGATACCGTTCGGTCTTCAAATGAGTACGGAACTCAATGCCGTTGCCGAGATTGAAAGGTAGATAATGAGTTTTTCTCTTGGGAGAGGTTTTGACAACAAAGTGGCCCTACTCATGTATGTTTTGAGGTCTTGAAAAGCTTGGTGACATTCGGCAGTCCATACGATCTGTCGCTTGCTCCGCTTGAGGGCTTTAAAGAAGGAGGCGCACCGATCGGTGGCTTTAGATATGAATCGGGCTAGGGCGGCAACTCGCCCGGTGAGGCTCTGAACGTCCTTTTTTGTCTTCGGCACCTACATGTCGAGTAGTGCCCTGTTTTTTTCAGGGTTAGCCTCGATACCTAGCTGACTGATCATGAAGCCGAGGAATTTGCCGGATGAAACGCCGAAGACGCACTTGTTTGGATTAAGGCGCATGTTGTATTTCTTCAGGATGCCGAACATGAGGGAGAGGTTGTGGAGGTGATTGTTGGTGGTCTTGCTTTTTACCAACATGTCGTCCACATAGACTTCCATCGAGGTGCCGATGATTTCGGCAAATATTTTGTTGACCACCGTTGGTATGTTTCCCCTGCATTCTTCAAGCCGAACGGCATGACGTTATAGTAGTAGAGACCTTTGTCGATGATGAATATCGTATGCTCGCGATCCTCGGGGTGCATGAGCATCTAGTTGTAGCTTGAATAGGCGTCCATGAAGCTGAGGAGCTCATGGCTGACCGTGGCGTTTACCAGTTGGTCAATTCTTGGCAGCGGGAAGCTGTCTTTGGGGCATGCCTTGTTCAAATTTGTGTAGTCCTGGCACATTCGCTAGGCCCCACTGGTCTTCTTGATAAGGACTAAATTTGTGAGCCAAATAGGATAAGTGACCTCCCAGATGAAGCCAATTCTCTTTAATTTGTCGACTTCAAGTTTCATCGCCTCGTACCGTTCTGCATCGTAGGCCCGCTGCTTCTGGCGGATTGGTTTGAAGGATGGACAGATGTTGAGCCTGTGGTTGATGACGTCCGGGGAGATGCCTGGCATGTCGTCGTAAGACCAGGCAAAAACTTCCGTATTGGCTTTGTGAAAGCAATGAATTCAGCCTGCAATGATGGGCTGAGGGAGGTATCTATCTTGAGTTGCCGATCGGTCAGTGTGTCAGAGAGAGGCACTGTTTCTAGATCCTCGACTGGCTGAGCCTGTGGTATGACGCTCCCATCTCGGGGGTCGTCTGGGCGATCCGAACATCCCTTGTCGTTCGGCATGGTGATGGTGGAAACTGCCAGCGACTCTCATGTTGCCCTTGTCGAATCTCGGGTTGCCGAAATATAGCACGTCCGTGCACTCAGCTGGTCCCCTTGTACCTGGCTGATGCCAGCGTGTGTTACGAATGTGAGCAGCAGCATGTGTAGAGATAGTACGGCCTTCATCCAGGTTAGCACGGCCTTGCCAATGATGGCGTTGTAAGCTGTTGGACAATCGACTACCAGGAAGTGGGTATAGACAATTGTTCTTCTGGGGGCCGCTCCGATGGCGAGGGGGAGCTGGACGCTTCCGATTGGTTCCACAAAGTCATCGGAGAAACTTACAAGAGGAGTGATCTCCTTATTGAGGGTTTGGTGCTCGATTCCGAGGCTTTTGAAGGCAACAACGAAGAGTACATTACCTGTATCGATAAGGATTCGGCCTACATCGAAATCGGCGATGTTGGCTCTGATGATCATGGGATCGGAGTGAGGAAAGATGATACCCTTTTCCTCTTCTTCGGAAAATGTGATGGGCTTCCACCCGATTCGTCGGATCTTGCTATGGCGTCCTTCAGTGACGTTAAGAATCTGTCGGTGTTGAACGGCACACATGTAGTTCTTGAAAATCCGGTTGCTAGAATCGGCAATCGGTGCCCCGCCACTGATAATGTTAATTTGCTGATTGCTCGGCTGCTCGGGGGCCGGTCATGTACCAAGATATTGATGTAGCTTGCCTTCGCTGATCAGCCTTTCGATAATTTTGCAAAGGGCAATGCATGATTTGATGTCGTAGCCGTTGTATTGATGATATCGGCAGAATACTCAAGTGTCCTTGTCGCTTGGACGTGGAAGTTTCCTACTATCTAGCTTTGGTATCAGTTGGTTTTCGTTCACCAGGACGTACTCATAGGTCGTATTGAGGAGGGTAAATACCTTGGCTTGCAGATCCTTCGTGTTCTTGAAATTGAGTTGGCCTTCGGAGTCCTTGCCACATTTGTTCCCGTCCTGTCGACCCTGAAAGGGGTGTGAAAGGGGTGGACACCGAGGGGTGTGAAAGGGGTGGACACCGGGGGTGCCGTTTGGAAAGGGTAGGGTTTTTTGTCTGGGTGGTTGGAAAGCGGTCGTGGGCTCGATCCTTTTGTGTTGAAGTGTTATGCCTTGGCATGTATTGTCCTGCCGCCTATTTCATTAATTCACCATAGGTGGTCCAGTTATTGCTGTGGACCAAATAGCGAAATTGCGATGGTCAGAGGTCGCTTCTGAATGCCGTGAATGTTGTTCGGTCTTCCGTTTCAGGGCACCGAGAATATTGGTTGCTGAATCTGGCTACATATTCCTTTAAGGGTTCGTCGTCCCTTTGTCGGATTGTGTAGAGGTCGTCGGCAGAGTACAATCGATCAGTCTGTATCATAAAATCATTGAGAAAAATCTCCTTTAACTGATCGAAAGAGTCAACCGTACCTGGCTCTAGTCGGTCAAACCAATTTAGGGTGGCTCGGGCTAAGGTAGAGGGGAACAGCAGGCATTGGCCCTCGTCGGTAAGTCCTTTGCTCCCTAATGCTGATTGAAAGGTGTGTATGTGAGTGACAGGGTCCTCTATTCCTATGTAAAACGATATTTGGAGTTGTTGGACATCCTTCTCGTGTTTGAAGGTTCAAATCCAGTTGGTGTATGGTCCTGGCTAGATCTTGCCCCAAGCCGGCGTTCAAGCTTGGTTATGTTCTTTCTCGATCTGGTTGATCTTCTAGAGGAGGAGGCAGATAGTGGGATCGGCATGAGGCAGGTTGCGCAAAAGGCTTCTGTTCCATGGGGAGCAGCTATCTGGTGACCTGTCATTTAGTCAGAGGTACGGGCAAGATTGCTGCGTCAATCGTCCTCCGGTGTTGCCCAATTGTTCTGATGGCGAGATTGTCTGGGCCCTGCCGACCGATAGGAAGCCGTAGTCTCGGGAGAAGTTGGGACGTAGTCTAATTCGTTTGTTTCTTCCAAGCTGATTGTATTGTATCTTTGGAGGGGCGGGGACTTCGGTCCCAAATCGTTTGGACGCCAGTCGTAGTGCTTGGCCTGAACTTGGATAGGAGATGGCTGGCGCCCTTTACATCGATCGTTGAGCCTGTCTCTGCAGTCGGAGTAGACTCGGTATTCTTGATGTCAATCGTTAGGGGACGGCATGAACAGTCGCCAGGAGGTGGAAGTTTTGGTTGCGGCCCATTCCTTTTCCTTGCCGTGACCGCTGGGCTTCGGCACACTTTTATATGACTATTCCTGCCGGAGGGCCGTGGTTTGTTCTAGATCCTCCTATAGTTGGGCCGAATGTGATTATTGGTCGTAGAGTTCCCTCCGGGTGTCATATAGTTTGGACGATAGGACATTGTTGTGCTCCTGCATCTTCGTCATTTCTTGCTATAAGGCTTCCATTCAAGCCTCCAATGTGTGTTGCCAGACGAGTGTTTCCATTCGGAGTGTGCTCAGTGGGGGAGCGGGGCTCGCTCCGCCAGCCAAGCCGAGGATGGGACTATCGGTAGTTTGGGAAGTAGGTGGATTCATTTTTTCTCAAGAGAGATATGGGCCAATCGACGATCGAAGTTTCCCATAGACGGCGCCAATCTATTCGTGCTAAAACTAAACAAATAGAGATAAGGCTAACTTACAGGTATGTGGATGGCTTGGACCGGAGGTGCCTTCGGTCCATGGCGTCCTTCCTCGAGGCGTGATGCTGGATTCAGCCTGGAGAAAGAAACGGCAGGTGAGGTCTAAGACACTGGTGTGGCACCAGTCGAAGACCCTCTGATGCCAAAGTTAGTGACTAAGAGCAATTCTATTGACAGTGTGAAAGCACAAGTCAAGCAAACAGTCTTACCTCTTGGCTGTGCCAAGGGGCTCTATTTATAGAGATCATTTGTGATGCTCTTAGTACTTAGTTTCGATGTGGGACTCGTGGGAGTGTCTTCGACGGTCGACACGTGCCCTGACAGGTTCTGGCGGGAGTTCCGAGGTTATCTGTCAGGGTCGGCCGGATGTGCTGACTGGTCAATCGGCCTGGTGTGCCGAAGGTTGGTGTGGGTGTGTTGGTCGATGGCACTTACCGACTTGACGACTGCGTATGAATCGGTGGAGTATGCCAATTGACCTTTCGGCATGGCTCACTAACCTGGTCTCAGCCTTGTTTACATTCCACGTGTCATGACGTGAGTGGGGGGGGGGGGGGGGTGGGGGAATCAAATGGTACAAACACATTCTTTCCATGTGGTTATATCATTCATGATTTGAAATCTAACGATATTCTTTTCAGGACCGATGTAATAACAGTCTCTATCCCATTCTTCCCACATTGGAATCCAAATACCTCTCCAGTTCCCAGACAGCTCTTGCTTAAGTGTTCAAGTCGTCCTCTCTTTGGCATCGTTACTCGGGCATCCATCCAATAAAGTGCTTAGCACCTTAGCTTCTCATTCCTTATTAGGGTCCACTTTTCGTTTATCAATTAATAATTATAGCCATTGTGCATCGACTAAATCTGTTTGTCTTTCTCTTTCTAATCATGAACCTTGTTCCCTTATACCTTTTAATTTATGGAGATTCACTATTAGGAGCCCAAATTATTATTATTGTTATAATTATTATTATTTTAAAGGGAGATTCAACCCAATATAGGAGCCCAAATTATAATAAATAAATAAATAAATAAAATAAAATAAAATATAAATATAAATATAAAAACATATATGAAATAGACTTTAGAAACACACCCAAAACTCATTTACAACATAGCACAAAAGCTATTAACTTCTTTTAAATTACAAAACTGCCATTATTTTCTTAAAACAAACCCAACCCCACTTCATAAAAAAGACCAAAACACTCAATAGGGTATCAAAGTAATTTAATAATCAAAATTAAATTCAATAGGGCTAGCTGTCGTTTTTTGGGTTTGTTTATAGAAATTAAATGGTATAGGGTTTATCTATATTATTAGTGCTAAGAATGGGTATATGGCTAAATATCTCTTTAATTTAATACACTCTAATATTTGGATGCCACCTATTTAATACACTCCAAATATACAAAAATCAAATATGAAACTCATTTTAAATACACTCTCAATGCACATGCTCAAGAAACCTCAACCTGGAAATAAATCCAAACATATACCCATATACATATTGAAGGAAACATTTTGCATCTCATGGCTTGGAATGAATTTAGCCACAACATATAATACATAGGCACCTTCTATAGTGCACCAAACGCACCCATGCGCCATTTGTCCTTTATGATTCCTAAAGATTTAAAAAAAAATTGGTTACCGTTTATACAAGTTGTCAAGTTTCCACTTTTTGTTAATATTTAACGCAAATGCTATTGTGTAAGGGTCATGCAAATATGTCCTTCCTATTTGGCAATTGACATACGATTTGACATCTTATTTTTCAATTGAGTGTATTCTTTTTGACTCACATTGACATGCTTATAAATTTCTCTATGGTATTTGTTTACTTTTATAAATCTAAAATTACCGTTGTAGATTCTTTTTTATGAGAATTGTTTGACTTTTTTTTCTTCTGATTTCGATATGTCACCTCATTGTAGCTTTACTCAAGTTCATTATGAGTTGCTGGTTTTATTTATATGAATTATGATGGCTTGTTTTGGCTAATTCCTTCGTATTTTATGCCTAGTTTTTTAAAATCAATTGAGGTTGATAGTTTTAATTTTTTGTTTCTTTTGTTTCATAGAATTGGTGAATGCGCATCAACATTTATTTGAGAGTTTGAAAGTCTTTATCCATCAATTTTTTTCACCTCGAGTTTTGTCTATGTAATTGGTTGAAATCAATTTCTAAAATAAGAACTATATTACTTGTTGAACTCTATGTTACATGGTTGTACTTTTGTAGACATCCACAAAGTATTATAAATTTATATTCTTTTCCTACCATGACCATGGATTTTATAGTACATTGTTAAGATTAAAAGTCAAGAAAAACAAGTATAAAAGTAGAAAGTTTACAAGTTTTCTCGTAGATTACAAGATTTTCAGTTGTGTTATAATGACATAATTTTACTCCTCAAAGTCCATTCTTACCTTGGTACTATGTGTCATTTTTTTTTGTAAATTAGGGTATTACAGTGTTATGGATTAGGGTGGACCATAATGTTGTTACAATTATTTCACAACATCTGCAGATTTTTTCATGATTCATGAGTTAGGGGTCACTTTATATAACTTGTAACCAAAATCAATAGAACTTGGGTAACTTTATATAAATCCAATTGGCCAAACTGAAATTATTATTTTTACTTGTAACCAAAAACAATTTTTGAACATCTAAACTATTCTTTTTGTTTTGTTATTTCTTAAATGTAAATAAATTACTATAAGGAACTAAAATACGACAACATAGTATAACTCGTTACATGTTTAATATCAATCAATGATAAGATATTCAACTTTTAAGACATAATATCAATATATAATAACCTGAACCTAAATTAATATTTAATTATTAATTTATTCAAGTAAAAGATAATTTTACCCCAAAATATTTTAATGGTTTAAAAGTTGACTTTTTATTTGAGAAGGAATTTGGAGATTTCAGTTGTACCCTTGCGTAGAACACGTCGAGATGAGTCCGTAGACACGTAGTGGACTCAAATTGGAGTTGTAACGAGGAAGTTACGATAAAAAATAATCTAGTGGCAAAACTATAATTATTTCAAAAAGGGGTTTTAAAAACCCAGAAAACTCTCTTGCTCGTGAAAACAGCCCTTCGTCCCCCCTTTTGTTGCGATGACAGCAAATTCTCCAAGCCTCTGCCGCCACCACATGCAGCCATTGGGGGTGGCACCGGTCGTCTTGATCCGTTGATCCATGTATGCTTTCTCATCCTCTGGAGGTGTTCTAGCTATTGGTTGTGGTATTTTGGAGAAATTTTTGCGTTTTGGGGGTTAAATAAGCGACAAAAGTTTTGGCTGGCTTTGGCATCTGATTTCGGCCCTTCCGTCAACTTTTTGGGGTTGCTCCAAGAACAAAAGTTGCTCCACTCAAGGTGCTGATCATATAGGTATAAGCCTTGACCGGCGGTTTGGAGTGTTTTTGATCACTTGAATTTGCTATGGACACCCACGCGCTGCCAGTGCGTGGGGCGGCGCTTGGGCCACTTGGTGGCCTGCTAAAATGATCCTCATGTCGTCCTGAGCACGACGGTATGCTCAGATTTCAATTTGGTTATCGTTTGATCGTCGATCAGTTATCGCATTTTAGGCGTTATCCTTTGATATGTTCGGACTGTGTAGGAATTCGCGGATCGTGAATCGGAGCCCCAGATGTTCCGATTCAATAATTTTAAGTTTGCGTTAAACAATAACCGCTCAATCGTACGATTGTGAGCAATCCGACCATTCGATTTAGACTAAACCTGCTGTACATGTATCCTAAATCTTGTGAAACCTATAGGAACTTCCAGATCGGGAATCCGAGATCTTGGTCCCCGCGGGCCCGGTTGACCAAATTTGGACAGTTTGACCCCTCGGTTGACCGTGAGTCTTCCGAGGTAGTGTCACCCTTCAAGAAGTACTAGAATGACCTTGTAAATGAGTCTTAACCAGTAGTTGAGTTATTTTGATTATGTTGGGATTTAGGAGATTGATTTATAGTATATTGGATATTATATTGATAATTGAAGTTATGGAATGGGCAAGCTTGGAATATCGGATTGGTGGGTTGTGAAAGTGAGCCTTGAGCTCGGTTATGATTGTTAGTAAATCAGTGACATTTTTTATTAAGAGTATGTGGTTCTTTTAGTATGGAATTTCTTGCCTAATGAGTTCATATTGGGAATTGATTCGATATGGGATTTTCTTCAAAGGTTTTTACTTTTCGTTGATCAAATTACCATGCAATATACTATGGATTTATATGATTATGGAAGGAATATATATATATATATATATTTATATCGCTAATTGTGAGTATTTCTATTATTTCAAAAATTGAGTTTATATTATAGTATTTTATGGTATTGCTACATGTTATTTCTGATATTTGAATATTTATGCATTATTGGAAGTGATGAAATCTCTCCGGGTAGTGGTTATTTAATTAATTAATTAATTAATTATTCATTTATTTAGTTATCTATTACTATTAAGATTATTATTATAGTATCGAAAATGAATGGTTTGTTAATTGGATTTCGACATGATCTAATTACATGTCTATATTTAATATATATATATATATATATATATATATATATACGCAATGGTTTGAAAATGATGAATTATAGACTCTAATTCTCAACAGTATGTAGTGGGCATCCATAACTTTTGAGGTTACAACAGAAAATTGGATTTCCTCTAAAAGGGAAATAGTTCATCCGAAAACTAAGGTCAAGTAGTTAAAGCCAAAATATTATATAGCTTGGCTACTCTTTTGCAGAGGAAAGACTTCCAACCTAATTATTATCACTTCATCATAGAAAAATTCATCATGACCAAAAAACTGCGGGTGATTGAATTGCCCCCACTTTTAAAATTTTCTTTTTTTTTCTAAATTATTTAACTATTTTATTTTTTAGCAGCGAAAGTGGTTTATCAACCTCAACAAGGTAAAAGTGTGGCTCATGATGTTCAGTTTAGGATTCTTAGAATTGGTTTTCCTTGCCAAATGTACACTTTCATGTAATTCCTCTTAGCTCATCTTCAGAAATTAGACATTGGGTATTTGCTACAAAAAGTTGAAGTACATTGAAGAGCTTATGAGGCTACAAAACCAAGGTAATTTTTGCATTCATTTATAATGGGCATCATTAGGAAAATCATCATTTGCATCCATATACTTTGTCGAGATTGTGGGAACCAGATTTTAGCAAAACCCTAGGTCAAAAATTTCCTTCTCATTAAATCCCTAATTGATTTAAATCTTCTAAAATAAAAAAAATAATTCATTTCCTAACAAGGATTATTTTTTCTCCAAACCCTAACCTTACGAGGCTCTATAAATACGAGGCTAAACAAATCCATTCGCTCCCTCCTTTGCAACCACATTTGACGTATGCACCCGTGTGCTTATCCACACCTATCTTCCCGACCTGCACAGTCAAGTGGGCCCTAATTCACGGGTTGATCAACTCGCGCAGAGGGTCGACGAACAAAACAATCTAATTGGCCAACTACTCAGGCAAATCAACTTGAATCAAGGCCCTAACCTTGGAGCTCGTGACGAGGAGTGGAGGATCCGTAGCATATCGGTGAGCATTTTGAGAGATCTCAAACTAGTCGAATAGGGACAAATGTGCAGGGAAGAGAACGAGGTCGCACTGAAGGGATGCAGACATCGGCAAGCCGTACTTTGAGTCGGTCGACAATCTGTTTAAAGTTAGGTCCAAGGACCAATGTGCACAAGAGATTGGGCCCACAGTCCAATGTCCATGCTCGCTTGGGTCCGCAAAGAAGTATCAATTCTAGGCTGGGTGGGGCACCAATTCATGAATGACTGCATGACGAACACAACGATCGACGCTCGCCAACCCGCTGGAGAGCCAACTCACGACGACAACCCGCAGAGGAATCCTCGCAAGCTCAATCTGCTAATCTGCCCCACAGGCCGGTCAACCCAAGCAGTCGGCCTCTGCGAGTATACGAGGAAGTCAACCATCCTCGCTCGAATCACGAAGGTCGCCAACGTGAATAGCAAGCCATGCGCGCGGAAGATGTCGAAAGCTTGTAAACGGCCGACTTCGAAATTTAAAGATTGGCGGAAATTTCGAAGATGCTCTACACAGGGAGGTGGAACAACCAAACTTTGCACCTTTCACTGTCGAAATCGAGCAGGCTGCTTCCCTGAAGAGATTCTCTACAGGGCTGACAACGCGCTGATGTGCAAGGTGTTTGCAATGATCTTGCGAGGAGCAGCCCAAGACTGGTTCTACACCCTACCATCCGGGTCGATCAGCAGCTTCAAGGAGCTAGCTTACGTCTTCCCCAAAAAATACACTTCTTACATCAAGAAGAACCTTGACCACCTGTACCACATGTACAACCTTGACCGAATCGCATCATCTGGTTTCAAGAAAGGTCTTCCAGCTGAGCACGAATTGAACCGCGAGCTGACTATCACTCCCAGCCAGGCTCTAGTAGAGGCCTTCGCGACCGTGGAACGCTACGCGCTCTGGGATGACGATCGAATTGCAACGAAGAAGTCTACCAAGAAGGAAGATCAGCCAATCAAGTGGAGAAGCCAAAGAAGCAACAGGTTTAGCAACAGGAACAAGGACAAACGAAGAAGTCTACCCACAAGGAGACGCTACGCCAGAAGAGAACTACACCAAGTTCTCCATCCCCATGCATCAAATCTTGGCCCAAGTGAAGGACAAACCTTGGGTAAGAAAACTGCCGTCCTTGAAAGGAGACTTGGACAAGAGGGATACCATAAAATACTATGCCTTCCATGGGACACATAGGCACACCACAAATAACTGCTTTGACTGGAAAGCACACCTCGAAGAACTTGTGAGAGAAGGTCATAGGGATTAACATAATCCGGCGGATTGAGGATCGTGATACCGCTAAGGAGCCACCTAAGAAAGTCATAAGGATGAATAGAATCCTAGCCAACTTCGAGGAGTCAAGGCTGACCAGCAAAGAAAAGAAGAGGAAGATCAAACAGGCCACTGTGATATCTCAAATCTTGACTGGCCTTCCACCAGCAGAAGACGATCTCGTAATCGGCGACCAAAAGAAAGATCTGATCGGCCTCGATATACCATACAATGATGTCCTTGTGGTTCAAATTCATATTGCTCAGGCCATGGTCGACTGAATCCATGCAGACGAGGGCCCCGCAGCCAATATCCTGCAACTTGCAGTCATCCAGCAAATGGGCTTGGAGACAAAGATCAACAAATTAGCCAGGTCGCTAACTAGCTTTAATGGCGCAACAACGGTTACCGTGGGCATGATAGATCTAACATTCATGGTCATTGATGAAGTCTCACCTTACAATGACATTCTGGGCAGACCATGGATTGGCAAGATCAATGCCATCACCTTCGCCACACATCAGAAAATTCGCTACCCAATCCCTTGGGACGTGTTTGCCAAATCAACAGCGATTCGGCAATGGTAAGGAAATGCTTGGCTCAAGACTTGAAGAAAAGTAAGTAAACACAGTTCCTCCCTATGAATCAGGCCGACCTGAAGGGAGTAGAACTAGCAGATCTCAGCTACAGTTCCTCCCTAGAAAGAAAAGGGAATAGCTACCCCCTTATAACAACCAAAGCATCAAGACCAAGTGGAGGGAATCCGTCCGAAGGTCTCTCTTAAAGAAGGATGGAAACGGGAAGAGGACGTCATGCTAGTACCCTGATCCCAGACAGAAGAGAACGGATCAGCTCGCGCCTGATCCCAAACGAGAAGGTGGAGCTGACCACCTTCCTCAAGAACAATAACGACATGTTCGCGTGGTTGCCATGTGACATGCTCGACATCGACCCGAACATCATCTGCCACCAGCTCCATGTCAACCCTGCCAATAAGCTAGTGAAGCAGAAGTGACTCAACTTTGCTCTTGAGCGGGTCGCAATCATTAAATCCGAGATCAACAAGCTTCTAGCTGCCGGCTTCATTGAAGAGGTTTACTACTCGAAGTGTCTAGCCAACGTTGTTCTGGTGGCAAAGCAAGAAAAGGGCAAATGGCGAAATAAGAAAAGACAACTTCCCATTGCCTAAAATCAACCAGCTCGTAGATTCCACTTTTGGCAATCAGCTGCTTAGCTTCATAAACGCCTATTCCGGCTATAATCAAATCTTGAGATAAGAATGCAAAAACCTCTTTCATCATAGAGAGAGGAACCTACTGCTACAAGATCATGCCTTTTGGATTGAAGAACGCTGGAGCAGCGACCCTCAACCGATTCCTCACGAGATCTACCGACAAATGCAGACCATTCTTCTAAGCTTCGAAGAAAGGACAAAAAGACATGTGGGACGAGGAGTGCGAAGTAGCTTTCTAGAATCTACACATCACAAGCATTCCTCGATGCAGAGACTCGCTACCCGAAATTGGATAAGTTCATTTTGGCCCTTGTAGTTTCCGTGAGATAGTTGTGACCCTACTACCAAGCTCATCGAGTCATCTTCATGACCGACTTTCCTTTAAGATCAATCCTTAGGGACTTATGACCTGTTTTACCGGCCAAAAACTGCAATAAAAGCCCAAGCTTTAGCAGACTTTGCGTAGAATTCACCCCATTAGCCAAAGAAGAGAAGCTGGTCAACAAAAAGAAGGAAAGTTCAAGAGCAGACAGGACCTTCGTTGAGCCTGGCCAACCCAGAGACATGTGGCAGTTGCGCGTAGATGAAGCGTCGAACAAAAACGGAGCTGGAGCAGGCGTCATCATCGTCACCCTGGATGGAACCCCGCTAGAGCAAGCTATCACGTTTGGCTTCCAACCCTCAAACAACTAGGCAGAATACGAGGCGTTGCTCGCTGGCTTGTGCTTGGCAAAGAAGCTATCAATGAAGAAGCTGGCCATCTACTTAGATTCCCAAGTTATCACAAATCAAGCCTCAGGTGAATAGATGGCAAAGCACCCAATGATGATCTTGTACCTTGACAAAGTCCAAGAGCTGTTGAAGGCGTTTCCTACCTTCACCATCCAACAAGTCCCCCGAGCAGAGGACGCGCAAGCAGACTCATTGGCAAGCCTAGGATTAGCGCTGGATACTCAATTCAAACGCTAGATCCCAGTCGAACACCTTGATCGACCAAGCATAAAAAACATAGAGTTGATCGACACAATGCATATTGACGAGGACCCTAGCTGGTAAGACCACATCATCGACTACTTAATGAATGGAAATCTTCCAACGGATAAGTTCGAAGCTAGGAAGGCCCAGCAGAAGGCCACGAGATACTACATGCAAGGTAATAGGTTTATCCGTAAATCATACTCCAGCCCTCATCTCACCTGCATAAAGTACCCTTAAACACTTTAGGTTCTCTGCAAAATTCATGAAGGCTATAAACATAAGCTACTTCTGGCCTACCATGCGCCACGACTCTACTGAATATGTCAAGAAATGTGATCGACGCCAGCGATACAAACTAGATCCTAACTTGCCTGTCGAAGTCTACCATCCACAAAATAGTCCATGATCATTCATGCAATGGGCCATTGACCTAGTGGGTCCATTGCCACCAACGTCCGCCAAGAAAAACATGATGATCATCGCCACCAACTACTTCACTAAATGGATCGAGGTTGAAGCTCTATCTTCTACCAAAGAATCCTACGTGGAGCGATTTATTTGGAGAAACATCAGCTGTAGGTTTGGCTGCCCACAGTCGCTGGTTATTGACAATGGCTCACAATTCATTGGCAAGTGGATCACTGCCTTCTTTGTAAAATAAAATAACAAGCAACATATGTCCACCTCGAGGTATCCACAAGGCAATGGACAAGTTGAGGCATTCAACAAAGTTATATTAGATTGCCTAAAGAAGAGGTTAGAAGACGCCAAAGGGAAATGGGTAGATGAGCTCCCCGGAGTACTATGAGCTTATTGCAAATCGACTCGCGAAACCCCGTTCTCCCTTGCCTATGGGACAGAAGCCATCATCCCTCCTCATGTCATTGTCCCCTCCATAAGCCTTTAGGTGGGTAGTGTTGATCAGAACTCCAAGCAGATGAGCCTCAACCTTGACTTACTTGAGGGTGATCGCGATAAGGCTATTATCCAAGTCGCCTCCTATCAGCAACAGTTCAACCAAGAAATCTCGTGCTAAGAAAGACTTTCATCACTGCACCAGGACAAGGGTCAAAGAAGATGAATCTTAACTGGGAGGGTCCTTATGTGATTAGCTAGTCCGGGAGTAGAGGAAGCTATACACTGGAATGCTTACCATGGATGGAAAGGAAATTCCACGACAATGGAATGCTTACCATCTCCGAAAATATTATCTGTAACGCTTCCCTTATCTGCTTAGTCCCGAGCAGATGACTGAGCCTAGCACATATCTGAAGAAGAGAAACAACTGCTAGAAGTTCCAGGTTCTTTATTCAGTTATTTTCATTTCGAATAAAGCATAAGCGTTCTCAAGGAGACGCAAGGTGCGCCAAGAATTTCCTGAGGGCGGTCTCCATGCTTCCTAAGGGGGGTATCCAAGTCCCTATCCGTTTCCTAAGGGAAACAGGATACAGTTGCCTATAAGGAGCGTCCTAAGGGAGACGCAGGTTGACAACCAGAAGCATCCTACACAAGACGTAGCCCGCAAAGAAACATCCTCAGGGAGACATAGGGTGCACCAGGAATTTCCTCAGGGAGGTCTCCATGCTTCCTAAAGGAGGTATCCAGGTTCCTATCCACTTCCTAAGGGGAGCATGTTAGTCGTGCAGTTGCCCATAAGCAATGTCCTTCGGGAGACGTAGGGCGGCGACCAAAGCATCCTACGGGAGATGCAGAACATGCCCGGAGTCCTTTAAGGGGAACCTTGGAACTTGTCGACTTCCTAAAGGAAAGCATTCTAATGGAGATGCAGAACATGCACGGTGTCCCTTAAGGGGAACCTGACACTTGTCAATTTCCTAAGCGAAAACATGTTACGAGATATGCAAAACATGCTCGGAGTCCTTCAAAGGGGACCCTGACACTTTTTAATTTCCTAAGTGAAAACATCCTACGGGATATGCAAAACATGCTCGGAGTCCCTCAAGAGGGACCTTGGCACTTATAAATTTCCTAAGGGAGATACATGATCAAGATACTGGCAATTCACAAGTTAATATGCAAATTGAAGTTGAAAAAATAACTGAAATTTCTATAGCAAGCTGACCAATCGGCCGAGTTCAACAAAAGGAAGATTTGTCAAACAAGACTATTAATTCTAAACAAGAAAGAAAACTACAAAAGCTGAAAAGGAAATAAAGAAGTCTTCATCTACTCCGAGACTCTGGCATGAGACCCCAGACCTACAGCCTCTTCGGCATCCACTTGATTAGCCACGCCTTCAACAGCTCCACATGCCTACTCCGCGACATCTGCCACCATCTTATCAGTTGTGTCCTCCTCTGCTCCATCCTCTTCAGCTACCGCCTCTTCGGCCGCCTACTCTTCAGTTGTTTCCATGTTCAGAGCATTAACCTGCTCACCTTGCACAGGGAACAAGTCAGGGCAGAGCGTCTCGATGTCTCCGTCTTCAATTGCATAAAAGGGAGCAGTCTCATCTGCACAGTGCATATAACCCAACTTGTATGCATCTATGATGGCTTCAGACTTATATTTTTCAGCAGACTTGTGGTGGACACGAAGTCTAGCCAGGAGTTTGTCATAGCTGAGGGAAATGTCAGCATTCTCGCGCTAAAGACGGAAGTAGGCATCTTTTCGACTAGCCAAGTCAACAATGGAGCTTTTCAGCTTAGATATCATCGCCCTCAAATCATACGTCTTCTTCTCATAACGGGTCTGCTCATTGAGTTGAGAAGAAGATGGGGCAACAACAGACGAGTTCCAGATAGTCTCAGCAACAAAAACTAATCCTTTTGAAGCAGATGAAATGTCGATTCCCTTTCTTTTTCCAAGAAAAGACTCGAGAAGGTGCCAAGATCACTGGCCTAACGAATATGATTAACCAGCTTATCAAAGTGGATGGGCTTGACAGAAAGTTTGTCTTGAGCAAATCAGACACGCATGCATCCCCTACAATGCTGGACTTGTCCACCTTGGGATCAACTGCTAACTGTGAAGAAGAACCCTTCGTCCGGGCAGATGACTTTCTCATCTTCTTAGCCTCCACCAACCTCACCTCCAAAGGAGTCAATGATGCTGAATCAACTCCACTCTTGACTTCCTGTGACTCAACAGCTGGATCGTAAGTAGACCTCCCAGTTCGATTTCCATCCTTTGATTGATGCAGATGACCCGCACTTAGAAGACGAATATATGCATCTCTTTGCCTCTCAGTAGGTGAGCTAGATTGGGCACAGGCTATTTCAAGAAGCATATCATGGTTTGCAAGCTTGTCAATAAGAGGCTTGGGTAGAATATCCCGAGCATTACGCATATCACCAACATTCCTGCTATCTGCACCAACGAGATGTTTAACCCTAGTAGAAGAAAAGGGAACAACTCCCACTTGAGTCTTCTTAGCAAAAGGGAACAGCTCCTGCTCGCGAAGAAGCAGCTTCATATCTTGAAGACTTGACAACAACCTTCCTTTTTTAGGGGGATTCAACATAACACTCTTTTTGTCCGATAAGCAAATCATCAAGGTCAGGACCATTTTGTTTCCATCTCTCAACATCCTGGGCAAGGGAAACCCACCGACTTCCTCCCGATACTCGCTCAACAGCCAGCGCCACTGGTGAAACTTCGGAGAGATATTCAGAGCTCGGCCAACCTTAGCCATGTCTGGCCCAAGTTCCAATTTCTTGCAGATGTTGCTCGCTACAAGCAGAAAACAGAAGTTAATCAGCCACATTTCAAGAAATTAAAATGAAAAAGGAGCAGATCAAAACTACAAAATGACATACCGTTGCAATAGGAGATGGGAACCAGTGGACCATCATCAACATCGCCTTCCCACCATTTGTTGACTTCCAGTACGTCGTCGTGCCATACGTGGTCTCCTTGACTGGAACTGTCAAACAACTTAGCATGATAGATGCAAACTTGACAGTACTTCTCAAAGCGCCTCACTTTGAAAAAGTAAAAGAACTCTTGCACTGTCAACTCCAGCTTAAAGAAACGGCTCAGATTCTTAAAACACATGATCGCCCGGTAGACTTTCAGAGTACACTGACTTGGAGCACACCACATGGCGCTGAACACCTTTTGAAAAAACTTTGGCAATGGGAAGGTGAAGCCTAGGGAAAAATCAAAGGGATGAAATGTGATGATCCTAGCTTCTGGATCATTTGCATCCACACAGGGCCGATCGTCAGTTAGAGGCTTCGCCAGCTTGACATGCACGTCATCAGGAATGACAGAAGCATAAGTGGCCCACCACTTTTGGAACTGAGCCTCAATCGTAATGCGATGCAGATTAGCCATGAACCTCTTCTTGTACACTTGGGAGGCTCCCTACAGATACAAGGCACTTGAGAGTTTGGTGACTTGTTACCATTTTCGGAAGACATGATTAACATCTGCAAAGGAAAATTTTTTGCTAGTTAGAATATTAAAAAAAGGATGGTGGAAGAAAAAAAAACAGCAAAAAAAAAGTAAGAGGCCCAAACTGCAGGAGAAGCCCAACGTGTCTCCTAGCTCGAGCCCAGCTTGTGTCCGGCCAGGTCCAAGCTCCCTCTAGCCCAACACACATCTAGTATGTGGCTTGCTGTGCACGTGGCCCACAACGTGCACCTGTTCAACTTGGCCCAATGCACACCAGTCCCAACGAAAGGCACGCCTCTTGGCCCAACTCTCGCACATGAGGCCTAGCGCGTCATCAGCTCCAGCACCTCATTCGAGCCCCGCGCACGCAAGCCTGAGCTTGCCAGCTCTTCCAGGCCTCCAGCCATGCTCCAGGCCATAAACGCACACCTCCAACCACAACCCATGCAGAAGCTATGGGGCATTTGTGGGAACCGAATTTTAGCAAAAGCCGTGGTCAAATATTTCCTTCCTTTTGGGGATTCTTGCCTTGAATTAGGGATTTGATTCTCATTAAATCCCAAATTGATTTAAATCTCCTAAAATTAGAAAAATAATTCCTTTCCCAACAAGGATTATTTATCTCCAAACCCTAACCCTACGAGTCTCTATAAATACGAGGCTATGCAAAGCATGAGGTAAGCCATTCTAAGTTGTCAAAACTCTACGAAAATACCCTCCTTGCTGCCTCCTCTCTCTCTTTCTCCTTTACATAAGGCTCCGGCCACCCGGATCACACCATACATATATCTCCATACCCTTTTTAGCTATTGTTTCTCTACGAATCAATTGAACTTAGGCATCGGAGGCCTTTGACCAACACCTCAAGAGTGTGGTCCTCTTATTCTGATTTATTTTGCAGGGAGAAAGAGACGACGAAGAGGAAAACTGAATCTAGACAAATATTCCCATGGGACGAAAATCGCTCCCACAGAGATGACTAGTCATATAGGTCAAATCAGCATTCACTACTACATTTTACAATTTGCATGACGAAGAGAATTTCGTCGTGCAAGGTACATTTTAGTCGCACAAATTTCAGCGCGACAGAAACTTCGTCGCGCAGAATCCGTCGCGCAAATATCGTGAAGAAAGACTTTGCGCGACGAAAAAATATTGGTCGCACAAAGTTTTGCGTGATGAAAAACATTAGTCGCGCAAAGTCTTAGAAAAAATTATAAAAAATGAAAAATTTCCCGCTTCCCATTTTTGGTACCCGCCCAAATTTTTAGAGTTTTGCGCGGCGAATATTAATTTGTTCTTCTTATTTCTTTAATATTTCTTTAATTATATTAACTTATTCAAATTTTTACTTTTTCAATTTAATTTAATTGTATGATTTTTTTAATTACTTTAATTTAAATTGATATTAATTTTTTCAAATTTTTACTTTTTAAATTTAATTTCATTGCATGATTTTTTTTATAATTACTTTAATTTAAATTGACATATTCAAAATATAATTGCATATGAAAAATAGTGATCAAATTATCCAATAAATAAATATATATATATAATATTCAAAATATACACATAAATCCTAATACAAGCCTATTGTTTTGGTAGTGCCGGATGATATGTTTTGATAGCTTCCTAATCCTCATAAGATTTTGTGGTATCCACTAGTGTAAATATTTTAACCATCGAAAAGTTTTGTCCCGTTACTAGATCTCTGAATGTTTGTTTTTTGGCGATTTTTGGGGTATACGATCTTAAAGTATATACAAACAAATTTAACGATTGGATCGTTGAATGGTGTGTGTATATATATATATATATTTATTTATTAAGTAGCTTTAAATTTATTTATTTTGTACGTATAACACTTAAGAAATTGAATAGTATATATATTTATTAAGTAGCTTTAACCTTATTTATATTTTAAATCGTAAAATAAAATTATTTTCTTTTTTATTATTCATAACAATTATTTTTATAAATATTGTGCTACGAACCAATTTTTCATCTCTCAAAAGTTTGCGCGACCAATAATTCGTCGTGCAAAACTCTAAAAATTTGGGTGGGTACAAAAATGGGATGCGAGATTTAAAATTTTTTTAAAAAAATTTTGGACTTTGCGCGACCAATATTTTTTGTCTCTCAAAACTTTGCGTGACCAATATATAATTTTCGTCGTGCAAAAATTTGGGCGAGTACCAAAAATGGGACGTGGGAATTTTTTATATAATTTTTTTAGACTTTGCGCGACCAATATGTATTTTTCGTCGCGCAAAAATTTAAAATTTTGGGCGGGTAACAAAATTGAGACGTGGGAATTTTTTATTTATAATTTTTTTTAGACTTGGTGCAACCAAAATTCCAATATTTTTCGTCGCGCAAAGTGATACGGTTTTTAAAACCAAAATAACGCCTCCACCATTTTCTCAATATCTTTCTCTATTCTTACCTCTCCTCTCTCTTTCCCTCTCCCCAAATCCCACCCTTTCTCTCACACTCACTCCTCTCACTTAATCTCTCATCTCTCTCTTCACTATCTCTCACTCTCACTCACTCTCTCATCTCTCTCTCACTATCTTCTCTAATTCTCTCTCACTGTCTTCTCTAATTCTCTCACACTCACTTCTCCCTCTCATTCTCACTCACTCTCAATCTTGCCAAAATGTATATTCTCTCCAAATTTTAATTTTTTTTCATTAATATGTGTTTTTCGAGTTAGTTTTGAGTTTGTGTGGGGTTTGGGGTTGAGTGTAGGGTAAGGATTGGAGTTTGGGTTGGATTTGTGGTATAACAATTTGAGGGGAGATTATGCCAATTTTTATTTATTTAATTTTTTTGTTATTTGACCATATTTGTTTTTTTTGTAGGGAATCATCGAGACTTTGACGACTAAAGTTATGTTATATTTAACGAAAGTATAAATAAACTCTTAATTGTTAGTGAATAAATTGTTTTGATGGCATACGCATTCTACGAAACTAGTTTCAATGATCCAACCGTCAAACTTGTTTGTTTATACTTCGAGATCATATACGCCAAAAATCGGAAAAAATAAACATTCAGAGATCAAGTAATTGGACAAAACTTTTTGACAGTTATAAATGAAAAATCATGATTTAACGGTTATGTTAACTCCGATTTTGATGATTTTTTTATAGCTACACTCTTTGACCCTATATGAATACAATGAACTAATTCAATCATCAATTTAAAATATATATTTTCTAACAAAAGCCCAATCTGAACTACAATAATATATTTTTCTAACAAAAATCCGATGTGAACTAAAATAATAAATTTAAAGCTACTTAATGCATACAAAAACAAAAACAAAAAAAAACTGGTTTAGGTGACGAAATATTTGGATTACATCATGTAAAGATTAAAAAAAAAATTTATTTTATTTATTTTTGTAAAAACTTTGCGCGACGAAAAACACTTCGTCACTAAAGACTTTGTGCAACGAAGTATTGTCGTCATGCAAAAGTTTGTCGCGCAAAGTCACTTTGGGTGACGAATTTTTTTTCGTCGCTTAAAGTTTGGTCGCGCAAGGGTTTTTTTTTACTAGTGATTAACAATACTTTGTCGAGATGACTAGTCATATAACCCAATATTTCCAACACGGTATTTTTATGACTAGTCATATAAGCCAATATTTCCAGCACATAATTTTTAACCAAGGCATGTGATTTTGCTTATTATAAGTCCAATCATTGGCTACCAAGTGTCCTTTTGACCTACCAAAAAGACTGGGGCTGGTCTGGAGAGAGGGGGAGAGAGAGAGAGAGAGAGAGTGGTCTCCTTCTTCTTCTTTGCATTTGCAGCTTGGTATGGTTTGAGTTTTCAAATAGCTTTTGAAATATGCTTTTATTTTCGAAATCTACTTCACCTATTGAGAAATTTTGAGAGTAAAACTTATACTCTGCATTCTCTAAGGTTTTTCATTGAGAGATTTTGAAAATGCTTTTTTAAAATCTACTGTGCTTTTTATAACCTGCATTTGGGTTCAGTTATGACTAGTCATCTTCTTTTGTCTGCATCTGGATTCATTATGACTAGTCATCGTCTTTAGTCTAGATCATATTTTTGGTTGATTTCTTCAAGAGTATGGTTTCTTAAAGGAATTGACCCTTTCAACTCAAAATTTGTATTTCATTATGTTTGTTCGATCTGGAGATGAGTCGCTGGTGCCATGGAGTGAAGGAGCTGATGGACTAGCTGCCATTGCCTTGAAGAACTAAGCTGCTAGCTTTGCTAAGTTGGAGAATAAGATTGCACAAATGAGGTATAGCTTATCTTCCTAAATAGATCTAGGATTTTTTGAGCTTGCTTGTGTTTCTTTGTAAGAGTCTTCTTTGCTTAGTGGCTTGCCTGGTCGGTTGATGACCCCTAGTTTTTCCCAGTGGTGGGTTTCTGGGTGAACGATTTCTGAATTGCAGATTTGTTATTTTCTGGGTTAACAGTTGACTAGTCATCGCATGATGTTCATGCATTTCCGGGTTTGTGTTCTTGCGGTTAATTAGTCATCATTATCTGCTATTTGCTGTTTATTTGATTATGATGTTTTCACACACTTTCACTATAGTTGTTGCTAGCACAAGGGATGCCTAGATTGACGGGTCTCTCTGAGTGCCTAGGTTGTCACTAGTAATCTTCTAGGCTTGCATGTGTAGATTATTGTGCTCTGTGTATGTGTGTGTTCTTGGTTATGGTTTTTCATGACTAAGCAGTTGACTAGTCATATTTATACTTAGTCAAGTTTTAAAGTGCGTGAATATTGTTGTGTCTGTTTGAATGGCATTTAAAGTTACCCTTGTTTATGCCTAATAAATCACGGTCATAAACTGATTGAAGGGACTTCCTTTTGGCCCTGGCGCCTACCGTTTCGTCAAGCATTTCGCCTTCCTGAGAACAAAAGAAAAGCTGCGAAGGCAGAATCCTCTCGGCCTCGCGACCGCAGTATTGAAGGCCGAAGCCAAAGGCTGTAACAGACACGGCCGAAGAAGCTGTGGTTAAATCGCCACGTGGCCTCAGGGTCCCACGCCCCATTTAATGAAGTAATGCCTCTGACTTTTGCAGAAAACCCACTAGTCGCAAGAAGCATTTAATGCACAAGGGAAGACGGGAAGTGACTGAAGTCAGGATTTGGTGATAGAAATCAGGGTGGTTAGGCGCAGACATTCTCACAAGTAATCTTACGACTTGAGATCAGATCACCAACCAACAGACCAGGGCATTAAATGCGTTCCCACGGCCAAGGGGGCAGAATCCACGATCAGGGTGGTGGCCGATTTGACTACCCACTTGCCCCGGTCAGGCTCCACCACGCAGGTCTTGTCAGCCTCGATTGTCCCTCCAGGACTCCTCCTATAAATACTAAGCTCATGACTACATTCAAAGGGTTCAAACACCAAACCAAAAGCCTCCCACGGAGCAAATTATATTTTCCTGTAATGCACTTTCAATACCTTTATTTGCTTTCTTAGGAGTAGTGGTACATTGTAAGGAAAATCCATTCATCAATATATCATACGAACCTTGATATTCAAGGCGCCGGAGCACCATCTTTGTTATCGTCTCATTCACCCCATATATCATACGACCGTCGCTCTCTGAGCAACGCGCCGGAGCACCGCCTAAAACCTGCCACCAACACTACCATTAAACGGCCTTGTAGCTCAGGCCGTGAACCTGACGGCCGAGATCAGTTCCTCTCTCGGCCACAATCGTTTGATCAAGAGTCGAACGCGAAACAGGCACAACATTTAACCATCTTCTACCCGAACCTCATCATCATCTTGATGCACGGCAGACCGTGCTGGCACGCCCGCGCACAACCGCACCGCATCCAAAAGAAGGACGTCACGTGTTAACGCACATCCCCTCGGCCCGGAGCACCTAGCCGCGAGATTTGCGCAGAGACAACAACCCCTTATCACCTAAGTACCAATTTCACATGCCTTGGCTCAATTTGGGCTGCAGGAAAGCAACCAATTTTTATGGGAAGGGGTGGGTCCGATATGGATTCAATTTTTACTAGAAAATGGCATAAATAGGGGACAGTTTTTTCTGTATTGTGGCATTGTGTCTTTTTCCTTGACTGAATTTCCTCCACTGGGGATTTTTATAGCAAGGTTTTAACGATGCCACTTTATAGCACCTAGAGAAATGAAAGTTAAACTGCCCCTTGCGTTAGCATTAATTTGTTGACTTCATCATTGAGCAATTGCTGGACTGAATTTGTCTACATTGATGTTATAGTGCACGATCTTCATAGAAAAGTTTTCCAAATCCACATCTTTGGAAAAGCTTCAATTTCATTTCATCAAATGTACTATGTGCTCAATTAATGATTAAAATCATTGTATTACATACAGAAAACTACAAACATTATGAATGCAGAGAATCCAAATAAAGAAAAACATGAAACATTCGAACACCTTTATTTGCATTAATTAGCATAACTACAAGTACAACTAAAAAGACACAGCAAGGTTTCGTGGAAGGAGAAGGAAGGAAAAACAAGAAAACAACTCCAAATGCATGACCAAACTATACTTCTGCATCTCCGACTCTACCCACAGGACAACTCCAAAGATAGAGCACGGTTACATGGAAGGAAAAGGAAGAAAAAACAAGAAAACAACTTCAAATGCATGACCTTATAACAAACCATACTTCTACATCCCCCACTCTACCCTTTCCCTATCATTAGCCTCACCATTCCAACGATCTTAAGAAACAACTCCGGCCTTCTTGTGATTGTCACATCCGCGAGAACAACTCCCACTACAAACCCACTTCCAATTCCGGCCAAGACAAATCCCAAATTAAATTCAAGCGTTTGAGCTTAGCCTGAATCATTGTCTTCTTCAGTTGAAGGTGGCGGTTGAGGGGCCTCTTGATTTCCGCATTTTGGTAATGGATCTCCACACAATCCTGGGTTTCCCTCATATGAAGTGCTATTCAATGAAGTAAGCTGGGTACCTTGCGGTATAGGACCTGTGAGATTGTTGTGAGACACATCAAAATTCTCAAGGAATGTAAGCCTCGTCAGTTGTTGGGGGATCTGTCCTGAGAGCTTGTTGTGTGAAAGGTCTAACGATTCAAGATTCCTTAAGTTCCCCAAGGATGATGGAATTGAACCATTGAGAATGTTGCTGGAAATATTGAGTGAGTGAATCTGCTTAAGGTTACCAATGAATTCCGGAATCGTACCTTCAAATTTGTTGCTTGAGATATCAATCGCTGCAAAGCCTTCTTGAATCTTCGAATAGAACAAATCCAAACCTTTAATTGCTAATGTGATTGAATAAGCAACACTCCGTCCAATAGCAAAACCATGGAGGTCATAGGATACTTGTGCATACATGTATGTTGACTTGTTTACAGTAATATCAGGAAACAAAGGTGGAATCTCACCTTTGAAACGGTTGTAAGACAAATCAAGAATGCGTAAACTGGGGAAGTCAATATTTCTTCTGGACTGTCCTATTACACCATAAAACTCATTATGGTGCATTGCCAGAAGTTTTAACTCTGGAAGAGTCCCCAACCAAATGGGAAAAACATCATTGAATTCATTGTTTGACAAAACAAGATACTCGAGCATCACACAATTCGCCAATGACCTCGGTAATTGTCCCTGCAATTGGTTATGACTAACATCAATCATCCTCAAACTGCTTCTGTTGTTGTATGATTGAGGCATCATGCCATGAAAAGAGTTGCTTCCAAGAAGTAAAAGGATCAGATCATCACTAAAGTTTCCAAGACACTGCGGAAGCATGCCACTCAAGTTATTTCTTGACAAGTCAAGGTACTGAAGAGAACTCATATTGCAAAGATATGGTGAAATTTCTCCAGTAAAGTTGTTGTTGTAAGCTCCATATTCTAGCATGGATGGTGGAGGGATCGGTAAAGCTCCATGAAAGTGTTGAACGAAAGCCTCAAGCATAGTAGGTTAACCCAGGGTAGGACAGCTGGAAGTTCGCCCGAAAAGTAGTTTCCAGAAATGTCCATCAATATTAGAGTTTCCTTGCTTATGTTCCACATCCAGTTTGGTATTTCGCCATGGATTTTGTTTTGTGCTAGATCCAACCGCTTCAAGTTTGTCTGATTTTTTAGGAAATATGGGAACTCTTTTAAATTGCATGAACTCAAGCCCATAGTGATGAACTGTCGAAGAGTTGAATTCATGCTATTGGATCCAGTAACAAATTCCAAATTGTTCCAATTCAATTGGAGCTCGTTGAGATTTTGTGCCCTCTGAAACATTTGAAACTCCACTACACCACTCAAGTTATTTGACTGTAGATAAAGGATCTCAAGATTGATGAGATTGGAAAATGAGGCCGGAATTGAACCAGTCAAATGATTATAAGCAAAGTCTAGGTAAACTAGTTTGCTAAAGTTACCTAGCCAAGATGGAATTGGACCAGTTAAAGAACTCGTACTAACTCTAAACACAATCAATTGGGTAAGGTTTGCCAAGGAATCAGGAATAGGACCTCCAAATTTACTGGCTGAAATGTCTAGGTAAGTGAGTTGTCTAAGATTGCCAAGTGCAGAGGAACCAACGAGTTTGAAAAATTGCATTGAGCCACATCCAACTCTTGCAATGAATTAAGCTTTTCAATCGAAGAAGGTATTGTTCCGAAAAACATAGTAAACCCAACTCTCAGTGAGATGAGAGGACTACTTCGATTAAATTCGGGCAAATATCGAGTGAGATCTTGGTTGTGGTTCACTTTAAGAACTTTTAAGTTCTGTAGATTGAAAATTCTCATTGGGAATTTGCCAAACAAATCACAATCCGTGAATTTAAGAGATGTCAAAAATGATAAATTTGTCAAGGAAACAGGAAAGATCGAAGATATGTTAATGAAACTAAGCGAAAGAGTTTCTAGACTAGTTAAATTTTGAACTAGACTTCTCATATCGGATGGTTGAAGTTTCAACAGTCCCTGAGGATCATCAGAAGATGTTTCAATTTCAAGATTGCAACAAAGATTAAGGGATGTCAACTTGGACAACTGCGAAACTTCAGATGGGACTTGACCAGAAAAGACAGAGGTAGAGAGGTCAAGATGAGTGAGGCTTGGAAAATTTCTTATGCTAGATGGAATTTGAGAGTAATTGAAGTTATTGTCAGAGAGGTTTAACCTTTGAAGATGCACCAGGCTGAACAGGCTACTATTGGAGTCCAAAGAGCCGTAGAGATAACTGCTACTAAGATTATGGCCAATAACATGACCCGTCATCTCGTCACACTCCACGCCGTCCCACAAGCAACAACTGCTATTTCCTCCTGCAACTGGTTTCCATGATGAAACCTTTGCATAAGCACCGTCATAACTTGAAGCAGATTTGTCAATAATAAAGCTCTCCTTGAACTGCAGCAAAGCAGAGCTCTCCTCGGCATGGCAAGGTAGCTGCTGCAAAGAGTCTACAAAGTTTGCAACCGCAAGATGAAACAACAACATAACTAATAGTTTCGAGAGCATGGGAATTGACAGGTGAATCCCCATAATGTTTTGATATTTTTTGTTTTCACTCTTTGCTTAAGAATCATCTATGAAAGTTAAATCTAGAGAGCTATCTATTTATAGATTGGCATGATGAAATGGTTGAGCAATAACGTACACGTGTCAAGTAACAATTTAATATTATTTAACATTTTGATCAATATAGAAGTGATGGGATAATACACGTGTCAAGTATCTATTTATGGACTGGCTTGAGGTGACTAAAGTCAAGTCATCATCCAATTACCTAATAGTTAAGTCATGAGAGAACGGAAGGGACTTGGAATAAATTTCAAACAAGATGGGAATGGGAAACTTCAAGTGGACTATGAAATTTGTATGTACTTGCATTGCCAGAACATATATATGCAGACTTCATTTGGCTCGAAGTCAAGTCATCATCCAATTACCTAATAGTCATACGTTAAGAGATAAGTACCGCACTTAATCATATGTCTCCGCTAGGCCATGCCATCTGAGCTTTGGTCTTTGCTAATCACTCTGGATGCCACCTGCCCCTCTGTCTAAGTCAAGACATATGTACGGACCGAGTATGGAGTCTGCTGAGGGCAATTAGAACCATTAGGGTTTCGGTGGTTCGGATGATGATGAGTCTCCCTAACTCTAGTCTTTGTTGGTCGCAGTGATCTTGTGCGCTTGTACTTGGTTTTGGTTTGTGTGTCCTTTTGCATGCTTTGTGATAAAAATTGATTTTCCAAGCTGTCAAATTAATCATGGCTACATAAAAAGAAAAAATAAAATCAATTAATAAAAAAGGGTTGGTCTTTAATTGATCAAGCATTTTTTGGGTTGTGCGCATTTTCCCCAGATCAATTCAACTTCTTGTTGCGTTTAGTCATTGGAGAAGTTGTATTTATATTCGGCACCTTTGCTTTGTACTTGTTTTTATTTGTTTTATCTTATTAATAAAATACTGTCGCTTTTTGATGTAATTAATATTAAGGTTTAATGACATATGTTAAATTAGTGATGTGACAAGTAGAAGAGCGGTCTCTGCTCTGTATATCTTTAACTTGGATTCAGCATGGATGATGCAGCACCACCCAGCCCTTAGCATTTGGAGCGTTCGTTATTGAGCCAGTGCAAGATTTTAATATTCAGTTTATAAACAGTTCTTAGTTAAGCATTGTCCTTGTATTTCCAATGTTTTAAAATATTCTTTTCGAGGCGTAGTGTTTTCACACTGCAAATGACTGAAGTCAAGAACTCACAATCAAGAAAATTACATATATGCAATTTTTGATATTTCAATTAAAAAGACCAAGAAACATCCAAGTCAATTTGCTAAATCACTCTAGCTGCTACCTGCCCCTCTGTTCAAGTCAAGCACATATGTACGGACCGATAAAGACATGCAACCAAATAATCATCACAGAATTTTTCATATGAACCCCTCATTCTCCTTTCTCCTTTATTAGTCGGATCAATATTTCAACTATCTTAATAAACAACTCTTTTGGTTAATTTCAATAAGTACCCTGAACTTTCACCCTTAAAGCATATTTGTCTATACACTCTCAATTTTAACAATCATGTACCCTAATCTTTTTTACTTTTTGCAATCTGGTTTCGGACCTCAAAATTTCCCTTAATTGTCTATGTGGCAGGCATGGGTCCCACCTTTTCATTACTTTCGATGTGAGTTGAAGGGTATTTTCAATCAATTGGTGTCTTTCGCAAGTTCTTTTGTTAAAAAAACTATGATACATTTTTTGCAAGTTTGGTCGGGAAGGCACCAATTGTGCAATAATACTCTTCAACTAATATCAAAAGAAGCAATTAGGTGGGACCCACGCCTGCCACGTATGCAATTAACGGAAATTTTGATGGCCGAAACCAGATTGCAAAAAATAAAAAATATTAGGGTACATGATTGTTAAAATTGAGAGTGCATTGACAAACATGCCTTAAGGGTGAGAGTTTAGGGTACAAAAGTGAAATTAACCCTAATATTTTTCTATGAAAGTTAAAGCTTGACAGCTGTCTATTTATGGACTGCCATGATCAAATGGTGAGCAATAACATCACATGATTGATAGAAAAAACAGATGTGGACGCTATTAAATTTTAGAGAGATAGGTTAATGGTCCACCACTAACAACACCCATATTGTGAAATTGGTACTGAGGTGACGATGGGTAAATTATAAGCTACTCAAACAGACACAACAATCTTCACATACTTTAAACCTTGACCAAATATACTTATGACTATCAACTGCTAGTCATGCAAAACCATAATCAAGAACACACACATAAAGCATACCTAATGAAAAGCCTCTTGTAACAAGTACCATAACTTACATAGTCGTCTCAGAAGATTAGGTTATGATTTGTGTAGTCTTTAATGTTTTCCATAAATCTTAATGGATTTTTAGCCATCTAAATTCATAACTAGAAATAGAGTGAGTTCTTAGTCATCTAAATCCATAACAAATAACAAATTAATATTATTTGACATTTTGATCAATATAAAAATGATGGGATAATACACGTGTCAAGTATCTATTTATGGCATGAGGTGACTAAAGTTAACAACTCACGAACTGATTAATAAATAAAAGTAAATGCAAAGAAATAATCATCACAGAAAATTCTATCCATGCAATTAAGTACCAGCGAAAATTCTATCCTTGCTATTAAGTACTGAAAAACGGTTCCCTGCCAATTACATATGATTAATTCGATGTCTGATATTTTCAATTAGAAAGACCACGAAACTTCAAGTCTATTTGCCATTAAATTTGATGTTTGTTAATTGGTGATGTGGCAAGCAGAAGAGCGGTCTCTCCTCTGTATATCTTCAACTTGGATTCAGCATGGAGATGCAGCACCACCAAGCCCATAGCATTTGGAGCGTTCGTTATTGAGCCAGTGCAAGATTTTAATATTCAGTTTATAAACAGTTCTTACTTGAGCATTGCCCTTGTATTTCCAATGTTATAAATATTATTTTCTTTGCCCTCTTAAGCTAAATAACCATCTATGGAAGTGAAAGAGCTATCTATTTATGGACTGGCATGATCAAATAGCATTGCATATATACTTATACATAGTAAATAACTATTTAAATACTTGTACTGAATTTTTCATATGTATCCCAGATACCCCAAAGATGAAAAATTCTGTGATGATTATTTGGTTGCATGTCTTTTTCGGTCCATACATATGTGTTTGACTTGAACAAAGGGGTAGGTAGCATCCAGAGTGATTAGCAAATTGACTTGGAGTTTCTTGGTCTTCATAAGTTGTTGAGAAAGGATTTGAAATATGAATTTGTGGAATATGGGAAATTTTATGATAAGTTTCGGAATATGGTTTTCAAACCCTCCACAGAAGTACCCCACAGTTGTCTTGAAACAGTTTTGTCATATTATAATAATGTCCCATGAATTTTGAGGATGCCTGAACCATGCGGTGCAAGGATATGCGTTCTCGGGCGAACTACATGTCCCCCAAGTTCTGCGAGGAATGCAGCTCAGGCTGACTAATGGTCCCTTAAGGCCTGCGAGGAATGCGGCTTGAATTGATTTTGTGTTACCAAGGCCTGCGAGGATATGTCATATTATGTGACACAAGGAATTGACGGTATATTGTGGGAATTAAATAGAAAATCATGGAATTTACGGAATATAAATGGGGGTACGCCTAGGTGGAGAATAATTAGGTTTTAAGAGGTTCAAACTAAAATTGAGGATTTTATCTTGGGTATTTTTATTTTTTTTTTAATTTATACCTTTTTTTTTTTTTTTTTTTTTTTTTTTTTTTTTTTTTTTTGGGATGGGATCAAGGGGAATGAATGGTTTTGTTCTTCATTTGCGTACATGAGCTTTATGTGAGTTTGAAGGAAGAATTAAAAGTACTTTACGTGTTTGTTTGTTTTTACATATGATTTATGCAGGTAAAACATAAATTGGTTCATGGATTTGAGGAAATTCTTTGAGTAGCCTACTTACGTGCAAATATAATAAATGAAAAAAACTACGTGTGGCTTGATCTCTGGTTAAGGGTACGTTGGCAACCTAGAGTTACTAAGTGCAGCCGCGAGACCAAGGGATTGAAAAGCTGTTCAGTCAAGTTATTTTGGAATCTATTATTGTACTAATATTGTTCTAAAAATTGAGGTCAAATTCAGTTGGCAGAACGATTTTTTTGATTTAAAGAGGCCTGAGGCCAAAATGATGTGATGTTAGGTTGCATGAACTCTATTATTGTGCATGTTGAACGTTTGGGATTATAAAATCATGTTTTATACAAGTAAAAATTTTGGGAAACAAGCGAATTACAGGGGAGACTGTCAACTTTTCAGTAGAAGTCAAACTTGAAGAAAAAGAATTTTGAAAACTTAGAAGGGTGTTTTGGTCAAGAATACTCGACACCTGCCAGGTGTCGGATAGACATAGGGTTCGGCTCAGATTCCAAAGTGGAATTTGGGTTGGGTCCTATCAAATAAATATCCACTTATATTATAATAAATGTTATATGACCATACTCTGAAGCCACACTATAATTACTTCTCAAGATGACATATTATTATATAAAATATATATATATATATATATTTGTGCTTGTTCTAAAAATAACTTAAACAAATGTCTTATACCAAAAGATGACTCATAGCATCTTCCAACACAAATTTCCCAATGATCCTTCTTTGTTTTTTGGTTCATATCTTTGTAATATAATTGGTTCATGTTCCTATCAATAAAAAAAAATGTTAAATAAGAATATATAATAATATAATACTTAAATAATATATATTGCACTTTATAATCAATGTATAATACATAAATATGATATTTACATATAATATACACAATTTCAATTAAAATACTTGAAATTTTATATAATTATGTAACATAACAAAATACTTAATGAGGTAATGAAAGGGAAGAAAGTGATTGAGTTACCATCTCATTCGCTTCTCATGTAAGAAATTTTAGAATTCAAGCTAATTCTAAAATAATTTGAGAGGAATGTCTTAAAACTAAAACTATATATTATTTCTTGAATATGACTCATAGCATATTCAAAATATGATTTTACAAACTTATTTCTATGCCTAAATAAATAATTTCATACATTTTCATCCTCATATTCATATTCCCACAAAAATTTCCCTTATGATTCTTCTCTGATTTTTGGTTCATATCCTTGTTATATAGGTTTCCCATTTCCCATCCATAAAACAATTGTTTAATAAGAATATCCACTTATAAAGATTGTATTTACACATAATATGTATAATTTCAACTAAAATACTAATTTTTTTTATATATGTATTGTAACATAATAAAATACTAAATGGGGTAATGAAGGAAAAGAAAGTTACCAATCCCCTAGCTTCCCATGTAAATCCCCATTTTATAAGGACATAGATTAACATTATAAGGAATTTGTAACTCCGGACCATGAGGATGTAAATTGGGTCCTTATTCTAATAAAATGAGGGTTTAAAAGATTAAGGGCTGATTTTACAATTTTGGGATGCAATGGTACCATAACGTTGTAAAGAGGATCCATAAACATGTAGGTTACACAATTTGGATAGTAATTTACAGGTTTTTACACCACGATTACAACATTATGGTTCTCATAATCCTTAATGTTGTAAATCCTTATTTTACAAGAATATGGATCTACATTACAAAGAATAGGTAAGTCTAAACCATGATGATGTAAATTGAGGTCCTTATTCTAGTAAAATGAGGGTTTACAAGATTAAGGGCCGATTTTACAATTTTGGGATACGAGGATACCAAAACGTTATAAAATAGATCCATGAACATGTAAGTTACACGATTTAGGTAGTGATTTATAGTTTTTTTCACCACGATTACAACATTATGATTCTCATAGTCCTTAATGTTGTAAATCCTTATTTTAGAAGGATATAGATCCAAATTACAAGGAATTGGTAAGTCCAGACCATGAGGATGTAAATTGGGGTCCTTATTCTAGTAAATTGGGGTCCTTATCACGGAAGAAGGTTACTCCGGTCCTCAACCATCAGCATACTTGTAAGTTAGCCTAAACTCTTATCTGTTCATATTTAGCGCGAACAGATTGGCGCCGTCTGTGGGAATCCGATTGACAATCAGCCCATATCTCCCTTTTACTTCTAAACTATGAATCCGCCTTCGCCCATTGCTGCCGACGGTCCCATCCTCAGCATCTCAGGCCGAGAGAACCCTGCTGTGCCGCCTGGCACACCCCGAGTGGAAACGCCTGGTCGGCAGAGCACCCTAGAAGATAGGATGGAAACCCTGCAGCGGGAAATGATCAAAATGCAAGAACACAACAATATCCTCTCCTCCAAACTGGACTACACCCAGAAACAGCTTCACGAGCAACAATCACATTCGGCCCAGCTGCAGGATGGTTTGGAACAAGCCGCGCAGCTTCGGCAGGAACAACCACCAAAGAGCGTATCAAAACCTAACGACCAAAGGGCTGGAAAGCAGCCAGCTCAGGGCGGACCGTCCGCCTCCCAAAGGTTGTTTGTCCCAACTTCAGTAGAACGCCACTAGGAATACCAAGTCTACTCCTACTGTCGGGACAGAATCAACGCCCGACGTCGAGAACGGTAGACAACACGAATTCCCGTCCAAGCACAACTCAACGATTGTCATCTGGACGTGCTCGGACCAAAATCTCCCCTTCGACGGAGGTACGACGTGATCGGACTAGAGGAGACAGACGAATCTAACTACATTCCGACCTTCCTCGACACGACACTTTCACGCCAGTCGACGACATTTGAATCGGCCAGAAGGAACGATCGGTGACAAGGACGTCCGACAACAGGCCACGAGGCACAAGGACACGAGGGTCGCCTCCCAACCGGCCCCCAAACGGTAGAACCCTTCGGGACCAACCTCCCTCCTACCGATCCTACAATCCGCCTCCTCCTTCAAAAAGTCAATCGGATTGAGGAAGAGCAGAATCAGATCCGAACCCCAACCTGGGGAAAGGTACAACCAAGACCATTCACCAGCCAAATCCAAGTCTACCGACCTGAAAAAGAGGTACAAGCCCTCCGAATCTCATTCTACTCAAGAGTGGAGGACCCCGTCACCTACATACATACATTTCAATCGGCCTTGGGCTGCAAGGGACTCACCGATGAAGGCCAATGCCTGTTGTTCTCATCTACCTTGGCCGGGGCAGCTCTGAATTGGTTTTATCGGCTGGAACCAGGTACGATAGACTCTTTCAACCAGTTTAAAACAAATTTTCCTCAATCATTTTATGATACAGACCGATCGTCTATACTCTGCCGATGACTGCTACACCATTCGGCAAGGAGACAGTGAGCCCCTTTGGGAGTATGCGGCCAGATTCAGCCACGAGTACTCTCGGTGCCCGGAAACCGACGACCGAGCAGCCTTCAGCGCCTTCAAAAGTGGCCTCCGAGCCTCCCAATTTCGCTACCTAGTGCACAGCAGCAATTGGACCACCTATGGCGAACTCATGAAGCAGGCAGTCATTCACGCCAAGGCCGAACACTTCAACTCCAAAGGAATGCCTTCGGCATCTATTGGCCTGACGGCAAACACAGGTCAACCTTCGGCATCCACCTATGACCGTTTCCCGCCACATCAGACTGCTAATCAAGCTCCCTGCCTAACGGCACCCACTGTACCCGCACCTTACATAACCGGGGACAAGCGAAGGGACTCGTTCCAGGGTCGGCAGGACGGAGGCAAACAGAATAAGGAGTTGGGTGGCCGAAACTTCCGAAGCACCAAAAGCGACCGACCACCAGAGGTCTTCACCATTCTCAATTCAACCTACGAGCATGTCCTCATGGTTGAAAATCAGATGATTCCGAAGCCAAGCCTCCGGAAGCTCCCTCAACAAGTCGACAAGGACACCGTAGTCTTTTGCTGATACCACCAATACAATGGCCACGATACCGAGTCCTGCATCACCCTCCGAAGGATCGTTGAGAAACTGATCAGCGAGGGCAAACTAGACCAATATTTGAATGCACAATCGGGCCTCGAGCACCGAGGGAATCGGCAGATCAACATGATCAGCGGCGGTACACCGATCGCTGACTCCAGCCGTCGGTCCGTCAAGAGTTACGTGTGTGCTGTTCGGCAGCCTCAGGTCCTCAGCCTCACTGAGGAGTGCAACAGCAAAATTCGGGGATACGGATGGGAACCCATCACCTTTTCCGAAGAAGAAGAGAAGGGCATCATCTTCCCCCATTTCGATCCCATGATCATTCGAGCAGACATTGCCGATTTCGACGTAGGCCGAATCCTCATCGACACCGGAAGTTCGGTCAATGTTCTCTTTGCCGATGCTTTCAACGGTCTCGGAATCGACCATCAAAGCCTCAACAAGGAGATCACTCCTCCTCTAAGCTTCTCGGGCGATGTGGTCGAGCCAATCGGGAGCATCCAGCTTCCCCTTGCCATCGGCTCCGGCCCGAGAAGGGCTTTCATCTACACTCACTTCCTGGTAGTCAACTGCCCAACCGCATACAACGCCATCATCGGCAGACCCGCCTTCACCTGAATGAAAGCCATCCTGTCACCACATATGCTGCTACTCAAATTCCCTACACACTCGGGAATCGGCCAGGTTCGAGGGGACCAATTGAGCGCTCGGATATGCTACGTATCATCCACGGAGGAATCGGCAACCCGAGCGTCAAGGCAAAAGATGCCTGAAATGCTGACCGTTACCTGCCCAAGCAAGCCGAACGACAAGGGAGGGACCGAACGTCCCGATGACCCCCGGGACGACAACGTGATGCTGCAAGCTCAACCTACCGAGGAGCTTGAGACGATCTCCATCTCTGACACGCAAGATCGGCACCTCCCTCAATCCGTCTCTCCGAGCCGACTTCATTACCTTTTTAAGGGTCAATTCGGAAGTTTTCGCCTGGTCTTACAACGATATGCCTGGCATCTCCCCGGACGTCATCAGCCACAAACTCAGCATCTCCCCTTCTTCCAAACTGGTCCGACAGAAGAGAAGATCCTATGACGCCAAGCGATATGAGGCTATGAAGACCGAAGTAGACAAGCTTAAGGCAATCGGCTTCATCCGTGAAGTCACCTACCCCATTTGGCTCGCCAACTCAATCTTGGTGAAGAAATCCGGCGGCGCCTGGCGAATGTGCCAGGATTACACTAATCTGAACAAAGCATGTCTGAAGGATAGCTTTTCGCTGCCAAGAATCGACCCACTGGTGGACGCCACGGCTGGCCATGAGCTCCTCAGCTTCATGGACGCCTACTCCGGCATGCATCCCACAGATCTTGAACATACGGCATTCATTACCAACAGAGGTCTTTATTGCTACAACGTCATGCTGTTCGGCCTAAAGAATGCTGGAGCTACGTACCAGCAGCTGGTCAACAAAATCTTTGCCGAACTCATTGGCACTTCAATGGAGGTCTATGTAGACGATATGCTGGTCAAAATTCGGACCGCCAGCGATCATCTTCGAAACCCCTCCCTCATGTTCGGCAAGCTGAAACAATACATCATGCGCCTGAACCCAAGCAAATTCCTGGGCTTCATGATCAGCCAGAGGGGGATTAAAGCCAACCCCGAGAAGATGCGAGCGCTCATCAATATGCAGGTGCTGAGGACGAAGAAAGAGGTTCAGAACCTCACCGGCCGAGTCGCCGCCTTGGCCTGTTTCATATCAAAAGCCACCAATCGGTGCGCCTCTTTTTTCAAAGCTCTCAAAGGAAGTAAACGGCAAGTCGATTGGACTTCCGAATGCGACCGAGCGTTCGAAGATCTGAAAGCCTACATGTGCAGAGCCCCTTTGCTGTCCCCCCTTCTTCCAGGAGAAGACCTCGTCATCTATCTCTCGGTCTCAGCATCGGCCCTGAGTTCCGTGCTCATCCGTTGACCGAACAGCATCGAACTCCCCATCTTTTATATGAGCCATGCATTACAGTATGCCGAGCAACGGTACCCCCAACTTGAACAGCTGGCCTACGCTCTCGTCCTCTCTGCACGCAGGCTTCGACCTTACTTCCAAGCTCACAGCATCGACGTATTGACGAATCAACCCCTACGATAGGTCTTGCAGAAGCCAGAGACATCAGGACGACTGATCAAATGGGCCATCGAGCTTGGTGAATTCGACATCAGGTATCACCCTCGGCCTTCCGAAAAAGGATAGGCCGTGGCCGATTTCATCTCAGAATTAACACTTCCACCCAAGGACGGTCGACCAATCGACCCTAGCACGACACCACCTTCGGCATCTGCAGATCCACCTTCGGCTGACAACACGTTCAATCAAAAAAGCCCTCACTGGACTTTATACGTGGACGGCTCATCCAATCGGCAGGGCAGTGGCGCTGGCCTAGTCCTCAAGACTTCGGATGACACCACAATCGAATATGCTATCCGCTTCCAATTTCGTGCTTCCAACAACGAGGCCGAATACGAGGCACTCCTAGCAGGCCTTCGGCTTGCCCAAAGCTCGGGTGCCGAACGGACCGAAGCCGAAGCCCTCACAACGATAACGGCAGCTAAGATCGAACACTTTGTATGGAAAAAAATCCTATGCCGATTCGGCCTACCAAACGCCATCGTAACCGACAACGGCAAGCAATTTGACTGCTCACGGTTTCGGTATCTCTGCTCCCGGTTCAACAACAACATCTTCTTTGCATCTCCGACACATCCACTATCCAATGGACAGGTGGAAGCCATCAACAAGATCATCAAGAAAACGTTGAAGAAGAAGCTGGGAGTTGCCAAGGGCAATTGGCCTGCCATGCTACCAGAAGCACTTTGGGCCATCAACACCTCCTACTGAAGGTCAACTGGAGAGACATCGTTCTTCTTAGCCTTCGGTACCGAAGTTGTAGTACCAGTGGAGGTACATGCGCCCACATGCCGAACGGCATCTTACGACCCTCAGCAGAATGAACAGCAGTTCACCCTCAACCTGGATCTCATTGACGAACACCGATCGCAAGCACAGCTTTGGAACGTTACCTACAAATAACGAACGGCTCGGTACTACGACTCGCACGTAAAACACCGATCGTTCAAGGCGGGGGACTGGGTTCTGTGTAAAGTGTCTCTAGCAACGAGAAATCCTACTGAAGGCACTCTCGGCCCCTCCTGGGAAGGACCCTATGAAATTGTCAGCATCTGCCGACCCGGCACCTACCGATTGCGTGGCTCCGATGGTCAAACCCTCAACCACCCTTGGAATGTTGAACATTTGAAATTCTATTACAAGTGACTGGACCTTCGGCCACTACGCTTTTGTACAATCTAACTTTCAAACAGCAGTATATATGCCTATATCCTATTTCTACGCAATTTGGCATACCTGCTTATATTCGGAAAGAAAAAACAAATACCGAAGCTGATTCAAAATAGACATTGGATATAAATTAAAGCCTCAAACTAAGGCAATTGTCTTTACAAAAAGGCCGAACAGCCTACATATCCAAATACTAATTACAAAAACCAAAGAATAGCAAGGCAGGAGTTAAGGAGTAGGATGATCGTCCTCGGCAGCAGGTGGGGCTGGCACTTCGGTGTCTCGGACACTCGATGGCTCGGGAGGTTGAGTAGCTTCTTCTTCCCCACTGTCTGACTCCGAGCCACTCAAGGTCTCCACTTCGACATCCTCCCCGACGTACGCCTCCACCATCTCCTCGGTCACCCTCTCGGGCAACGGCGGAGGTTCCCGGAGGAAGTTCAAGTTCAGTTTTTTATCAGCATTAAAACACTTGAACCGGTAGATGAGATCCTCGCACTGCACCATCACCTCCTTGTCAAGGAATGCCACGAACTCAGGCGAGTCTCGGTACTCAGCTATGGCCTGTTTCTTGGCCTCTTCCACCTCCGTCGCCCGAGACTGAAGCACGGCCTCCTTCGCCGCCTCTACCCTCGCCCTCGCCTCATCGGCATCCACTGCCACCCTCTCCGCCTCCGCCAACTTGGAGGATAGCTCGGCAATCTTGGCTGTGTTCTCCTCTGCGTGCTGATCAGCATCCTGTATCAGCTTACCAGCCTCGGAAACTTTGGCTCGGCCATCCTCATATTTTTTCTGGACACGCTCGGCCGTATTGACAGCCCGCTTCATGCCAAGCCACATCTCTATGTTCGCCTGCAAACATAAACCCATGTTAGCACTACCATCACCTCAAACACTTGGACAACACTGAAGGAAGTACACTTACGGCAGCCTGGAGGCGGAAGGCTCGACCAGCCTGTTCGCGCAAAGACTTCATCGGCAACTGCTCCAGCTCTGGCAGCTCCATCTGAGCGCCCTCAATGAAGCAGTTCACGAACGGCACCACCTTCCGAGGGCAGGCAATGTTCACTGGGGCAGCCTCGGTATCCTCATCATCGTCGGGCACGAGGACAGCTGCTTCCTCGTTCGGCCCCCTTGGCCTCTTCGACAGAGGGGTCACATCGAGGGCACCTTCGATCACCCTCTACCCGGTGACTTGGAGGTGGGCCTCTCGAATCAGCTCGGCCTCAGCCACCCTTTTCTCCTGGCACCGCTAGGCCGGCGTACCCTCTAGTGCTAATGCACCCTCGGCCGCGAGCGACGTCTTTGTCTTCGGCCGCGAGGAACTAGTTTTCTTCTGAGGGGCCCGTGACTGAAGCCGCCTCCTCGTCGCGTCCGTCATCTCTCTCCCTCCTGCCACTGCATAAAACAACAAACACAACGTTAGGGCACATTTGGTATACGCTACAATACACAAAACCGATGAATTACCGAACGGCATTGATGAGTCGATTTTATATTATATATTTAGCCTCATTCTTAGTATATTTTGGTTAATATTTTGGAAGAATTTTGATACTTTGAATTATATTTCCAATATAGGACTTTCGACTTCCTCTGGAGCAAAACATCATCAAATGGACGAATTTTGGAGTAATTCCAGTTGGAGGACGTTCGTGAGTCACTTGGCTTGATCGTATCAAAATTTAAGACTTTTCTACTAAGCGGTTATTTTCTGGCGATAAAATAAAGGAGCGATGTGCAGTGCTGGAATAGTGACGTTTTGGGCTTGTATTGCGTTTTTGGAGCCCACGATGACTTCGGATGGGTTCATGGCCTTCTGAAGAAGTGTTCGGAATATTTTTATCTTTAAAACGAGCTATCTTGGGCCAGATTTGGAGGAGATTTGAGACTAAAACGTGGCTGGGCAGATTATAGGCAGATTCTCCTAATCCAATTTGGACTTTATTTCCTAGTCTTATTTTATTTTAACTTAGTTTCCTTGTGGGGATTGGGCAGCTAGGTTTTAGGAGGTATTTAAGCTCCTTTCACAGCAATTTAGGGGACTCCCTTTTTACTTCTTTTTGGCTTTTGGAGCAATTGCTAGGGTTTTGGATTTTCGCGACTTTCGGGTGTTTTCATTCTTATTCTTCTTAATGATATTTTCTTGGATTTCAATTGTGAACATGCGTAACTAACTCTCTTTTGCTAGGGTGAGGCCACGAGCTTTAGCAAGAATATGTAGTTTCTGTCCAATTTGCTTATGATTGTATGCATGCAGGTTTTCGAATTATTCATCACTGGGTTAAACTATCTAAGTGTCTTGATGCTTGATCACCATTAGGATGTTTAGAAAAGTAATTTGATGCAGTTTTGGTCGGAGGTCGGTCCCTGAAATTGACGAAGGCTTCTTGTGATTAATATGTGCAAGTTCACTTAGGATGAATACCACGTCTTAAGGGTTGCATGGTTTTTCAAAAGGTTTCACAGAACTTAATGAGTCATGTATGTTTAGATTTGATCTGAATACCACAGACGGATTGCATGTGTGATATACGCTCTATGTTGGGGGTCCAAGTAGGCATATATTAGGAATACCTAACCTTCGAAATATGCATGTATAGGTCATAAGTAATTGGGGGAACTATATAGAATTGTTAAGGTGACGGCGGATCCCTAGTGCTTTCTTAATTTGATTTCTAAAAACACAACTGTTTCTCTTGCTCTTAGCTTTAATTTTGCATATTGCCTTATTTTTATTAGTTAAATTCCTTTTAATTTAAGGTCTTCAAATCAAACATCTCAACTTTCTCTTTTGCAATAATTAATTAGAATTTGGTTGCTACGAGTTATTTAATAATCCCTGCGGAGAATGACCTTGCGAGAATCATTTATACTACAATAACCTTGTCATTCTTGCAAGTTTTGTAGGAGTTTTAACCCTATTTGCGCAGGTACTAAAAAGCCTATCAAGAAATTGGCACTTACTTTGCCTCTCTTTTTCTTCTTCCTCCTCCTTCCTTCGGAGGTACTCAAGCTCGCTGATTAGACCTGCCTTGTACAATTTCTTGTAATCCAGCAGAGCCTTGTGAAAGCGACCTTCCTCTGATATCCTTGACTGAATGCGCTCGATCACTTCTATCTCCCTCTTCATAGCGATCGGCCGTTTCAAGGACACTGCAACACAAAAAACAACTTTCGGTTAGCTTCGGCACAAAAAAATAATAATAATAATAATTTTTGCTACCGAACGGCATCCCATGGACCTACCGACTGTCTGAAAGGACGTGGGGATATGCCTCTCCACAATTACCCTAGGTGCCGATTCCTAGGCTCCGGACACCAGCACCCGATGCCGGCGCCAAGTCTTTTGAGAACTCGGCACCCCCACCACAAAGTGCCCTCTCTGCCCTGCCGCCAGGCAGTTCGACTGCACCCACCCCCCCTTGATCGGCGCTCTTGGCCCTCGTCACACTGTACAGATGGGCGAATTTCTCATAGCTCGGCTCTCCTTCACCAGCTATGCCGAACGCCGTGATCGTCCCAAGGAGTGTAATCCATAAATTTGGATTAAATTGCCACGGGGCATAACCAAACGCCGCCAAGACCTTCTGCATCGAATGCCTCAACGGCAACCGAAGCCCGTGCTTGAAGACATCCGTGAAGAAGACCACCTCCCCTTTTGGATTGCTTAGCGACTCCAACGGCCCCGGGATCCGCATCTTTACCGATTCCGGTATGTTGTACAGAGCTCGGATCTTCGCCACCTCCGCCTTGGTCATGATGTTCGGCTCTAGATGGTCCACCCCGAACACAAGGTCCTTTGGCTTCGCCATCGGTATCCTTTGTCGACCTGTTACCACCGTCAGCACGCCCTCTCTAGGGTCGGCAACAGTGACATCTCCTTCAGCCTCTCCCACCCGACGCCCACTCGTCGATGGCCGACTGCCATCAGCACCCACTACTTCTACACTCGAAGTGCTTCCCGAATCGGTAGACACCTCTGGTACTTCCCTCTTGGTCTCCTCGAAATCAGCACTATCAAGGCCTGCAGTTGTGCTCTTTGAGGCCGTTTCTCCATCAAAAGCTCTTGGGCTACGACTATAGTCTGATTCGGTGTTGACATCTACAAACAAAAGCAAAGCGAAACTAAACGACATGCTCGAATCAAACCCCTATCCTAGAGCCCAAGAGCTGATGTTCATCTACGCTCATCTCAGTTCATCTAAGTTCTTACGTGTTCATGCAAGTATACAAGCATTTGATTCATACTGAGAGGGAAAACACCAACATACCTTGTTTCACAAGATGGTGGAAGCCGCCGAAAATCGCTCCGCCTTCGCGAACACTTGCCGGAAATCGTCTACGACGTCACAATACCCTCGCCGGAAATCGCCTCTCACAAGCTCCGTTTGCTCTCAAAAACTCAAGTACCTACTCCTACCGTCTCTTCCTCCTTTTTATAGGACGAGCCTAGCATCGGGAACCGAAACGTCACAACTCTTCGCCGCCTTGCCGACACGTGTCCCCCATGCACAGGGGAGCCCAAGCGCTCTCACCTTCCCCTTGCGCCTACACTTCGACGTTTCGACTTCTCCATTCCTCTCCTTTTTGAGACAACAACTTTCTTGGCAAACGGCAGGCACGCATTGGTCTTGCTTTCACTCACCCCTCGTGCCGAACGGCAGGCACACATGGGTCTTGTTTTCACTCACCCCTCGTGCCGAACAGCAGGCACGCACGGGTCAATTTTCAATCACCTCTCGTGCAGAACGGCAGGCACGCACGAGTCGAGTTTTCACTCACCTCTCATGTCGAACGGTAGGCACGCATGGGTCTTGTTTTCACTCACCTCTCGTGCCAAACGGCAGGCACGCATGGGTCTTGTTTTCACTCACCTCTCGTACCGAACGGCAGGCCCCCTAACTCATCCTTTATCCGTTGTTCACCCGCCTTCGGCTCTGTCTGCCGCTCCCTTCCAATCTTCAAACCAACCTCTTGGCTTGAGGACTTGGGGGACTACATGATCACCACCGGCTTACAAACGACAGACGCTCGTTCCTGGGTCAGAATGCCGGAGCTCAGGGACACAAGCAAGTCCCCAACCAAAAAGTCCCTCCTCGATCGGAAACTTGGGGGACTACTGTTTGTACCATATCTGACCACCCACTCAAGTCGTGACACGTGGAACACCCTCAAGCCAGAGACCAGCTCAATTGGGCCATACCGAATGTTCTCTCGGCACTCAGTACCGATATAGGGGGTCGATAACGCAGCATCACTACCTACGCCAATCTTCGGTATTGTCTACCGAGCGACCAACCATCACATCAATCCGATTCTGACAGAGTACCTCAGAATTCCTGCTAGAGCCTGTCAGAATCACGTGTCAACCTCCGAAGACACTCCCACGAGTCCCACATTGAAACTAAGTGCTAAGAAATAGAGCCCCTTGGCCCAGCCAAGTGGTAAGATTTTCTGACTTGATTAGTGCTTCCACTGTCAACAGAATCACTCTTAGTCACTAACTTTGGCATCGGAGTACCTTCGGCAGGTACCACACCGGTATCCCCTCCTAAATTCGGATCCAGCCCCCACTCGAACCTTCGGACATCATGGAAGAAGGTCACTCCGGTCCTCAACCATCAGCATACTTGTAAGTTAGCCTAAACTCTTATCTCTTCAGCTCTACACATTATCATCTTATTTCTTCTAAAGTACTACCGATTGTAATATAAAAAACAGACTAACATAAAAGACAATTATGCCAACTTATCACTTTCTCAGGGCAACATTATTTGAAAGGTTATATACATAATTTAACTAATTTAAATAGAAGAAAGAGCATACCAATTTGGCATTGAATAATACTTGTTCAAAGCTAAAACTTTCAGTTCCACAATTGTGTAAAAAATTAAGCCCTGATCACAGTACAAGGGGATCCTAAGGTCACCAATGTAAATTCAAAGACGACATTAAGATCGATTACACCAGATAAAGCATTGAATATACAACAACATTATGAGATATCAAATTGAATACTTAGCATATATAAACCAAAATCGATTACGCCACTGTCATTGACTATGCAAACCCAGGGCCACAAGATAAGTACATAAAAAAATTCTCAGATTCCTAAAATAGCAAAATTTTAAAAATACTAATCCCAGAACTTATAATGTGCCTAGATTTGTTACTATGAAGTCCTCTCAACAACCAAAGATACAAGTATTGTCTATGACAATTTTTTATTTAAATTTGACTAAGAATGAGTATTCGTACTATAGCATAATTGGTCTTACTAGCAATTCCTATGGATTATAATCTTTCTTGGTTCTTAGATTCTATTATACTTGGGAAAAATGCAAGAAATTGAAAAACCCAATTTGCATGTTTTGGTTGGCAAGTAAACAGGAGCATATAAGAAACTTTCTTCACCAACAGAGTTGGATTTTAATCACAAGCAGCAATTCCTATCAATAATCAACATTGTTAATCATTCTCGCCATAGCAAGGACTAGCAGATACACATATAGGAGGGAAAGCAGAACATCAATAACTTTGACCATTCACCGGATCTGTTTTGACAGACTTTGCTGGATCTTAGCAAGAGCTTGTTGCCGTTGTAAATTTCAAACACTATGTTGAGGGAATTAAACTAATAGAAAAACCAAAGAAGAAAAATAGATAGATTTAGCTTTATTTCCCTTCCATTTCCTCAATTTTCTCAACAACTAAATACAGAAAAATAAAACCTCAAAGCATTAATATATCACTAATACACAGCACAAATTAAAAGAAACTTACCTCAAGCACAAGATGGAAATAGAAAAATCAATCAAATTGAGCCAGAGCAAAACACCCAGAAGAAATTATCAGCTTTCCAATTCAATTTTATCCGAAACATTCAAGAAAACCCCAATGAACATATCAAATTAACAAGAAGGAATAGCACTACAACAATGTTTACCTGTGGTTGTTTACCAGTCGAACGTGAACTTAATTAACACTGGTTATTGTTGGGCTAATAGGATTGAGAGAGAATTTGTTGGTATTTAAATGAGGGAGAATGGGTCATGCAAAGGGGGAGAGAGAGAGAGAGAGAGAGAGAGGACGACGACGAAGAAGTAGTCGTCGTCGGTGCTTGGTAGTTGGAGGTAGATGGGAGCACCGATGCTGTCGAGGAAGATCAAGTGTGAAGCGATGTAAGTTTTAGTAGTCTTTTGTTTTTTGTGGGTAGTTTTGGATTTTGTTTTTTTTTTTTTTTTTTTTTTTTTGGGACAAGTGCACATGCACGTCTCATTTGGGCTTGCCATTCATGCTGTCTGACGCATTCCGCAGGTTCTCACATTTAATCTTTTCATTTTGGCTCCAACATTTTGCGCAAATCAATATGTGACGATTCAAAAAAAATTATGTGACGAAAAAGCTGCAAAAATATTTTTGCGTCCTGGGAAGACCCTTATGTGACGATTTGTAAAATTTCCTCACTTATCTTTGGTAAATGTGACAAAATTTTGAGCGTCACATATAATTTCGTCACAGAAGGCCTGTTTTCTTGTAGTGTGGTAATAGTGGACATTAGGGATGTAAATTGAGTTCTTATTCTAGTAAACAATTGTTTACAAGATTAAGGATCGAGGATACCATAACGTCATAAAAAGAATCCTTAAACTCGTAACTTACAAGTTTTTGGTAACAATTTATAGGGTTTTGCACTTGGATTACAACATTAGGGTTCACTCAATTTATAATGTTGTAAATCAGCCTTTTAGAATGATATGGATCCACATTACAAGGAATTGGTAATGGTGGACCTTTGGGATGTAAAATGGGTCCTTATTTTAGTAAACAGTGGTTTACAAGATTAAGGACTGAGGGTACCTTAACATCGTAAATTGGGTGACAACGTTAGGGTTCACCAAATTGGGTGACAATAATTGCCAAATCGGGGGACTGTAATTTGTTGTTTCTGGATTCCAATTGCATTACAATGTGCAATTACGGCCTCCTGTTTAGCAATTATAAGATTAGGCCGAAACTTTACAAGGACATAAAGCCCTAGTGCCCTTATTTTGCTACATCAAAGCCATGCCATGTTGACATTTGACAAACAGTACCTATGTATTTGTAATTTGAATGTGCGAAATCCTACTGCCTGTTTGGTAATTGGTAGATGACAGTGTGCAATTACTGCCTCCTGTTCGATATTTCTCCCTTTCCATGATTGAAGTATCCAAAAGTAAAAACAATGGATTTTAGTGCACTTCACCATTCTAATCACACAAAACCTAAGGTCAATATTTTTTTTACTTTATATTTAAATATTAACATAAAAATGACCAAATCGCATTATGTAAAACCGAAATATTGTAATTTACAAATGTAAGGATATTGTTTACAAATTTCTAGAATGCCTATGTCCATAATAGTGTAATGTTGGTGCTTACTGCTGTAAATATTTGTTCTTATAAGGACAAGGACCCAATTTACTCCTCCAAGGAGAATGACCCAATTTACTCCTCCAAGGTTCATTCTTACCTTAACATTGTATTGGGGGTCATTTCCGTTGTAAATTATGGTATTACGAGATTAAGTATGGCCTTTACAATGTTATAGAATGAGTATGTCCATTTTAGTATAATACGAATCCTTATTGTTGTAACCACCACTTTGTTTACAAGGATAATGAATCAATTTACTATGCTAAGGTTCATTCTTACCTTTACATTGTATCGGGGGTCATTTCCTTTGTAAATTACGCTATTTCAGGTTTAAGGATTCCTTTTATAAATTTATGGAACCCCTGTGTCCATAACAATATAACGGAAGTCCTAGATGTTATAAACCTCCTGTGTTTACAAGCACAAGGACCAAATTTATTCCACCAAGGTCCACGCTTACCCTATTCTTATTCAAGAGTTCTTTGTTGTTGTAAATTATGGTATTACGAGATTAAGGATTGCTTTTACAATGTAATGGAAATAGTATGTCCATTTTAGTATAATAAGAATCCTTAATGTTGTAACCACCACCTTGTTTACAGAGATAATGACTCAATTTACTCCTCCAAGGTTCATTCTTACCTTAACATTGTATTGGGAGTCATTTCCATTGTGAATTATGCTATTACACGTTTAGGGATCCCTTTTATACATTTATGGAACCCCTGTGTCCATAACAATATAAAGGAAGTCCTATATGTTGTAAACCCCCCGTGTTTACAAGCGCAAGGACCTAATTTATTCCACCAAGGTCCACGCTTACTTCTTCTTATACAAGGGTTTCTTATTGCTGTAAATTACGGTATTGCAGGATTAAGGATGACTTTTACCATGTAATGGAACAGGTATGTCCATCTTCGTATAATACCAATCCTTAATATTGTAACCACCACCTTGTTTACAAGGATAAGGATTCAATTTACTCGTCCAAGGTTCATTATTACCTTAACATTGCATTGGGGGGTCATTTTTCTTTGTACTAGATGTCTTTATCTTTGTAAATTACGATATTGCAATATTAAGGATGAATTTTACAATCTTATGTAACATAAATGTCCAAAATAGAGTAATACGAGACCTTAATATTGTAAACATTTGTGTTTACAAGTATAATGACTTAATTTACTTTCCTAACGTCCCTAGTTACCTTAATATTGTACTAGATGTCTTTATCCTTGTAAATTACAATATTACAATATTAAGGATGGGTTTTACAATCTTATGGAACACAGTTGTCCAACATAGAGTAATACGAGACCTTAATATTGTAAACATTTGTGTTTACAAGTATAAGGACCCAATTTACTTTCCTAATGCCCCAAGTTACCTTAATATTGTACTAGATGTCTTTATCTTTGTAAATTATGATATTACTGTTGGCGAGTCCTTACTTAGTTAGGTTTTGGGTTCCTTACTATGTTAGGATTTTGGTTACTTACCCATTTATCTAGTCCTATTATACTTGAGATTTATTTCCTATTGTAATTTATATTTATTTTCTATTGTAATTTGGATTTATTTCCTATTTTATTTAGGGTTAACACATCTTTGTACTTGTATAAATACCTCCATATTGGAGAAGAATAATAATATGAGCGTATCTTAGTATAACCAAGGATTAAAATATCGGCCGTGCAGATAATATCGGGCCTCCAATTTACGGATATTTCGGGGGATATATCGTTATCGTTTTAGGTATCGGGAAGAAATCAACAAAAATGACATATATAGGCATTGAAACACATCATTTTGGTGTAAAACTTTTATAGATGTTATGTACATTGTCAATGAATGTATTGAACAAATAAAACTAAAAATTTACTAATAATAAGATATATATATATATATGATGAAGTATAAGTGGTATGTAACACGCGTTAATGAAAAGTTTGAAAATAAAAAGTTGATTAGAATGAATAAACCATGCATAAATCCATAGTTTATTTAAACATTGGATTACAATTTAGATGAGTGTCCAACTACATAAATGAAGAGCTCCTATGAGGTTCAAACAATGAGGAACAACCATCTAGATTCATACAATAATCATACCAAGTCATGTAACCCGAGTAGTTTGTAAGCCATGTTTGAACATGGTGCACATATGTCTCTCTTGAGCTCCCTACTGTCATCCCATATATGGGATAGTTAGGATTAACCCAATTAGGAGGTCCATAATCTGTTTCCTCATCTTGAGCTTCATATCTAGTTCCACTATAATCAGACATGACATAACCATAGCCATCATAAGATTCATTTGAGTTAGTACTAGGTCTAGTTCCTATGCTCATAGATCCAAAACTGATCGCCATGTCCTCTTCAGATGGATTGATTGGTTGGCTTCTTTTCTTTGAGTATTGCTTCCCAATTGCGCCAATGCCTGGTCCAGCTTCTCTGCATCCATGATCCTCATCTTGGGTGGCATGAGTAAAATCAGCCTCAACAGTAAATGGGCTGTATTGTCTTCCTTCTTCATTACCTCCCGATCCAGCATTACTTCCTCCATCATTATCTGACGAATTGGATGAACTTTCCATTCTACTAGCACTAGCATCGTCTCTCAAGGGACGTCTTTGACATTGCCTAGGTCCAAGCATATCCCTTTCAAATGATGAAGTATCTCCACTCCTAACATCTTCGAATATGACTCTATCAACATCAACTCCTTCTTGGGCAGCATGTTGTGCTATAACGGCATCAGGGTTGCCTTGTTCATCATCCAAGTGAGCTGTCATAATCCATTGTTGAATTGGATTATTATCATCATCAGATGGTTGCCCTGCAATGTCAAGAAGGTCTATGTAGTCATTTTCTGCAACCTTGTTCATTTCAGCCTCTTCATCACGTAGCTTAAGTTTCATATTATAATAGCAAAAGACAATCTTTTCCAGCCTAGTATATGCGAGACGGTTCCTTTGTTTCGTGTGAATAAGAGCAAATGTACTCCAATTTCGTTCACATGCCGATGATGATGCTGTCTGTGACAATATACGCATAGCAATTTTTTGCAAGTTCGGGGCAGAATCACCATGAAGATTCCACCATTCTGCTGGGGGGATCGATTTTCTTGATTTGACGGCCATCTCAGTGCGAAATGTCTTTCTACAGTCTCTAAAATTTATCACCTGGATCACAATGTTTTGTGTTCAAGATGCATAAAACTAAATTTAATGAGGAAGACATTGTTTTGTGTTCACTTACCTCAGCCCCAAATGCTTGCAAACCTCTATCCCCAGTTGAGTTCAACCTTTCAAATACGCGTTGGAGTCCTGAAAGTAACTCTTTATTGTGGCCAACCCCTGTTTCATATTGATATCTAGGGTTCAAGTAGTGGGCTACAAATATGAAGAGTAGTTAATACCCGTTGTATAAATTTAAAAATTGATGCATATTTTTACTAAAAGATTAAAACATACCAGCTTGATGTAATGGACGAGATAATGTGACATCCCATCTGTGATTGATGATTTTGAGAAGCCATTTTTTTCCCTTCAACTTAGAAATCTTCTCTTTCATTATGTGAAACATATCATATAAGATAGGCATGGTAGGAACTACCTCTGTGTCAACAATTCGCAAGATGCTATACAAAGGCTCATAGATGGATTGCACTCCTTCCATGGCATCCCAGAATCTATGATCAAGGACTCGACTTTCAATTCTCTTCCCCTCTTCTGATTCACTAAATCGACTATTATACCATTCCTCACTTGTAAAAAGTTGCTTCAACCCAGCTTTCTTATTTAAGATGCTATTGATGGTGATGTAGTTTGTCGCAAATCGAGTTGCACCGGGTCGGACCAAATCTCCTTGACAGAAGATCCTCATCTGAGCCAATAGCCAACTATGATTGTAAATGTAGTTGGTTAATTTCCTAGCCTTATTTATGACATTAGCCACCGACTCTTGCTTCCCAATATCTTCAAATATTAAATCAATGCAATGTGCAGCACAAGGAGTCCAATAAATAGGGTACCGCTCCATCATCATTTGTCCAGCCTTAACAAAGGCTGAACCATTGTCGGTGACAATATGAACAACATTCGACGGCCCAACCTCTTTTATGACATCCTTCAACAATTTGGCAATGTACTTTGCATCCTTGGTTTTATTTGAAGCATCCACTGATTTCAAAAAAATTGTTTTCCCGTTTGAGTAGACCATGAAATTTATTATGGACAACCTCGTGGGGCCAGTCCATCCATCACTCATGATGGTGCATCCATACACGCCCCAATCTTCCTTTACCTTTTCCACATAGGCTTGCATGTCTGTGTGTTCCATATCTAAGTACTTATGCTTTATTTCATACGGTGATGGTGTGGCTACGCCTTGACCTAATATAAACTCATATTAGTAATTGGTGTATTTAGAATATTTAATTTCAAGAAAGGAAAGTTATAAGGAATAAAGCAAAACCTGCTTGTTGGGCTGCAGCAATCATATTCTTGAAATGAGGGGAACTTGCTTTTTGAGGAGCCACATTCTCAAGTATGAAGAATTTGCTGCAGTATCTTCCAAGTACCTCTGCTGAGTTTCTAATCATGCCTTTGATTGTTCTCTGTTTTGCTCTAGTGTTCTTGTGTGGCATTGGTACCGGAGGAGATGGAAGTGGGTCTCGAAGGCTTTGAGTGCGACGGTATTGCGGTTGACTACTACCACTTGCTCCCCCTGCAAATCGTTTGCTTCCCATTCCATAAACTCCTCCTTGTCTAAACCGTTCTTGCTTCGACGCTCTAATGGCAGCAAGGTAATCTTCTTTCTCCGCAGGGTGCATGTCTGGAGGATATGCATATCCATCGTCATCATCGTCATCATCATCATCAACAGGATTGCTACTTTTATTGCCCATGTATCCCTCTCTTGCTGTAGATCTTATGTTTTCTTCAACAGATTTCTTATGTTGTTTGCTAGACTCTTTCTCCTTTATCCATGCAATTACCTCCTTCTTAATATCTGGTGGTACTTCTTTGCACTTCTTTACACTTTTATGTGGATCAAATCCGGCCAAATGATACTTTAACCGTGTAATTCCACCACTTTTAAATGTGGATTCACAAAATGTGCATATGGTGCCATGCTTATTGCCTTCTATTGGACGAGCATATTTCCATGCCACATCAAGACCACCAGGCACACTAGCTCCACTCGGTCCACTACTACTTGCCATTTTTAATCTATCACACTTAAAATATATTAAATGAACTTACAATATCAAATCTATCACAAAAATAATATAGACCATGAAGGAGAGCCACATACCTGAAATAGCAGTCAAAGAGAACTTGCAAACAAGGAAAGAAGCTCACAGACTAAATAAAAATTGAAAAGCTAATAGAGAAAGAAAGAGAAGAGAAGGGAAGATTTGGTGCCCCAAAAAAAAGCAAAATAGCCTTTGATTTAAAGAGGGCTTCTCTCGTGATAACAATGGGAACTTTTGGGGGTTGGGGGACAATGGTATATGGGCTTGGCAGACTTTATTTTATGGATTCCAGTTGGATGATTCTCTGACTTTGATGGAACTAAAAGTAGCCAAATTTTTGGAGGTATGTGGGCAGTGAATTGCATTTTGCCAATTGTCTGACTTCGAAAAGTGAAAAAGAAACAACCAAAAAATGAAACAAATATTAAATGATAAAGAGTTCCACAAGAAGCTCAGACTTAGATAAAAGCTTTCAACAGTTTAAAGGCGGAACAATAAGCCAAAAAAGAGAACCCCAAAGCTCAAAACAGTATTCCAAGCACGAAGTAAAGAATCAATTCTTCTTCCAAGTTCTTCTTTTCATGGCTCAAAAAACAGTCACTCACATTCTTTACATTATTAATTATTATTATACTAATATTTTGTCTATCATATAATCTACAAATTTACAAATATAGTGGTTGTGATCAATACACGTTAGACCAAAAGATGGGAAGCCAAGTTAGTGGCAAATAAGCTTGAGATAGGACATGTATGTCCCTTCAATTGACTATGCATAGATTCTTTTGATGCATACTCCAAAACATCTTTTGCATTGAATATTGCCAAAAGCCTTCACACATATCTAATCACTGCACATATACCTATAAAAAATATTTTCAGTTTCAATTTGCTTCAAAACTTTTTAATTTTTTTGGGTTTTGTTATGGGTATCGGGAAATATCGGGAAATATCGGGAATATCGCACTTATCGGGGATATATCGTCGATATAGGGGAAGATATGACCTTACCCCCCAATATCGATGTCGACAGTTCAAAATGTCGATATATCGGTGTATCGGCCGATATTTCAATCCTTGAGCATAACTGAATATTTGCCCTACTTTGTTTGACTATTACAAGATTAAGGATGGGTTTTACAATCTAATGGAACATAGCTGTCCAACATAGAGTAATACGAGACCTTAATATTGTAAACATCCGTGTTTACAAGTATAAGGACCCAATTTACTTTCCTAATGTCTCAAGTTACCTTAATATTGTACTAAATGTCTTTATCTTTGTAAATTAAGATATTACAAGATTAAGGATGGGTTTTACAATCTTATGGAATACAATTGTCCAATATAGAGTAATATGAGACCTTAATATTGTAAAAATTCGTGTTTACAAGTATAAGGACCCAATTTACCTTTCGAATGTTCCACTTTACCTTAATATTGTACTAGATGTCCTTATGTTTGTAAATTACGATATTACACGATTAAGGATTGATTTTACAATATAATGGAACACAACTGTCTAATATAGAGTAATACGATACCTTAATATTGTAAACATTCGTGTTTATAAGTATAAGGACCCAATTTACCTTCCAAACACTTTACCATGAGAAGGGAAGGTAAAGCCCAAGGAGGGAGGATGGCTTCACTTTTCCCCCTACTTTCCAATCTGCAAGGCAACGATTTTTTATGTCTGACTTACCAAACATGGGAAAGCAATTGATTTCTCATCCCCAACCTTCCTTTCCCATAAACCAAACGGGGCTTAAGAGTGTAATTACAAGATACTAAACTATACTTAACCCATTAATTAAAACATCTAAAGAACTTCAGAGAATTGTCAGACTGACTCAGACATATCCTCCTTTTTCCTTGATTTTTCCATCATTAGCTTGGCTTGACCTTATGTTGCATTTCGTTCATGTGCCGCTAATGAATATTTTTTTTTTTTTTTTTTTTTTTTTTTTTTTATTTTTTTATGCTTTCTCTATCTCTTTCCCAGAAGCTCTTAATAGGAGAAGAAGAAAATCAGAAAATGGAAAAGAGAGGAGAGAAGTAATTTGGTAAGAAAATTCAACAACTAATTCTCATTTGGTGCAGTGTCTGCAAGGTGAGTTTTCTTCTCTTTCTAACTCTTATTCTCCTTCTACTCAATCAGAAACCTAGGAAAATGAAAACCCTAGCCCCTTTTTCCATCCTCACGAACTAGGAAGGAGAAGATAGAGAAGAGAATTGCTAAAATACCCCTGCCCAAAATAAACAAGTCATAAGGTCAACGAATGCTGGCCTGATTTTGAATTATCCGGTGTTAATTAGTTTGCAACTTTGATCTCGTGTTCAGGTTTATCAATTTTTGTGCGCTAGTAATTTGAACCATGATTTCTTGTAGTTGTATAGAATGTATTTTTGAATTGCCTGAAATTTATGACGCTTTCTACAATTTTCTTTTTTGAGCCTTCCAGGATTGAATTATGATGAGGGTGGGTAGGTTTTAGTTTACATTTACTAACTCATATGATGCTTTTCTGTATAAAATATTTGGTATTTTCTATATCCATTTTCAAGAATGTGCAATTGTTGCATGTCTTAAATTTGAAGTTCCCAAATTCCTTCCCGGTCAAAAAGTCAACTTTTAAACCATATAAATTATTCTGAGGGTATTCTAGTCCTTTCCTAGAATAAAATAATAGTTAAAAATTAATTAATGACCGGGTTGTTACATGCGTGAGCATGTACCAAGGGCTAGTAAACATAATTGATGTTACTAAACTGAAATTAATTCACAAAACAATAATTGTTAACACACTAAAACAGAACAGAGGGGTTAAAAGTGAAAATTTATTTATTTATTATTATTATTATTTTCTCACTGAATTACTATTTTGCATTGGGTGGAATAGCTAGTAGTAGAGTACCAACCCAACAAATGGCGGAAAGTTAAAGGTGGAACAAGGTTACGAGTAGGGTGCTCTCCTTCTCTTCTATGTCGTCTCGTCGCTCGCTCCTCTCACTCTGAGTCTCTCAGCGGCCTCCGCCTCCGCGCCTCTCTCCTCTCAATATCACGCAGGTCAGCTTCTCTCATCTGTCTGTATTTTATCCCTTCGATACTCTTGCTCCGCTAACCCTCTCTCATCCAAAACTTCTCAGCCTCTCCGCTCCATCTCAGCTAACTCTCTTTCTCATCTCATCTCAATATCAGGTACGTATGTGTCCTCTAGCTCCAATTGCTCTGTATTTCAACTTTATTTTACAGACTTAGGTTCGTGGAAATTAATTTGGGGATTTTGTTTTAATTGGTCTGTTGTATGTTTGTTTAGACCTGTTAATGAATAATGAATCAATACATTGTCATAGAAATAATTACTGAAAAAGTAATGCTAGGACATCAAATATTTGAACAAAATTTGAGTGACACCATGAATGTAATTATCAAAAACTAATAAGCCTCTTAAAGAGTAATTAACCCAAGTTGCTCTGGAAGATCTCTGAAGGCATAAGAAGTAAGAGCAGAAGCATCATGTGATTCAATTTGGGTTGGGGATGGGTGGTTGTGGCGAAGTGAGGAATGGAAGTATGGTTTTCTGGGAGATAGAGGGTTAGGAGGGGCTGGGGGTGTTGAATGCTTCTTTGTTTTTTTGGTACATAATGCTTCTTCTTTCACTTTCACTGTCGACAATGATGCTTTCTTTACTTTTTTTTTGGTGAAAGATGCTTTCTTTACTAATTTCTAAATACATTATTAAATTAATAAATGATCGGTTAATTCATATAGAATTAAAACTATGCTGGGTATTTGTTTACATGTTATAAATAAATACCACTTTATGGAGTTTTTTTAAAGACAAAATAAACTCAAGTGAACGAAACATGAATACCTCTTTATTATTTTTCATTCCGTTAGTTTATAAATTGATAATATTTTTTAATTAAAAATTTGAAATATACACCAAAAATTTATCCTGTGTATAATTAAAAGTAATTCTTTATCCCAAACCATGTTCGCTAATGGGCCAATAAAATGGCAATAATACTTCAGTAATAATTCACTCAAAGTTTTGTATGGATTGCTATGTATTTATTATGAATATTGGAAGTTATAGCATAGAAAATTAATAATAAATTGAAGAGAACAACATGTAGCTTCGGGGATTGGTACATCGTTAAGGTTTCTGAATGGTGTTCTTCCCGCATAGCTCCAAGTTTTTTTCTTATGATTTTTATTTTTGAATGTTTTAAGGTAAACAAAAAAGTAATAGAAACTAAAGTTAATTTATATGGAAAGAGTTTATATTTCTTTCTTGTTTTAGAGTTATCTCATGCATGTATGTTGATAGAGTTATCTCTTGTTTTAAAAAAGGCTTCTTGTTTCATGGTTGATTCCACTTTATGCTAAAAGCTCTCCCCTTGAAATAATACACAAGAGCCAACTGGCCTTTATTGTGATTTGTAATTGAGACTTTTCTCTTTGGTTCATTGGGTCATATGGTACTGACATTATAATTTTTCTTTGATAGATTTGTCAAGTCTGTCATTAACAATATGGCTGATATGTCATCATTTATCTGAAGTTGGACAACAGGACCTTATTCTCGACAGAGGATAATTCTGAGATAAAAGTTGCATAGTCCTTCATAACACAGACATCTGCTGTATTCCCAATCGAAGATGGCTTCTAAGGACAAAGATCTTGTGGAAATCTTAGAGGAGCATAAACAAATTGACATTGCCAAATATATCAATCATGTGAGTGCCCCACAGGCAGGTGCTATTGCAACATTTTCTGGTACCACGCGCGACACCTTTGAAGGCAAAACAGTCTTGGAGCTTAGATATGAAGCGTATGTGCCCATGGCACTACGGTGCATGAAGTCCATTTGTTCATCTGCTAGATCATCCTGGAATCTCCTCTCCATTGCAGTTTCCCACTGCCTCGGCCCAGTTCCAGTTGGTGAAACAAGTGTTTTCATTGCAGTCTCAGCCGTTCATCGGGCTGATGCATTGGATGCTTGTAAATTTGTGATTGATGAGATAAAGGCATCAGTTCCAATATGGAAGAAGGAGGTTTACAGTAATGGAGAGGTTTGGAAGGAGAATTCAGAGTTCCTGGAGCGAAGGATGGATCTTGGGAAAAAAGATGAGATGTGGAATGAAAAAGAAATTGAAGTTGAAGTTGAGAGGCATACTAGGAAGAGCTGTTGTGGGGCTAAGGTAAGGTCATTGAGGAAGGAGATAAAAAATGAAGATGAGCAAAACTTCTATTTATTTATGTTTAGGAAAGATTTTCTGTGTCATAATGAAATGTAACTCTTTAAAACCTAATAATCTTCTTTTTATATAATAAGAATAGGAACTTGGAGATAACTTTGGCACTTCATGTCTCTTTTTGTGGGTTGTACACTCTATGATCTGCTTGCTTGGTTAAGTCACAAATTTTTGAACTACTCTGCTTCCGAGTTTTGGTTATTTCTTCAAACATCTCATGCATTTTATTTGAAAACAAAACAAGACACTCGTTAATTTCAGGACATGTCTAATCAATTTCACCCTATATGTTTTCTCTGATAGAATTAGCTCTGAGGGTTCAGAACGTCAGTTCCAAGAAATATTATCTGCTTTGTTGGAAATTTCTCACAAATGTGTAGGTAAGTACTTAGGAATTCTTTCTAGGTACGTAGCTTTCTCTGTGGACCAGATACATTTTAGCTTGGAATTCTTGTTGAAAACAAAAATGAAATAGGGCATGGTGGTTTAGGAGTTAAAAAACTACAAAATTTTAACTAGCAAAATTGGATAATGGGACAGTTACTTGAAAATACTTGAGACATAATTCTTTCTTTCAAGTATTTTCAAGGTGCAAAACTTATGCTAAAAGGAATGAGATGAGAAATGTATTAAATTATGGACGTTTAATTGCATATTTATGCTTTCCTTTGAAGTATGGAGACACATGAAGCTGAAGCAATTGGTTAAGGTGAAGATAAACATCAACTTCATACAAATCCATTGACATACACAGGGTGAGAAAGGACCAGACCAAGAACTTGGTGGCATTAGCATTTAAAGGAATATCGAAAATATTACAAAGAAAGAATGCTGGGCTGTAAGCCTGTAACAACAATAGCAGCCAACAGCTGCGGATCATAACAGCAAAATGATCTTCCATTCCCATACTTCTAACTAGAGGAGCAGTTAATCATGGCCTATCAGAATACAATAGTATCATGGTGGTTTATTTGGTGGAAAGGTTACCACCAGGCGGTGAAAGAAGAGCCACGGCACCATGCTGCGGGCTGCAGAACTTGTTATAGACTGCCTTGAGCTTACTCTCTGCAGCCGCAGAATGAAAAGTGTGCAACAGCTTTGTGCAGTCCCTGTTCCAGTAGAATCCAGAGTACAAAGGAAAATAAAAAAGATCAACTAAATGTCACAATAATTAGTAAGTACAAAAATTTATGAGTTGTAAATTGTGAAAGGCTCACATCAGCTCATCTTCAGAATAGCCAGTATGATGCTTGAGAGTCTCAGTCCAGAAAGGGGTCCTGTCAAGGGTGCATCGAGCAACATAAACAGCCGAAGCTGCCATCATTGAAGGGCAGTAGAGAATCGTAGCAGAATAGTCCATCAGACCCAGTTCAGCCAGAAAATACACCATATTCTCCATCTACATTTTATTATCACCAACAAACAAAAAATTAAAAAAAATTCAAACAAAATCAAATTGTTAAATACAGGTTTTCACCATGGACTTGAATATCCATGAACCTCAAACTCACATACCAACTCGTCATCAGATGAAGCAGATGATGCTTTGATATAGCGCACCAGGAAGACATAAGTTGTGGGAACTGTTAGGCACCATCCCAGCTTTCCCAAGATTGCTTTCTCCATCACTAACACCTTTTCTTTACCATAAGCATTGTCTGAAATGCAGACAAAGTCGTTGACCTGCCCATTTTAACAACCAAAACCCAAGATTAATATTCAAAATTAAACCAAGAGAGAACCCACATGCAAGATACACAAACAAACAACAATTGCTACCTCTGGTGCCCAAATTTCTTCATATTTGCTTGCAAGAAGCATTGAGCTGATGCCAACTAACTGAAGCTCCCTCCTTGGTACAACTTTAACCGAAAGGAATCGATCGACAAGGTTTATGGTAAGATAGAGGGTTTCTGGCATGAGTTCAAACTTGTGATGAACTTCTATCAACCAGTCTACAAGGATTGATCTCATCTTGGCATTTATTTCTGGCTGTAAAGCCATGTACTCGTTCACACGATTATCATCCTGCATCCATCAGAAGGAAGCATAACAATCCAATATGAGAAAGTGACAGAGAGACAGAAAGAGAGAGAATGAGTGTAGAGTTACAAGTCAATACTTCTGTGAGCTTGTAAAACTGGTAGATTTCATCCAAATATTCAACTACTGCCAACTCATTATCGGCATCAGCTGCATCAATGTCCACTTTTGGATCCTTTGGCTTACTAGTGAGCCCACAAGCAGCCTGTGAGAAAAAGCAAACTCAGTGGACAATACAACAATGCAGTGCAAAAAGTAACAAAAATTGAGCCACCAAAAATGAAATTTACTTTGCTTCGGGCACTGAGAATTGATGTAAAGGCCCTGGCATTCTTCTTTGAGGCTCCTCCTCTAGATCTCCTTCCACTAACAGCACTCTTCTCATTTACAGCTGCCACAGCCTTCTTTGCAGCACCGGACTTTCCAGCCGTCAGCCCCCCATTAATTACTTCTATGACCGGTTTCTGCAAATTACAATAGCCAAACATTGTGATAAAGTGAGACAGTAAATTCTAAGACTTCATTGAGAAGAAGAAGAAAAATAAAAGTAAAATAATTTGAAAAAAATTTGGATTGGATTGGTACCTTATTCTTCTCTGATGGGACAGGAAGCTTAGCAAGGATCTTCCCTTGGGCAGCAGGGGCAGTTACTACTAGGTTACTAATGTCTTGAAGAACTTGCCTATTTTTCCCCTCTGCTGCTACCTTCTTCTGCTTGCCTTCCTCTAAAATACCATTAAACTCTCAGTTTTCACATTGAAATGGGCAAACAGACCGCATCAAACAAAAGTTCAAACGAATGGATCAACCATTTGTTAGGACAAAATAGAAAAGATAACACAAATTCAATGCTAGCTCCCATGAGATGGACCAAAAATTACCAACGCTTACTTAAGAGGTCAGAACATAAAATGGAAAAGACAACTCACAAAATTGTTGTTTATGAAAAAATATAAAAGAAAAATAATCATGAGGTGGATGGAAATAGCCAACAGAAAGTTTTCAAAAACCGCACAAGGAATTGAATAAAATATTTTAGTATAGCGACATATGAACAAAAATCTCAAAAAAGAAAAAAACATTTCAAAAATTGGAACTTGATCAGTAAGACCCACAGAAAACAATAATGAACGGATCTCTGTTTTCTCTATCAAAGCAAACAAAGATGCCCAAAAGAACCAATCAAAGAAGAACTTAAACTAAGCACATTGGTACCTCTTTGTAGTTGGTGAGGCACAACAACAACGGCTCTGGAAGCCATTTCAAGATCTTGATTTTCTTGACCGTTACTGCCAAAAACTCCCCCTAGACTCGAAAACAACGACGACAAGAACACCTGGAGACGACTGTTGCGCGTCTCTCTTTCTTCCTCGGCGTTAATGGTCGCCACTTTCTTCAGTTCAGCCCCTCTTTCTCTCTCTCTCTCTAAAATTCCTTTCGATTGTCGCTTTCTCTTTCTCAGGAATTTGGGATTTTCTGAAGTTTTTGTCAGATTGTGGTTGTGATGATTCTTTTTGAAGCTGCGGAACCGACTCTACTTACAACGGTCTAATTCTCATCAAAATATAGCCGTTGGATTTGTGCGAGATCTAACGGGTATGATCCCCTTATGGATTTGTTAGTTCCTGCTGTTTTGAGTTTGGAATTTTCTAGCCGTTGGTGGTGGAGCGGACTTCCTCCAGCGGCTGGGTGGGTTTTCCTTTACACAAAGAAAGAGCAAAGCCCATGACATGAAGAGAGCCCAAATATAGCCCAAAAGAAACTCAAGATGGGTTTTCTTTTATGAGTGTACAAGGAAAGAGCAAAGCTCACACCATGAAAAAGCCCAAAGATTGCACAAAAGAAACTCAGGCCCATTTGGTTCGTGGATTGAACTTCTTGGGAATAAACTTCCCATGTATAATCTCACGAGATGGGAATGGAGAATGTCCATTCCCACGTTTGGGAATGCTTAGGGAATGAGGATTAAGAAATGTCGTTTTCTCCCATTTCCATGTTTTGTTTGTGCAATATTAGAAATGAAAAGTTGATCAATTTTTTATTATTATTAAAAGTTATTGATATAAAGAGTTTTTTAAATGGTCAAAAGTAGTATTTTAAAATAACAACATTGGTATATTGCCTTTGACTCAAAATAAAATAAAATAGCATGGGTAAATTAGTCCAAAAAAATTGCATTAAATGCTTTCCTAAGTGAGGGAAAAAGTTTCCCAAGGTGAGCCGAGGGTATGAACTTCCCCCCTACATGGGAAGTTCATACCCATAAGTTCATAATTGCATTCCCAAGAGTGCACCTACCAAACATGGGAATGCAATTTGAAACTTATTCTCAATCTCCTAAACCTTGAACCAAATGAGCCCTCAAGATAAAGCAAGAAGACTGTGGGAGTAAGAAATTAATCCACTAGCACCCTAAACTAAACTTGGGGAAGTGGAACTACAATCAAGAACACATGTTTTCCCAATTTCTATCCACAATCACACATGAATAAAATCATGAGATTGGTGGGACTTGACGACAAAGGCCTACTAAGGCAAACATGCCTATGCCCATAAATAAATGCAGGGGTAAGTTATAAGGGGTGTCTATGTGAGGTATCTAAGAGCCATTGGATTAAATTAGACGGTTAGTTTTCAAAATAAGGTGCATTGTTAGAATCGGGTTGAAATTACTTGTTGGATGCATTAGAACCCAACTTCAGTTCAAGATGTTTCCCTCCCATTGATAAACTCAGAACCTCACTCCTCTCTCTTCCAATCTAACACAAACCCACTATTACAAAGATCCAAAAACTCTAGACTGGCTCCATTCTTATCAACCTTTCAATGTGTTCCTCGATTGTGGTGGAGATGAAGTCTCCACCACCAGAGTCTTCAATTTCAAAACAGACTGTATTGTTAGAACCAGTTTGAAATTACTCATTCGATGCGTTAGAATCGGACTTCAGTTCAATATGTTTCCCTCTCTCTGAAAAACTCAGAACCTCACTCCTCTCTCTTCCAACATAACACAAACCCACAATTACAAAGATCCAAAAAGCCTAGACTCGCTCCATTCCATCTCCACCACCAAAGAGTCTTCTCTAATGTCCACCACAATCTCTCAAGCTAACTAACTTTTGGAGGTAATTTTTCTGTTGATGGATTGATTTTCTTGGGTTTGGTCTATTTTTGGTGGGGGTGGGAAATTCGTCATTTCTTTACAAATATTGAGTCATTTCTTTACAAATATTTAATATATTTAGTTGATTTTTTTTGGTAGGGGTGGGAAATTCTAAAATTTAACGGCTTCGGTAAAAGATTCTAAAGTTAGGCTTAATGCGCATTAAGAGTAAGCATTTGGAAAAGATATTGGGTGAAGTTTTATAGTTGCTAGTTTGAATTGCATTTGTGTTCTTAATTGAATATGTTGGTTCTAACTTCTTCTTTTTTCCAGATTATTTCATAAGAGATGATGTAACTGTTATTAAATTTTTCTTATGTTTTGTGTTTTGTGTAATCGGAATCCAACAAGTTGGGCTTTGCACCTTTATTATCAATTTGGCCAATGTTTTGTGTAATTGGAATGCACTGCTATGCACTCATGTTTGCCATGCAATAACATTTGATTAATGAACTAATGTTTACAATGTAGTAATATATAAGCAGTTCAATAATATATGTGGATAAAATTTGTGGGGACTCAGAGGAGAGTGATGATTGTGTAATAGCTAATGAGACGGTTTACATACCTAAAGTAAGAAATGAGGAAACACCACCAGTTGGGATGGAGTTCTACTCACTTGACCTCGTTTATGATTTCTACAATAGATATGCATTCTTGGTTGGCTTTGACATCATTCCAGCTTTAGGGAAAAAAGCAATAAAAAGATTATGAGGAAAGAATTTGTATGTTGCAAACAAGGTTCATATAAGAAAGATAAAACTCAGCTGAGAAAAAGGCAGTGGGGATAAGTAGACGCGATTGCAAGGCTAAGGTTGTGGTTGTGAAAACAAATGGGCGCAAAAAGTGTACCATCTCTCTTGTTGTAGAGGGAACAATCATACGATGATACCCTCAGAAAGAGTGCATTTTTTGAGATCACACTGTCGTATTTCAAATTCTACAAAAGTACTCACAAAATAATTTGGTTCAGTTAATATCCTCACTCATAAGAAGGTAAGTATTTTCGAGGTGCAATATGGAGGAATGGATAAAATTGGTTTTATCATAAAGGATATTTACAATCTTGAATATGATGTTGAACTAGTAACTGAGTATTTTATGGCTGAACAAAAAAAAAGAGCCTTTTTATTTCAAGATTGAGGGAGATGCCAATGACAGGTTTAGTCGATGTTTTTGGGCAAATGCAACCTCTAGATGAGCATACGGATTTTAAGGAGATGTTGTTATATTTGATACCACATTCAACACGAATCAATATGACTTGACATTTGCACCAATTTTGGGAGTAAGGAAACAACCGAGTCGGTTATCTAGATGTTTGAGGAGTTTAAGAAAGCCATGCCAGGTGGTGAACCTAAAATGATCATTACAGATCAAGATGCGGCGATGGCTAGAGCAATTTCAATAGCCTTCCCCACTACATTTTATCGAATTTGCATATGGCACATCATATCCAAGTTGTAACAACCCGAACCTAAATTAATGTTTAATTATTAATTTATTCAATTAAAATACAATTTTACCCCGAAATATTTTAATGGTTTAAAATATTGACTTTTTATTCGGGACGGAATTTGGGAATTTCAGTTATTGAGCATATTGAGATGAGTCTGTAGACACATAGTGGGCTCAAATCAGAGTTGTAACGAGAGAGATACGATCAAAATTCAAGTAGGGGCAAAATCGTAATTTTCTGAAACTGGTTTTTAAAACCAGAATTTCTCTCTCTCACAATCTCTCTCTGATTTGCACAGTAGCCCTTCCTCCCTTTGAAACAACAACGACGGTTCTTCTGACGCCACCGCTGACACACTCCACCCTTTTGGGTGGCACCGGTCCCAAACCACGCCACTTCCCTCTTCCCATCCCGACCAACCTCAGCCATTGGAATCACAAGTGCTAGCCGAAAATTGAAGAAATCCAGGCTGTTTTTGGACAGTTTTTGACAGATTTTTTGGAAGCTCGTTCAGGTGTTTTCGACGGCCAAATTTTGCGATCCAAGTATGTTTTCTCATCTTCTCGAGGTGTTCTAGCCGCTGGTTGTGATATTAAGAGAAATTTTTGCGTTTTGGTAGTTAAATAAGCTATTGAAAATCTGCTGGTTTTTGGCCTCCGATTCCGGCCACTTCTAGCCACTTTTCGAGGTAGGTCCAAGAACAAAAGTTGCTCCATTGAGTCTTGGCCTACTGTTTGGAGTTTTTCTGATAGCCAAAATTTGATTTGGACACCCATGCGCTGCCCGCGAGTGGGGCAACTCGTGGGCCACATGGTGGCCTATCTTAGAGGCCTAAAATAACCATCATGCCGTCCCGAGCACGATGGTATACTCAAATATGAATTTGGTTATCGTTTGATCGTCGAACAGATATTGCATATTAGGCATTATCCGAGTTCGATATATTCGGGCTATTGGATCGACTCCAATTTTATATATGTTGATCTATGCATTCTTAGGATCGTGTAGGATTTCGTGGATCATGAATTGGAGCCTCGGATGTTCCGATTCAATAACTTAAAGTTTGCATTTAACGATAACCGTCCGATCGTTTGATCGCAAGCAATCCGATTGTTCGATTCGGACCAAACTTGCAGTACGTATATCCTAAATCTTGTTGAACCTATAGGAACTTCTGAATCGGGAATCGGAGGTCTTGGACCCCGCGGCCCCGGTTGATCATGTTTGGGCAATCAGACCCCTCGGATGATTGTGAGTCTTCCGAAGTAGTTTTACATTTTGAGAAGTATTAAAACGACATTGTGAATGAGTCTTGTTCGGTAGTTGAGTTATTCTGATTATGTTGAGATTATGGAATCGTTTTATAGTGTTATATGGAAATTCTTGGATATCATATTGATATTTGAAGTTATGAGATTTTCTTTAAAGGTTATTATTTTTCATTAAATGATATTATTATGAGTATAAATATAGTATATGGATTGGGTAGTATTAGGTTATGTATGGAAGTATAATGTTTTAATTGTGGGATACGATATGTTATGGAATTCATGTGAAAACAAGTGTTGAATTCTATTTGAATTATTTCGGATCTTAAGAAAATTTATGATGAGTTTTCATACTACAGTTTTCAAACCCACCTCAAGAGTACCCCCCCCTGTTGCCCTTGAAATAGGCCTCACAAGTTTCGGGGATGCCTGAACCGTGTGGTGCTAGGATATGCATTCTCAGGTTGCTTACATGTCCCCCAAGTTCTGTGAGGAATGCAGCTTATGTTGAATAATGGTCCCCTAAGGATTGCGAGGAACGCGGCTCAGTTAACTTTGTGTTTCCGAGGCATGCGAGGATGAAATTGACGAAATAATTTTGGAATTAACGAAATGTTATTGGAATTGACGGAATAATATTGGAATTGATGAAATGTTATTGGAATTGCTGGAATAATATTGGAATTGACGGAATATGGATGGGGGTATATCCAGATGGAGAGTTTTCTAAGTTTTAAAGATTTTATATAGTTCGCCATTAATTTCTTAAGCAATGAGTTTGTTTTATAAGTAAAAGAGGAAAATATATGTTTCAGTTAAGCAGTTGTTCTTGACATTAATATTTTATGTAGTCAATGTTATTTTAATAATTTTCTCATTTTCTTACTTATCTGTAATAAGTTAATTATAAATTCTTATATATATATATAATTATAATTGGGTTTTATGTCAGTTTCGAAGAAAAGGTTAAAAGTGTTTTCGGCAGTTGTTTGTTTTATTTTTATTATTATATTTATATATTTATATATAAATCTAAACTAGTAATACATAAATTGATTTATGAATTAGAGGAAGTCGAGTGAGTGGACTTTTGTTTTATAAATGATTTTATGCAATTAAAGTTTTATTATTTGATCTTGAATGAGTTATTATGAATTTTACTTTCCAAGCATGATTGTTTGATTTTGAATATTTTTAAATTATATTTGTTTATATTTAAGTTGAGCATGGCTTGGAAAGTAGGAAGGATAATGGCAACATAATTTAAGGATGGATGAGAAATAGTTTTTATGATTTTCTAGGAAATGTTTTTAAACCATAGGTACCCATGTTGCCTTCGGAATAAATGGTTGCCTTCGATTATATCAGCGTGTTTGATAGTTGCCCCATGAGTCTTAGGGATATTCGGACCGTGCAGAGCGAGGAATGCGGATCAGGTTGACTAAATGTCCCTCGAATCCTGCAAGGATTGCGGCTTGGGTTGACTTTGTGTTACTGAGACTTACGAGGACGTGTCACAAATTGTGAGCCGAGGAATTGACGGTATACTGTGGGAATGAACGGAAATTAAGGAATTCAAGGTTATATAATGGGTACACCTAGGTGGAAGTGAAATATTGACTTTTCAGTGCTTTAACTGATTTAATGATTTATGTAAACGTGTGAAATATTGTATAAATATAAATATGCCTGTTCGATTTCTGTACGAGTATAGCATGTGAGTGTTATTGAGCATATCGCTAACATGAGAACTTGGATTGACTTGAAATCACAATGGACAATAACAATTGACGAGATACATAAGTGCAGTATAGAAAGAGAAAGAACTATGTGTGGCTTGATCCCTTGTTAAGGGTATGTAGACAATCTAGAGTTACTAGGTGCAGTCACGAGACCAAAGGATTGGAAAAGCTGTTTAGTTATATTATTTTGAAATTTATTAGTGTATTCATGTTGTTTCAAAAGTTTGGAATAGTTTCTGTTGGCAGAACATTTATTTGAATCAATGAGGCCTGAGGCCATTTAGTTATGATGTTGGATTGCTGGAAATTTTATGTTGATGCATGTTGAATGGTTGGGATATATGTATATATATTGTTTCTTGTACAGGTGGAAATATTTTGGGAAATGAGCAATTTACAGGGGAGACTCTGCTGAATTTTCGGCAGAATTCAAACCTAAGGTTAATTTTGGTTTAGTTAGATGGGCACTTTGGTCATTTGTGCTTGGTACTCGCCAGGTGTCGGACACGCACAGGGTTCGGCTCAGATTCCAAAGTGGAATTTGGGTCGAGTCCTGTCACAAGTTCTCTGCTAAGTTACCACATTCTGCTTATAAGGAGTATTGGCTTGATTTTCATAAAACCATATGCGATATTGACAATAAGGATGAGTTTGATGCAAAGTGGAATATTGTGGTTACAAAGTCTGGTTTGATTGACCATCCATGGCTAAGTTTAGTGCTTGATTTAAGGGAATCTTGGGTTCCAGCCTACGTATAACACGTTTTTGCCGTTGGAATGTCAAGTAGCCAAAGAGCGGAAGGTTCTCATGCTTTCTTCAAGCAATACATATCAAGAAGAAATTCATTTATGGATTTCATACACGATTTGAGAGGGCACTTTCCCATCAACGTCAAAAAGAGTTACTTGCTGATCACATCAATGCATTTGAAATACCTTAATGTACTCTACTGATGCCAATGAACAAACAAATGACTACCTTGTACACAAGGGCAATGTTCCAAAAGTTTGAGCAAGAACTAATACAAAGTACAACATGTTTCCTAGAGCTCAAAACAGAGGATGCTTCTAAAGTTGTCTTTAATATGAGTGAGAGGAAAATTTAGAAACAAGAGTGGCAAAAGTCGTATATGATAAATATTCTGACCAAGCGTCATGTAGTTGGAAAGGATTTGAATTTGTTGGAATTATTTGCAAGCACATCCTAACATTGTTTAGAATGGACTAGATTGAATATATGCCCAATAAATATATTTTGAACAGGTGGAAGAAAACTGTGAAATCTGGATTGGTGTCAGATGCAAATGGCAATGAAATTAAAGATTGTGCGGACCCTGGTCTTTTAATAAAGCTGAGTACAATGCCCCGACTTGCTTCAGATGTAGTTGAGGATGCTTTAATGTCTGAAGAAGGTTGTGAGCTATTGCCAGAGAATCTAAACAGTTTGCAGGTGAAGTTGAAGTTATTAAAAGATGTAGTATGTTATAATGAAGTTGGAGGGTCCAGCTCTCAAACACAATACATGAAAAACCCTAAAAGAGTAAGGTGCAAAGGAAGCTCGAAACTAATGGGACCAAAGGAAAAGGCAATGAAGCGAGGGATTTGACACTGTCAGGAGCGTGGACACACTGGTCATGATATAAGACGATGTCCAAGAAATTTGAACACACCGTAAGATGGTAAAACTATTTATAATAACACCTAAAATTTGAATAGTTAAATTTTTTATGTGCTTGTGTTTAGTGTTTATGCAGGACATCACCGTCGAACAATGAAGAATAAACTCAAATAGATCTTAGTGACCCATTATTCGATAAATTTGACAAGATGCATGGACCTACTGAATGATTTATGTTTCTATTGTACAAAGTCCGACTGTTATGAAGGCTAATGATCAGGTGAAGTTTTCTAGATCCTGTTTTATTTTTCTTGTTTATGTCCACTGATAAGCTCTTACTATGTCCACTGATAAGCTCTTACTATGTCCACTGGTAATTGAAATGGAAATTTGGTTGGTTTACTTCTTGCATGAAATTTGGACACATGTTAATTTTACTTGTCTTCTCCTATTTGGAAATTTTCATAAGCGTTTGATAAAGTATCAAATTTTGAGTTATGTAAGAAGCAATGACTTTTACCATGTAAAATGGATAGTTTATGTTGAATAATGTTCTAACAGAGATTCATTGATTATATCATAGTATAATGCAACATTTCTAGCAGTCAGCTGTTGTTTCCATCATCATTAATGATTTCCAGCGGCACTAATCATTTCCAGTAGCCAGCTATTGTTTACAACAGTACCCAATTTTTCCGAATGTTATGTTTTAGTTATTGACTAGTTATTAAGATCTAAACTTGACTATGAAGAAATATTGGTGCACGATTTTGTAAACATTCGTAATTGAAGGATACTTGAAATTGCACTATGTTGGAATAGAATGATTAGAAATCAACATTTGCAAATAAAAAACAAACTACAAGGTTCTAATTAGCGAGGCTGTGGGTAAGAATGATTACTTTTAAATCGAATGTGAATTATATACCTTTATACAATTCTTCCTATTGGTGAAGGTTAATTGTGATTATTCCTTACAGGGCTTTCACAAACCATGAGCGACACCTAATAGTATATCATGACTACCCAGCTAAATAGAATTCGTGTTCAGAACCTAGTTAGTTTTGTGATTACAATGCATTTGGGTCATTCTCTATTACAATACTTTATGTCGTGTTGTTGGGATATGGTTAACTTGTGTCAAATCCTAACATGACATCTTTAGGTTATATGATTCACTTGGATGTAATTGCAAACATTCTTGTTTCAATCCTCATCCTGTACTTTGGCCAAGATTCAATGAATCATATCTTTAGAGTATTCTCTCTTCTTATTAAGAGTAGAGATTCCTTGTTGTACATTCACATGCCTCTGTGCACATACTGAAAACTTTTCAGTCACATTCTTTTGAGATTGTATAGTATTCGAAAAAATAAACAGCTCATACACAAGACAACTATGATGTCTCAAGTCTAAGGACTAATTTGCATGATCATAACTTGGAATTCTTTGTTTGACACTTGTGAGTAAGACTTCTATACAAGAATTCTTGAGTTGATCGTGTTCAATGAACTCCATCTCTATAGAGCACCTACACACCTGTCTTAGTGTCTGTACACTAATGATTTGAGACTAGTCATCCTCTCAATTGAGTAGACATACCAGTCTTTGCGAATTACCTTGTCCAATTAGAGATCCTATGACCAGGAATAATTTAGGATTTGATATTACTATGATCAAAAGGTCTCATGAATCTAACTTCTTTAGACTGCTTTCCATTCATATCTTTATCTATGGACTTATTACTTTATGTACATTATGTATCTTAGAGCAACATTCATGCCCATTTGATTATATTCTATTATATCCTTTGAATATTCCATTTTTATTTTGGCTTCTAGGGCATATATCTAACATCAGCATTAGGGGAGCATGTTATCCAAAATAAAAATCTCAGATTGTACTATTTGCTCTTTGTCCAAGGGTTTGTCCCACTGAGTTTTACTTGGCTAGGTTTTAACATGGCAGTGTTGCACATATGTCACAACTCAATAATATACTCGTCTTCCTATCTCGTTTATTATATATCTTTTTTCTCAACATGAATTTTGCTAGTTATGTTTTAATGAGGAAAATTCTATGTATAGTTGGGGTCTCTTTCCGTTGGAAGGCTTGTCGAGGCTTGTTGATTCTTGGACCGCCCGTAGAGTGATGAATCAAGCCTTCATTGCCCCTTTTTTTGAGTTAGCGAGAATTAGGCCCAAAGCATCTCGAGGAAGAAGCAAGCCCCAGGGAAGTACTTTGTTCTTCTTCCAGCGGCTGCGTGTTTTGTGCTGATGTTTTCGGCAGCTAGACGAAAAGTTGGAGATGGTGCATTGATGTTGCATAGGCTTGGCATGAGAGGCTTGTGGCGTGGGAGCTAAGAGAAAATGAGCATAAAGAAAGGATTAAGGCTTGAGATTTTTGGTGTTTTTAGTAGCTAGACAAAAAGCTTGTGATGTATGTGTTTTATTAGCAAAAAGGTAATGACTATGGTTTCAACTTAGCTTAAGAGGATGGGTCTTTTAGAATTGTTATGGAGCTTTGTGGTGGGGGGGGAGAGAGAGAGAGAGAGATAAAGAATGAGTGTCTTAAGTAGATTTCCAACAGCTTGACAAATGCTTGGTTGTGCTTTTACATGGTTGAAGATGACTTGATGATGTTGAACTGAGATTGTGCGAGCTTGGCATGAGAGCTTGGAGTGTGGGAGCTAAATGCTCGCAAGTTTAGCAAATGAGAATGCATGTGCTTGGCTTGGTGTGGATAGGATTGAGTTTGGGTGTTGAGAACTTGTTGTTTGTGGCCATGCCTATAGTGATTTAGGAGTTTAAGAGAAGGATGATGGAAAGAAAGCTTGAGGCATGAAGGCTGTGGTGTTTATAACTTGGAAGGGTATGAGGAGGAAGGAAAAGCTTAGAGTTATGCTTGGTGAAGCTTCATAGGGAAGATGGAGGATTTCAAGGCTAAGAAAGTAGAAGAAATGGTTGTGATAGCTAAAGAATGGCTGGGATGGTTGCTGGAATGCTTGCAGTAGCCGAAGGTGATCCAGGTGGATCTTTTCAAGATAATTAAATAATAAATATTATTTAAATTAAATAATTTATCAACCATTCGACTCGAATGGTTTAAGAAGAAATGGTTCTGAACCATTTAAAAATTAATGGTTTGAATTACCTAAAGAATTTAAACCATTTAACATTTGTGGTTTAAATTCATTTATTATTTTTAGTTTTCTATTCTAGGCATTCAGGCTTGTATATAAACCATTGTAGTTGAATGAATTAAAACAGGCAGAACTCAAAGCAGTTCCTTAGCTTCTTCCTTTTGTTTCTCTAAATTGTCTTAAAATTCCTCTCGTTCCCTTATTCCTATAAACTAGGAATTCATAGTTCTATCGACTAGAAGTTTTGGATCAAGTGGTATCAGAGCACCAGATCCGAGAGGGTGACGGTGGTTTATGGTCTCAACTCGCAACCAACGCAAAGCTTCTGGAGAAGAACTTTTAGGTCCTTTGCTCGTACACCGAAAGCCAAGGTCCAAGAGAGACAATATGACTGGAGAAAACAAACAGGATACATCTAGTGATGGCGATATCATCACTAAACTTGAGCAACAAGTTGAAAACTTGTCTGCATCAATCCTTAAACTCGTGGAGAGTTTGAAGACTGGAAAATCTTCACGTCCATCAACTTCATCTGAGCCTGATCAAAAGCTCAAGAAAAAGGTTGTTGAGGATAGCGAAGATGAAGACGACATACAAGCTGATCCAACGAAAAAGGAAGCTGAATCAGGTGACAATAAAAATTCTATTGATACCTTAAAGATTGATTTTAAGGTTGACATCCCTATTTATAAAGGAGATATTGATCCTGAAAAGCTAGATAACTGGATAGACACATTAGAAACTTATTTCACAGTTTATAAGTATTCTAATGTGCAAAAAATAAAATATGCGAGTTTGAAACTTTCAAGCCATGCCCTTACATGGTGGAAGTCCTATCAGAGACGGTATGATGTCTCAGAATTGACTTGGAAGAACTTCAAGAAGCTTTTGAGAAAACAATTTTATCCAGTTGGCTATGAAGATGAAAGATGGTATAAGTGGCAACACTTCAGACAAAGATTTGGGCAGCCTGTACAAGAGTATACAACAGAGTTCCACAACCAAGCTATGGTTCTGGACATTGACGTTGACGACTACGACGTTTTCATGAAGTATACCGGAGGTCTTGCCGACTACATACGGAAAGAACTAAATTGTTCACCGTAGATACTATTGAAGATGCTACTGTGAAGGCCATAGCCATTGAGGCAAAAAATAAAAGAACTGACAAGAAGGATGACAGATCAAAACCTGTCAACAAAACTGACTGGCAGAAAAAGGGGAAGCAGAGCAAGGAAGGTCAGACACAGAATGTCTACTGTGATCACTGTCAAACCAGCAGACATGCCAAAGACAAGTGCTGGATACTCCATCCAGAGTTACGGCCAAAGCGCGAGAAAAACAACCAGGGGAGAAATGACAGAAAAGCCACATTAACTGCACAACGGGCAGAAGAGCTTCCAGAGTTGAAGCAACCTGATGTTACACTTACCCTTATGACAAGACCAGCAGATACTGAAGACACGTACAACCGTGAAGAGCTGTTTCATGTGAATATCCAGGTGAAGCAAAGTGTTGTACAAGCTATTATTGACCCTGGAAGTCAGAAAAAACCTGATTTCAGAGGCTTTAGTAAGAACAATGGGTTTAAACACCACACCACATCCTAAGCCGTACCCGTTAGGATGGATTCAGAAGGATGTTGACTTACAGATCACGAAGCAATGTACCTTCAAATTTGCTATCACCAATCGATATATCGATGAGGTGACATGTGAGGTGGTTCCTTTGGATGTTTGCCAAGTCATATTAGGTAGTCCATATTTATGGGACCGAGATGCCATCCATTATCGAAGGCTTCGCAAGTATCGACTTGTGAAAGATGGGAAGGAGTTCCACATCAACGCTTGCAAGCCTCAAGCTACAAATAATTTGCTTACAGATAATTTGCTGACAGCTAACCAAGCCAAGAGGTTAGTCAATTCATGTGGGCGATTCGTTTTGTTGATGATTCGACCGCAAGATCAGAGTTCTAGAGCTGTGACATTGTCTACATTGTCTTTATCTCCTGCACAATGCTCAGACATAGGGAAATTACAGGAGAAGTTCAAGGACTTATTTCATGATGTGCAGGGTTTGCCACCACGGAGAGCTGTGGAGCATGAGATCCAGTTGGTAGGAGATTCACCTCTACCAAACTTGGGTTTGTATCGTACTTCTGTGACGGAATCTGACGAGATCAAGAAGCAAATTCAAGGACTTCTTGAACAAGGAGTCATCAAACCCAGCTGCTCACCATGTGGTTCGCCAGTGTTACTTGTGCCTAAGAAAGACGGAGACTGGCGTATGTGTGTAGATTATAGGGCACTCAACAAAATAACCATTAAGAATCGGTATCCATTGCCGAGGATTGATGACCTACTAGATCAACTACATGGTGCACGCTACTTCACTAAGCTTGATCTCAAATCTGGCTATCACCAAGTCCGCATCCATGACGAAGATACTTGGAAAACTGCATTCAAAACAAAGCAGGGACTATTCGAGTGGTTAGTCATGCCATTCGGATTATGCAATGCTCCAGCTACCTTCATGCGATTGATGAATGAGGTACTCCGCCCTTTCATTGACGACTTCGTCATTGTATACTTAGATGACATTCTCATATTTAGTGTCACATGGGAGGAACATCTTCATCATATTGCTCAAGTTTTGGAGGTTCTACGAACAAATCAGTTACAGTTAAATGGTAAGAAGTGTGAATTTGGGAAACAACACCTTGTATACCTGGGATTCATTGTTGGTGCAGGAGAACTGAAAGTGGACCTAGAGAAAGTGCAGGTGATTTCTCAATGGCCTATTCCCCAAACAGTGACTGAAGTTCGGAGCTTTATAGGTGCATGTCAATATTTACGAAAGTTTATTCGGCACTTTTCACAAATTGCAGCACCCTTACATTCTCTAACAAAGGCCAATCAAAAATTTGAATGGTCGAGAAACCATGAGGAATCTTTCCAGTTGTTGAAACGGAAGATTACAGAGGCCCCAGTATTAGCATTACCGAATTTGCAGAGACCATTTGAAGTGGAAGCAGATGCATCGAACTATGCTATGGGAGCCGTATTATTTCAAGATGGGAAACCAGTTGCATACCATTCTGAGATGTTTAGTGGACCGGTATTGAATTATCCGACTTATGACAAGGAGTTGTATGCAATGCATCAAGCAGTGAAGCATTGGAGAGCTTACTTGTTGGGAAAAGAAGTTGTAGTTCACTCAGATCATAAACCTCTTCAGTTTTTAACTACACAGTCTAAGTTACAGCAAGCTCGCCATATGAAATGGATGTCTTACCTACAACAATTCAGTATTGTGATAAAGTACAAGAAGGGAGCAACTAATAAGTTGGCAGATATGTTATCTAGACCACCTACACCAGTTAGTTCCGCATTGCTGGTGGCTATGAAAATCCAACCCATTGTTCCTTCTGAATATGCCAAAGGGTACGACACAGATGCTGATTTCAACTCAGCCTATGCCAAGCTGGAACAAGGAAAGACTAGTGAGTTTCAATTGAAAGATGGACTAATGTATAAGGGAACACAATTGTGCATTCCAGAAGATGGTGACAGATTGCAATGGATTCGTGAGGCTCATACTTCTAAAGTAGCAGGGCATTTTGGAGTTGAGAAGACTTTATTGAATCTTCGTCGCTATGTGTATTGGCCAAAGATGCATCTCGATGTTTCACGATACATTCGAGGTTGTGTTCTATGCAACACATCGAAGCCTTCCAACAGGAAGTTAGGACTGTATCTTCCATTACCAGTACCTACTCGACCTTGGGAGAGTATCTCGATGGATTTCTTAGGTGGCTTGCCTAAAACCAAGTCTGGAAATGACTACTTGTTTGTGGTGGTAGATCGTTTCAGTAAGATGGTGATTCTCATTCCATGCAAGAAGACCGTAACTGGAGAAGGAGCTGCTAAGTTATTTTTTCAATATGTTTGGAAGCATTTTGGCTTACCTACATCAATTATTTCTGACAGAGACAGTCGATTCTTAGGCCATTTCTGGAGGTCGTTATGGGGAATGATGGATACTAGATTGAAAAGAAGCACTGCATTTCATCCACAGACAGATGGGCAAACGGAGGTCGTAAACCGGACTATGGTACACTTGTTGAGGGGTTACAATTCCAAGCATCCGAAGACTTGGGATGAAAGTCTCCCTTACTTACAGTTTGCTTTCAACCGAGCAATTCATGGCTCTACACTCAAATCTCCATTTGAGGTTTGTTTGGGTTATTTACCCCAGAGTCCTTTTGATTTAGCATTCACTATGAGTGACCAACCATTATGTGGGAAAGAAGAAGAAGAACATATTCGAGCACATAAATTTCTCGAACGAGTCAGAAAGATTCATACTGAAGTGGAGGCACAATTGAAACGTTCTCAGCAACGATATAAAGCTCGCCATGATAAGCATCGTGTGCCATGTAACTTCAAAGAAGGTGACCTAGTATGGTTACACCTTGGAAAGGAGCGGCTAACAGGTGAAGGCAAGAAACTGAAGCCTATTCGTTATGGACCGTTCAAGATCATCAAACAAATTGGTGATAATGCCTTTCAACTTGAATTACCACCATACATGCATATGTACTCGGTCATCAATGCCGAGAATCTTAAGCTTTTTGAGCCATCTCTACTTGATGATGATCCCGACGAAGACATTCGGCTTCCATCAGTTGATGACTTAAAAATTGAACTAGAAGACCCTTTGCTGAAGGATTGTATCTTGGAGCAGAAGGTTCGTGAGACCCGACATGGAAAGTATGAGTATTTTCGTATTGGCAGTAAAGGGCAACTTCCCAGCAAATCGAAATGGTATATTCGAGACAAGGCTACTCAAGAATTTCCACATCTCACCATTTAACTTGAGCAGGAGCTCAAGGTCTTAAATGGGAGAGCCATGATCCAGGTGGATCTTTTCAAGATAATTAATAATAAATATTATTTAAATTAAATAATTTATCAACCATTCGACTCGAATGGTTTAAGAAGAAATGGTTCTGAACCATTTAAAAATTAATGGTTTGAATTACCTAAAGAATTTAAACCATTTAACATTTGTGGTTTAAATTCATTTATTATTTTTAGTTTTCTATTCTAGGCATTCAGGCTTGTATATAAACCATTGTAGTTGAATGAATTAAAACAGGCAGAACTCAAAGCAGTTTCCTTAGCTTCTTCCTTTTGTTTCTCTAAATTGTCTTAAAATTCCTCTCGTTCCCTTATTCCTATAAACTAGGAATTCATAGTTCTATCGACTAGAAGTTTTGGATCAGAAGGGAGGAAGGAATGTGGTCTTATGGTTGCTAGGGTGCTTGAGCAACCAAGAGAGTTGGTCGATGGTTGCTGGGATGCTTATAGCAGCAAAATGATGGAGGTTGATGGCTCAGGAATGACTGTGATGGTTGCTAGAATGCTTGCAGTAGCTGAAGAAAGGTGAGTTTCTCATGGTTGCTAAAAGGCTTGCAGTAACCAAAAGGAGTTGGTTTTGCTTGGGCAATGCCTCCCAACTTATAGAAGGTGAAGACTCTTTTTAGTTTCTAATGGGTAAAAGGAAGTGTTGGAGCTAATCTATTTTCAACAGTAAAAGGAAGTGTTGCAGCTAATCTATTTTCAACAGTAAAAGGAGCATTGAGACATTCTTATTTCAAGTAGGTAAAACTAGGCATTGGAAAATGACTATTTCTTATGGGTAAAAGGAAGTGCTTGAAAAATATCTCATTTGCTTACCCACATTGGATAACTCTAAGTAATGGGCTTGGACTTTGGTGCTCCCAAGTAGATAGCCCAAAGTCTCCATTACCTAAGAGCTTCCATGGGCCTTGTGGATCTCCGTAACCTTCCACGTCATAATCCTTCGTGCAAGCCCCGTGAACCACATGATTGGGATCATGTGAGCTTGGTAGGTGATTGACAAATAAAAAATGCATTATTGGCTTGGCATGACATGCACACTATTTTTATATTTATTTAATGAATTAATTTAAAAATACAGCTTGGATTAATGCATGACCAACATTATATGATATATTGAACTTTAAATGTCTTTGGGTTTCCCGTGACTTTTTGGGTCTCAACATTTATTAATTTGGCTATCCATTTAGAGATTGGTATGCATTATCCGAGTATCTACTTAGAGTTATATTACCTATAAGCACAATTATTTTCTCAGCTATCTTTCTTTTCTTATTTTTATAACAATTAAAAAATAAAATGTTTTTGGACTGAAATAGTAACGGAATTTTGTTAGACCATTAATTTTTTTTTTTCTAACAATTTTTTTTTTCGTGAAAGTTAAGACCAAGGTTTGTCATGACCTAAATCTCTAAGGAGAAACATGTATTTATTATAATCTAAAATATAGTGTATAACTATCAAAATCCACAACTTTTGTATTTCGCTCATAAATAATGACTGCTTGAATACACATCGATTTCTAGAAAGTTGTTGAAAGTCAAGACTAAATACAGCCAGAGTTTTATTTAATTTTATAGACTCCATTAAAATCCATTTAAATTTTAAATCTAATAATTTTATAGACTCCATTAAAACCCATTATTGTTCGTTTGGATGAAGCAATTGAAAATGACATAGAATTTAAAATGACGGAATTTAGAATTCCATCATTTCAATTTTTAGCAATTGAAGATTTTATAGTGTTTGGATAAGTAGGTCGAATTTTGTAAATGACACCATAAAAATTTTGAAATGACACATATTTTGGTGGAAATTAACTCGGGAATTTGATGTCCCAATTTTCATGATTTTTTCCACTCGTTATTTAATAAACTCCACTCTTAAATTGCCAAACAAAGAAATTATCAATTTCTACTCTTAGCTAAATTTCGAATTATTTTCCCTCATTGAACGGAGGGTTAAACTTTTAATTATGATGTGGTAAGTGGTTAAAAGCAGCAGTAGTCCTGTAAGTGACACCGTAAAACAGAAAAATTACGAGCAGTAAAGCTACGCTCTCCTTCCCAATTTATCAGCCTCAGAGACCGAAACGCAAGAGAACCCCCCCCCCCCCCCCCCCCCCCCCCCCCCCCCCCCCTCTCTCTCTCTCTCTCTCTCTCTCTCTCTCTCTCTGCTCTCGATGGATTTCCAAGTGGTCGTCTTAGCTGGTGGCACCTCAAAGAACCTTGTCCCTCTCGTCTCCAAGGTCCTCAAACTTTTTTCCACTTGATTTCCCGGAAAGATACTATCTCAGTTCGATTTATTTATGTCCCTTTCTCGCCAATTTTCCCACCAGCCAAACACTCGGTTCCTATTTCTACAATCATTACTGTTTCCTCTTCTTCTTTTTCTTTTTACTTTACTGTTATTTTTGATGATTTCTACTCTTTTATAATGACAGGAGGTTCCAAAAGCTCTGCTTCCTGTGGGGAATCGTCCGGTTATCTCGTACGTTCTGGAGCTCTTAGAACTCAGCAACCTTAAGGATCTCATTGTTGTACGATCTCTTCTTCTTTCTCTCTCTAACCGTTTCATTGCTCTGCTTTGCTCTCTGTTTCATTGCTCATGGCGGTTTTCATGGGTTAAGATAGTTTGTGTGATGTCAAGTTTTCGTCTTTCCAGCAGCAACCAAACAGCGCTTCTTATTGATTTTGCGTTGTGTATATTCATTCTAGGTGGTTGAAGGGCAGGATGCGGCTGTACGCGTTGGCAGTTGGATTTCAGGGGCTTATGTTGATCGTTTACATGTTGAAGTACTTACCAAACTTTGCTTTCTTTTGTTTTTATTTTAACTAATATTATTTTTGAAATTTATGTTACTTTAGTTTGTTTCTTTTTAAATGCTATGTTGTAGTAGTAGTAGTTGTTGTTGTTGTTTAGGATTAATGGATCAAATACAATTTGTACATAAGAGAACACTTGATGTCTAACAATTAGAAAAGATAGTCTTAGAGTCCTTGTGTAAGTTTTTGGAAATGTGTCAAAAACTGAATGATCTTTTGGCACCTATGTTGTGATGGCTCTTTTTGGGTAGTTTTTGGGGAGAGAAATAGAGTGGTATTTATTTAATGATGCTTGGGTTAAGGAAGTGGATCACTTGTGGGAGAGGGTCTGTGTTGGGCATCCTTATGAGCTTCAATGTCTACAGAGCTCAAGGACTTTTTTTTATTTTTATATTTCTTCTAATTGGATGCAATTTTTTTTATGTGGCTGTTCTTTGGCGGATGTAATTATTCTTAGCTGTTGATTAGTAGACTTTTTATGTCAGTGGACACCTTGTCCTCTGCTATCTACTCTTTCATTTTTTTTTTCTTTCTATAAAGTGAAAAAATGCATCTTATCAGTAACACATCAAAAACCCAAAAAAAGGAATCTTGGGTCTCATACAGTGATCCGATTGATGAAAAGGAAAGGATTAATCAAATACTATTGATTCTGACTCAGAGTAATTATTTATCCATGTGATTTTGGGTATCTCTACTTACTGGAACAGGGATTTACTTGTGGAAGAATGGTTCCGCACAATCTCAATCTCTCTGTCTCTTGATTGTTCAGCTTTAATTTTATCCCTGTCAATGCTTGATCTGTATGCCATCATGCAATTTTCTGGTATCTATACTGTCCTTTTCTGCGCTGAGTAATCTAGGGCTCCAAATGACAAAAATTCTGATTGAAGGTCTAAGTTTGCGAGGCTGTATCTGTGCTGATTATTCTGGTTATTGAATTTGAAATTTGATTTTTGGTTAGTTTTGTTACTGTTTGGAGTGTTACTGTTTGGAAAAAAGGGCAATTGTGTAAGTAATTGAATTTGTTATTTGGCATGGTAGCCTTTGCATGTAAATTCCCTGTGTTTTCAAAATTATTTCTATGGCTTCATTTTCTGTGAAGTTGGATGCACATCCCTTGCATTGTTGCATTTTGTTTGCCCGTGCATGTAAACTGCGTTCGTCAGTATATAAAGTCTTTAGTCACGATGATACTGAGCAGTCCTTTTCAATAACTCCACTTAGAGGTCCTTTACCCAAGTTTTCACCTAGAGAATCATTGCATAATTCTGTATACTGCAGGTTGCAGCAGTCCCTGAGGATGTTGGAACAGCTGGTGCACTACGGGCCATTGCACACCACCTGACTGCAAAAGACATTTTGGTTAGCATCTAGATATCCTTTTTAGTATTTTGACTTCTTAAAAGTTTTTTCTTACATAGTATTCGACTGTTTGTGTGCCTGCAGGTTGTGAGTGGTGATATTGTCTCTGATGTTCCTCTTGGTGCAGTAGCTGCTGCTCATAGACGTCATGATGCAGTAGTAACTGCAATGCTTTGCTCTGCTCCTGTAAGTGGACCTTCAGAATCAGGATCTTCTGTTGGAAAAGATAAAGCCAAAAAACCTGGACGCTACAATATCATTGGGCTGGATCCCACAAAACAGTTTTTAGTGTACATAGCAACGGGTTAGATCATTTACTTATCCTTTTCTTTAGCATGCAGCCTTACATGTTCCTCATCTAGCTTCTTTTGGTTCTTACTAGGAGCAGAACTTGAAAAAGATATTCGAATTCAGAAGAGCATACTCCGTGCAGTTGGCCAGGTAATGGGATTCCCTTTGTGGATTGTCTTGTTTCTTTCGGTAGACTAGAAAACAATTACTTGGCTGGTGAACTTTCAATGGGCATATGCTTAATGCTCCCACATAACTTTTTAAAACTATTCTATCATCTTGGACATCATCATATAAAAAATTATGAGTTACTGATTTACTTCTTGCTGATCATCATTACTACATTGAAACTTCTGTTACGGATTTGATTAATTTCTTTTCAGGATGGCATTCCAGCTTTCTAACATAGGGGTGTTACAATTTGTCCCCCAAATCTTTTCTTCTTTCAGTTTACCCTCTTGATTATGCTTGTCTGTTAATCTGGGGTCTCCACCCAATGAAATCTCTGTTTTAAAAAAAAAATGATGGGTTGCCGTCCAGTTCCATCCAAGATTCTGTTAAATAAGGTCATGTTCCGTGGATATGAACCCTTTATTAAGGGAAGTTTGGTCCTTCTTTTCCAATTTTATTTATTTCCCTTTTCATATCTCCTCTCTCTTTTTCCTTCACTGCGCACTCTCTTTCTGTGCCATTTACTCTCCTACATTTGTTCTCTCTCTCTCTCTCTCTCCTTTTTCTGCTTGTTCTTGCTTCGGTTAATGGGATTTAGGGATTAGCATTTCGCTGGGTTTGGGTCACTTTGGGTATTGGACTGCTGGGATGACTTTTATGGGTGGTTGGGGGGTTGGGGGGTTGGGGTGTTTTATTTGGCTGTGGGTGCTGGGTAAGTGTCCAATGATTTGGTTTGGCTGTTGATTTGGGGCTGGGTTTTGTTTGATTTTGATGGTCTTTAAGGAGATTACAATGTGGAGCAATTTGATGAGCTTGTTTACTGGACTTAAAATTTATTTTCCTGATTTTGTTTGGTTAGGGTTTGGTTTCTTTGGTTCTTTTAATATTGCACAAATTTGTACAAATTTTGTAATGGTTTGGTTAGCTTAGTGGATTCTCTGTGGTATTGGGTTTGGTTAGCAAGTTGTGTGTAAAATATGAATTTTTTGTTTAACCCAGATTCTGCCTCTTATCTAGCACATGCTCAATAAAATGTCCCAACAAGAGCAATAGCCATGGAAATCATGAAATATTTAGGTATTGTGGAGTTGGTTATGAAGCTTGTGAAATGTACTCTGAGTTGGGTATTCGAATTCAATGACCAGCTTGAGTTGGGTACTCCGACGGTTGGGTATTCAAAGTGAGTGGTTGATATGTCAGTTGTGTTTCTTTTATGTGTTAGTTTCAGCTGGGTACTCCAACTGAATTGAATTCAGTTTTTTCTATGACTCTTGGAGCTTTTTGGTTGATCAAGTTACACTAAAGGGTTGCGTATTTGGGAATGGGGCGGGGAAAGAAGAGTGGACACGGAAAGAAGGGGGACAGAAGAGAGAAGAGGCAGGGGAAGTGAGAAAAATACCCTTGGAAAAGGGGTCACATGGCGCATTTAACAGAAAAGTGAATGGAACTGGACAGAGACCCTACAGTGCATAATTTATAGGGCCAACATTTTTTAGGGGTTAAATGATAACACCTCAGTTCAGGGGGCATTGCTGTAATTTCCATACTTTATTTTTTGTTGCTATGTATATTTCTTTGAAGCAATGGAAATTTTATGAAGTTAAGAATTGTCAATTCAAATGTCATTTAACCTTGATAAAAGGTTAAACAGGTTTCTGCATAGTCTTACACTTTTTTTTTCTGTGTAGATGGAAATTCGATCTGATCTCATGGATGCTCATTTATATGCATTCAAGAGGTTATAACTCCTTTCTTTTTGCTTATAAATAATGATTGTTTCGTGCACAAATTGTTCTTTTTACATGCTTACAATATATACTGACATTCCCTCCTAGGTCTATTCTGCATGAAGTTTTGGATCAAAACGATACATTTCAGAGTTTAAAGCAGGATGTATTGCCTTATCTTGTTCGCTGCCAGCTGGTTAGTCCAGTGAGTTTCCTTATTAGAGTCCTTTAGGATACTGGCCCTTCTAAATCATCTGACTAGTTCATATTTCTTTGTATTAAAGAGTTCAGAAGTGTTGTTAAATGGTGCACCACAAACAGAAGAAAACGGAAATGAGAAGGCCAGTTCTCAGAACAACCAATTAATGCTATCTCAAATCCTGGCTAATTCATCCACTCCAAGTTTCCATGAGCTCTATGCCCTAGGTCCTAATGGCTCTACTCCTGTTCGAAGAACCCATAAATGCTGTGTTTATATTGCTGGAAAGAGCAAATACTGTGTGCGTTTAAATTCCATTCAAGCATTCAGTGACATTAATCGAGATGTGAGTTTAAGAGCTTTAAGTTGGGCATTTCCTATCATAATCATCTGTTCTACATTTTCATTCTGTGCAACCTTTTGGCATGTCCACATGCTGAATTCTGAATTCCTGCCAGGTCATAGGGGACGCTAGCCATTTGTCAGGGTATTCCTTCTCTCCACAAAATAACATCATTCATCCATCAGCAGAACTTGGATCAAAAACAACTGTAAGTCAAAGTATTTACATTTCAAAAAAGTGGATTGCCAAATTAGCATTAGATATTGTTGACCTTTCTGACAATTTTGGGAAAGTTTAGGTCACTGCCCTGGGTGACTTCATTTTAAGGTTATTATGGTACTCATCAGCTGGTGGGACTTTGTTTTAGGTTGGACCACATTGCATGCTTGGGGAAGGTTCACAAATGGGTGACAAATGTAGTGTTAAGCGATCTGTTATTGGCCGTCACTGCCGGATAGGTTCTAATGTGAAAGTAAGATGATTTGTTTATCTTTAAAGGTTGGAATTAAAAATAATAAAAAGGGTACTGATTTTCCCACTCCCTTTTTATCTACTTACACCATTTTTTTAAAATTGTATGTTCTCACACCTTTTTTGTTCACTTACACTCCCTTTTATCTTATAGTAAAAAGTATTAAAAAATAAAAGGGTGTAGGTGGATAAAAGGGGAGTGGGAAAATCACCACCCATAAAAAATTGTATCTAGCTTTTTTATATCTTCTCTGTGTCTTTCTGATTAACTACAATGACAGAGGTATCTGGAGCTCAGATAAGTTTATCAAATTTTAATGTTTAACATCTGCAGGTTGTGAATTCAGTTGTTATGAATCATGTTACCATTGGCGATGGCTGTTCAATCCAAAATTCAATTATTTGCAGCAATGTACAGCTCCAAGATCGCGTTGTACTAAAAGATTGCCAAGTAAGCATACCTTTTTTGGGATCTCTCTTCTTGCCTGTCTTCCCCTCATGTCTCATGCAGCGGCGGGTATCTCATTATTATGTTTGTTTGCCTTCCAGGTTGGTGCAGGTTTTGTGGTTACAGCTGGAAGTGAGTGCAAAGGGGAGGCATTGGCTAAGAAAGAGAAATGAGCAAAAGGGAGTCCGTGGCCATGAAATGATAATGGGAAAGTTTTAGTTTCCGTCTTGTGCTCCAATAGATTTTGTTGACTGGTGGCAATGAGCACAAAGTGCAATGGGAAAGATAATCTCCGAGTTTAGCTTTTAGTCCCCATCTGCCTTTTGATTTTATTGGTTCTCTCGTATCTAATCAAAGCATTTCCAATTTATATTTTCAATTGAGAGAATGGGTAGACGACTAGCATCAGTTTTGTCAAATAGTTTCTCGTATCTAAGTTATTATCTCAATGAGTTGTCGGGTAGAAAGCCTTCTTGTATTCGCAATGATTGTTTTTTGTATTTGTAATACCAAAATATACTATGGACTCTTCTGGTTTACACAGTGGGGGTTTCGCTGCTTGATATGTTTATTTCGTTTTGTTGCCTGGTGTAACACCCCCCTTATGCGTACACCGGAAGGTGCTCCATAATCAGAGTGAACATGAATCTCGCATTGAGCATGAATTGAAGTCACTCCAAGCGTTCCCCTTTTGAAGTCTTTACTAGTAAGAAACTTCCTCGATGTGTGAGTTACCCCAACTCCATTATTTTTCATTTTTTTTTAATAATTAGAGCTGAAAATAAAAAGGGTTAATCACAATTTTGGTCATTGGGGTTTGGCTCGAAATTAATTTGTCATCGTGATTTCAATTTTCCCGATTTCGTCACTGTTTGCAGTTGATAATAAATCAAGTTCAAGCTTTCAATTTTGTCAGTTTGGTAGGGGTTTTATTGTCCTAAAAATTAAACAAAATTTTAAAATCAAATATATAAAAGTAAAAAAGGGAAAAAAAGAAGACAACCACCCCCATCCCCACCGTAACCCCATGGTTATCTTGTTCCATAAGGGAAAAAAATAGAGCTTGGGTTGGGTACAGAGAAAAAAGGTGACTGGGTGGTTGGCAAGAGAACCCAGCAGTGGATGCCGACGGAGGCACAGGGATGGACCCACGTTGGGGCAAAAGTGGTCAATTGACCCTTGGAAACCCGGAAAACGCCAAGATTGACCCCTGGTCATGTTTGATGGCTGGGTAAGAGTGCCTAGCAACTGCTTGATGAAATGTCTAAATGAAGAAGGCATGGTAGCACCTGCCTTGCTCTCGCATGCGGCCTTGCGTCTTCTTATTTGTTTTTGTTTTTGGACCTGGCCAAAACGACACCGTCTAGGACCAGGTCACTTAACTTTTTTTTTAAAAAAATTTTATTTTATTATCATGGCCTTTTGGACAGGTTTGAGAAAACAAAAACCCAAAGGAGAGCTCTTCCCCAACCCGATATTAACAACCCCACCTAATTAAACTTTTCTTTATTTAATTTAAATAACATCTAAATTTTCAGTAATCACATTAACTTCTTAATTTTGGTTATGTGGGGTATATCTCCGCATTATTTTTTGGTTGGAGTTTATCTTCCTATCTTTTTTTTTAATGTTCGAGTATATCTCCCTATCATTGAAACCAAACCAGAGTAGTATTTAACTGCACACAAATAAAAATAATTTTCTTTTTAAGTTTTCTAATTTCCGAAATATACATATAACAATCTAATAAACATGTTCTCATAAAAAAATAAATTAATATGTTCTCTAAAAAAAAATTCTAATAAACATGCATATATATAATATACACTAAAACTACATGTATGTACTTTTATTGCATTTTCATTCATTTCTATGGATCTTGTGTATTTAAAAAATTGTGAGCATGAATGTGTTGACCTCCGAAAAGAAGATTTCTGGATTCGTCCTTGTGGAGCCCCAGGCGCCACCCCCTATACCCTCCAACCCCATCCCCTCTAGCCAATGGAATCCCCACTAAAAAAACTGGAAAAAGAAAAAAAGAAAGACAACAACAAACAGTCGAGCCAAGTAGCTTTTAAAATTTTTCGGTCAATGCAACGAAGGGCCAATAGCTAGAAAAAGAAGAACAAGATTTGAGATATTAGTTGCTAATTTGCTATGGATTGACACTATCTGTGCATTAAATATCAGTATAAAAAATTGATGGTAAATTCTTCATTTGATAGACAACGAAACGGTGGAGAGATTTGGTGTGCTGGGTATATTTGGGGGAGGTGGGAAGGGAAGGATCGGGGCCAAATTTCATGGGTGGAGGCGTGGTTTGATGGGTATGGTAGAGAGGTTAGGATGGGGTGGTTTTGCCTTTTTCTTTTTTTCTTTTTTAATTTTATATATTTAATTTTAAAATTTTGTTTAATTTTTAGGACAATAAAACCCCTGTTAAAGTGACAGAATTGAAGGCTTGGACTAATTTGTTAACAATTGCAAGTACAGTGACGAAATCGAAAAAATTGAAATCACAGTGATAAATTAATATTGAGCCAAACCCCAAACCCCAATGACCAAAATTGTAATTAACCCAAACAAAAAAATGGGAGCTTTTGGTTTAAATTCACTAGAAAGTTTATTATTGTGGTAGATAATAATTCAATTTTACCAAATTTAGATAAGGTTAATGACTTAAATATAGCATCTAGTTTTACAATAATGTAATTAAAAAACCTTAAAATTACACACATTGTCACTCCTATATTTTAAAACAACTGATGGGAAAAAAAATAAGAAAAAAAGAGGGAAAAGGGAGGGGGAAAAAAAAAAAGAGGAGAAAAAAAGAGAAAGGGGGGGAGGAAGGGGAAGGGGGAAAGGGGGGGGGAAAGAGGGGGGGGGGGGGGAAAGGAGGAGCGAAAAAGAGAGGGGGGAAAAGGGGGGAAGGGAGAGGAGGGGGGGGGGGGGGGGGGGGAAAAGAGGGGGAGGGAGAGGGGGGGGGGGAGGGGAGGAGGGAGAGGAGAGGGAAAGGGGAAAAGGAGAGGGAGAGGGTTGGGGAAAAGGGAGAAGAAAGGAGTAAGAGCGAGGAGAGAGAAGAAGAATAGAGGAGAAGAGAGAGAAAGAGAGAGAGAGAAAGAGGAGGGAAAGGGGAGGGAAAAAAAGAGAAGGAGAGAAAGGGAGGGAGGGAAAAAAAGAAGAGGGAAGAAAAAAAAAAAAGGGGAAAAAAAAAAAGGAGAAAAGGAAGAAAAGGGAAGGAAGGGGGGGGGGGGGAGGGGAAAAAAGAGGGGGGGGGGGAGAAGGGGGGGGGGGAGGGGGGGGGGAAGGGGGGGAAAGGGGGGGGGGAGAGGGGGGGAAAAGAGGGGAAGGAAGGGAAGGGGGGAGGGGGGAAAGGGGGGGGGGGGGAAGAAGGGGGGAGGAAAGGGGGAGTGGGGAGAAGGGGGGGGGGGGGGGGGGGGAGGGGAAATGACGAGAGTAGGAGGGGAGGGGAGGAAGGGGAGGAGAGAGAAAAGGAGGGAGTGAAGTTATGTCTTGGGAGGTTTTGGAGAAAGGGGTTTTCTGAACTATTGTGACATTTAAAGTGTTTTAAAAAGGTTAGACCAAGGAATGAAATTTTGGGATAGGATTGTACTATAGTGCTTGTGCATTCTATTTGCTTATTTGTTGTTTGAGTGTGTTATATGCTAAAGTTCATTGATTTAGGTGTTTTTTATAAGTATGTTTTAATGTGATCAAAAGCCAACTCCAATCACCTAATATTAGCAAGAAATGACACCACTTCAGCTTTTACCACTGTTTTCACAACATTTGGAAGAAGTCTGGCTCAAAATGGGTTCCAAAAGGTTGGCTACTGAGTAGGTCACACCATGTGGACGAAAGCCGGCAATAGCGGCTAGATCAAGTAGAGGGGGGGTCATCATCCCAAATCGTAACCTTACGCAGTTGGTGGAGTATGACCAAAAGAATAGGCCTGCGATGATGAGTAATGATCACAAGGAAAACTCCTGGAAGCGCAATCTTTGTTCCAAAGCTCTGTACCAATCATACCAACTTCTCTTAGGCTCAATGTCAGCCATTGGTTTGGGTTTCTTGGCTTTGGACCTTTTTCCTAGCCATAAGTTCAACCTCATAAGGTCTGCATGACCAACCTTTTATAGGTCAAAGAGCTTTCCAAGTAGATTTCCAATCAAACACCATGGGGAAAGGTGGAGGATTATCACTCTGCTCGGCCCAAATCTTCACCATATCATCTGAGGTTGAAGTGGGTACAAGGTACCAAGAACGTATCTTGGGACATCACCTTGGAATTTGATGGTGTGGGCTTCCTCGAGTTTTTGTTCCCTTTCAGCCATGGCCTTCCTCAACTTGGCCAAGTGAGAGATGATGGACTTTAGCTTTGGATCCATCCTACAAACACAAGTATTATTGAATCAAGGAAAATATAGTGGCAAAATAATAAAATTTGCTGAGAACATGAAGAACATTCAAACTTTCAAAAGTTTAAAAAATATTCCAATGGCCACCATTCATCAGAATGACAACAATATCAAAAGGAAAAAAGTACAACATCTTGAAAACTCGCAAAATAACAGATTTGGTGGTGATTTGAATGGTTTTTGGCCAATCAAATGATGAATCTAGAAAGCAAAGTTTAGGTTTGGTGGGAGAAAGTTTTTTAAGAGAAATGTAAATGAAGTTTTTTGATTATGAAGAAACATTTGGAAGCAAAATGGTATTTATAATGCCTAGGTTTTCTAACTGTTATGAAGTTCAAAGGTCTCTAAAATATTGACTAGGGTATCTCTCTAAACATAAATTTAATTCAAACGTCATAAATTGCTATAGTAAAGAATGAAGTTGAAACATCCAGAGAAAACTAAAAAGTCGTAAGAATTTTGATTCACTTACCCTTTCACCAATCGAAGGCCAAGGAATCAAGGGGCAATGTTTGGATGTAGTCTCCAATTCCAAGCCAAGTCAAGGAGACCAAATTCCAGAAAGGCCAAGCCAAGCCAAGCCAAGCCAAGGAGACCAAATTACAGCCAAGTCAAGTGGTTCCAATTCTAAACCAAGTCAAGTGGAGACCCAACTCAACAAGGCTAGCCAAACAAAGAAATTTTTATTTATAATGACAATAAATAAATGAAAAATTAAGTAGTTTTGGTTTGGAATGGATAACCAGCTACGTAAATCCAAGGTTTTGGGTTGTCTTACCAGCCACTTATGAGACCCAAAAACAGCCGGGTCGAGAGATAGGTTCAAACGGATTGGAGCCTCCACGTGGGTTGAAATCTTGCTGCAACAATATTTAGCTTTCAAAGCAACTCCTCTAACTATATTTTTCAAGTCTAATAGTCAGATTGGGACCTCTTCTCTTATGACCTTAGTTGGTCTTGGTCGAAAATCTCGCCAGCAAAGTCGGAGATGGCTGACAATGGCTGATGTGGTTTTCCATTGAAAGGCCTTGCAATTGGTCGCAAATATAGCTGATGGATCAAAATCCTAATGGAGAAGGTTGTTGAAATTATCAACATAAAGTCTTGGTTGATATGGGTTAAAGTCCCTTGAGATTGACCATGGTTTGGAGCAAAGAAGGAAGGCTGCCGTAGCTTTTGATTCTTTTGAATACAGATGCAATTATCGAAAGTTACTTTGGCTTCTAAATGTCTACACCAAGTACTCTGAATGGACCCACGCTATTTGAATAAAGAACCATCAGTTTTGGCGAAAATTCTGTGGTGCATCGGCTGTACCGGTACAGCCACTCATCTAAGGGTTCATATTTCATTTTAAAAATCAAGGGTTGAGATTGAATAACCTGATGACTTGTTCACTCCTTTCTTATTAAAGTCACGTGCACTGGAGCTGCTTCATCTTTGCAATATCTCTCTCTCTCTCTCTCTCTCAAATCCAATCCTCATCTTTGTCCCCAAGTTGGAATCTGAGCATCTCCTCTCTGCCGACACCGTGATGCAAGAACCATCAGAGAGGAGATTGAGTGGGGTGATTCAGTCGAGTTCGACGGGGGTGGTGTGGAAGGCCTTTATTTGAGTAGAAATTCACCGACTTAGTGTTGAATATGGAGTGAGGATGTCTGTGTTGCAGAGCCTTTGATGGGAGAAAAAATTCAACGCCTTGGACTGAATCTTGGTGATTTTTTCTTTTCCCTCTTTTAATAATTATTAATATTTTAATATTTTCTTTTAATTTCATCACAGCATCAGACCCACTGTGATCCTTTCTCCATCAAACCCATGTAATTTTCATTTTATGGAGGATTTGTTTTCTTCCATGTATGAGGTTATGGATTTGTGTTTCAAAATAAGATTTTGAACAATCAGGTTGTTGATTTTCTTTAAAGTCTTGGATTCTTGAATTTTTTCCTACTTTTTTTTTTTTTTTTTTTTTTTTTTTTTTTTTTTTTTTTTATCTGTTTTATTATCTTTTTATTATAACTCTGGTCATGAATGGAATCCAATGATGGAGTTTTTGGGTTTGTTAGTTGGAGAATTGAGGTTGGCATCAAAAGAGAAAGATGAGTTCTTTAACTGAGAAACCTCATAACTGGTTTTGGTTTCTTCAATCCAAGTGGTTGATGGTTAACTTTTGCAAGACACATTTGTCAGAGCAGGTGCTTTCCTAGCTATAGAATTTTAATACCAGTATTAACATCCAACACATTGTTTTGCTATATTATTTCTTATATGCAATTGCATATAGTTTTTGTGCAATTGCATACAGTTTATGCAATTTTTGACCCCCTGTATGCAATTAGCGATAGTGTGATGTTTAAAGAAATGTTTGACTCGAATGCTATGTCATTGAGTTATTTACCCATTAACAATCTAGTAACAATTAAGGTTTCGTTCTTTGAGTATGTTGCGTTCATTTGATAAATTTAAATTTTGGTATGTTCGGTAAGAAAAAATAAGAGTTCACGAGAAAGAAGAAGACATGAATTTTTATTTATTTATAGGTGAAGTGTCTTCGGTTGCCATTACCATTTCAAAGATTGTATTGCTAAATCTGTAAGTGTATGGTTCAAATGTGATGTTCATGATTGGTATTGGTTGTTGTGATTGTCGTAACTGCTATATATTGTTCGTTTGTTTGGTTAAACTTATTTATCTGTTTTGCAAATCAATAGCTTCATTTTGGTTTATTACCAAGCATCCATTTGATATGTGATTTGGCAATAGAACGTAAATTCAGCCACTATTCCTGTTTTCATTAGTTGATATTAGTTTTGTTCTTTAAACTATTTATTCTGTTTTGTTGTGCATAATGGATGAAGTCAACAAATTTCAGGGGGGAACAATTAAGAGATAAAGCTATGAAGCATTTAGGGTATATACATTACTAATATGATTGTCTTTTTAGCAGAGAAATAATTAGTATAGCTCTACTTTTTCTTTGCTTTTCCTTTTTCTGGGTAAAGAGTTAGTTTAAGTACAGAGTTGCTGTATGAAATTTGTTAATGTTTTTGGGTGATATTTGTTTTCTCTTTGTATAAAAAGCCTTAAAGGCTTCTAATATTTCCATTTTCCCAATTGAACGCCCATATTAGTCCCTTTTCCTATAATAGGAACATTTGGTTGCAAATTTTTTCTTTCCTGTTCTGTATTCAGTTTAAGTTTCATGCTTCATGATTGTAATGTTTTTTTATTTTATTTTAAAAGAAAAGCGATACTTTTCTTAGTTGCACTATTATTTACTTCAATTTGGGTAATTGTCATCATAGAATTTGATTGGTCGTATTTTGAGGTTCTTTTATTATTTGGTTGTTGTAGTTCATTATAATTACTGTTTTTTTTCTTTCTTGCTGTTCAAATTTGTAGATTGTGTAATTTTACGATTTCTCTTGCGTCTGATTTTTTCCATTTTTCCTATTGTAGGTGCACAAATTGCAAGGAAGGTTCACATCACTGCATTGGTTACTGAAAAGGAGTATGGATGCACGAAAATTCTGCGGTGCCTCAGCTGTACCGGTACAGCCGGCTATCCAACGGCTAAGTTTCCATGTTAAAAAAGGATGGCTGAGATTCAATGACTTGGTGACCTGTTGAGCCCTTTTGTTATTCAACATGTGAGTGGCATGTGAGGAAAGAGAAAGGCAGGTTTGGTGGATGAAGAAGACGCGCGCTCTCCTCTCTTGTTGCCCAAATCTGATCTTTCTTGATTAGGACCCTCTGTGTATTATTGTTGTATTAGGGTTAATCACATGTTGGTTTATGAAATTGAGGATATTTTGGAAAGTCATTTGTGCTACATGACAATGTGTATTAGTAATTGTAATTGTGGGTTTGGTCGATTTGTAATAGAATATGTTCGGCTTATAGCCCAACCCTTAGCATTTATTTGAATGCTCTGTATTTCTGTTGATTTCGCCCTTTGATTTATAGTTAAAGAAATAGGTCTACTTATGCCTGTACCGAAAAAAAAAGATCAATTTTTGGTTATGATGGGTTTGCGCACAGTCACTCTCGCATTGCATCAACGTCGTGCAATTGCATGTCTACAATGCAAATGCTGACCGGGTGTGTGCAAACTAAAGCTAGCTTCAAAACGCTAACCTAATTAATGAATAGTGCAAAGACAAAGAAAAGGAAGTTCCGAATTTGATTAGGACCCTCTGTGTATTATTTTTGTATTAGGGTTAATCACATTTTGGTTTACGAAATTGAGGATATTTTGGAAAGTCATTTGTGCTACATGACAATGTGTATTAGTATGTAATTTCGATAATTGGTCGATTTGTAATAGAATATGTTCGGCTTATAGCCCAACCCTTAGCATTTATTTGAATGCTCTGTATTTCTGTTGATTTCGCCCTTCGATTTATAGTTAAAGAAATAGGTCTACTTATGCCTGTACCGAAAAAAAAAAGATCAATTTTTGGTTATGATGGGTTTGCGCACAGTCACTCTCGCATTGCATCAACGTCGTGCAATTGCATGTCTACAATGCAAATGCTGACCGGGTGTGTGCAAACTAAAGCTAGCTTCAAAACGCTAACCTAATTAATGGATAGTGCAAAGACAAAGAAAAGGAAGTTCCGAATTTGATTAGGACCCTCTGTGTATTATTGTTGTATTAGGGTTAATCACATGTTGGTTTATGAAATTGAGGATATTTTGGAAAGTCATTTGTGCTACATGACAATGTGTATTAGTAATTGTAATTGTGGGTTTGGTCGATTTGTAATAGAATATGTTCGGCTTATAGCCCAACCCTTAGCATTTATTTGAATGCTCTGTATTTCTGTTGATTTCGCCCTTCGATTTATAGCTAAAGAAATAGGTCTACTTATGCCTGTACCGAAAAAAAAAAGATCAATTTTTGGTTATGATGGGTTTGCGCACAGTCACTCTCGCATTGCATCAACGTCGTGCAATTGCATGTCTACAATGCAAATGCTGACCGGGTGTGTGCAAACTAAAGCTAGCTTCAAAACTAAACCCGTTCGCCTAAAATATGCGCCAACCACGTTACTTGTTCTAGTGAACGTAATGCTTGCGTTTGTACAGTAAAGTTACCCGTTCAACGAAAAATGAGCCCAATGAACTGACTTTTTCAAAAAAACGGGAACATTGTTCAACCGAACGCAAAGGTTTGCTTTCGTTCAAAAATGTTTGACGTTCCGTTGAAAAAGAGGGCCAAAAAACTTATTTTTCAAACGAACAGGGTATTTGTTCACACGAACGCAATGCGTGCGTTTCGCCAAAAAAGTTACCCTTTCGCCGAAACAATGCACCAACTAACTTACTTTATCAAACAAACGGGTTACTTTTTCACTCCAACACACACACATACGTTCGTTAAGGAATCATTTCTGTTCGCCCAAAAAAGATATCCAACCAACTTACTTTTCCATACAAACGAAGTATTGTTCTAGCAAACGGAAGAGTTGCGTTGGATCAGTAAAAATACCCGTTCAACGAAAAATGGGCCCAATTAACTAACTTTTTCAAACAAACGGGGAGTGTGTTCAACCGAACGCAAGGGTTTATTTTCGTTCAGACAAATTCTACGTTCCACCGAAAAAAAGGCCAACAAACTTACTTTTGCAAACAAACGGGATTCTTTTTCACGCAAACAAAATGGGTGTGTTCGTTCAGTAAAGTTACTTGTTCAACGAAAAATGGGCCCAACTAACCAACTTTTTCAAACAAACAGGGAATGTGTTCACCCGAACGCAAGGGTTTACGTTGCTTCAGAAACATTAAACGTTACACCGAAAAAGAAGCCCAACAAACTTACTTTTGCAAACCAACGGCCTTCTTTTCCACACAAACGAAACGCATATGTTCGTTCAGTAAAGTTACTCGTTCAACGAAAAATTGGCCCAACTAACTAACTTTTTCAAACAAACGGGGAGTGTCTTCAACCGAACGCAAGGGTTTATTTTCGTTCAGAAAAATTCTACGTTCCACCGAAAAAAAGGCCAACAAACTTACTTTTGCAAACCAACGGGATTCTTTTTCACACAAACGAAATGGGTGTGTTCGTTCAATAAAGATACTCGTTCAACGAAAAATGAGCCCAACTAACCATCTTTTTCAAACAAACAGGGAATGTGTTCACCCGAACGCAAGGGTTTACGTTGCTTCAGAAAACTTAAACGTTACACCGAAAAAGAAGCCCAACAAACTTACTTTTGCAAACCAACGGGCTTCTTTTTCACACAAACGAAACACGTATGTTCGTTCAGTAAAGTTAATCGTTCAACGAAAAATGGGCCCAACTAACTAACTTTTTCAAACAAACGGAGAGTGTGTTCAACCGAACGCAAGGGTTTATTTTCGTTCAGAAAAATTCTACGTTCCACCGAAAAAAAGGCCAACAAACTTACTTTTGCAAACCAACGGGATTCTTTTTCACACAAACGAAATGGGTGTGTTCGTTCAGTAAAGTTACTCGTTCAACGAAAAATGGGCCCAACTAACCAACTTTTTCAAACAAACAGGGAATTTGTTCAACCGAACGCAAGGGTATAATTTGCTTTAGAAAAATTAAACGTTCCACCGAAAAAGAAGCCCAACAAACTTAGTTTTGCAAACCAACGGGCTTCTTTTTCACACAAACGAAATGGGTATGTTCGTTCAGTAAAGTTACTCGTTCAACGAAAAATTGGCCCAACCAACTTACTTTTTCAAACAAACCTAGTGTTTGTTCAAGTAAACATATAAATTACGTTCACTCAGTAAAGTTACCCGTTCCAACACAAATGAGCCCCACGAACCTTCTTTTTCAATCAAACGGAATGGGTTGCGTTTGCCCAGAAAAATGCCACGTTCCCCGGAAAAATAACGCCAACAACTAACTTTTTCAAACGAACGTGATTGTTGTTGACGCTATCGCAAGCGTTACGTTGGTTCAGTAAAGTTGATCGTTCCCTGGAACCATGGGCCCAACAAACTTACGTTTTCAAACAAACGGAGTATGTGTTCAAACGAACGCATGGTAGTGCGTTAGTTTAGAAAAAGTAGACCTTCCCCATAAAAAGAAACCCCAGTCAAAGACTTCTACCATATTAGACTACAGATGAAGGATTATTTAAAGAGTTACTTCCTATACATTTTAACTCAAAGACTTCCACCTCTTTTACTACGTAAACACAATCTGAGAGAAAAAAAAAACCCAAACAATGTCACATTCAATGGTTGGTAGCTCTCGAGGCTCCTTCACGCCCAAGAAGAAGATGGTGGATGATGATGATGGTGTTGATTCTTCGAATTATGCCCGCGAGCAAGTGAAACGAGCCCATGATGTCACGAAGACTCCCACCGAGACGTGTAAGAACATGTTTCATGAAGGAGATTCAACCACCAGGTACGAACTTTACAATGGCGGGATTGATATCGGCTTTGAGATCTTTAGGAAATACGCTCAGTTTGTTGATGCTGGTTCAACTAAGTGGGACAAAATCGAGGTATTCCAAGCAATTGCTATTTTGGAGAAGCGAGCTCCGTGAAGCACCGGTATTTTATAAGTATTGTGTTGTTGAGCTCGTGAAGCACCGGTATTTTATAAGTATTGTGTTGTTTGTCATAATTTCGGATATAATTTCAGATGTTATAATTTCGGATGTAATTTCAGATGTTATAATTTCGGCTGTAATATCGGATGTTAGATGTTATAATCAAATAGTTTGAGGGTTTAGTTTTGTAACAAAAAAACCCCAACATATGGTTAGGAGACCTTTATTATCAATGAACTAGGCACTCCTGTCTCGTAAATGAAGTCTGGGCCCCAGATATGCTATAATGTTCCCATTCTGGCAACAAAAAAACTCATGTGTGCAATGTATTACACGAACTAGATAACGTGCAATTGGCCGTGATGTAATGCAATTGTACATGATATATTGCAAAAATAATGTCCCCGCATGCAAACAGGGAGAAGTACATGCAATTGCACTACATTAACCATCAACCCTATGTGACCTACTGTCAAACTTTCTACTTTGCCTGGGAGCGTGTCATTGGCTTCCTTGCGATGGGATGATGAGGGATGAAGGGACCATGTTGTTCAGCCAACTTGTCAAGTTCTTCGTCGACAACTCTTCGAGCGGACTCCCTTACTTCCTTTAGACACGTGTTGTTTGGGTTCTTCAGCAATGATAGTGCAACACGAACCCGCTCAGTTGCATGTTGAAACTGCAAAATGCATTTCGGCCAACTCTTGATTGTTGCACATTACTCTCCGCCTTGCGCTTTCCTTTCGCTGATCCCCTTTTTTGAGCTTCCATAACTTGCACAAATCAAGTACAAAACACTGTCATGCACTTGTCTCTAGCGCCGAGATTTTGAATACTAATCCAAAGCCTAATACACCCTAAACCCCCTAAACCCCGTAAACACCACAACATCACACATTGCTTAATTATAAAAATACGGGGACCTGGATTTGCACACAGTTGCTTAGTAATTGCATATACTGATATGCAATTGCACGACACTACTTGCAAGTGCATCAGACCTCGATTATAACATTGCACAGATAACGCACACAACCCACCCATGCATTTCTCCCATGGGCCGGGATTCTTACTCTTTTCAAATCCCAATCCAAATCTTAACCAATCCTAACATTACACTTTCGGAACACTTTACTCCCCATAACAAATTATTCAAAAACACAGTCAAACCTACCTACCTACCACGAAATCACCTCACTTGCATAATTTGAAAACTAAACTAGATATTGTAATTGCATTCAGTGACTTGGATTTGCATACAGGAGATTAGTAATTGCATATACAGATATGCAATTGCATGAACATTACAACCATGAATGTGAGATACCCACTTCACCTCACGACACTTTCAGAATGAGAAACCCACTTCATCTCATCAATGTGAGAAACCTACTTCCCCTCTTGCCCCAAGTCATCACCACACAATTTCAATTAACAATAAAATAAAACATAGTGTTCACTTACCTTCACAAGGAACTATTACCAAATGCTTTCAGAAGGGCTCGATTGTAGATGAGAGGAGTGCCAACGCAGTGACTGGAAAAACTGATTTCCAATTCCTATTATCAACCCGAAATACTAACCCTAAACTTTTCCCCAAAATCCAAACCCTAGAATAGGGGGTTTTTGACAATGATGACAAAGAAGAGAGAGAGGTTGCAGAGAGGAGGAAGAAACTTTCTGCAGGAGGAGTTGAAGAAAAGATTATCAGTTTGAAGTTTGAAGTTGCAGAAAAGATTATCAGTTTGAGGAAGAAGAACGTCGAGTGAGCGTGAACGTGAAATCGTTCCCTTGTTCACATCAGCAGCGCGTCAAATTTTTTACCTGTTGACCAGGTCAGCAGGTTTCCTTTGTTTTTAAAAAAACCTCACGTGATGGGCTGTACCGGTGCACCCGATGCACCACAGAAGGACTAAAATGTCTGCGTGTTTGACAATCCAAAGTGAGCTAGATTGGTCAGAAAGTTGGTTTGGATTCCATGACCTGAGATAAAACACATTAAGTAATATTCTGAAAGAAAGAATTTATAATTCTAAAGTGTTAAAGGCCAAATTGGCAATTAGATGGCCATTTGGCCAACCAAACTTAAGTACCCATAGTCTAGGCTAGAAAGTTTATTGATCCATGATTCATATGCAAATATGTTACATGTTGTGTGAAAAAATGGAGGCCTCCGGGTAGTTTTCAAAGGCCATGAGTTGGTTTGCATTCATATTTTATTATATATATATATATGATCTTAAGTTTGAACTGAGAAATTTCCAGTCACCCCAACATAGGCGAATTTCTTTTAGTCACAATTAGAGATTCTAGAAGCCACAATATCTCACCAGATGTTAAGCCCAAGTCCTTGGAGGTCCAAGCTCGACTTGCAGAAGTAGACCCAAAACCTCCGGATGTTTTCATGCACGTGACAAGATCCATCCAAGGAAAGCAATCAAAGAGAGTGATGTTAATCTAGACCATTCCTAAAGAGGAGAGAATCAAGTGATCAGATTTGTAATCCGATGATCTCATTTGAATCAATTGCATGGATTTAGGAAGCCATACAAGGAAAGATTTTGAACGAAGTTGACTTTTGGCCATATAATGGCCATCCGATAGGCTGACGAATGCCCCTATATAAACCCTATCAGACAAAGAGCAAAAGGACCCGACATCAGACACAAAAACCTACTTTTTGTCTTTCACTTTTCTATTCATAGACTAGGTTTTTATTTTCCAAGCAAGTAGATTAGATCAGTTCTTCACTTTCGTTAGTGTAAGTTTAATTTCTTGCATTTTCCATTACGTTGTTTTAAGATTCAAATTTATTGCTTTACTTTTAAATTGTTATCAAATTTTCTTTAAGTTTAATTTAATTTCAGATTGCTTTATTTTATTGCCTTTATCTTTCATATCGTTCTTATTTTGTTCTTTGTTTAATTTACTCTATCTCTTTGATTTACTTTACCGCACTTTAATTCTTCTCTTTAAGTTTAATCACATCTTTTAATTTAATTTGCATCATTATCATTAAATCTCAAAAAATACTAAAATGCCAATAACCTAACCATCCTCGAACCTCAGGAAGTGAAAGAACCTAGGCCAAGAGGAGGTTCCTTGCTTGGCCGATCAATCGGTTGATTAGAAGTCAAAAGTCCAAACACAACACTCCCATATTTTCCATTCAAGCCAATCAGTGGCTTGGTAGTGGCACGCTTACTCAATCCAATAGAAGAAGGACCAAAAGTTTCTTCCATCGGTCACCTCGATTGTAAAGAGGGAAACATAATTTGGCACTCCCAGTGGGACAACTAGGTTTTGTATGGTGGTAAACACTAGGAGGAATCCTAGAAGGGATCAAGAGTTTGAAGAGTCTAGACTTTGTTCGGAATTAGAGACAAGCATGGCTGGTTCATTTCCAATGAACACACAGCCACAAAATGTTCTAAACGGACAACAAAGCCAAAATATCCTTGGCGGAGCCCGGTTGTCGACCCCAACCATGTGGTGGTCGAAGATGTTTCGAATGTTGTTGGAGGACAAGTCTTAAAGTCGAATCCGGCCACTTAGTTGGAGATCCAACAACTCATCCGAGCACTGTAGACATCAAACCAACTCAACCATCAACAAGTGCAAGACTTGGCTCAAACTATGGCTACCCAAAATGCTCACATAAATGAGAGGTTTGATCGATTGCTAGGCCAACAAAATGGCCAAAATGGGAATTAGGTGGCTTCAAATGGAGTGCCAGTGGCAGGGCTTCAAGTGGAGGTTCAACCAAACGTCTTGGGTGCGAATCTGCCTCAACCGAATCCACTAGCTAGGGGTGAAGGGAATATTGTGGGAATGGTGTTGTATAGAGATTTCTAAAAACTCTACAACCAAACTTTGAGAGTATAAATCACCTAGCATGTGCAATATCTAATATGAAATCAAAGTAAGAGCGGAAGCATTAAATAAACCTTCATGGAAGTCGATGAAAGTGTGCACCAAAGACTCTTGTTGTTGTCTCTCCCTTTGATGTTGATTCTCCACCTTGTAGCTCTCTAAATAGGTACAAAAATATGCACCTCCCCAAAACTCTTCACCAAGGATTGAATGGGATGAGAGAATAAGTAGACAACAAGTGAAGAGTGGTGCTAGCACATTCACTCGATGTGATAGATTCTAGGGGTTAGGGAGAGAGAGCTTGATGTTCTCTCTCTTCCAATTTCACCAACTTGAAAAACCCTAGGATGATAGGATTCCATAGATACACACTTATAGGATCAAAATGTCACAAGAGTGACAAAAATACCCCCAAGCCCTAGTGTAGCCACACACCCCTTTTTGTTTGTCATCTATTGCTATCTTGGTCCAACACATTAATCCTATAATGTGTCACATATGTGCCTAAGTCCATACGGTCAAATCCCTTTTGAATTTCCAAGTCATATGGGACCTTTAATTAAGTTCCATGACTTTAATTAAATAATTAAATAAATCTAATCAATTTAATTACTCTAGTGACTTGACTAATTCAATCACTCACTTGTCTAACAAGTGCTGGTCTCGGTCATCCTTAGTTGACGAAGTCAAGTGTCGGGTCAACCGTTTGACCTTTGACCTTTGATTTTTGACTTTGATCTTTGACTTTCACATTGACTTTGACCAAGTCACAAAATCATTCATTCTCTTCATAATTTCGCAATCGATTCCTTTTCGGTGTGCGATCTTATAGGTTCTAATTAGCGAGGCAATGGGTATGAATGATTCACTCTGAATCAAGTGTGAATTGTATCCCTCCATACAATTCTTCCTATTGGCAAAGGCTAATTATAATTAGTCCTTACAGGGCTTCCACAAGCCATGAGTGACACCTAGCAGTATGTCATGGCTATCCAAGCTAAAAAGAATTTATTTAGAGAACCTAGTCAGTTTGTGATTATAATGCAATTTGATCCTTCTCTAATTCAATACTCTATGTCATATTCTTGAGATATGGTAAACTTGTGTCAAAGTCCCTAATACGACATCTCTTGATTATATGATTCAATTTGATGAAAAACGTTCTTGTTTCAATTTCCATCCAATACTTTGGCCAAAGATTCACGAATCATATCTTTAGAGTATTCTCTCTTCTTACTAAGAGCAGAGATTCCTTGTTGTACATTCACCTATCTCTGTGTACACGCTGAGAATCCTGAGGAACACCCTTAAGTCACATCATTTTGATACAATCGTATAGTGCTCTGAAAGAGAAACAACATATACACAAGACAACTGTGATGTCTTAGGTCTAAGGTTTAATTTGCATTATCACAACTTAGAATTCTTTGTTTGACACTTGTGAGTAAGACTTCCATACAAGATTCTAGAGTTGATCGTGTTTAGTGGACTCCATCTTCTATAGAGCACCTACCCATCTGCCTCAGTTTCTCTACACGAATGACTTGTGTTTGTGAGGTAAAATACTTCTAGGCCGAGCTAGGCTACACCATGGTGTTAGTGGTTGAGTTGTGCCATACCACAGTATCAGTGGTCGAGCTGTGCCAGACCACGGTGTTAGTGGTTGAGCTGGGCCAGACCACGGTATTAGTGGTCGAGCGAGGCCAGACCACGGTGTTAGTGTTCGGGCTGGGCTCGAGCTTGGTCGCCATATATTTTTCTAGCTTGACTCGTGTGGGCTTGTGGGCCCATTGGTCCATGAGCTTAGCCTCGGTGCACATGAGGTTGATTTACGTGGTGTTCACTCAAAGGACTTCTAGTCCTAATGAAATTAGGATGTTTCAGGATCACCAAGAGGCTTATCTAAATGGAGTCGTAGTCCGAGGAGGGTTAGGTTGTTCTGGAGTCCCAGTTCAAGGAGAGCTGGTTTGCTCTAGAGTTCCACTCTGAGAAGGATTAGGTCATCTGGGATGATATAAAAGGCTAAGGTCACCCTCCGTTAAAGGTATGCAATTCTAAGCACTAGAACCTATTGTGATTTTACTCTTAAACACTCAACTGACTTAAGCATTGGTGGGTCCTTGGCTAGCACCACACTAGTGTCACCCACTAAAGCTATCTTATTTTACAGGTTTTGGAGGATGACTTGGTTGGTCACGCTGACCTAGTCCAGAAGAATTGCCCGACCTTGATCTCGAAGAGGTCATCCTCTATTGAACCAATTTTAGGCATCAACAGTTTGGCACTGTCTATGAGAATTGACATCTTGTTGATTTCCATTTAAGTTTTTAGACAACAACCACTTGCTTGAACCATGCGTCAAGAGCCCAGCCACAATGAATCCGTCACCCTCGTTGTGCCAAAGAAGGGAAGGAAGAAATCCAATCGCCTAACTAACATCATGACCTACCTGAAGGAGATGAGGAAAGACATTAACGAACTCCGTGATCGGAGCAAGGGGGGTCACAGATGAGGCCGAGAAGACCCATACAGGAAGACAACGAAGGCTAGAAGAGTGCCGTCAAGAACATGGAGATTGTCAACTCAGTGGACCCCAAAGCTGAGGCAAACTTCAATGTGAGGGACATGGCGACGAAGAGGGTGAGAGCCATCCCGATCTCCTAATGGAATGAACCATGGAAAGCTGCAAACTTTTAAGCCTAGCCTTCATGGCTCATTCTTTGGTTTCTCTTGCATGCCAGCCAAAAGCCAAAAGGAATATCTTGACCTAAGAGATTTGCTGGAGGCAACGAAAGCTCAGTACATACGACCTCATAATCGCGATCGTAAGTCGATCGTGATCGTGAAATCAATCATGATCGTGATCGTGATCGGGAAGTCGATCAGTCTGAAGTCCCCCAAGTTCATGGAGATGAGCATGCTGGAGAAAGTAAAATTTTGAAAGCCATGAAGTGGATGCACGATGAGATGGATCGGAAGCTGGAGGTCCACTTAACAACCCTCGAGCTTGAGCGAGGTCCAGGACCTCTCAACCTGGCCATGATAACTGACACCCTACCATTTACTAAGGACATCCTTGAATTCAAGCTCCCAAAGGATTTCAAACAGCCCAGGATAAGACTATATGATGGGACCACTGATCAGTGGACTTCCTGAATGACTTCGGTTACTGGATGAGCGTGAAGGATGTCGGAGATGCCATGAAATGTGGAGCTTTTCCTTTGCTCTTAGAAAGATCAGCTAAGGATTGGTTCAAGTCCTTGAAGCGAAACTCCATAAGCTCATTTTACCTGCTCAAACAGAGCTTTGTGAACCAATTTCTATCTACCTCAAAGAAGAGATACCCACCTCACTACCTCCTCAGCATCAGGTAGGGCCCTAAGGAGAAGCTGCGAGATTACATCAACCATTTCAATCGAGAAGTAATTAGCATCCCTAGTTGCTCCAAAGATACGACCTATACTGCCCTTCTAGCTGGGTTCCGAAGAGGACCTTTTATATTCCATGTCAACAAGCTTCCACCTAAGAGTTATGAGGACCTGGTGTCCGAGGCGTATTGTCATGCCATAGTTGAGGAGATGACATATGACACACTAGAAGGGAAGGATCCGTCGCAGCCTAGTGTAAGAGATAAATAGAGAGAAGATCAGAATGATGTACGCGAGAAGCTAGACTACAAGAAAAGAAGATTTGAGAATTCTAGACGAGGTGGGAAAGGCCGAGATCGGCCACAAAATCTTAAATAAATTTCGATCGCGATTCGACAACTACACTCCGTTGAATACTAATCGACAGGAGGTCTTCTTCCACATCCAAACTAAGTTGCCAAGACCCCGACCTTTGAGGTTTTCCAAAGGGCGAAAGGATCCAAATCCATATTGTAGATATCACCACGAGAACGGTCATACGACGGACCAATGTTACGAACTCCAGGATGAGATTGAAGCAATAATTAGGCGAGGTCGTCTAAGCCAATTCGTGGGTGAGAAGAAGCAAGCAGAACAACATGACAACATACCAGATAAGCCACCACGTGTTACGAAAGACATCAATGTTATCTCAGGTGGAGAAACTCTAGCTGGGCACTCCAACAAAGCACGAAAGGTGTATGCGTGACGTACCCAAGGTGGACTCGAGGCACTCTCTTTTGGTCCAGGCTACCAGACTCCGAAGTCACCCAAGCTCAGGTACTGGGTGATCACCTTTAACGAGGAAGAGGAAAGAGGTGTAGTTCACCCGCATGATGACCCACTCATAATCCAAGCTGAGATCGCAAATTGTTGTCTGAAACGGGTCTTCATTGACACAGGCAGTTCAATTAATATCATCTTTACCTTAGCTTTCGAACATATGGAGATATCACGAGAAGAGCTCAAGCTAGTGGTCACTCCCTTGCACGGATTCACTATGGACAGCATCAACTCCAATGGAAGCGTCACACTACCTCTGTCACTTGGAATAGCACCCCAATAGACAACGGTGTACACAACTTTTCTAATAGTTTAATGCCCTTCTGCTTATAATGTTATTTTAGGTCGGTCAGCCTTATGCTCTCTCCGGGTCTTCATTGCCAGCCACATGTTCTTGATGAAATTCCCAACCAAAGCTGGTGTGGGATATGTGAAGGGCAACCAACAAAAAGCTAGGGAGTGTTACATGATGGCATCCAAGTAGAAAGGGAAGGAAAAGATGGAGATGTACGCCGTCGAACTAGATGGGATAAACCGTGAGGTCGAGCTCGACCCACGAGAAGGTACCAATAAAAAAACAAGCAATGCCATGAGAGACTTAGAGAAAGTGCAAATCGATGATAATAACCTAGATTGGATAGTCAAGATTGGTGCCCAACTACCACCTCAAATTCGTGATAACCTGACAAACTTCCTACGTGAGAACGCTGAGGTCTTTGCATGGTCATATGAAGACATGCTAGGAATAGATCCCGAGATCATATCACACCGTCTAAGTATCGATCTTGCCTTCAAGCCAATACTCCAAAAACGTCGAGCTTATGATGTAGAACAGTACACTGCCATGAAGGAAGAAGTGGACAAGCTCATGAAGATTGGTTTCATTCGTGAAGTCAACTATCCAAGATGGTTGGCCAACGTGGTCATGGTGAGGAAGACACCTGTAAAATGGTGAATGTGCGTTAACTTCCGTGATCTGAACAAGGCGTGTCCCAAAGATAGCTTCCCATTACTCCATATTGATCAGCTCGTCAATTCAACCGCGGACCACGAGCTCCTTAGTTTCATGGATGCACACTCGGGGTATAACCAAATTCTAATGTACCCACCAGATCAAGAGCAAACCTCATTCATCATAGACCGAGGCCTTTATTGTTACAAGGTCATACCATTCGGGCTCAAGAACATAGGTGTGACATACCTACGACTTGTCAACCAGATGTTTGCTAACTAGATCGGGAAGAATATGGAGGTGTATGTCAATGACATGCTAGTCAAGAGTGTCACAGTTGATCATCGCATTCAAGACGTAGCTGAAACTTTCGAGGTATTAAAGAGATATAAGATGAGGCTTAATCCTGCCAAGTGCGCCTTCGGGGTTAGCTTGGGAAAATTCCTAGGGTTCATGGTCAGCCAATGTGGCATCGAGGCAAATCCATAAAAGATCAAGGCTCTGCTTAACATGACGTCTCCTAGGACCTTAGAAGAAGTGCAAAGCCTAACAGGCCATGTGGCTGCACTAAATTGATTCATATCCCGAGCTACAGATCGTTGTCAACCATTCTTCCAAGCTATAAAGGGGAGGACAAAATCATTGATTGGACCCCTGAGTGTGAGCATGCTTTTCAAGAGTTAAAGGAGTACATGGGAAAACCCCCTCTTTTGTCCAAGCCTAAACATGATGAAGATCTGTTATTGTACCTATCTGTGTCCTCCATGGCGATAAGCTCGGTGCTCATCAGAGAGGTAGGCAAGGTTCAACACCCCGTGTACTATATAAGCCGAGCTCTCCAAGATGTTGAAAGGAGGTACCCTAAGATCGAGAAGTTGGCCCTTACTTCCAGTCTCATACCATCGTTGTGCTAACCAGCCACTCATTAAGGCAGATCTTGCAAAAGCCTGAGACCTCAGGTCGACTCATCAAATGGTCAATTGAACAAGGTGAATTTGGTATCATATACTGCTCACGAGAAGCAATCAAAGCTCAAGCTGTGGCTGATTTTCTTTCTGAGTTCACCAATGTACAACCACCACCATTGCCGATCAGTCAACCTGAGATGAGCATGGAGAAGAAGATACGAACTAAACTTCCACTTTGGATTCTACATGTTGATGGTGCCTCAAATCAACAAGGAAGTGGGGCAGGGTTAGTATTAACCTTACCTGAAGACGATGAGACCCAGTATGCCTTATGGTTTGGGTTCAAGGCCTCGAATAATGAAGCTGGGTATGAAGCACTCCTTGCAGGACTTTGCCTGGCCTTTGAGCTCGGGGTTAAACAGCTTAGCATTTTCAGTGGTTCCCAATTAGCAGTAAATCATGTTACTGAAGAATACCAAGCTTGAGATAGAAGCATGAGTGCCTACCTAGCCATGGTCAAGACGTTGTTGGATGATTTTATTGGTTATGAAATCATTCAAATTCCTCGACTCAAGAATACGAAAGCTGACGCCCTTGCTCGATTAGCATCTTCCTTCGATATCGACCTGGGAAGATCTATCCTAGTGGAATTCTTGGAGAAATCTAGCATAGAGGAAGATTGCGTGGAAGTGTTCCCTATTAGTTTTGAGTCAACTTGGATGGATCCAATACGTGATTATCTAGCACATGGAGTCCTACCTGAGGACAAAGCGGAAGCTCGACGTGTACGGTATAGGTCGTTCCGATATCTAATCATCAATAACCAGTTGTAGAAAAGAGGCTTCTCTTTGCCATACCTATGATGCCTAACACTTGATGAGGCTAACTATGTGCTTCGAGAAATCCACGAAGGGATTTGTGGAAATCATTCAGGCACTCGATCTCTTGCCCACAGAGGTCTGAGACAAGAATATTATTGGCCAACACTCTGAGCTGATGCCAAGAAGATTGCTCAAACTTGTCCCAGGTGCCAAGAATACGTGATGGTTCCCCATCAACCTCCAGAGAATTTGACTCCAATTAGTAGTCCTTGGCCCTTTGCTGAGTGGGGAATTGACCTAATTGGCCCTATGCCAAAGGGAAAAGGTCAGACCAAGTTCGCAATTGTTGTAGTAGACTATTTCACCAAGTGGGCTGAGGTTGAACCCTTTGCTACAATAACCGAGAAGAATTGCACCGTGTTCCTTTGGTAGAACATCATATGCCGATTTGGTATCCCATATTCCATAGTTACCGATAATGGTAAGCAATTTGATAATGGCAAGCTTCGTGAGTTAGGTGTCGAGCTCAACATCAAGCATTTCTTTGCATCTCCAGCTCATCCTCAAGCAATCAATAAGTGGATAAAAAAGAACTTGAAAAGAAGGCTAAAGGAGCATGGGTTGAACTATTACCCCAAGTCCTTTGGGCGTAAGAACTTCACGCCAAACATCCACGGGGGACATCCCGTATGCCCTTGTTTTTGGAGCCGAAGTTGTAGTGCCTATCCAGATTGGAAGTGTTTCAAGCTGAAGCAAATGATGACCAGATGAATCTTAACCTGGACTTAGTAGATGAATGACGGGACCAGGCTCAGCTGCGCAACGCCTCATACCAGCAATGTGTAGCTCACTACCACAACTCTCGTGTCAAACCCCGAGCTTTCCAGGTTGATGACCTGGTACTCCGCAAGGTCATGCTTGCTACTCGCAAACCTTCAGATGGAAGCTTAGGACCAACCTGGGAAAGGCCTTACCGTGTCATTGACATTGTGTGCCCGGGCGCCTATCGACTAAGGGATCTTGAGGGAGCAAATCTGCCTCATCCTTGGAACGTCGAGCATTTAAAGAAGTATTACCAGCGATTTCCTCATCATCTACATGCTATCAGAGTTAGATCATCAGTTTGAGATTTAGATTTTTGTTTTGTTTCTTTTCATTCAATGTGGAACTATCCTGTTATGATAGTTCATGAGGTAGTTTTCAGTTCTTCAACTTAGTTAGCTAGTGTTTGAGATCATTCTTGTTTTGTTTTCAATTTATGTTAGTGAATAAAATTTGGATTCCTTTTCCAACGTATTGTCTCTCCAAGCCTTAAAAAAGTAACTCAAAGGGCCACATGAAGGAATGAAGCTCCATAGATTTGCCAACCTCAGATGGATGAAAGGTCCGAGCCGCAATTTTTATCAAGCTCATTTGGAGGAAAGGTCTGAGCTATATTTTCTATCGAGCTCATACAGACGAAAGGTCTGAGCTCAATTTTGGCCAAGCTCAAATGGACGAAAGGTCTGAGCTATATTTTTATCAAGCTCTGATGGACGAAAGGTCCAAGCTACATTTCCTATCAAGCTCCAGACGAAGAGTCCGAGCAATATTTTTTATCAAGCTCATGTAGACGAAAGGTCCTAGCTATATTCTTTATCGAGCTTATATGGATGAAAGATCTAAGCTCAATTTTGGCCAAGCTTAGATGGATGAAAGGTCCGAGGTATATTTTTATCAAGCTCTGATGGACGAAAGGTCTGAGCTACATTTTCTATAAAGCTCTGGACGAAGAGTTCGAGCTATATATATATATATATATATATTTTTATCGAGCTCAAGTAGACAAAAGGTCTAAGCTCATATGGACAAAAGGTCCGAGCTATATTCTTTATTGAGCTCATACTAACAAAAGGTCTAAGCTCAATTTTGGCCAAGCTTAGATGGACGAAAGGTTTGAGCTATATTTTTATCAAGCTTTGATGTACGAAAGCTCCAAGCTCAACCTTTTTCGACCTCATGCTCAGGTTGCCAAAGAGAAACCTTAGCTCACCAAGCTCGTGGTCAGGTTGGCAAGAATCCCATCTGGGCACTCCAAGCTCATGGTCAGGTTGGCGAAGAACCCACCTCGCCATGCCAAGCTCATGGCCAGGTCGACAAAGAGCCTACCTCTACCTCAACAAGCCAAACTCTTGGTCGGGTTAGCGAAGAGCCCACCTTGCCATACCAAGCTCCTGGTAAGGTTGGCGAAGAACCCACCTAGCCATGCCAAGCTCATGGCCAGGTCGGCAAAGAGCCGACCTCTACCTCAACATGCCAAACTCATGGTCAGGTTGGAGAAAAGCCCACCTTGCCATACCAAGCTCATGGTTAGGTTGGCAAAGAACCTACCTCGCCATGCCATGCTCATGGTCAGGTTGGGGAAGCACATACCTCAACTCGCCAAGCTCATGGTCAGACTGGCAAGGAACCGACCTCAACTCGCCAAGCTCATGGTCCAGTTGGCTAAGAACCCACCTTGCCATGCCAAGCTCATGGCCGGGTTGGTAAAGAACAAACCTCAATGTGCCGAGCTCACGCTCAAGTTGGTAAGGGTTCAACCTCAATTTGTTGAGCTCTAGTATACCCGTGAATATATATATATATATATATATTAACCGAAAATCTGCCAAGTTTCAACAAAAATCACCTTCGAGTTTTTGGCCTACAACAACATACGTGGAGGCATACATAGATAATACAATGAAGATCAAGGTCCAACAAAATACAACTTCCCACACAAAACTCTCTTATCCGTGGAACCATCCCTGTCGTGTCCACCTCTTTGTCTTTCTCTGTGGAACCATCCCCATCGAGCACAATGGTTGGCTGCGAAGAAGGTGTGCTAGGAGGGATGACTCGAAGGGGACCGGGATCACCATCTATGGGAATGGTAGGTTGGCCAACCTTGCCTCCGCCACAACCCTTTCTTTGCTCTGCCTCTCTCTGTTCCTCAAGAGCTCTCCTCAAGGACTTAGCGAGCCAGGAGCCCGGATTTCCTGCCCTCTTCTCTGGTGACATACTTCCTAAAACACACACCAAGTTTAGGCTATCAAATTAAATTACAGTAAGGAAAGTGCATACGAAAAACCTTACCTTGGTTCTTGGGGGATGTGAGCTCGAACTCTGCAAGTATGGAAGGAGTGGTCAACCTCTTGCCTGACCTCCCGATGCTGCTCTTCTCAACTCAAACTCTCACGATCTGCTCCAACTTCCGACCCCGAATGGAAGGTCTGGTGGAGAAAGGTCATATGGATGAAAGGTTCTAGTGCCTAGCTATATTCTTTATCGAGCTCATATGGACAAAAGGTCTAAGCTCGATTTTGGCCAAGCTCAGATGGACAAGAGGTCCGAGCTATATTTTTATCAATCTCTGATGGACGAAAGGTCCAAGCTACATTTTGTATCAAGCTTAACACATTGATTTCCTACAAAATGTCACTGGAGTAGGCATGAAGTTTCATACATTGTCAATTCATATATGGCCTCCACCAAACAGCAACAAGGGAGCAAATAGCAAGAAGACACACATGCGTCAAAATAAAATAATAATAATAATAATAATAATAATAAAGGAAAGTATGGATCTCTTTTTACAAAATAAAAGGTAGGGTGGTGATGAGATCTTACCCCCTGGATGTATTGGCGTTGCTAGTATCGGATTTCAGGCTTTGTCCTTCCACTGCGCCGTCACTCTCTCATTCCCTTCTTCTCCAAATAACAACTAGGTTGGGGGCTGGAATGTTTTCATTTTTTGCTCTGTGTTTTCTTGGTCTGACCACAGCTCTTGGGTTGTTCCCATTTCAAAAATGGGGCTTTGTCTTGGAAAGCTCAATTTTAGTTCTCCACCAATGCATACTTGCCATGTGGTGTCCCCACCATTGGATATTTTCAAGCATCATCTTTTATTATTCTCAAAGACACACCAAGTTTGAAATCAAATATCAGCTATACAATTAAAACTAAAATAATTGTACGCGACCAACCACACGGTAGTTAACATTAGACGAGGCAAACATCAGGTTTTATTATTCTCTTTGACGCTAAATTCTTACTCTCCCCACCACTAACCAAGTCTTTTTGCCGAGCTCGTTTTTAATGGAAACTTAGGGGCCTCCTTTTGCCGAGCTCGTTTAAAAAATTATTTTATAACTTAATATTGCTAGCTCGGCCAAATTATTAAAATACAACTTCCCACACAAAACTCTCTTATCTGGGGACTTGGGGGACTTCTGTTTGTGAGGTAAAATACATTTAGGCCTACACCATAGTGTTAGTGGTCGAGTTGTGCCAGACCACGGTATTAGTGGTCGAGTTGTGCCAGACCACGGTATTAGTGGTCGAGCTAGGCCAGACCACAATGTTATTGGTCGAGCTGGGCCAGACCATGGTGTTAGTGGTCGAGTTGGGCCAGACCATGGTATTAGTGGTCGAGCTAGGCCAAACCATGGTGTTAGTGGTCGGGTTGGGCTCGAGCCTGGTCGCCATATATTTTTCCACACTGACTCATGTGTGCATGTGGGCCCATTAGTCCATGAGCTCAGCCTTGGTGCGCATGAGGTTGATTTACGTGGTGTTCACTTAAAGGACTTCTAGTCCTAAAGAAATTGGGATGTTTCGGGATCACCAAGACGCCTATCTAAATGGAGTCGTAGTCCGAGGAAGGTTAGGTTGTTCTGGAGTCCTAGTTTGAGGAGAGCTGGTTTGCTTTGGAGTTCCACTTCGAGAAGGATTAGGTCATCTGGGATGATATAAAAGGCTAAGGCCACCCTTCGTGAAAGGTATGCAATTCTAAGTACTAGAACCCATTGTGCAATTTTACTCTCAAACACTCGACTGACTTAAGCATCAGAGGGTCCTTGGCCGGCACCATACCGGTGTCACCCACTAAAGCTATATTTTTTTACAGCTTCTGAAGGACGACTTGGTTGGTCACGCTAACTTAGGCCAAAAGAATTGCCCAACCTCGATCTCGAAGAGGTCATCTTCTGTTGAACCAATTTTAGGCATCAACAATTTCACTAGACCTCATATCAACCAATTCGCCGGAATTGGTGGATGGAATAATCTTGGTGGGATTGTGAATTTGAATAATCCAATACTAGGAAACTAAGCAATTGATCGAGGCCTTATCCAGAGCATTTTGATCAAGAGGAGTTTCCACGGGGATTCAAACTTCCAGATTTTGCATTGTTTTTAGGAGACGGACTTCAATTGACCGTGGAGCATATTGGCCGATTCATAGCTCAATGTGCTGAAATCGGACATCGTGAGGCCTTGAAATTAAGGTTTTTCTCAAGGACCCTCACAGGGGCTATTTTTTCATGTTATGTCAAACTTCCGTAGAACTTCGTTCGAAATTGACAGACTATGGAGCAAATCTTTGACAAATAATTTTATTGGCCAGAGCCAGAGGTTTCGATGGCCGACTTAGCCCATATGCACCAAGGATTGAATGAGTCAGTCCAAGAATAGTTGGGAAAGTTCAAAGAGGCAAGGGCTAGATGTACGGTCAACATGCCTGCATAAGAGTTTGCAAAGTTGGCCCAAAGTGGATTGTTGCTTGATATCAGGAAGAAGTTCGATGGTATTGAGTTTCGCGACATCTACGACCTCCTACTTCGGGTGGATCGATGTGAAGCTCTTCTGAAGAAGGAATAACAAAAGAATCGATCAAAATCTCCGTCGACCTTTTATAGAGATCTGCCAAAACCTTCCATATCTAGAACCACGGCTATCTATGCAGTAGATGTTGAAGATATGGACTCGGAGGAAAGAGATGAGGAAGTCTTCCTAGAGAAAGAAGGAGAATAGGCTAGGGTAAACTTGGCCGAAATCGTGGTCAGCTGACCACACGCATGCAAGACTTTGTCCAAAGCCTCCAAGGATCAGAGGTCGACAATGGTCCAGATTTCTAAGTTTAGCGGAACCTCACAAAAGAGAGTCGGAACCAAGTTCTATACATTTGACATTTTGAAAGCCGAACTAATCTTTGACCAACTTGTAAAAGAAAAGATGATAAAATTGCCTAATGGTCATGATATTCTGCTGGCTAATGAACTTAGAAATAAGACTTTTTGAAAATGGCATAACATATGGTCTCATGCGACTAACAATTGCAAATGGCATAATGTATGGTCTTACGCGACTAACAATTGCCTTGTTTTCCGGAATGTTGTGCAAGACCTCATTGATCGAAAGACCTTGAAATTTACAAAGAAAGCTACAATGGGTGACGGTCAAAATCCGTTTCCTAATGCTCAGGCCAACATGGTGAATGCCAACTTCCCAAGGCCCGATCAACCTTGACCAAGGTTGGACTTGAGTGGCTTGGGAAAAGCAGTGGCTGAGAGAAGAGTGAGGGAGACCCAACCTAACAAGAGATCAAATGAGTTGGGATAATATTTAAACATTGAAAGCAAGATGTAAGGACATACCTCATGTTGCTAATCTGTTAGAATAGGTGTGGACACATCTAATGTCAGCTGAGGGGTAAGCTCGATTTGTGATGTATTCTCATCGCTCAATGTGACTGGGATAGCTAGAGGTACACCACTGGCATTGGTCGTCTGATCGGCCGAAATGGTCCGATGATCCACAACATTCACCAAAGTAAGAAAAGATAAGTTTTCAAAAGGCTCTGGAATATGTAAAAATAATGAAGTGTTGAGATTACCTGAAGAGTCTGACCATCTGTGGAATGGTTGGTTGGGTCTCAGGGATATGAGGTGTGATCCAGTAAAATTTGAACTTCCTCTCTGACTGTTGTTGGGTCAACCGAGGTGGTCTCAAGACTAAGAGAAACTATCTAAAGTGGTTCCAAGTTTTAATAAAAGGACCGAGGGCAAGTTATAGTATATAAAAAAATATAGGTTGATGGAGTTGAAATCCCAAGATTACCTGATGATCTAGAATATGGGATGGGTCATCAACGACTCCACGATCAACCTCACGACTTCCTAATGGCTGGGTGACATGTTGAGTCTCGGCCATGTTAACATCTGGGTTGGTGGAAGGGTTGGCACCTATTACCGCCTTCTAAATTCGCCGAACAAAGTTAGGAAAATCTAAATATAGAAAATTCAACCAAGATGGGCCAAAGAAGCTTACCTCAACTTTAGCCTTAGAAGTAACAGTCTGCCCACCAACTTCAGCCTCAAATATGGGAATACAAGATTCCTACATTTAAACCACAAATTAAGAAAATACTAGGAATAAAGTGGAAAATGTAGTGAGAATGAAATTTAACGGAATGGCCAAAGAAGAAACGGCTGAGTGAGTGGCCGTGGTCGAGTGAGTGGGGTTGGGTTGCTCCACTATCCTACTAGAGCCTATAAGGCCAAAGATTATTCAAAACAATTTAAAATAAAAAAATAAAAAAAACCGATTGTACCTGGGGGCAATGGGTTCCTCGGGATCTTTCTCGATCGGGCAAGGATGGTTCATCAACTTGTGGAATCTCGACATCATAGCCAGAGGAGTTCCGATCCTCTTCAATACCTGGAAGAAAACATCAGAAATGTTAGCTTCTAAAAACATCCAAGATTAGATGGGAAATGGCCAAAAGTCCAACAAAAGTTAGCTTACCTTGGGTGGAGGGAAGTGGCCTCTTCTCACTCTGACTAGGACTGGAGTCGGCACTTGCCTCTTTTGTGGCTACAAGAGGTGAAGATGTTGGTAGACTAATAGTCAAGACTAGCATATAAAATTTCACCTTGCTTAAAACTATAATAAGTGGAAGAACAAGCCCAAACCCAGAAGATCCTTTCCATATGAACCTCAGGAGGTTGGGAAAACCAAGTGGCTGACATTTTCTCCCACCAAGCCTTAGAGAATTCGATGTAGCCAAATTCGGGGTTGCAGGTCTGGAAGTTGAAAACTTTGATAAACTCACGATTAAAGTTCACCACGGAATTTACCTCGCATACTTTCTTAAAAGATACCCTCCATGAGCAAAAGTGGTTGTGGGAGTCAACCATGGGAGATGGAACACCTTGAATGAAACCCATCTGATAACCAATGGCGGTAGGATAGTAAATCTCGCAACCACATGGGTAATGGTTCCATTTGTTCAATGCAAGGCCAAAAGGAAGATCTCGACTGACTAAGATACTGGCCCAAAGTTCTCGTCGTTCTTCTTTAGTCTCCAATGTGGGGACACTGGTAAGGTCCAAAGCCAAATAGTCAATGTAACGATGATCCAAACACATGGATAAGTCACTGGGTGACCTCTGTGAGCATCCGTAGAAAAAAGGGAAGCAATCCTCAACCTGGTGCTTGGGCAAGGGGAGGCTAGCAATTGATTTTCTTAGAAGCGAGTCACCTCGGAAGGTGACGTTGGCTAGACCTAACTCCAGTAAGTAAACTTTGAGCCACAGTTGGAAAAGCCAAATCGGGCCTGAAACATTGCATGACATGGGTTTGGGCAAAATAATCTCATGAAGGCCTCTGTAAAAGTAGGCCAAAAATATGGGACCCAAGGCCACTGCTTGGGCATCTGCAAGAGCCTGAGCCAAAGGTTGGACTTCTTTGGTGACTTTGGATAGCCACATCTGAAGAAAGGCCACATGCTTTGTCTAAGATACACCATTTGTTCAACCTATTGAAGCTCCGGAGGATGACTCGGTATAGCCAAAGTGGGTTTTGATCCAGTTGTTCAAATTCTTATTGGGCTTGTCGTAGTCTGGCTACAAAACAGGTTTTGGAAGGTTGGCTGCTGAGTAGGTCACACCATGGGGATGAAGGCCAACGATAGCGGCCAGATCAAGTAGAGTGGGGCTCATCCTCCCAAACCACAAGCTCATGCAGTTGGTGGAGGATGACCAAAGACATCATAGATCCCCCTTTTGTGCCAAGAAGTATTCAGTCTTGGTTCCAAAGCTCTGTACCAATTATACCAACTTCTCTTAGGCTCAATGTTGGCCACTGGTTTGGGTTTCTTGGATTTGGATTTTTTCCTAGCCACAAAGTCAACCTCGGAAGGTCCCCATGGCCAACCTTTTCCAAGCAAGTAGACTAGATCAGTTCTTCACTTTCGTTAGTGTAAGTTTAATTTCTTGCATTTTATATTATGTTGTTTTAAGATTCAAGTTTATTACTTTACTTTTAAATTGTTCTTGAATTTGCTTTAAGTTTAATTTAATTTCATATTGCTTTATTTTATTAGAAAATTCGGTATAAGTCCAATTCTTATGATAAAATTTGGGTGCAATCCACACATTTGTTGTTAGAAATTCAAGTCCTCTGACTTTTGTGCCATGTAGGATTACTTACCTTCTTTTAATTTCTAAGGTTTATATTTTATTTTCTTAATTTTTTAATTTATGTTGTGCTTCCAATTTTGCCCCTAAGATAGAAATCGGATAACATAAAAGCCAGCAAAATATCAAAAATCGCGTTAAACAATCTTCGGACGCCAAGAATAGAAAGAATCGCAGAAATCGTATCTTCCACAATCAACTATGGCCCTGTCAAGCCGATTTCTACAGATTTCATGCTTCTTAATTGTCGAGGGTTTTGGGTTTCATTTTAGAGTTGAATTTGCCTTTCGTCTTCTTCAATTGTAGCCGGTGGAATTTGCCATCGTTTGGGGATTCTCACCTGCTTCTCCATCAATTGCAGTGCCTATGTTCCAGGTATGTTGTATATTTACCTCTTTTGTAGGTGGAAACCTTTGACGTTAACAAAACCTGCTTCTTGAACGAATTTGTCTGTGTAACTATTGCTTCCTGAACCAATTTCTTTTTGTTTTCGTTTTCTAATTGAGGACCCCAGCTATGTCTTTGATGATAACTAAACCTGCTTCCTGAACGAATTTATATATGTAGTTCTACTCAAATTATAGCACCTACTTACTAACGAGTATTCTTTCTGATATAGGTTTTCTTAGTAACGAGTTTTCTTAGTTTTCATAGAACGATTCTAACAAAAATTGATTCCTGTTTGATGGTGGTTTTGCGGACAGAGTTCAACGTCACTAATATTGAATGATGGAAATAGAGTTTGGTCCTCTTCCTATACCATAGGAAGAAGATGAAGAAACTAGTTCATCTTTGTACTCTGTTCCTTGTATTCCACACAACAAATTTTGTTTTCTTGTCCTTTTATAGCCCCCTCTTTATCATAGGTACTCTGTTCCTTGTATGACAATTTCATTAACACCAAATACTAAGATGGGCACACTGTTGTTGAAGAAATAGTGGTAGTTATCAAGTATAAGATTAGCACTATTGATAAAGTTAGAAGTACATGCTTATAATGAGCTTCTAAGCGCATGGGGTATTATTTCTGTCCTTTTCCTGTTTTTGTTTGTCTTATTTGATCTGTATTACAGTTCAATAAGTCAATCCACTTTGATTTATTATTTTGCTGCTTTAGCAATTTGGTTTATGTATCTGATCTACTCTTGGCTCTTTTGTTACATAATTTATTCTGTTCCTTTTATTCCACACAACGAATTCGTTTTCTTTTCCTTTTATAGCCCCCTTCTTTTTCTTTTCCTTAATTTTTATTTTCTTGTCCTTTTTTGATTGAGATTGAGAGTTTACTTCATAGTTAATATATGACATAATTTCATTAACATAATGATTCTAACAAAATTTCGTCCCTGTTTTGATGCTGTAAATAGGAACTTTTTTTGCTATTTTTTGTTCTAAAATTTGTTTTGCTGGCTTAATTGGATGTTCTTTGCCTTCTTAATTGTATATCATCATTTGCAGGTTCTTAATGGCTAGGAAGGAGTATCGCTCCCTTGAATACTGGTTGGACGTGTTGAAGTTTCATCACGTAATGGAACGAATTAGAGAGAACGTGAGGGAGCCACATATTTTACTAATGCAGAGAACACCTTTTTGGGGGTTGTTTAGATGTTATTGGGATGGTTTTATTATTGAACATGCTTGCAGGAAGTCAGATAATGATATTGTTTATATTTTGGAATGTTTTGACAAAGAGAAAAAGGCTTTCGTTTTTGGGGAAAGAATTGAATGGATAACAAGAAATGATATGTCTTTACTTTTTGGGTTGCCCTGTGTAGGGGAAGAAATCCATTTTCAGAACTATAAGAGAATAGTAGGTAGTGGTTTCACAGAAAGACGGCTTGCTGATTACAAGGATTTGAGCCAAAGGGTTTTGGAGGAACAAATATTAAGAGTGGTTAAGCTACATGGTAGTGTGGAGGAGAGTGATTTCATGCGTTTGGTTTGTCTATATTTATGTGTGACACTATTCTTTTGTAATAGTGGAAACAACTTGATGAAAAAATAGATTGCATATGTGGACAATTTGGAAATGATGCAACACAGTACCTAGAGAACTCTCTTTTGAATATGAACTCTGTGGAAAGTGCATGTGGTTGCTTAGTTGGCTTGCTGGTATGATGATCTTCCCACCTTTAATGGCATGTCATCTCTTATTATAAGATAACAAATTGGTTCTTATTAATGTGTTTGGAATGCTCTCATTTGTGTGTTTTCTTTATTTTTTTACAGTTTTGGGTCTGTGAACATAAGAAGTTAATTCAGCCCATAGAAGGAAGAGAACACATTTCCCCTAAATTCGTGAAATGGAATTTGTTGTCGCTATGCAAGATTGAAATGTGTTCCATTCATACATTGCAGGTACAAGTATTTATTCACTTTTTTTTTGGTGATACTTCTGTTTTTGTTTCATTGACTCATTATGTTTTATTTTGAATTACGTAGGAGATTAAGGCAAAAGATGAAACCAGTGCCCGAGCAGAAGGTACCCAAATTGTGGAAATATTTTCAAATAGTGGTGGGAAGACAAGTGAGAAACCTATAAAGTTTATCGATGACTTTGATCCTATTAAGGCATTTCAGTTGCTACCTACTCAATTGATGGAATGCAGTCAGGAAGAACCTTCAAACAGTAAGGTGGACATTTATGATATGCAAAGAAAACTGCAAGAGATCACTGCAATGTTGGATGTGGAATGTTCGAAGGACAAGGATCTTTTAACATAAAATGAAAGGTTGAAGAAGGAAATTGCAAAGCTTCAGAAAGGAAAGGGAAAATATGAGTCACCACAACCACGCAGTATGATTGTGAGGATGAGGGCCAGAACAAGACAACCTCTGGTTCGGCCGGAGTATGCATATCCAGACAAATTAGGGAAAACACATTGCAAAAAAATGAAAGTTGATCAAGGGTATACCTGCAAAGCCAAGCCAATAGGTGTGAGAAGATTGAGAGTTGGCAAGTGTCTATCGCTCCATGAAGCTGACATATTTAAGAAATATTTAGATGCCAACAACCCTATGTAAGTTCTGTATGAAGTTATCAATTTTATTTTTAAAGTCATACTCTTTTACGTTTGTTTCTCTGTTTCTGATCCTATGATTTGTCAATCATATTTATAAAGTCATCTGTGTTGCTTTTCTGTCATCATAGGGATGCCTTTTGGCATCGCGTGCGTTCTGCGGTGTATCGCAAAGTGCACTACAACTTTTGTATGAGGAAGCAGTGAGTATACAGGTAATTATATCTGCACATGTAAAATATGTATTTTTGCTTTATATGTACAGTGAATAATTTGAGGATATGTACTGATTTTAAAGCAGGTATAAATATTCATTTGTGCTATGGCCCTTGTAGGTAATGGATTCATTCTTAGAGATTCTTAATAGTGATCAAATGGCCAGTAAGCCTCACATGTTTTAGTACCTATGTTGTAGGTACACGGTGGTAAGTTACCTGTGGGCTAGGTTCCATATCAAGTTGCTGTGTAAAGTACCTGTGCAATAGGTACAGTTAGAGGGTACCTGTGTCATAGGTACACTGTTAGATGTTACCTGTGGTGTTGGAGTTATGCTAATAGAGATGCAATCAGCATGGCTACAACGACAAAAATATGACTTTTATGTACTACCCATGCTGTTGGACTTCGATAACATGTCCCAAACCTAAAATCATATTCTGTAAAATGTAAGAGCCTACACCCTTATATGATGTATACAACTACAATCCACAATGAACTCCACTGAAAACCCAAATCACAGGGGATTCTCTCATCCAGATCACTAGCAAATAAGATCCAACGTAATTTCAAATTTTAAAATGAAACTTGTTCCAACAACATCCAATTAAAATGAAAGCAAACAAATGTTGTTATGCCAAAACATAAAATAAGGAATAATAAGTTGAAAATAGACTCATATTTGAGAATTGCAAGTCCTCCAGTTGTGCTGGCCACCTTGACCACATCTACTGCATTTGTAGCATTTTTTCTCCTCCCCTCTGGATTTGATCCTCTTGGTTCGAGGTGTACCAAGTCGTTTTCTAGTTAAAGGAGGTTTCACTATAAAGTCTTCGAGTTCTTCTGGTGCCTCTTTCTCAATATCAGGAACAGGTGCAATTGGAATGCCATAACAACTTCTGTAGTAATCTGCAGTAAAATAAGGTTCAATGTACTCGTATGGATCACCATCATCAGCAAGGATGGCTGCAATAGCATGGGCACACGGGAAACCTTTAATCTACCATTGACGACATGAACATGTGTGTTGGTGAAGATCAATAGCAAAGGAATATTCAGCCTGAACCTCAAACAAATTATCACTTTTGAAGAAACCATGTCCAATTTGCCTCATTTTCAGAGTCCACAATGGAAAAAGAAATCGGGAAAAATCCGGCACCAATTGAACAAAATAGTACATATTACGAATACAAGAAAAGAAAGAACAAACATGCCTCAATTAGTGAAACTTTCATACCTTGGTTACCATTTTTCCCTGTAGCTGCCAGGAGGTGCCCTTTGTATTTGTTCTTCACAAAAGTACCATCAAGACAAAGAAATGGTTTGCAGAATTTGAACCCTTCAATTGAGGCATGATATGATATGAATATGCGCTCAAAACGTGATGATTTCGTGTCACACCCTAGGTAACAGTGGGACCCCGGATTTGTTTTCAGCAAAGCGTCAATATACCACACCATGGATGTCTTTTTGGCCAACTCCTTACCATACCAAGCACTATAATAGGAGATGTACAACCCAGAATTTTGCTTGAAATCTGTGATTATATCAGCTGGTTTAATGAGAGGTTTGGTTCGAAGCTGATCTGCTATGACTGAAGACACAATTTTCGAACCCATAAAAACTTTTTTATGGGACTGAACCCTGCCCCTGCATGTGTGTTCATTTTTCAAATCTTTAATGTAGAAGAACCCATTCGCATAATTTAAAGTTGCATGCACACGCCAGGGGCAACCTTCACTTTGCTTATTCACACATTCTGTTGTAACATGCTTCAAATCATTTTTCACATATACAAACTTGAACTCCTTCTCAAAGGCATATTTGCACAATTTAATCCTAAACTCAGTCACCCCTCCTTCGTATTTTTGCCCAACTTCACTAATAAATGTTTTCCACTCATGAGACAAATAAAGTTTTGATTTGTTTGCCGCATACTTAATTAAACATTCATTCTCATTAGTTGAATTACTGTCTTCATTGTTTGATGAATCAATATCATCCTCCACACCTTTGCCAAACGATGTAACTCCACCTCTAACAATATCTATATCCACCAAATTTTTGTTTTCATTGGATATAGACATGTGCAAAACACGAACATCCATGTCATCTTGTAATAAACATGCTAAGTGGTTTCCAATTGCGTACGTCATCTCCATTTCGCATGAATTCAACTCTTTAAATCGAGAGCAAATTTGGCTGCATATGTCCATGTACTTGGTTTCCTTGAAAATCAGCACTGAATAAGTTTTCAAACCAAACCGGCATCTACCAACTATCGACCCGTCCATCCCTATTTAAATACAAACAAAAAAAAATTAAAAATAACAAGATCAAATACCTGTGCTCAAGATATATACATGTAATTGACTCACAATTTGAAGTGTAAGACATGACACAATGAAACTATGCACACAAAGGATTATTACAGAAGTTGGGTTCAAAAGTATCACGTGAAATAGGTCCTCCATGAATTATAGGTGACATATGCACTGTAGCACATGTATATGCCAAATGCGTTAGAACATAATCCTACCCACTGTGTAGATTACTAGTGCAATAGGTACACACTCAAGGAGTTACCTGTAGGTTAGGTTCTGAATGAAATGTCCTAACAAATCACATAGTGATAGTTGTTACCACTAACATATTTTGGTAGAAAAACTAGAGTACTTGCATAACCTTTATGACCAATAGTTTCAAATGCGTAATTATATGATTTTATGGATGACTGCTTATCTAATGAATATACATGAGAGAGACCCTAAACCCTAAACAATCACTGTCATTTCAGCCAAATTATAGGCACATAGCTTGGGGATAATTTCATTTCCTTGTGATCAACATGATTTTGATAACAATTTGATCAATGCATTCAATGAGGCTTTTGATGAAAGGTACAAGAAGCGTTATAATTGGGTCATATATGACGAAAGGCAACAGGTTATGAGATATAGAGGTTTTGGGTGACCTTTTGCCTATATTTCATAGGCAAAGTTTAGCAAAATCCAAAGTCTATATATCTACAACGTTGACAATCTTAAATTGTTAATCATGACTCAAAACAAAAAATGCACAACAACTAAAACAGACGGCAACAAACCAAATATAGGATGTTGAGGATTTTACCACAACGTACCTATAGCATAGTTACAGGATCGGAAATTACTTATACAGCAGGTTCTAGTTGATGATTAAACCCAGTTCTGATATTTCTCTATTATAGATTCATAAGCCAACAAATAAAGTTGGATATGCCAGAACAAATTTGCAACAAAATCATTCACCAATGATTGAGAAAAGCAACAACAAACACTCTCAGAAACCATCAAGAACAATCCATAACAGAAAAAGGATGAACGTATGCTGACTGAGAGAATTTACCTGGGATACAGGTACTTCAATTGACGCCACCGTTTCTGATAATCCAACAAATTTGGTTTATTCCATCTGTAATCGTGAATTATTAGAAGAAACCCACAAATCTTCCAATTAAGGAACCAAAAAATCAGTGAAAATTTGGAAAGACGGAGCATGACTTTTGGGATTTCTGCGATTTGGGGGATCTAAGATATGTGATTTGGATTAACCTATTGGGAAAGACGTCCTTTACTTTCCGTTTGTATAGAATGGCAGTAGTTGTAAATAAATTAAATTTTGTGGCCGCACTATTCGCTTAGGTGGCTGCACGACTGGGCTTTAGGACTGGAATTAGTAGGTAACAATTACTGTCCTACAATCAAACTGTATTCTTGAAATTGGACCCATATCTAAGAGCCCCTTATTTTATTGCCTATATCATTCATATCATTTTGTTTCCCTCTTTTCGACCGAGGTGGCCGACGAAAGGAACTTTTGGTCCTTCTTCTCTTGGATTGCGTAGGCGTGCCACCACCAAGCCACTAAATGGCTTAGATGGAAAAGGTTGGATGGATATATTGCATTTCTGACTTTTGATCAAGTGATTAATCAGCCAAGCAAGGAACCTTCTCTTGGCCTAGGTTCTAATATGTGGCTTGGACTTCCGAGACTTTAGCTTGACATCTGGTGAGACATTGTAACTTCTAGAATTCTGATCTTGGTCGAAACACCCACTGATGTTGTGACTTGGAATTGCTTAACTGGACTTGGAGTTGGGTTCCCACCTCAACTTGAAGTTAGGTTCCACCCCGACTTGGGGTTGCTTGACCTCGATTTGGAGTTGCTCGACCTCGACTTGGAGTTGGGTTTGATCCAGCTGATCGAAGGCCTTGATCTTGGTGGATCAAAGACCTTGATCTTGGTTGATCGAAGTCCTTGACCCTGGCTGATCAAAGGACTTAACCTTCGGTGATCAAAGGACTTCACCTTAGCTGATCAGAGAACTTGACCATGGGTGATCAGAGACCTTGATCTTGGCTGATCGAAGACCTTCATCTTGGTTGATCAAAAGACTTAACCTTGGCTGAATTTTAGACCACAACTAAACATCCACTTCAGAAGTTTCAGATGTTCCGACTTTGGAAGTCAAATGTTTTCAACCCGCTGTTGGAGGTTGGGTTTCGACTTCTAAGTTCTTGGTCTGAATTATAGTGGAACATCATGCATCTTAAGCTATAGACTTTATTGAAGATTAAACGACGTAGGGTGCATGAAGACCCCTAAGTCCGGCCTTCTTATTTCAATTTGGCCATTAGGCACACCTTGAGCCACCAATTTGCATTTTGGCCTATTGGTTTTCCAAGACGCATGGTTGAACTTCGACTAGGCTCAAACACATTCTTATTTTGTTCTTCGTTTAATTTAACTTGCAATCTGATCAGCAACAGGTTGGCTGTTTGACTAGCCAACCTTTCAACTCACAAAACAAATATTAAAGTGGGGCCAACTTTTCAACTCAAAAACAAATATCAATGTGGGGATAACTTTTGGCCTTCTTGCTATCACCCAAGGGTTTGAAACCCAGCTGATGTAGCCATGAGTAGGTTAATCAAATAACAGATTCAACAAACCAACGAACATGTAATCTCGCATTTCATTAAGAACATAAACGATTTTGATAAAAAATCTCTGCTCAATAACTCACTTTCCTTTTACTATTCTAGCTGCCATTGTTGTTGAAGGAAACCTAAAATCCAGCTGATTTTTGTTGGTGAGAATTCGTCATTCTCTTAAACCCCTTGGCTGGCCCCAAGCCAAGCTTGTGGGTCTTGCCGCTCTATTTATTTATTATTTGACTATTGCTATTATAAATAACAATATCTTTGTTTTGGCTAGGCCTTGGGTTTCCACTTGACTTGGTTTGGAATTGAGACCACTTGGCTTAGATTGAATTTGGTGACCACATCCAAATAGGCCCAAAAGGCCATTCATTAACCCAACATGGCTGTAAGGCCAAATTATACATATATATATATAACAAAAAATTTAATATTACTAACAAATAATATTTTGCAGATTATCAATCTTCGCCCTTATTGTCGTTCTACAATGTCTCCTAAAGTAGCAAGAGAGTACAACAAAATTTGGTTGACGCCCTCAATAAGGATGAGACCGCTTTCTCTAATGAATTTTATGATTTTGCGCTGGTGCCTGCCACTCCACGCAACATGGTCCTTGGTCCCTATTTTTATGGCCGTATGCCCAACTCTGTTGTTAAAGTTATGCGACTGCAACAGAAAGACATTTGTTTGCTCGAAAAATACCTTAATTGGTGCTAAAGGAAAAATGTGAACCTCCCAACATAATTTCACCACCACTAATTAAATAATGGGGATTTATTGTTTTAGGTTTGACCCATTCGAGACGCAAGTCTCTTAATTACAATCTCTTGCTTCAAGGGAACACCCTTTGATTCCATCATAAAGAAACAGAATGTGTGTGTTTGGTTTTGCATTTATTCCCAAGTCCAACCTTAGGATGCCTACGTATCCCTTGCGGGAATCTAGCCACTCGTAGTTCAAAGATTCGCAATGAATAAATGACTCATCGCAGAGGGGGGAATTTGAATGAATTTGATTGAGGAGTGTTTGAGTAAATTTAGCTAAATGAACGAGGGATTCGATTTGGAATTATGTTTGGGATGGTTGGATCTAGATTGCCTACATACCCTTTCAAAGGGATCAAACCAACATAGTTCGGAATTGATTTGTATAAAGGTTCGGTTGATGGGAATTTGGTTGCGGTTGCGTCTATTGGGATGCTAGACTGCCTACGTAACCATGTGATAGGAAATTTGGGCCTCTACAAATTTAATGGGTAAATATTTGGATCACCCATTAAATACATTGGGCTTTTAAGAACTAATAGGTCTATGACCCAATAATCTGATTTTTTTTTTATCTGTTGGTTTGTGATTGGTCACCAGCACAAGGCCTATCTGGTTTATCAAAAACCAGTCCCGATTGGATTAGGACTTCAGAGATTTACAACATAAAGGAATTGTAAATTTGATTGGCTTGGGAAAGAGTTACTCCATGGCCAGGATTGCTCTCTTTATTCAACGAAAACCTAGGCACATTTTCCTTTGTTCCGTAGACAGACCTAGAGCAGAAACATCTTTATTTTCACGAAAGGTACAAATGCCTTTCTTTGTCCGACCACCACATAGCTTATATATATATATATATATATATTTTACAGTGAAAGTAGACATAAAAAACGAGTCCAACAGCCAAAGAGGTGTGCCTCCCCTTTTTCCATCTTTTGCTAACTTTTCCTTTTCTTCGTGGTGGCTATCTTCTCTATCTTTTTTGTCTGTTCCCCTCCCCCTTTTTTTTTATACCTTTGTTTGTTGTTGTTTGCCACACCAAGCCCATGGAAACAAAACCAACATGTTGCCTTCATCTTTTTTTGGTTTTGTTTTATTTCATCCATATGCCAACAACACCCTCCTCCAAAAGAAAGTACATGGTTGTTTCATCTTTCTTTTTTGGCCAGAAACACAAAGTGGTGAGCAGCCACTTTTCTTGCAGATCTCCATTTTTTTTTGCCTATTCTTTTCTTCATGACTAACATCCTTTTCAATTTTATTTTTTTTGGTGTAGTTTGCTTAGAGAGAAAAATAAAGGCTTTCTCAAGCAAAGATGGAGAGGAGTGGTCAGAGAGTCCAAGGTGGAATTCACGCTCCTTTTTTTTTGTACATTTTGGAATTAACCTTCAAAACACCATTTCTGTTTCAAAAGATTTCCTTTTGCTCAGCAAAGCTTTACTGAACAGGAATCCTCTCATGGATTTGCTATTCATGCTTTAAGGTTTGCCACCCATGATGGATTTACCATCCAAGAGTTTTATTTGAGGGTTGCCACCCTATATGGATTTATCATCCAACAAAATGATTTGAGGGTTGCCACCCAATATGGATTCATCATCCAAGAAAATGATTTGAGGGTTGCCACCCAACCAGAATTAATTGAAAGAAGCAGTATACTGTGAAAAGTATTCTCTTGTGCTTGTGCTCTTGCAATTTTTCTCCTGCAACAGTTTATTTCTTCTGTCGTTTCCTTCTCCTTCTTTTCTCTTCTCTTCTTTATTTCTCTACTGCCCTCCCTTTATATGCTAGAGACCTCATTAGTGGAGGATGTGTGATTTGAAAACTGAATAATCAACTCCCCCAAAAATAGGAGCCACCAACCTCTCTTAAGAGTTTTCATTGGTCTAGCCTCCCACCAACTTGCTGCTTACTAGATGTGGCAAATAACGGGTATCAAAATTGTGGGTGTCTAATCCCACGTTTCAATTTTTTTTTTTGTGATTTTTTTAATTCCAACAGATGCCCCCTCAAGCTTTGTGCGTGTGACGCTTTTACGCGTGCGAAGCATGAGATTCTTATAACTAGCATTATAAGCTGACATATGTATATTTTTTAACACCTTTGATTTCAGGTGATGGATGCTTATGGAAATCTTCACAAGGAGCATGCTTTCGATGAATATGGTAGGGCCATCGCCTTTGGTCCCCAGTTCATGAGATCTTGTCCTCTGAATTCAATCAAGCTTGTGGTGCCTCCTGAGAGTAGAACAACTTGGTTCACCACACGTGAGTAGTGGACATCTCAAGCTCAACCCCCATGAAGAAGACCGAGTGATTCAAATTTCCCAAGCAAAGGGCCCACATTTTCTAGCTCATTCTTTGATGAAGGTAAACAATGAGATAGAAGGAGATAAGCAGTGTCTTCCTAGGGATGAATTTTATCCAGTTATGCACAGGATGCTTCGCAACAAAATTTCATGGGGAAGCAATTTTAAATTTTTCCGTCGGGCTAACTTTCGAGCATTTGTACTGGAATGGATGGAGTCTATTCTGAGTGACTTTGGCGATGTCCTTCGTCAAGCTAATATATATGGGGCTGTGGCTGTTTCTTGGTACTCCTATGAATGGAGAGCATTCTGCGAGTTATGGGGGCCTTTATCCAACACATTTCATCATGGGAATGGTGAAATGGGCATTTCCTTATACGACCTAAAAGTTATTGGCGGGTTACCAATTTTGGGTCTCCCATATGATGAATTTATCCCCTTGAACAAAGAATTATGTCGTGAAGACTTATACCCATCAACCGTTGGTGAACTTTTGAAAATCCATGCTCAACTATGCGTTTTCCATAAGAAAGGGCAAGTTTTCCACGACCAATGGATTGAGCATTTCTTTCGAGGGGAAGCCATATATGGTGCTGCGGGGAATAACAATAACATAATTCCCAAACATAAGGCCGAAGACCTCAAATTTCCCTTGAACATTTCACGCGAAGGACAGTTGGCTGCTTTCTTAGCCTTTTGGCTTAGCCGTTTTGTCTTACCCCTTGATAATGCCATAAGGCCAGAATGTTTCTATATGGCCAGTTTGATGGCGAGAGGGTTTAGAGTTTCACTTGCTCCAGCAGTGTTGGGACTTATTTATCATGCCCTCGGTACAGTTGTTACTCATCGTAAGGGTCCTGGTTTAGCAAATGCATATCTTCCCATTCATTATGTGATTGTATGGTTAGGGGAGCACTTTCCTGATCTGATTGATCGTTGGTGTGATAATGATTTTCCAGCACATTACCCTCTTCTAGCGAGGTATAGTTAGATTGAAGCCAAATATCTCAACTCTAATCAAGCTAGAATCATCTTCAAGAGTGAGTTTATGGTTGATCGCCCCAATGTTTTCCTTGCACATGAAGATTGCATTCTTTTAGACACGGAGAGTCTTGCGGACGATGCCTTTGAGTTCTTGGTTTGTATGCGCTCTGCACTGTTTCCTGTGAGGGTAGGTGGCAATCTTTGGTTGGAGCCTTACTACCCAAATAGATTTGCTCGCCAGTTTGGCTTTGATCAAGGAGTTCCAGCAAACAAGCTTTTATTTAGTGTATGTGAGAGGCAGTGATGCGGGATTGAGAAGTTGGCGAGAGCCCAAGCGGTCCTTCTGCGCAAAGATACCACGACGCGTTTCTATATTCTGTGCTCCACCCGCATTGGAGAATGCTATTGGTGGTATTGTAGATGGTGGATGACTGCATGTGCACCTTACATGGGCTTTTCTATGTCAAAAATTTTCTCAGTGGTAGACAAGCATGTCCCAAGGAGGGACCACGTCTTTGTGACTGATAATTTGAAAAGTATCTCAACAGGCATGAGCAAAAGTGGCTTTAATTCATCTTTACCTCCTCATGGTGCTTCTTCGAGCAAAGGGCACAAGAAGAGAATTCGTAGGGCTAAAGGGAAACATTTCTCAGGGGTTAATCACGTGATGCACCAATCCCAAAGGGTTAATTGAGACTCACACCTCAAACCGGCATGTCATGAAAATCACAACAGGGTTGAGGATGGAAGCTCTAACCATGTACCCGACGAAGAAATGAGGTTTGATGACATCCCTTTTCCTTGTGGAATGGAGTCTATTAATGCAGATAACCCAGCCTTTGAGGTCATTTCTTCAGGTGAAGAGGAAAACATTCATCATGAGAGCACTAACTCCAACATGGGTGGTAGTGGGTCAGACCTCCTGGCTAAAGCGTCTGAATTTTAGCAAGTTCAGAATAGCCCAGTTGATGATCAGTTTCCTGAAGGTGGAGGGCCCATAGCAGTTGTGCGACCTCTCCAAAATTTGGTATCAGTCGAGAACTTTGTTTATCAGATTTTTGGGAATGGAGTAAACCATAGTAGGCGGGAGTTTATCAGTAGAGAAATTGAAGGTATCTTTAGCCGACTTTACTCCTCAGAGACACCAGCACAACTTCATATGCACCATTCCAAGATCATCAAGGCCCTTCGACTTTTGGGATCAACAGTTGACATTCTAGGGTGTGGTAGAATTGCATTTGATGTGAATGTTGATGTGACGCCTTAGGAGATGTGAATGTTGATGTGATTCACGATTTGATCCGTCAACACGAGGAATGTTTGAACACCAAGCTGGCTCTTGAGACAGAACTTAAAGAGGTTGCTAAAGAGATTGAAGACTTGGATGTCAAGGAAGCTACCATCAGGGAAGTAGAAGAGAGAGTTCGCCAGATGCGGGAAGAGCATGAAGCTAGGAAAACTTCCCTTAATATGCAAAAGCTAAACTAGGAGATTTCTTTGGAGTATTAGAATGAACAAGCAACACAGCTGCAACAATCCAGAATTGATGCTAAAGAAGATCTACTTCCCCAGATCTGGAGCACTCGACTGTCAATGAAGGCTCAAAAGCGAGAGATCCACTGTCTGATCAATGCCCTGTTTTCTTCTTGTAGTGAGCTCTAAGAGATGAGCTTATTATCATTATTATTATTTTTTTGTTTAGCATGCTTGTTTGCTTCCATAAGTGTTCTTGAAGTATGGTTCATCCACCAAGAATTCATAGGTAGGCCTTTGCTTTAGTATTCCTTGCTCTTATAATGTGGTTTTTCCACCAAGAACAATTTTATTAGAATAAAGATTTTGCAGGATTCTACATTTCTATTTCACAGTTTATACTCGTGTGAAGTTGGATTAAACTGTTGTATAACCACGTGTTAACACCATCGGTGGACAAACATGAATTTATGATCATTTACGGCTGCGTCTAGCTTTTGGGCTAGCTTGGCTACGTACCCTGTGAAGGGATCAAGCCGAACGTAGTTCACCCTCCTTGAATTGAGGTAATGAAGGGGGATTTTGGGTCTTATGACTGAATCTAGCTTTTTTTAGGGACTAGACTGCCTACGTACCCCTTTTGAGGGATTAAGTCAACCGTAGTTCTTTAGCTTGGGCCGCCTTTTCGGGTTTTCAGCCCACAAAGCCTTGTTTTTTTCTTTTTTGGGTGCTCGAATTTTTGCTTGGATCGCCCTTTCAGGTTTTCATCCCAATGAGTTTTTTTTTTTTTCAGCTCTAAGTTTTGATTGGGCCGCCCTTTCGGGTTTTCAGCCCAACGAGCGTTTTTTTCCTAACCACCATCAAGCATAAAACTTCTTGAAGAATTTCCCGTTCACACAAGGATATATGCACTTGCCTTCGGAGTTTGACAACTTGTAGGCACCCTTGGAGAAAACCTTAGTAATGACGTGGGGACCCTCCCACTTGGGTTCAAACTGACCATGCATTTTCCTGGTAATGTCAAAGGGTCTTCGGATAGTTAGAACCAAATCTCCAGTTAAGAAAGATCTGAACTTAACTTTTCTGTTGAATGCCCCTGCAACCTGAGCCTGATATATTTCAAGCCTTTGTTGAGCTGCCAGTCTTTTCTCATCGAGAGCTTCTAGTTCTGCCAGTCTCACATTTGCGTTCTCATCGGGGTTTGTTAGATGTAAGGCTACCCTTAATGATGGCAATTGGACTTCTAACGGTAGAACAGCCTCGGAGCCCATAATGCTTCAGGGAGGTGTTCATGCCAATCTCTTTTGTTTCCCGAGACCATCTTCTTCAGGATATTGCACAATACCTTATTGAAAGCTTTAGCTTGACCGTTTGACGACGGATTGTAACTCGCAGAGAACGAGTGTCGAAACTTATACTTCTCGCACAACTTGGTCATGGACTTGCATTTGAAATACAATGCATTGTCAGGTATAATGTTCGATGGAACCCTATAACGGTAGATGATGTGGTTCCTTATGAAGTTTGTGACATCGTCTGCTCGTACCTCTTTTAAAAGAATTGCTTCAGCCCATTTAGAGATGTGATGACTTAGGCTTGATGTTGACGTGATGACTTAGGCTTTATCATGCCAATAACATCTAATCCCCAAGCTTCAAATGGCCAATACAAAGTTGTTGGATGCAGTTGTTGGGGTGGCTAGTGAACAAAGTCTCCATGTAACTGGTAATCTTTACATTTGGTTGCAAATTTCATTGAGTCTCGGACCATTGTTGCCCCGTAATAACCCAAACTCTTCAGTTGGTTTGAGAGTTTTGGACTAGCTTGATGAGCACCGCAAGTGCCAGCATGAGTATCATGAAGGGCTTTAGTTGCGTCTTGTTTCGATAGACACCTTAACAACATACCATCAAATGACCATTTGTACAAGGTGTCGTTTAAATACAGAAACCGAGTGGCCCTGTGGCCCTGCGTCGGACTTCGGCCTTTTTCCTTGAGTCATCTGGCAACTTGCCATGTTGGAGATACTCGATTATGGGATGACACCAATCAAGATCATCTGGTTCCTCCTCACATTCGGAAGCCGTGATGATGTTTGAATCAACAACTTCTTCAATTCTCTCTATAGCTTGGGGTAGTAAGTAACGTTCCCTAACCGTGATTTGGATATCCCTTTCATCAGGTAACGTTAACGATGCAGCCAAATTAGCTAGTGCATCAGCTTTATCATTTTCTGACCTCGGGATGTGACTCACATGAATGTCTTGCAACTGTGACATGAGATACTTTGCCCTTTCATGGTATGGGACGAGAGTAGCATTTTTGACTGCGTATTGGCCATTCAACTGTCTGACGACTAACTGTGAATCACCATATGCTTGCAAACAATCAATATGCATCTCGAGGGCAATTTCAAGGCCAATGATGAGTGCCTCGTATTCTGCCACATTATTTGAACATAAAGCCCCTAGACGGCGTGATGAACACTAATCCTGCCCCAACTCCGTTTCTTCTTTCTGCCCTATCAAAATATAACTGCCATGTAAGTGTTGTCGTTGTGAATACCTCTTCATTGGGCAAATCAGCAGGTAACTCTATTTCATCGGGAGTAGGATAAGCAGCCAACAAATCAGCAAGAGCTTGCCCTTTGATCGCCTTTTGTGGCATAAATTTTATCTCAAACTCAGAGAGGAGGAGTGACAATTTGGCTATTCGCCCAGAGAGCACGGGCTTGGACATTAAATATCGGAGTAGATCTGCCTTGGAAATCAAAATGACTCTATGAGAGAGGATGTAGTGTCATAGTTTATGGACAGCAAACACCAATGCAAGGCAGACCTTTTCGATAGGGATGTAATTTTGGTCTGCCCCTACAAGTGTTCTACTCAAGTAGTAGAGTGCATTTTCTTTTCCATCATCACTGTGTTAGGCGAGCAATGCCCCCAACGAGCGTTCTAATGCCGCAATGTGTAAGATTAAAGGTTTCCCTTTAATTGGAGCCCCAAGAACTGGCGGATTCAACAGGTATTGTTTAATGCTTTCCAAAGCATTTTGACATGCTTGATCCCATACAAACGGAACATCCTTCTTCATGAGCCTCGAGAATGGTTGGCACCTTCCAGAGAGATTTGAGATGAATCGTCGTATATAGGCTAGTCTCCCTTGTAGCCCTCGCAACTCCCTTAAATTTCGAGGGGGAGGCATTTCACAGATTGCCTTGATTTTTGAGGGATCAATTTCAATTCCTCGATGTCTGACAACAAAGCCAAGGAATTTGCCTAGAGTTACCCCAAACGCACATTTTAAGGGGTTCATTTTCAACTGGTGCTTTCGGAGTCTATCAAAAACTCATTTTAAGTCACTCAAATGATGCTCCCTTTTTCTGGTTTTAACCACCAAATGATCAACGTAACACTCAATGGTATTGTGAAGCATGTCATTGAAAATTGTTGTCATAGCTCTTTGGTAAGTTGCCCCTGCATTTTTCAACCCAAAAGGCATCATAGTGTAGCAATATATTCCTTTTGGAGTGCGGAAGACAATTTTTTCTTGATCCTCTGGAGCCATTTTTATTTGGTTGTAACCTGAGAATCCATCCATGAACTAGAGCACCAAAACCGATTGTTGCGTCTACCAATAATTTTGTGATTGGGAGCGGAAACTCATCTTTTGGGCATGCGTCAATGACGTCTCTATAGTCCACACATATACGCAGTGCCCCAGTTTTTTTTTAAGGATTGGAACAATATTGGACAACCAAGTGGGATATTGGACTTCTCAAATCTCGATTTCTATTTGGATTGTTAGCTCTGGCCGAAAACGGCGTGGCGCTTGCTTCACCCATTGAGCCTCATCTGGTATCCCAAGTTTGTGAACTGCAACGTTTGGGTCTAACCCTGGCATGTCTTGATAACTCCATGCAAATACGTCTTGGTACTCTTGCAACAGTTGTGTGTATTCTTCTAACTCTTGTTGCGTTGATGAAGCACTGACAAAGATAGGTTTTGGGCCGTCAACTGTACCAAGATTAATTTTTTGCAGATCATCAATTGTGGCTTGACCTCCCTCCTCCATTTGTGGTGGAGCTAGTTGGACTATGTCAATGAATTCCTTGATGTCTTGAGGATTATCATCTTTGTCCACTGTTTCTTCGAACGAGGTGCAATTGACTTGGACAAGATCATAATTTATTTTCACCCTTTTGACTGTTTCGGTCACAGCTTTCTCTTGACTCTTAACTTTCCATTTTCTTTTATTATGGACTTTCCCTTGTTGAGAATTGAAAGGGTTCTCCAAACGTTGAAAGACTAAGACACGGGGTGGTTGTCTGCCCCCTAGTCGTTTGAACACAGAGATGCGAAGTGGCTTTTTAGTCACCTCATCTTCTCTAAACATGGCTTGTTCCATATTAGTGAGTATCTCAGGCTCAGAAGCTTTTGGATGTAGCCTTCGAAGAGACACTTTGAGCACACCACTCTCATTTTGAACTGTGAGGCCAGCATCGCTTTTCTTTGCTTTACGGCCTATGAGTTTTATCTTTAATGGAGCAGATGTTGTTTATGGCAAGGATGCCTTGTTGTGAAAAACTACACGTTTACTTGGGCCATAATTTTTGCCAAAAGTAGTCGAAATGACCAAACTGCCCCTAGGATAGACTGATTGATCTTACGAAGAGGACAAATGTAACTTGCCGTCATCAGTGACTCCATTGTTTGTTTCAATGAGCTTGTTGCTTTTTCACCAGGCTCCTTTTTTTAAAGTCTTGACAATTATCTTTGGCTTGGGAGCCTTTGCAGTCGGGACTTCTTCAACTTTTGGGGATGTCACACCTCGAGGTGTCAGCTTCACTCGAATTACCCTTGGCGATTTGGGTGCTTCTACCTTTTGTGATTTTCCTGCATCGATAGTTGTTTCTTTCTCCTTATCACCCTTTGGTGGTTGTGTGAATAAGAGACCAGGTGGACCGTAAAACTTCGCATCAGAGTAATTTACCTCTTCGCCTCTGAATGGGTCCATGTCAGCTGAAACACTCTTGACTTCCCCATCCACCAAGTATTTAAAGCACTGGTGAAGTGTAGAAGGGATTACACCATATGTATGGAGCCACGGACATCCTAGCTGAAGTGTCAGCATTGATCACATGGAATAGAGCGTCTGAATATAGGTCCCCTATTTCCATTTGCAATGTGATAGAACCCATGGCTTTTTGCCCAAGTTGATTGAACCCTTGAATAGTCAGCATAGATGGAGACAATTGTTGGGCACTCATCCCTATAGCATGGAGTGTCTTTAAAGGGATAAGATTCACAGCCGAACCACAATCTAACAAGATTCGATTGATGGTCGTGCCTCCAACCTCGCCAGTGACATAAAGAGGTCGATTATGGGATTTGGACCCAAGTAGAAAGTCATCTTCACCAAAGGTAATTGCTACCATACACGATGCACAAAACTTCGAGGTTTCAGTTGTATGGGCATCCGCTGATTTGAAATATGACTTGTACGAATCCGGGCTCATTGAAGCCATGACAAGTGCTTCCCTAAGCTCTCTCGACATTTTTAGAGCGTCATAGACACTTAAAGGAGTGGGGATGGGCTTAAGATGAGCCAAAATATCATACTTAAGTGCATGTGATTGTGATGACTCCTTTGCTTTACGGGTATCAAATTTAGGGTCCTTTGCTTTTGAAGAGGATGGTGAAACTTCCCCTGCAACAGTTTTTTTCTGACAAGGAGACCTTAATCTCTTTCGCGTTAGACTTCTTAGAGGGGTTAGCTTCCTCATTTTATTGTGCTTTATCAGCAGATAGGATGCTTCGACCGGAGCGGAGGTTAATCTCGTTAACCTCTGTGTCAAGCTCATGTTCCTCCATAGAAACCATGTTGCATTGAATAATTTCTTCCTCAACTTCGGATTCACTCGAGAAGAACTCAATTGGCAAAACTCAATGAGTGTAACAGGGACCCTTGCGGATTGCTCATATTCATCCTCTTGAGGGATTTGAGCTTTCTTTTGCACCTTCTTCTTCTTCCTTTTATTTTTCAAGGGTGGCATGCCTCGAATCTTGACACTAGGACGAGAAACAAATTTGTGATTGGGTGGGAAATGTTTGGCCATGTGCTTGGCTCTTTTAACAAATGTCTTCCACCCCTCAGTAGATTCGTCGGCCGAAGAATCTTCTCATACCTTTAGACTGGGTGCACTCATGAGCTCATGAAGAGTGGGAATTTGAAGATCACTAGATCATGGTGCATTTGGACAGGCATGTACAATTGTGCCCCCATTGTCGGTATTAATACCTGCAAATTTTACTCCACCTAGTAATGCAGTGGTGGGTGTGAGCTTTTCTTCTATCATATTTACCGTAGCTGAATGATGTTAGGAAGAAGGGTCTATCACCAAGCCGCCATTGTTGAGGAGCTCTTGAATTTTGTCCTTTAGGATATAAATTGAGCGTATGACTGATGAGGCGATGATACCAACAGTACCTAAGGTCATTTGTCTTATTAGTCTCAGCAGGACGCTTTGATTCTGGCAAGGTAATACCTTTGGAGGCCAGAAGTTGGTCAAAGATTTCATCTACATCCTCATCGTCAAAAGAATATTTGACCTCTTTGCACTCTTTAAGAGTGAGCCTTTTGGGTGGGTCTTTGCTTTGGCCTTTGTCATTCTTCTTCTCTGTTTTGACAAAAGTGGCCAATGACTCTCCCTTTACAGACTTCTTGTCATTTTTCTTCTCCCCAAATTGAATTTTTTGGGTCGCGGACTTTTGGCGAGCAATTTGTCTTTCAACATTGCTTGCCTTTGACACCAAAGCATCAAATGATTGGGGTTCAGCAGTGGCAACAAAAGTCGCAATGTCTGGCATGAGGTTGTTGTAGCACATTTGCACTGTTGATTGCTTGGTAATTTTCTTCGGGCATTGAAGATTGAGGCTCCTCCATCTTATTATGAAGTCATTAGCACTTTCCCCTAGCTTTTGGGTAGTTTGAGCTAGGTCCATGATTGAGACCATCTGACAAACTGTGCCAAAAATGCTTTTTGCATGTCGTCCCAGGAGAGCGTCAGACTGAGATGTCTCACCACATGTTGAATAAAAATGTGCCAGATGTTCATGGGGTGAGCTATTTATGCCATCAAATTTATCAAATATAGGCCGTTGATAACCCTTCGGGAATGGTATGGCGTCATAGTGAGAAGGGAAGGGTTTTCGATACCCTTGAATATGAGGCGTTATAGACAATTGGAACTCACGAATCCCCTCAGCAATTAATGCCTTTATGTCGTTTGGGGAAATTGTGCTCGTAGAGCTCTCTGCTTTTTCCTCTTTTGTTTGTTGTTCCTGGGTCACCGATTCATTTGTTTTGCCCCTGTCTTGCTCACCTATGATGGCTTTTTCTTTCAGCCGAGCGGATAGTAACGCTATTTCCGCGTCTTTCTCTGCTAACTTCTGTTGCATTTCCCTTCGTAAGTCTTGCATCATCTCTTGGATTAAGGGTAACTGGTCCTCAGTATTAGAAGTACCAGTCATCATGACTTGCATGCTTTCCAATCCTTCATGAAGTCTGGTCCCTTGGGATACTATGCCATCATTCTCTTAAGTTTGAAGTATGGGATCATCATAAAGAGGATTCCATAGCAAATAATCGTCCAAGCAGGTTGAATTTAAACTGGATAACTCGGGAATAACCGTCCCCATCATGTCTCGGGATTTAGAGCGAGTCAATGGACCCATGTAGGTCCTCGACTGATCTTGAGGTTTTGGGACTGCCCCCTGTGATACAAGGATTTGATCCCTTGAAACATCAATTGTCTTCACCCTTTTCACATTCTTCCTTTGTGGATGAGGTATGTTCACCACTTTCTTTTTCATGATGATGGCTTTGTTTTTACCTTTATGAGAACATGGGTAAACCTCTTGTAATGTGGATTCCACAGCATGGGCTCTAGGGCTTGACGGAGGTTCGACCCCTTGGACCTCAATGTTTTCTTGAGAGTCATCCTTCTGACTTTCTTCGCTAGTTTCATCGATGGAAGTCATCAAGGCTGAATCTGTAGTATATAGGTAGACCGGAATTGATCCAATCATGATTCGGACAAATTGGGTAGCATTTGTCCTCTTGGGAGTCGGCACAGTCAGGGTGGTTGAGGTGTTCTTGCCTTCGGTCACCATGGGGCTTGTCCCAGAAAGCTCGGATAATATTGCCTCAATAGACTCCTTCTTTACTTCTTTCTTTCTTAAAGCACTCGCAACCCTCTTTCTTGCATTTCGAAGAGCGTTCTTAGATGGTGTTTTCTTGAGTTGGGTCTTGACGACCTTAGGAGTGACCTGAGGTCTGGCCCTCTGAATGGGCTTTGGAACAACGCACTTGATGAGGCTCTCACCAATAATGAAAGTCTTTTTGAACCCCACTCGTTTGGTGCACGCATTCCTGGTAGTTTCAATCTTGTGGAAGAAAATTGTTACTTGTGGCAAACAGAAATAAAAAACATTAGTCACTTTATGATTGGAGATGAAAAGGTAAATGGGTCCCATTGGGAGTGCCAAAAATTATGTTGAAGGAAAAATGTGAACCTCCCAACATAATTTCACCACCACTAATTAAATAATGGGGTTTTATTATTTTAGGTTCAACCCATTCGAGACGCAAGTCTCTTAATTACAATCCCTTGCTTCAAGGGAACACCCTTTGATTCCATCATAAAGAAACAGAACGTGTGTGTTTGGTTTTGCAGCTGTTCCCAAGTCCAACCTTAGGATGCCTACGTATCCCTTGTGGGAATCTAGCCACTCATAGTTCAAACATTTGCAATGAATAAATGACTCATCGCAGAGGGGGGAATTTGAATGAATTTGATTGAGGAGTGTTTGAGTGAATTTAGCTTAATGAACCAGGGATTCGATATGGAATTATGTTTGGGATGGTTGCATCTAGATTGCCTGCGTACCCTTTCAAAGGGATCAAACCAACGTAGTTTGGAATTGATTTGTATAAAGGTTTGGTTGATGGGAATTTGGTTGAGGTTGCGTCTATTGGGATGCTAGACTACCTACGTACCCTTGATGGGATCAAACCAGCATAGTTCCAAATTGATTTGGAAATTAACGGGTAAGTGTTGCCCACTAATTGAGAATTTGTGTCTTTGAGACAATTTGGAGATTTTCATAGGTAGATGTTCTATGGGAAAAATTGGAAATTAATGGGTGAGTGTGGCCCACTAATCGGGAATTTATGTTTGAGCGATTTGAAATTAATTTCAATGAAATTTGCATGGGTGGATGACCCATGGGAAAAATTGGAAATTAATGGGTAAGTGTGGCCCATTAATTTGGAATTTCTATTTGAGAGATTTGAAATTAATCTCAATGAAATTTGCATGAGTGGATGACCCATGGAAAAAAATAGATAGTTTTGTACCATTTTTTTTCTTATTGTCAATGTCCAAGAAAATTAATGAGCAATTTTGATTAACCCACTGATTTTCTAAAATTGACATTTGCATTTGGGCCCAACATGGCTATGAGGATCTTTTAAATTAATCCATTAACCATGTGATAGGAAATTTGGGCTTGTGCAAATTTAATGGGTAAATATTTGGATCACCCATTAAATACATTGGGCTTTTAAGAACTAATAGGACTTCAGAGATTTACAACATAAAGGAATTGTAAATTTGACCGGCTTGGGAAAGAGTTACTCCACGGCCAGGATTGCTCTCTTTATTCAACGAAAACCCAGGCACATTTTCCCTTGTTCGGCAGACAGACCTAAAGTAGAGCCATCTTTATTTTCATGAAAGGTACAAATGCCTTTCTTTGTCAGACCACCACATAGCTTTTATATATATATATATATATATTTACAGTCAAAGTAGACATAAAAAACGAGTCCAACAGCCAAAGAGGTGTGCCTCCCCTTTTTCCATCTTTTGCTAACTTTTCCTTTTCTTTGTGGTGGCTATCTTCTCTCTTTTTTTGTCCAAGGGGTAATTCGCGCTCCTTTTTTTTGTACATTTTGGAATTAACCTTCAAAACACCATTTCTGTTTCAAAGGATTTCCGTTTGCTCAGCAGAGCTTTACTAAACAGGAATCCTCTCATGGATTTGCTGTTCATGCTTTAAGGGTTGCCACCCATTATGGATTTACCATCCAAGAGTTTTATTTGAGGGTTGCCACCCTATATGGATTTATCATCCAACAAAATGATTTGAGGGTTGCCACCCAATATGGATTCATCATCCAAGAAAATGATTTGAGGGTTGCCACCCAACCAGAATTAATTGAAAGAAGCGGTATACCTGTGAAAAGTATTCTCTTGTGCTTGTGCTCTTGCAATTTTTCCCCTGCAGCAGTTTTCTTCTTTTGTCGTTTCCTTCCCCTTTTTTTCTCTTCTCTTCTTTATTTCTCTACTGCCCTCCCTTTATATGCTAGAGACCTCATTAGTGGAGGATGTGTCATTTGAAAACTGAATAATCAACTCCCCCAAAAATAGGAGCCACCAACCTCTCTTAAGAGTTTTCATTGGTCTAGCCTCCCACTGACTTGCTGCTTACTAGACGTGGCAAATAACAGGTATCAAAATTGTGGGTGTCCAATCCCATGTTTCAAATTTTTTTTTTGTGATTTATTTTATTCCACCAATTGGCAAGGTTGGGATCGACCCAAGCTTATGAGGGGTTGGCCTACTTCAGGGCCGGAAAAATGGAACAAGTGGCTTGATTGATTGTCAAGCTTGTTCAATACGCAATGGAGGTAAGAGGGCATCTATTATGCAATCATGCTTTGTAAGTCTAGTTTCACATGCGACCGTAATCTTGTTGCAGCTGGTCTTTGTTTTTGGTCAACTTCTACCAATACTATGAAGTTAAGATTTGGGATGATGACCCCAACTCTTCTTGACTTAGCCGCCATGGTGGGTTTTTGACCATGTGGTGGTGAAGTAAGTGCTTTATCTCCATCAAAATGTGAGGTTGATTTTGGTTTCACCAAGAAGAACAAAAGCTACAAGGTTTTCACGGAAGCTAATGCTCAAGAAACAAGGCCACTCACACATAAAGAACATATAGCTTTTCTCATGATTTGGCTATGCAAATATGTCTTCTGCATGGCGTCGGCACAAGTTAGTTTAGAAGTTCAGCCTCTAACCGAAGCACTAGCAAAAGGCCATCGGTTGGACCTTGGGCCAATGATGTTGGCGTATTTATATCAAGGTCTCTACAATATGGTTTTACTCAACCCAATGAATTGCAATATTACAGTGCCGATTTGGTTGTTTCAATTGTGGCTTCAAGTATACTTTCCAAAAGTACGGCCAACTCATGATCTATTTGCTCCTAATTCTCTTGTTGGAGTAAATATTTTGTCTCTTCCCTTTTCCGGCCTCAAAGTTAAAGATTACTTTGGAATTTTATACAATTGTGACGGCCGCTCCGAAGATGAATTTTCTGTTTGTCTAGATCGATAATTTCCTTCTTACCTTGGGTTGAAACTAAGTTCTCCTACCCCAGCTGATAACAGCTGAGATGCCTTTTGTAAAAGCCTTTGGGCTAGCATTTTATTGAGTAGAAACTTACACCTCGGCTTGTCAGTGGGTTGGGGTTTATTTTCCTTTTGCGACCAGTCGTCAATTGGGTTTCACTCAAACTCTCCCTCTTCCGATCACAGAATCTTGCAATATGGGCACATCCCACAGAATCTTGCAATATGGGCACAGAATCTTGCAATATGGGCACATCCCACAGAATGTAATGTGGTTTCCGTGGACAGTGAGCGATTGCGGAAAACCTTTAATCTGCATATTCGGGATGCCAACTTTAATTCTACGACCCATTTTGATACCTGGTGGAAACACGTCACCTGTGACTGGTTTACATCGGCTGCTGACATTATTTTTGCTAAGCTTTTTCATTAATGGCCGTCAACAATTAAGGATGCTACTTCCTACAACTCGGTGAGCAAAACAGGTATGTTCTATTCATGGCTACAAGTTTGATTTTCAACTGCCCACATTATAATGATTCACAACAATTTTTATTGCAGGTAACGTGGTCGAAGAGATCAGTTTTGCTTCGCCAACATTACCGAAGAAAATACTACTCACCAAGCAAAACCATTTAGGTACTCTCACCTAAAGAATTATGTTACCATTTTCATAATATTCTTGCATGGGCTAACCATTATTTTTGTAGGATCTACTTGACCTTTCCTCACCTGACCATTCTCAAGAATTTATAGGCTTTGAGACTGAAGACCAATATGATTCATCGGTCGACAATACTATTGTAGGGATATTTGTTCCAACAGCTTGACGAATGGGCTTGGGATGCCGTAAGAAGAACACGCACAGAAGTTCCCCAAGTGTCCGAGTTCTGGAACCAAGCTCCTGAAGGGGTTTTTGAAAGATTTGATAAACCTTAGAAGAACACCTTCAGGTTCTCTTCACCAATTGCCAAATAAGCATGATAAAATCAATTAATGGCTTAGCTTGAGGAGCCTGTGGTTCCAATGATTTGACGCAGCTGGACCTTCCCATGGAGGGGAAGGCGCCACCTGCTTTCCTTATGGTTTTTCAAGACAGAGCTTACAGAGGAAAAGAGGAGAGATGCAGCCTTTTATCTGATGGACACTCCTCTCACCCCCGTGGATTTCCTCTGGTCCTACCATGGCTCCCTTGTGACCGTTGTTTGGAGTTCTAACAAGAATGGGACTTAGCGCCAGACCTTTACAAGTCGCTGGGCTGGGCTTGTACACATGGGATTGGGTCTTTTAGCTTGTTGCTTCCAACGTGCAATAGGTTTCGTCAGCCTGCTGGAAACAGTTTTATCCTTTTAAGCAATCTATTGATATGGGCTAGGCTACTAGGTGATCTCCTAAAGTTTTGGACTGTTTTTTTCCTCTCTCTCATGCTAACCCATGTATTTGGGTTCTAGGAGCGGGCTTGAGTTTCGATGCCCCCAAGTGGCTTAAAACTTGCATTCCTCGAACCCTCAATGGGCCCTGTGATTGCTTGTTCCCTTCCATACCATAACCTTCTCAGTAAGCCCCGGTTAATTTGTGGCTTGGGGCCACTTAGGCTTGTGACATAGCTTAGTGCTAGAATAGTGGCTCTTTTCGCATGATGCCTACGCTTGTGCTTGAGTTTTATTATGCGGTGATAGGCTTATAATTGGGCCAAGTAATACCGAAGAGATATGTGAGAGTGGTCTCGTAATGTTGGCATACTCTTGGCCCCTTTGTATGTGCTTGCTTGGCATGACACGTGGCTAGTAGCATGTATTAGCGGGTCCCACAAGTTCTCTTTTGTTTCGATTAGCCCCTTTTGTACCCTCTTATTTGTGTTGGGCCAGGAATTAATTTGGGCTTAGCCCTTTGGATTTTTGGGCCTCAACATTAGCCCCCCTTGATTATTAGGGCCATGAGCAATACCTTGAGATAGGTCGAATAATCAAACCCAGCCCAAAAGCAAGAAAAATCAAATCCCTGCAGCTAATGTGACCTCGTTTCCCGAGTGTGTGCTGCCATAATTATCTTCCAACAGTTTCTTATGTTCCCCAGGTACGCTTCCGTCAAATCTATTTTTTTTTTCTTCCTTCTTTCTCCTTTTCATTCTCTAACTTATTTCTTTTGTGTGCGCGAGTCCCCAAACTGGTTGCCCCTTTTTTATTTTTGCTGGTTCCATCTCACACCTGGGTCTAGAGAACCTTTGGAGAACGAGAAATCTCAGTGAGGCCTTCTTCATAACTGCTGGTTGGTTACGCTCAGAGAAACCGCTCGCAACGTCTGGGAAAAGCCACGGCTCCTCTTTAAAATCCCTCAAAATTCTTTCAATTTCTTCTTCAATCCACCAAAAACCAGGCTTGGCAAAGTTGCCCTGCAAAGTGTGAAGCAATTTTGACAGCAAAATCGCAAGGTGGTTCCCTTTTTCTTCTGATTCCGCAAGCTGCTGGAAAACGCCGTCAAGAACAATGGTAAGCATCGTCCTCTTATCTCCTGTAACAACCCAAACCTTAATTAATATTTAACTATTAGTTTATTATGGAGAAAGGACAATTTTGCCCTTGGACTAAGTTATTAAAGGAAAGTTGACTTTTGACCGGAGAAGAATTGGATTATTCCACTTGCATCGTTGCGTAGAGCGCGACGAAATGAGTCCGTAGACACGGAGTAGACTCGAATCGGAGTTGTAACGAAGAAAATACGATCAAAATATTCCAAGGGGCAAAATGGTAATTTTGGAAATCAGGATTTTTAAAACTCTCCTTTCTCTCTCCGGTCTCGCAGAACCCTCCTCCCCTTCGAATTTTTGCTCTAGCCGCCACCCTTCAAACCTCCATAACCACTGCCACCCTCCACTCCAGGATCGCTTGGGATTCAACGGATCGTGAATCGAAGTCCTGGATACTCCGAAATCGCGAACCCTAGGGTTAAGGCTTTAAGAACCGTTGATCACGCGATTGTGACCAATCCAACCCATCCGATCGAGACCAGACTCATGGGACTTGTGCCCTAGGATTAAAGGAACGTTAACGTGGGCATAGGAATAACCTTAATTGGATGCACGCACTTCTAGGAGCCGGGGGTCATGGTTTTTATTTAAATATTTTTTACCGAGCAGTTTTATTAATATATATTATTATGGTATTTGAATCAGTTGACCCTAGGAGGGACCTTCAAAAGGTCCAGCGAGCACGGACTAATAGTGAGTGGACTCTTTGTTTTCATAAATGAATTTATGCAATTCAGTTACAGTATTTGATCTTGAACAATATTCAAAGATTAGTGTTTTTATAAGTTGTTACATGCTTTTAAATATTTGATTTATATGCTGTCGAGTGGAATATTTTTATGGATATAGGAAAAAGACATTTTAGCTAAATATTAGATAAATGGCAGCAAAGTTTTAGATTTAACAGAAATTCAGTTATTCACTAGATTTTTCAGAAACTATATATATTTTCTTAAGCCACCTTAGGTACCCAGAGATTCACATGTTGCCTTCAGATATGATGATGTCCACGGACATCCAGGTTTGCCTTCGGTAAATATGTTGCCTCCGGATTATATTAGTTGCCTTCGGTTTAGTTAGCATGCTTGACAGTTGCCCCACGAGTTCTATGGTACCCGGACTCGTGCGGAGCCAGGAATGCGGATCAGGTTGACAACGGTCCCCTTGAATCCTGCCAGTTTGCGGCTCGGATTGACCTAGTGTCACCAAGACTTGCAAGGGGAATTGACGGATATCAGGAATTGATGGAAATACAGGGGTACACCTAGGTGGTAGTTTTAAACTGATTTCAGTGCTTTTAAGAGTTTAAAGATGACCATGAGTATGATTGGCATATATTTATAAATATATGAGTGCATTGATTTCATACGTATATGATTGAGAGAATGATTTAGTTTTGACTAACCGTTTTTACAGTGGGGTTAGTATGTTCATATCTATTTTCTAAACTTTGTTTTTGGGTCCACTCACCTTTTTAATGTTTTGCGCCCCCAGGTTGTAGACGTGCATCCGTGAGCCACCACAGGGCACTTTCCGCTTCCCGCTCTTCCTCAGTTTGATGTAGGGTTCTTGGTTCACAAGTTGATCCTTTCTTGTAAATTAACCTGTATAGTTGCTCTGAAGTTGCCCTAGGACGTATTTAACTATTGGAACGTACTTATTTTGTGTACTGGCAGTTGGTGTATATATTTAAGTGTTTGTTGACATGTGTAAATTTTGGGAATGTTCGATTTACAGGGGAAACTCTATCGAATTTTCGGTAGAAGTCAACCTGAAAGGAAGTTAAGTTTTTAACAAGAAGGGCAACATGGTCATTTGTGCTTGGCACCCGCCAGGTGTCGATCACGCACAGGGTTCGGCTCGGATTCCAAAGTGGAGTTTGGGTCGGGTCCTGTCATCTCCTCTCCTACTTCTTCATCTTATCATTGCAGACACATGCATTTATGCATACGCACATATATGTACAGATGGCGCACTCACGTATATAGATTTTGAGAATTTCTCATGAACAGAGTGTCCTCTCTATTCCTTTTGCTGTATATCCGCCTAATCATTCATGCCTGGGTTCGAATTTTTTTTTTTGGGCATGAACCACTGATTAAGGTTTTTAAGCATACTTGAAGTAATAACTTGTCTCGGTTAAACATGAAACTTCTAGATGGTATCGAGGCATGATAGAGAGGGCAGGGGCAAGCATTATGTAGACCAGCCACTCCATGGCCTTCTTCGGACAATTTACTCCTATAGCTTGGCCCCCTTTTTTTTGGCATCAAATGACCTTTTCCCCTTTCTATAGGACAGATTTGCATGATGGCGTGGAATTGGTATTCTCCCCTTTTTTTTTTCTTTTTTTATGATCCTGGCATGACATCATAGGGATGTGCGTATGTTCAGTGTCTGTGAGGGTGCTGGAACTTATTTGTTTTGTTCCTTTTTCCTCTTTCGCAGGTGTTCGTGACTTAGCGGGTTTATTATGGCATCGTCTGACCTTCCGCCCATCATGTTAGACCACCTTTACTCCATGGATGACAATCTCAAAGCAGAAGGGCCGCTCTTGTTGCTTGAAGATGCCCGTGAGAATCCCGTTGTTGGTGATGAGCCATCCCCTGAAACCACTCCCGTAATTGAACCTGGCTCCATATCCCGATGCTGCATTGAAAAGGCCTATTTCCAGCTGTTCCCTTATTCTTCCAATACCCTTGTAGCATCAGTAAGGGTTGGTCAAAATGGGTCGATCGTGAGCGGCGGGATCCATCCACATGCAACATTTTGCGCAGGGCACAGGTCCTAGATGCCATCTTCCTTTCCAAACTATGGGATATCCATATTGAAGCGAAGATGCTTCGTCACGTGGCCCGGAGGTGGAGCGCTGCTACACACACTTTTGTATGTTCGTGGGGGGAATTTACTCCTTGGGTTTGGCTATAGCTTGAGGCGATACAATCCCTCTAGCCCCCATGTTCTTGGGGCATCTATACCGGCTACTTAATCAGACTCAGCTTTTAGAGAAAAGCGCATCTGAAACTATGCACGTGGAGACCCTCTTGAATTCTGGTTTCTTGCAGGTGTTTTTATGGGAGCATCTTAAAGGATTGGATGTACATTCACTTCCTCACTCACATGCTATGAAGCTGGCCAATTGGGGCAGGGGTTCTTATATGCCAAAAAGTCTTCCCTTAGTCTGCAGATGGTTTAAGCGAATGCAGAGGAAAGGCCAGGACTTTCTGAAGCTGTTGGATAACGTTGAGAACTTTGTCTTCCCTCCTTACGGCACCTCAGCAGAGACCTTCACCTTTGTGCCCTTTTATGCTGATGTTAGTGACATTGTTGAGGTTCCAGCAGCCATGTCACAAAGCGGCCAGTTTAGAAAGTATGCCATGTTGAACTTTGCTCCTATCCCACTGCCTACTCTTGGAGACAGTCGCTCAGAGATTTCTGTACCTTACTCGTCTCACCGGGTTAGGCGGCAATTTGGGCTTGATCAAGGAGTACCGAGCAGTCCTAACCATGCTGACCCCTTCGTGATACACAGAGTCTTCTGGAGCAATGACCCTATACCAACTGTTGTAGGCCCCTTGTTTTAGCTAGCAAGAGGAGGATTGGCGGCTTCTCCCGAGGTTACCAAGCTTATTGGAACCACTGCCTTGCCTCCTTTCGTGAATTCCAATCTTTTCGTGGAGATAGATTGCCTCCCACAACAGCTCGCCTTGCAGGCTTGGTATCGGAAGAGAAAGCCATCCCTCTAAGCCAAAAACGCAATTTGCCCTTTATTTCCAAGAGGGGTGACATTGTTGGAGAATTTCCTAAGACAAAGCCAAGGCCAGGAGTACAAAGTCCTTGTGGTTCCGGAAAAAGTGCAACACCAGTGTCGGGTAAAAGGAAGCGAGAGGAGGAGCATAAGGTAAGGGAGAAGCAGACTGCCAGTAAACCCAAAAGGTTCATTCCAAAGGTAGCCCCAAGTGGCCCTCCTCGAACCAAATAAGCAACTCCCCCGGAACGTCCACAGTCTTCAAAGCTTGCTGCATCCGAGAGCCGGGGTCGTGCTGGCAAGGTGCTGGAAACTACCCATCTCCACAGTAAGTGTTACCTCATCTTTTTTAAATAAATAAAAAATTTAACCACACCTCTTTTTTTTTTGTTTTTTTTTTTTTTTTTTTTTTTTTTTTTTTTTTTTTTTTTTAGGAAAAATGGGTACCACTCCAAAGAGGAGAAGAAGTAGCACACCCTCCGTGTCCCCACAGGCTACTCCGAAACGTCGCAGCATGCGTGTCTTGCAAGAAAAATTCACTGGGGCTCATACAAGCGGTAGCAAAGCCTCTGGAACTAGAACTGTGGTGACGATTGATGATGACAGTGATGATGGTGACACTACTAAGTCCAAGGCTAGCACTCCGGGTCAAGAGGATATTGATAACATTAGTGACATGCATGAGGGTTCCGATAGGAATGACAATTATGACCATGATGGGGATGTACCTTTTGATGATTATACAGAAAAACAAGGTGGCTCGGATACCTTTTCTGGATCTGTGGGTAGCAGTGTGCGCCCTATTGGCGTTGAGCCGATACTTGGCCTATCCTAAACTCTGTTCTCTTCTCCTCCTTCGCACCACCAAATATCTATTGACCACTCGTACCCATTTCGCAGGTCACCGGTATTACTGAGGGCTCAGACCTTGTTACGGCCACTGTTGACTGTGCACAAAGCACCCCTGAGGTACCTGCTTTACTAATATTCTCTTTTTCTCCTTGTTGGGCACCATCCTCCTCTTACTCCTTTGCTAGTGCACACAACCTGTTGTTTATTTCGTACTGATCCTTGTACATATCATTTTTTTCTTTTTTTCAGATTAGGCGTGTTGCCCAGAACATGGAAATCGTGCATGTGGTGGCTCCCTCCTTCGACACCTTTGATAGATTGGTTGAGGCAGCCTTTGCGGAGTCATTTCCGACCATGCCGCCAACAAATTCCCAGGACACAACATCCATGTTCCGAATCACAAACCCGTTGCCTCCCATCTTCCAGCACTTTCTTCGGGGGGGACCTTGAGCCTGACATTTCTCTAGTTCTTCCGACAATTCTCCAGAGCAACACCTTTGCCTTTCACGGGACACTACCTGTTCCATCCCACATTCAACCGCTTCTACGGGCGCCAAAGCCCAGTCCCTTAGCACTTCTTCCAGCGTCCTCATTTGGTAACGCAAGTGCTGCTGAGAATGTCCAGGCTATCATTGCTGCCAAGAATACTGCTGCAGAACACTCGTCTGACGCATCTTGGTTGGAGTAGGAGGAATCCTTTGCTGCATTTATGGCCTTCTTTGATGGTGGTGTTCAGGTCCTTCTATCCGCAGATGAACTCTTGCCACTTTGTTACCGGTTCAACGATTATGCAACATTCCGAGGAGCCCTCATTTATCCCGAGACAATTGCAGCCCTGGAGAAATTTCTAGACAAGTATGGGGATTTCACGGACATGACTAGCATTACTTCTTCATTTTCCCAGTGCGCTGCTTTCTGAACTCTTGGCTTGGTGCTCCACGGAATGGATACTACGCAGTTGCTGGACATCACAGACCATCGACTCCTTTGCTGGCGGGACGCGATTTGTGAAGCCATGACTTTAGGTTTCCGGGTAGAGTTTCTCTTGAACTTGGTGAAAGACCTAGCACGTGCTATATTCGGAGAACGGGCTATTCATAGCATGGAGTCATTTTCTGGTTCTGACAACATAAGAGCAGCGACAAAGGCCTTGAATCTCAAGCAATGCGAGTTAGAACATGAACATGGGGAATTGCGTGCTCTTCTTCTTGCCCGAGGTATTTCTCCTGATAGTGCAGGTTGCGTGACGGAAGCGGTGACAAGGTCTTCTCATAAGGCCTCTTCCATTTTTTTCTAGCCATGTGTGATGGTTTTGAGGTTCGTTACTTCCTGTCTCTCCCTTTTTTATCCACTACCTTCCTATTTTCTTCTGACATTTTCTTAATTCCGCAGGCTACATTTTTGCTTGGTGTAGGACTGACTGGCTCGACACATCTCAGGATTTCTTTCAAGATTGAAGAACACATTTTAGCTTGTATAACTTAGTCTGATCTAGGCTGTAATTCCTTGTGGGTAACCTCAAGACTTGTATTGCGGTAGCTTGGGCACTTGCAGTCTTGTTGTGTTCAAGCTGCCGAAACCTATGTCCCTTTTTTTTTAGAACACATTGTAACTTTTGCTCAGTATATATATATATATATATATATATATATGGTGCTTGGTTGGCGGAAGTCTTTTGCTTGAGATTTTTTCTACAGGTTGGGCACCCTTTAAAAACAAGATAGATGCCGTCAAAATTTTGGTAGGATCCACGCCCGAAGCTTCTGAGTACTTATATATATATATATTTAGCAAGTTTGGGAGCATGCCAATTTCAAAGGCTTAGCTTGGCGTATTTCTTTGTTGATAAAGCATGAAGCCTGCTAATAACCCAGGATCCCATGCAAATGGCTTTGACTTGGCATGCCTTCTGCTAAACAACCTTTCTCTCTTTTTTTTTTTATTTTAAAAAAAACAAACAGGCAGACTTCCACAGATAGTTTCTTTTTTTTTCTTTTTTAAAAATACTCCTTCACTTTCATTTCAAATCTCATGTTACCACCAAGGTACATTTTACAAAAGCTTCCCCAAGTAGAAGCAATCATATGGAAGGAGATCATAAAAAAAAAGGAAATGCAATAACATAAAGATAAAATACTATGCCTACTTAGCAGTAGTAGGGCTTGAGCCATTTTCCATTGATGGGATCCGTTAGCATGCCTTCCTTAACAGAGATCAAGCGATAATAGCCACTGCTGTGTACTTCCTTGACTGCAAACGGACCTTCCCATTGCGAGGCAAACTTGGATGGTCCTGACATTTGTCTCCTCATATGCTCGACGACTTTCAGCACAAGATCTCCTTGCTTGAAAGCTTGAGGCTTAACGGTCCTGTTATATGCTTGGGCAACAGTCTTATGGTAAAGGGCCATTTTTCTTTCGGCTTCCATTCTCCTTTCGTCCACTGCTTCAAGATCCAACAAACGCCAATCCAAGCATGACTTTGCATCCCATTCAAGATCGTTAACAACTGATACTCTGGGCGTGGGAATGGTGATTTCCATAGGTGAAATAGCGTCGGACCCATATACTAGTGAATAAGGTGAAAAACCTGTAGCACTTCTGGGTAAGGTGCGGTAAGCCCACAAAGCATCCAGCAGGTGAATGCTCCAACCGCCCTCATACTCATACATCATTTTGCTTAAAATCCTCAGTATTGTCTTATTGGTAGCCTCTGCTTGACCATTTCCCTGCGGGTAATAGGGTGTTGAGCGGCGATGGAGGATGAATTGTCCCTATTAAGTCAAGCCCCCAAGTATGGAAAGGCCAAGGAGTGCGCATGTCCTGCAACAGCGTAGGAGGCTTGTGACTCAAATTGGCGTGGATTTGGCACATGTGGCATTTCTTAACAAAATCATGTGCATCCCTTTTCATAGTAGGCCAGTAATATCCAAAACTCAACAGCTGCCGGTGGAGCCTTTTCATTCCTTGATGCTCTCCGCATTCTCCAGCGTGTATTTCTTGCATGACTTGATGTGACTCCGTCTTTCCTAAGCATCGTAAAGGTTCCCCGTTAAATCCCTTCCGATAAAGAGTCAACCCATCCACAAAATATCTCTTTACCGTCTTCTTAAGCTTATAGGTGAGCTTGGAATTGCTTGGCAGAGTCCCTTCAACAAAAAAAATGCCAAATATGGGGCCCTCCAATCTTCTGCGAGTGAAATGGTTAAAGATTCCTCGGTAGCGGGTATTGTAGAACATTTGGGACAATTAGCCTGAACCTCAGCCGCTTGTTTCCTCATTTCTGGCCAAAAATAACCTTTACGTTGCAGGCGCCGATACAAGTTGATTACTGGTTCCAAACTGCAAGTAGCATCGTGCACTTCTTGCAACCACCTTCTTACTTCAATTATTCCTATGCATCAAGTCAAAACGCCTCCTGGAAGACACCTGTAGAGTTGCCCAAAGATAATCACATAATCTTTCAAATCCTTAATACCGCTCTCTTCACCCAACTTTTTCTTCAATGGTTTTCTCCAATTGTCTTCTTCCAGCAGCTCCGCCTGGACCATTGCGTCGATTGCCGGTGTGCCTCTCCTTATTACTGTAATATTGGGCTGCTCCTGCACAAATAAGAGCTTTGATCCCAACGTAGCCAAGGCATCACCATACTTATTAGTGACTCCCGGAATGTGCTCCATCACTATTTGCTTGAAAGAATTAATAAGCCTTTCAACAGCTGTCCGATATGGTGCCAAGGTTACCTCTTTCACAGCAAAGTTTCCTTGCAATTGACTTAGCACCAAATTAGAATCGCCAATGATCTTCATCCCTTCTGCACCCATTTCCCTGGCAGTGGACAATCCCATAATGAGCACAACACCTGCTCCTCCACCTTTTGATGTGGAAGACCCATCAAAGTAGAGGGTCCATGGCTCCTCTTCCGTCACAACAGCCACTATTTCCGGCAGTTCCCCCCAAAACCTCCTTGGAAAGAGTTGATTCCTCTACCTCGGGAAATAGAGCCAGCATGTCAATCACAACTTGTCCCTTGATAGCCTTAGGAGTTGTGCATGTAATATCAAATTCAGATAGCTGCAGCAGCCAACGCGTAAGACAACCAGATAGCACCGACCTTGTGAGCAGATATCTCATAGGATCAGATTTTACTATGAGCTGTAGCTTGTGAGCTAGAAAGTAGTGTCGCAAGCGTTGTGCAGCATAGACAAGAGCAAGACACAAGAGCTCAGTCTTTGGCTATCTCGTTTCCATTATTATTGTCCTGGGCAAGCAAGGCCCCAACTGCTGTGTTTGTTGCAGCCAAATATAGTTTAAGCGGAAGTCCCAGAATGGGTGCTCTCATGGTGGGAAGCTTGGTGATTATTTGCTGCACTCGCTGATAGGCCTCCTGACACTCCTTGCTCCACTTGTATGGCTTGCCTTTCTTGAGTGAAGGAGTAAAGATACTCATGGTGGCAGCAAGACCCGGGATAAAGCGTCGAATATACGATAATGGCTCTGGTTTTTTTTTATCCACATCTATGCCACGCTGATGTACTTGAAAACCAAGGAACTTGCTTGATGAGACTCCGAATGCACATTTCTTTGGGTTCATCTTTAACCCGTAGAGCCGACACCTTTCCAGCACCCGTCTCAAAACCTCCTAATGGCTTCCTCTATGTTTTGATTTTACCACTAAGTTGTCCACATAATCCTCGACTTCTCTCCCCATCATATCATGAAATACTGCCATCATGGCCCTTTGGTATGTGGCGCCAGCGTTCTTAAGACCAAATGGCATGACGGTGTAATAAAAGTTCCCATATGGTGTTCGAAAGGCAGTCTTCACAACATCCTTGGGCAACATTTTGATCTGATTGTAGCCACTAAACCCATCCATAAAGGACAGCATGTCTTGGCCTGAAGTTGAATCGATCAAGATATCCATGTTAGGTAGCGGGAACTAATCCTTTGGACAAGCTCGGTTGGGATCTCGGTAGTCCGTGCATATTCTAATTACTCCAGTTTTCTTTTTCACAGGAACAATATTTGCTAACCGTGTTGGGTGCTTGATTGGTTTGATGAATCCAGCGGCTAGCAATTTTTCAATTTCCACCTTGATTTGCTTTTCGATTTCAGGATGAAAATTCCTCTTTGGCTGTACAACAGGCTTGGTACCTAGCTCAATATTCAGTGTGTGACTCACCAAATTTGGATTGAGGCTGGGCATTTCATCGTAGCTCTAAGCGAATACATCCCGAAATTCTTTTAACAAAGACACCAACATTTCCTTTTCTTCCTTTGCCAAGTGGACACTGATGGAGATGGGCCTCTGGACCAAGAGATCATCACTCAAGTTGATTGTTTCCAATTGCTCAGCTACCGTCATTGAACCATCTTGCATGTGCTTGGGCACTATCATTGGTTCCTGAAAGGTACAAGCCAGAGGTGCCCTGTTATCTGGATCCTTGCGGCTGCCAGCTTGCATTGCTTCTCCTCTATACTCGGGGCTTTCCCGCATAACACGATCGAGCCCCCAATCCCATCATAAGCGGTACACAGTGCACCCATCGGGCAGCGTCACTTTCGAGCATTGGGGATGATCATAGGCATGATTGTTGACCTCCGAGTGTCTCTTTCTTTCTCGGTCGACAATGGTGATGAGCTCTTCATTGCTTAGATCACGAATTTCAGTCCACGAAGGAAGGTAAGTCCCGAAATCCTTGGATGGGTTGCTTCCGGCACCTGTGCATTCGGTGTAAAACTTTGCCTCATAGTAGTGAGCTTCGTTTTTGTTGAACGGTGCTTGGTTTTCGGGTATTCGTAGCGGCCTTAGCCCAATCCTTCCTTTCACGAACTGATGGTAAGTAGAGACCACAAGCTTATGCTTATTAAGCCATGGCCTCCCAAGCAAAGCATGATAAGCCACATCCACATCTACGACATAAAACTTAGTAAGTGACCGAATTGATCCAACCTTCAAATTTACTTGCATGTGCCCGACTGTGACTTCACTTTTGTTTCCGAAACCACTGATGCTTGTTTGTGATTGAATAATTTTGGATAATGGAATGCCAGCTGCTGTAAGCACGGACAAGGGTAATATGTTGACAGAGGAACCCGTGTCTACCAAAGCCCTTCTTATAAACACATCGTTGATTTGTCCCTCCAAATAGAGTGGCCTTTTGTGATCCGAATATGGGACCTCCATGTCTTCATCCGTGAAAACGATAGCATTATCATTTTCCAAGAATGACCTTTGGGGTTGAGCGGTGAAGTAATGGGGATTAGATTCCGCGGAAATGTTCATGAGAGCTACAACATCTGCTTCCCTTGCCTGAGGCCTGAAACCAAGTTGGTCGAAGAGTGACTTGAACTTTGGATTTCTTTGGAGAACTTGTGAAGCTGTAGGTCCTTGTTTCAAACCTAGGTAACGCTCCATTACAGTTGCCTCAGCTTCTATAAAAGCGTGAAACGTTACAGCAGCCGTTTCCTACTGCCCAGAGGAGGTTCCCAGGCATCGTTCTTCTGGCATGTCCAACATAAACACCTCGTTGTCTGCACAGTCGTCCCATCCATCAGCAAGTGGCCATGGCGTATTATAGCTTGAAGGTTCCGAATATTTTTGCCAATAAGCTTTCTCCATGTTTCCGGCAGGCTCCTAGATTGCCTCAAGTGGCTTTGGGTCGTTCTTCCATAGGTGACTTAGTTCATCGTCATTGAGCAGATCATCAGAACATGTTACGACAGCAGCTACCTCCTTCCCCCTTCGCTTTGGTAAAGGGTCCTCATCAATAGTTTGCTTTCTAGAGGGAAGCTCAAGAGCTCCTTCATTTATTTTACCATGTAAGATCCTCCTTAATCTCTGACAGGCAGTGGTTGGATGCCCTAAAAATTGATGGTAACGGCAGTACCTGGGGTCATTTTTCTCTTCTCTAGTAGGGACCTTGTAGGGCCGAAGGGGCTTGATTGCGCCATCAGCAATCATCGTGTCAAGAATGGCATGAAATTCTTCGTCCTTGCACGGTAATGGAGGGTATGTCTCCCTATCCTTTTGTTTCCGTGAGTTGCAGTCATTGGATGACTTATCGTCTACGGCCAGTGTTTGATGTGCTTCCTTCTTCTCGCTCCTCTAACTTCTTTGCCCGGGTGGTTTGACAGACATGCTTGTCTTCCGTACTGCTTCCAGCAGCCGAGAAAATTGACTGATGCCAATATTCTCCAAGTAAACTTTGTAATCTGCCATGATGTTGCTGATGCAAATCTCAACAAGTGCCTCCTCATCTTTTTCGTCATAGCAGTCGAGAGCCAAGTCCCAGAATCTTCGCACAAAGTCCACAGGATCCTCCCCTTCCTTTTGGCTAGTGTTGTTGAGCTGTGTGGTGGTAACCCTCTCCTCATGCTAGATCATCCCAAGAACGCATAGAGTCTGGTGCCAATGTGGTGTACCAGGTATAAGCCCGATCAGTGAGGCTCTTTGAGAATTCGCGGAGTCGAAGATTATAATCACCAGCATGTGGTCCCAAAGCATCGAGGAATCGGTTGACATGTTCCTTCGGGCTTCCTTTCCTCCCATCGAAAAGAACAAAGGTCGGTGTTTCGTAACCTTTGGGATAGGGCTACTGGAGTAAGCTTGACGGGTACGGTGGCTGAGGAATGTACTTCCAATCCTCCTGGCTTCGACTAAGCTCTTTTTCCAGCATGGCAACGACATCTTCTTGGGTAACAAAAGATGGTCCTTTTTGTTCAGACCCCTTTCTAGCCGCAGCAGATTCTTCTTGTGGATGTCTGTCGTCGTCTTCACTTGGCTTAGAGGCGGCATTTTTTAATTCCTTGATAGTATCCATCATCTCCCTCTGGGTTTCCCCCATGGCCTGCATAGCTATAATAAGATCTATGAGAGTGAAAGTTCCCTCACTTGCACGCTCTTGTTCCCTAGAGGAGGCATTTTACCGTGATCCAGAATCACCATGGTCGGATCCATCTTGGGAAGCCATGGTATTGCTTCTAGTCTTCTTTTTTGGAGGCATTTAGTGAAAACAGCAGCTTGATCCCCAACAGAGTCGCCAATTTATATAGGGGTCTTTTTGTTCCAGCAGCCTGACGAATGGGCTTGGGCTGCCGTAAGAAGAACACGCACAGAAGTTCCCCAAGTGTCCTAGTTCTGGAACCAAGCTCCTGAAGGGGTTTTTGAAAGATTTGATAAACCTTAGAAGAACACCTTCAGGTTCTCTTCACCAATTGCCAAATAAGCATGATAAAATCAATTAATGGCTTAGCTTGAGGAGCCTGTGGCATGGGAGCTAAGCTTTCACAAGTTTAGCAATTTGATGGAGAGAGAAGCGTGGATTTCCTACTGGGAGTGAAAATCTGAAGTAAGACAAAAAAGAACTAGAACGATTACTATCCTAAAAGAAGAATAGAAAACAAACGAAGAAGAAAGATTGGGTGGCTTGAGTAAATTCCAGGTTGCTTGAGTAAATTCTAGGTTGCTTGACAAAGCTTGGTCAGGCTCTGGATGATGATCTTCGCTGGGTAGAAGAAGCCCCTTCTATAGCCGCGAGGAACCCTAATTTTGTCACAATTTTTCTCCTCTTTTCATTGCCCTCTTCCCCTTTATCCTCCTTGATGAATTTCTCTATCCAAGAAGCATGGGTAAGGAACCCTTTGTGGTTCCAATGATTTGACGCAGCTGGACCTTCCCATGGAGGGGAAGGCGCCACCTGCTTTCCTTATGGTTTTTCAAGACAGAGCTTACAGAGGAAAAGAGGAGAGATGCAGCCTTTTATCCGATGGACACTCCTCTCACCCCCGTGGATTTCCTCTGGTCCTACCATGGCTCCCTTGTGACCGTTGTTTGGAGTTCTAACAGGAATGGGACTTAGCGCCAGACCTTTGCAAGTCGCTGGGCTAGGCTTGTACACATGGTATTGGGTCTTTTAGCTTGTTGCTTCCAGCGTGCAATAGGTTTCGTCAGCCTGTTGGAAACAATTTTATCCTTTTAAGCAATCTATTGATATGGGCTGGGCTACTAGGTGATTTCCTAAAGTTTTGGACTGTTTTTTCCTCTCTCTCATGCTAGCCCATGTATTTGGGTTCTAGGAACGGGCTTGAGTTTCGATGCTCCCAAGTGGCTTAAAACTTGCGTTCCTCAAACCCTCAATGGGCCCTATGATTGCTTGTTCCCTTCTATACCACAACCTTCTCAATAAGCCCCGGTTAATTTTGTGGCTTGGGCCCACTTAGGATTGTGACATAACTTAGTGCTAGAATAGTGGCTCTTTTTGCATGATGCCTACGCTTGTGCTTGAGTTTTATTATGCCGTGATAGGCTTATAATTGGGCCAAGTAATACCGAAGAGATATGTGAGAGTGGTTTTGTAATGCTGGCATACTCTTGGCCCCTTCGTATGTGCTTGCTTGGCATGACACGTGGCTGGTAGCATGTATTAGCAGGTCCCACAAATTCCCTTTTGTTTCGATTAAGCCCCTTTTGTACCCTCTTATCTGTGTTGGGCCAGGAATTAATTTGGGCTTAGCCCCTTGGATTTTTGGGCCTCAACAACTATCATAGCTGAGGTTAATGAGGCCGTTGTTGCGGCCTTAGCTGAGGACAACCAAGGCAAACATGTCTCCCCTTTCAATGTGGTTGAAATAGTTAAGGATACAACGCAGGTAGAATTTTTCTTAATCAAACCTCTTTCCTTATCCCTTATGGATGCTCACCCCTTGATTTTTCAGCAATAAATTAATGTTGGGACTTCAAAAACTATGGCTTCATCAAAGACTCCAGTCGAAGTTGAATTTGCTCTACCTATGTAAGACACTACTGCAATTACAACACATGAAACAAGTGTTCTGTAGCCTAAAAAGGTACTTGTTTTAAAATATATATATGAATGCTCGACTACCACTATGTTGCTCATGTTATGCACCTTTGGCAGGAAGCACTTCCCTCATAGGCTATATTGGAGTCACTTCAAGGCATGAGAGATTACTTGGCTACAGCAAAGGCTGCCACCACTTCTTCATACAATTCCTCCTTAAATATTGCAGCCAAAGCCACCGTCCAAACCATCCTCGACAAAGACTTTGCGGATTTAGCTAATGAAGCTCAACATGCTCGTCTTTGCTATTCCATTCAAAGTCTTCTTGATGCTCATTTTTTTCCCAACTGAGGATGAATCCACAATCAAAGGGTTCATGAAGCAATTGGCTGAGGGCATCCAGGCCTAAACCAAGCTGTGATGGAGTACAATGCTGGCCAAAACTTGATTGAAAAGATTCAGTCAACTAACCATATTTTGCAAGCCCACCTTCATATCTGCCACGAGGGAAAAGAAGAACTGGACAAACTTGAGGAGGAGCAAAAAAGGATTGAGGCCAGAAAATCAACCATCCTTGCTAAGATTTACAATGCGGTCCAAGACTCTCGTCCACATCAGGTCAAACTAGAAAAGTTTATGTAGCAACAGGGCGATTTCCAAGAGAAGGAAGATGACTACAATACCTTGATGAGTGCAAGGACCGAATTATGGGTTAACTTCAAAACCGTCATCCAAAAGCAACATTAAAAAATGTCATGGTCCTTTTATGACCATTTTGTACTTTTATAACAAGGCTGCATTTGAACCTCAAACTATTTCTTTTTTATTTAATTGATGAACTTTTGATTTCCATCAATAAATTTAAGCCTTTATCTTTCGATACGAATAAATTTCTTGAAGAAAATAGTATCAGCCTTTATCCAATATTTTGCTTCTAAGTTTAGGCCGTAATTGCGGCTTAACACCTTCGCATGTATTTTCTTTATAGAAATAATTTGCAGCTAAAATAATAGACTTTGGTTCGGCCGTTCTTGTATTGAGAAGAAACCTTTGACGGCCGACACTATTCGATCGCTTTTGTCTGTGAACTTTTGTAGTGCCCAAATCACTAACAAGTTCTTTATTTCTTTTTCTTTTTTTATGGCCATAATACTAACATGACCTTTATTGGGAAAGTTGTTGGCCTACTAATTTGGGTAGGGTCGTTGAAAATAATATTTTTATGGAGACCAAGGGGGTGGCCACCTATGCATGATTCCAAGCTTAGAGCCCTTTTTATACTCGACTCGGATCTTGCCATTTCGTTGGCAATGGGTTGAAGGACTAGGATGACTAGTACAACTTGTATTACTTTTGGCCGACCCTTCATGCCCCCCAAGTCCACTTGGTCGGCCAATCTTGGCCTCTAGCTGAGGCTCAATGACCTTGACCACTTGCAATTATGGTCTCATAATGTCAAGTTTTTCTCCTACAATCATGTCTATCATGATTGCACCTTGGGTCGTGCTTCGACCTCTTCCTTCACTAGGTGGTAAGCTATTACATCCTAGGATAGTTGTCTTGGGGTTGGGCGATATTTTTATCCTCAACATTAATCACTTTTTGAGTTTTATCCCTTTGGGTGGGCTCATTTTCCTCAACCAATGTCAGGTTCTCAATAGGAAGGTCGACTTGAGTATTTGATTTTAAGGTCTTCTCGCCCACCTCTTTCTCACTCTCATATTCCTTACCAACCTCATTTTCCTCTAGAGAAGTAGGTGGAATGGGTGGCCAAATTGCAACCATATGAGGATTTTCCTCTTGTGTTTGAGAATCCAGGTTAGGATTGAGAGTTTGCCCCTCGGCTTGTTGGCTAAGTGGAGATGAAATGCCATGTAAACTTTGGATGAAAGGTCGTGGGAAGTTTGCAATCCATCTACGAGCTCTTTTATTATAACTTCTATCTTAGATCTCATCTCATTTATATGTTCTTCCCCATACGGGTATGGCCACGAGATAACCTCTCACCCACCTTGAGATTATATTGGCCATCATAGGCAATGGGATGATTTGCTTGGTGGGAATAATAATTAGGCTCATTGTACGTATAGGTGGAACTGTCTTGGCAATATGGGTAAGTGTATTGCTCCCATGCCACTTGATTGGTTTGGCCACCAAAGCCATGTTGATCATTCGAATAATTTTGATACGTCATATTATATTGGCCATTTTGGTTGTGGTTACCGTATTGGCCATTGAATTGGCTACCATAGCCATATTGATATGTAGAATCGTACTGGCCGCTATAGCCACCTTGATGTGTACAATTATATTGGCCATTTTGGTTGTGGTTACCATACTAGCCTGTGGATTGGCTACTCAAGCCATAAGAATTATAGCCGTTATAGCTCATCTGCTGGTAGGAATAATTCCATTGATTTTGATCACTCATATAGTGGGTCCCACCGGGCGTGCCAAATTATGTTTCCCTCTTTTCGATCGGGTAGGCCTATTGAAGGAGTTTTTGGTCCTTCTTTAATTGAGTGCAAGGCGTGCCACCACCAAACCACAAATTAGGCTTGAATGGAATGTGAGTAGATGATGCATCCGAAATCTGACTTTAATTAAATGATTGTTCGGCCAAGCAAGGAACTTCCTCACGGCCTAGGTTCTTTCACTACCTTAAAGTCAAGGCTTTATGTGAGCAACCAAATGATGTGGAGTGGGTGGAGATGAAGATTGAAAGTGAAATGTAATGAAATGAAGAACACGTGCGTAAAGTAAAAAGTGCTTGAATTTAAATATAACTGAAAGATAAGTGCGGAAAGTAAAGTGCGTAAAATAAATAATTTAAAGACGAGTGCATAATTTAAAGTGCATAACATGAACTGAAGTTATTATAATTAAAATAGAATTGAAAAACAAGAACAAGAATGTAATGGCATAATTGAAATCTATGGAATCTATAGCGGAAAAAATATGAACTAGGCTATGGCTACATTATGCTACTCCTAGGATAGAATTTGAAGAGAATATAAAATGACAAGTTGTGTGTTTTGTCGAGGGTCCTTTCTCTCTTCCATAAGCTTGGTATTTATAGGGGCTTTGGTGTGTCTCAATTTGGTCGGTCGTTAATTGGCCTTCAAATCAATCATAATTGCTCCAAAATATCTTCAATCTCTTGTCTCATGCATGTGATTTAATGTGAATAATAACATTTGATTTGATTTTCCTTCCATCTTGAGCTCTCCCACAATAACTTCAATTGACCATCAAGTTGGCATAATTCATTCTATATTTGAATTGTAATCTATGAGAAAATCCTCATACAGATTATCTCTCTCCTTATCTAAGCATTGACTGATTTTATGTATTCGGCCGCTTTTAGTCTTTCGACCATATCTACACTTTTGGCCGCATATAGGCTTTCGACCACTTTTATGCTCTCAGCCATATTGATGTGTTCGGCCAGATTGGTATATTCCACCACATCTAGATATTCTGTTATATTTATGATTTTGGGCTTCTATCTGACCTTATTGATTAGGCCCACCGAAGTATAGCTTGGGCTCACTATTAGTTTAATTGTCAGATCTCGGGCCTGATCCGGTCAAATTTCAATTAGGCCCAAACAGCTTGGCAACCGATGAACGTTCCTACTATGAAGATCTTTCTTCGGAAATTTCTTCAAGTTAAGAGGCCAATCTTGGTCTCCCTTGCTTGTGAGCTGGGGTTTTGGATCAAGAAAATTGGAGGTGGAGGTTGGTATTTGGCTGTACCTGTTATAATGCTCACAATACGTTTTTGACTCTATACGAAGAACTATGATGCTTTCTTTAAATCATATAAGGCTTTTTTTGACACTATCTGCATAGTGATGGGATGTGTTTCAATGGTTTTGCTGTTCAGTGATTGGTTGGATCTATTCTGATACCCATAGTACGTTTTTGACTATATACGAAGAACTATGGTGCTTTTTCTAGATCATAGGAGGACTTCTTTGACAATATCTATGTAGTGATGGGATGTTGTTTTAAGGGTTTTGTGGCTAGGTTTTAGGTTTGTTTGTTTCGTATAAGATATTTGACTCTTCTGTTCAGTCAATAGCATAGGTGGTACTCTTTCCTATCCCTAGGGTTTTGTTTTCTCTAGGAAGGTTTTAATGAGATCGTCGTTAACATGCCAGTTTTTACCATGTAATGTTTCTTTCTGTTTAATGAAATACCATCTTTTTTTTTCTTTTTTTTTAAAAACAACAAGCTAGGTAGCACGTTGCCTACCCATTTGCCTCATGAAATAAGTTGGTCACTCCAAATGACTTGGCAATGCAAGTCTACAAACTATTATTATATTATTTATTTTTATCTTTTACATATACTATTATCTATATATATATAAAGCAAAAGGTAGAGAATGGTGAAACATTCAAAATACCAAAAAATGCCTTTGGTTAATGCAAACATTAAGAATTGAAATTATTAATTAAATGAGGATAATATGGTAAATTCACAATTTTTCGTAAAAAATTAAAATTAAAAGAAAATTAAGATAATGGATCCTATTTTTATGGAAGACAACTACCCATTATCTTTTTAATTCTAAAATAAATTTTTAATTTTTTTTTAAAAAGCCTTTCGGAGGCACGGAAGCGCGTGTAGAGAGGCTAGTATCTTATATAAAGTAGGTGAGAAAGTGGAGATGGTATTTTATTATAAAAAAGCAAGTGAGGCCCAATATACCTCTTTATTTTGAAGCACGCAATATTACTTTGTTGGGGAGAGTGTGTATATTTTACCTACCCATTTGCCTCTTCCCTTAGAGCATGAAAATGCTTATGTGGCAAGGTAAATGTTTTTTTTTTTTTTTTTTTTTTTTTTTTTTTTTGTTTTTTGGTCGAAAGGTAAATGAGGCTTACCTACTCTTTTGCCTCTTTCCTTAGAGATGTTCAATATACCATAAATACACAAATATAAGTGTAAATAGAATACATGTGACACAAAATGAATGAAAAAGATAAGAATGGAAAGGCAAAAGAGGTAGGTAGCTATACTATTAATGGTTGAAACTGATGAAACTAGAACCATAATTGACCAAGTTGAAAAGGAAAAGATGACCATTGCCTTTCCTAGTTTTAAAAAAAGTTAATTATTCGCCTAAAGCGATTTTAAAATTGGGTATGAGCAGGCATTGCCAATTGGGATTTGACGCTTTCCGCATATGTCCCACAAATACACTTGACTCCATTTTTTTTGCTGTCGTTCTAATCGAATGTTTTTCTTTTCGTAATCCCACCAAACCCATTTCTGAACAGGACAAGGAGGAGTAGCAAAATGTGTGAAGAAATTGGTACCTTTTGTTCCTGAAGGTATAAGTAAATACCACATATATTCAAAAGACTAAAACACTCGAAGCTTCAGGCAAGATCTTCAAGTCTCGCACAGCGTTTCTGTGCACTCTGGAGCTATGGCTTCCTCTCATTTTCTCTGCCATAGCCCCATCTTCCACCCTGCTCCCAATATTATTGAAAATCGCAGTCTCTCTTCGTTCAGGTCACATGGGTCCTCTTTTTTTGACTCAAAGTCTAGAAATCAAAGGACCCCATTTGTCAGACTCATGGTTTCTGCCAGAAAACAAGTAGAGGTTGTACTTCAATCTCAATTCTTTGTTATGCTTCAAATTCAAATTGGACTCTCTTGAGTTCTTGTTGTTTCTATGTTCTTTTTAATTGGGCTTTCAATTCGCTGTATATAAATGCTTGTTTGATTGTTAAATTTTGGGTTGCTTGGTGACTAGATAGTGTACAATCCTGATGAAAGGATAAACAAGCTGGCAGATGAGGTGGACAAGGAAGCCGCTCCGGTTTCAAGGCTCACTCTATTCTCACCTTGCAAGGTAAGTCATTATGGGGCTTCTTCTCGCATTTTCTGGCAACTGGGTTTTCCAATTTGTGTTGAATTTGGCAAACCTTTCTTGTGCAGATAAATGTTTTCTTGAGAATAACTAACAAAAGGGAAGATGGGTTTCATGATTTGGCATCTCTCTTTCACGTGAGTCCATCCAAATTTATAACTACTTGCTGCTTACATGATCTTTTGTAAGAAAATCTGGAAGTCGAAATTTTATGCACTGCTTCTTCTGTTATTAAGTTCACATAATTTGTATTCTGTATATACATATATCTCTTACTCCCCAAATGTCTCCTGGTATCTTGACTAGGTAATAAGCCTTGGAGATGTAATTAAGTTTTCTTTGTCACCCTCAAAAGCTCAAGATCGTTTGTCAACCAATGTGCCTGGGGTCCCCCTTGATGATAGAAATTTGGTAAGGCACTGTTTTTTTCCTTCTTTTTTGCCTGTTGTTCTTAACCTTGGGACGTTGTGATTGGAAACCTTCTTTCTGCAGATTATTAAGGCCCTTAACCTTTACAGGAAGAAGACTGGTAGCAACAATTTCTTTTGGGTAAGAATAGATGCTTAGGTGATTGAGAAGATTTTGAATGTTAACATGACATCTCTTTGAATTTAATCAACGTTAGGTGCTGTAACTAAATATACATATTTTGTATGTAAATTGTTTTTGGCAGATTCATCTTGACAAGAAGGTGCCCACAGGAGCAGGGCTGGGTGGTGGAAGCAGCAATGCTGCGACTGCACTATGGGCAGCAAATCAGTTTAATGATTTTCTTGCCACTGAGAAGGAACTCCAAGAATGGTCGAGTGAGATTGGTTCAGATGTTCCCTTCTTTTTCTCTCAAGGAGCAGCCTATTGTACTGGTCGAGGTGAGGTATGTCTATTTATTACAAAGATAGAACTTCATCTGTTTCTTATTGCGTGTCGGTCAGTCTACATCATTTCAGATGATGGCTCTGCAAAAATATTCATAATTGTTTTCCACCCCTAGAAAGTTTATGGAACAATCTATCCAACATGTACAGAACAATTTGACACATGTAGGTGCATTTTTGTACCATATATGTGCCTGTCCTCAAAATGTCTGATACTTCTATGAGAGTTTAAATTTCAGCTCTGGTTTTGGATGTCCAGGTTGTTCAAAATATCCCTCCACCACTACCATTGGACCTTCCAATGGTTCTTATAAAGCCCCAACAGGCATGTTCAACGGCTGAAGTTTACAAGGTATTGCATATTTAAATGTAGTGAATGGATTGATAATAATCTGCGTCAATATATTGAAACCATCTCTTTTAAGAATCTTTTTTTTTAAAAACAATTTCAGCGCCTTCAATTGGATAGAACTAGTAAGGCTGATCCTGTTACTTTGCTGGAGAAAATTTCAAGGAATGGAATATCACAGGATATTTGCATCAATGATTTAGGTATGTATACATGACCAGAGAGGTTTCTCCATGACCAGAGAGGTTCATCTAAGGCATCGTGTTTGATTGCCTTTCAACTGTTTTATATCTAGAAGTGTTTTACACATTCAAATTATAGTCATTATGTGTTAAACAATCTTCCATATGTGATGGTTGTTAAAATATATTGCATAGAACTTTGTACCGGATTGACATTGTTACAGAACTAGAGAAACCTTGCTTGTTTTCAAGAGTAGGTCTTGGGTCTCAACAGGGTCATAACGTATTGGACTGCTACAGTTCCATCCTTTTATCTAAAAAGCACTCCATTTACAAACTTTTTATATGTGTTTATTTGCAGAACCTCCAGCGTTTGAAGTTCTTCCATCTCTTAAAGATTAAAACAGCGTGTACTGGCAGCAAGCCGTGGACAATATGGTGCTGTTTTTATGTCTGGAAGGTACATCCATTGTAGCACTTATTGGAATATTCAGTTAAACTCTTGCTTTTATCGTTATTTCATTAAAACACCGAAGCTGACAGGCTGATGGGTGATGACAAAGTATCCCTAGTCCCCCCTCATCTGTAACAGGGTTTTATGGTGAAATGGCCCACAATGAAAACCATTGTGCAAAAACGTCACACTGTCAACTTTTGCATGGAGAACATATATTGCCATGTAATATTGTTGCTGATACAAACTCGTTTGACATTTGCATCATTTCCATTTTTCGCAATATTGTTGATGCAGTGGAAGCACTATTGTTGGGATTGGTTCTCCAGATCCTCCCCAATTCGTTTATGATGACGATGAATATAAAGATGTGTTTTTATCAGGTCAGTCTTTTGCACTGTATCTGATGTTTTTACAACATGGTTGTGTCAAGAGTATTAACTAGCTATCATGATGTAAAAGAAATTCATCAGAAGCATGTTTATTACGAATTGCTGAGGCAGAAAATAAAAGATAACAAAGAAGTAATTGTTGACGAATGCTATAATTGCTAGTTCCCGTGCTGTCGTTTGAATAATTTATTAATCCAATAGCTATAAAACCTCCTCCCAGCTAATCATGGACAACCATGAAATGGGAAAGTCAATCATCACTTGAAGGAACGTTGCCTAAAGTTTCAGATCGCCTATTTTGTTGGAATAATTTTAGGCTTGATTGAAAGAATTGGAAAATTATATAAAGATTTTTTTTGAGATATGTCAAGGCTTGTCTAAATCATGATATTTTTCCTTGGAATTTTTATTGCAGAGGCCAACTTTCTCACTCGTGAAGAAAATAACTGGTATACAGAACCTGCTTCGAGAAGTGCTTGTAGCTCATCCTCCCATTTTTCCCAGTCATTGAGTGATTTACTCCCTCACTCACAGGGAAAGTTGCAATAATGTTCATATTATTTAATGCAGTTCATTCCAACTATTATAGGTTGAGAATATAGAATTTCACATTGGGGGTTACAACTTACAAGTCATGACTAAATATATTAGACTTTGAGCATTTTCAAGCGTTACACATTGGTATTGAGAAGGAAAATACTTGTCTCCTTCGTGAGTAGGAACTACTAACATGCCAATCATAATTTGACGTGCGTATAAATTTTTATTTTTGTTTTTTTGGATGAATTTGCGTATGTGTTGTGATTTGCAAGTAGAAATATCTCCACCGGGGAAGGATCCACATCTTTAAAAATTATCCAGTGGTGTCCTCACGTTTGTCCTTTATAATTTATCTTCTTATTGGGGTCTTTTCTCCAAATTAAAGTTCTTGCACCTCAAGGATCATTTGTGAAAATAAGCCTTAAAAAAAAATTTCATATTGTTAATTTATAAATAAATAAATAAAAAACAAATAAGGAGGCAAAGCAAAACGGCGGTTTACCAAGTAAGGTCATTTTTCCCACACCAAACAAAAAAAAAAAAAAAAAGGGGGGTTTTTAATTTTTAATTTTTGATAAAGTAATTAAAGTGATTTACTAATAACCTCAGAGGTCAAATAAACGAAAAAGAAAAAGAAAATCACGTCCGATGATGAATGAATGGATGGAGACGGAGGGAAGTGAGTGAGATTCAGTCGAGCGTTGCTTTATTTTTGCTTGGCTGTGTTGCTGCCTGGACCCTCCTCCCTCTCTATGAGACTATGACTATGTCTATCTATCTAAAACCCAAAAACAGAAAATAAAATAGAAAAAGAAAAAGAAAACAAAATGGCGGCAGCATTCTGTTCTTCTTGTTGCGTTGTAATTCCGTGTTCGTGGTCCTCAAGAAGATTGCTGCATTCTTCTGCTCATCCATTCCCACTTAATTGCAGAAATGGAAAGAGGGGGACGAGGAGGAGCAAGAGCAAGAGCCATTTCTCAAGTACTCCAACAACTCCTCCTCCAAGTCCAAGAAAACTACTTACCAAATGCCTCCCGCAGTCGCAGAAACAATCTCAACTTCAACCCTCTGAGTCTGAGACCGAGACGGAATTCGAGTTTGAGAGGCTGTTTTCCAATCTCAACCAAGCCACCTTGAAGAGAGAAGCTGGTCTTGTCACTCACTTTTTATTATTATTTTTCTATTCATTTGCTTATTATTATTATTATTATTATTTTTAATTGATTTATACATACAGGAAGTCTACCCAGCGCCATTTTCCTCGTCGCAGGGACTACGGTATGCAACTCTTCTTTCCTCGTTTTTCTTTTCTTTCGTTTCTTTTAGTATTACTATACTTAGTTAGTGCTATTAGAATGCCGATTGTCAATCCTAAAATGCTGACTTTAGATGAAGGAATTGTTGACATTGAATTCCATATGATATTTGTATTGTAGATCGGTGCTGGGATCCTTGCAATCCCTGCAGTGACGCAAGAATCCGGATTTCTGGCTTCTGCAATCACCTGCGTACTCTGTTGGATTTACATGGTAAGTGTTGTGTTGCTAACCCACCTCATCTGATGTATTCATTTTGTAACTCTGTGTTTTTCCTCTCTACATTATCACTTAGGCCGTTGCTAACTCATTTCGTTTCACATTCAACACAATTTTTCCGGTTTTATATTTCCCTTTTCTTATGTACGTGTGATTCGTCAATGGCAGGTTGTAACGGGGCTGCTAATAGCCGAAGTAAATGTAAACACTATGTGCCAACTGGGTTCTGGTGGTGTATCACTGGTACTTAATTTCTTAGTCTTCTTTACACAAGTATTGTCGGTAGTTGCATTGCAGATTTTAAAGTAGGATTATATTTTCTGTCTTTCTTTTCCGACATGCACTAAACACTTCAGACACCAACTAGGAGGAAGAAAAAACAGTTAGGTCTTCTTTTCTGAAGCAAACCACATGTAACAACATAAAATATTTATATTTATATAAATTGTGTTTTTCCAAGAAAAAGTTTTAGGCTGTCGAATGCATCCATAACATATAAATTGTAACATTGTCCGTTTGTTTGGTGACCCATTTCAGGTATCAATGGCCATGAGGACTGTAGGGAGTGTGGGAGTTCAAATTGTGTGGTAAGGTGATATTCCTGTAGATTATAAAGTATTTATACAGCTTATTGTTGACTGCAAAATGCATTAATTTGGAATTTTTCATTTTGGCCTGAATACTTTGGAATTATTATTATTATTTTTTAAAACAATGAAGATAGTGCATTAGCCTTTTTAAAAATTTATTTTAAATCAGTGTTACCTTCTTTGCTTTCAAATGTAATCTATCTAAATTTGGTTCTGACGGTATAGCCTTCTTCTATGTTGCTGACATAATTTAGGTGTTGGTGAGGCAACTTGTTTCACCAACATATTATTGAGAGAGGTCGTTTTGGTCGATATCCTTTGAAGTTTCTGTCCTCTTTTGGTGAGTCATTTGAAATATGAAATCCAGATATTGGAACCAACAGCTGGAATCTGCTTTATGCACACTGGTGTTGTAGAAGAAGCCAGGGGAAGCAGCATGAATGTGGGCTTTATGGGATTGCTGTCAGAAGAAGACCACGGTAAGCCGTGGATTCGATTGTGAGGGAGAAGATCAAGGATATTTTTGGAGTCACTTGATCGTTTCAACATAGAAATGGATTTCATCTTCAGTTTTTTTTTGTTCCTCATCTTGTGTACTTGGGTTGATTGATAAGCCCACGCCCATTGCAAAACTAATTGCACAAGTTGAGAGAAAGGGAGGTGCTTTCTATTTGGGTGGCAAACCTAGAGCTGAAATTGTTTGGAATGTGGTGGTGGAAAAGGATAAAGAAAGATTTTAAAGTTGGAATGAAGGTATCCTTTTCCGGGGGAGACCGACTTGATTTATTAGAACCAATACTGGAAAGCATTCAAGTTCTGAAAGGAATTTCTAGGAAAGTGGAGCACCTTATGAGGGGTTTTCTATGGGCTGGTAATAGGGGAGGAAAGGTAATTTGGTCGAAAGTGGACGAAGGATGAGTAATTGGTTGTGGAGATTTCTGGTGCAAAGGGAATCAATATGGCATGTGCCGTGATTAGGAAAAAGAAAAACAATTGAAATATGGAATTCAAGAAACTAGATGGGATAAAATAGCAATGGTGAGTGAGAGAGTCACTCAGAAATGTCCTTTAACAACAAGAGATATCTAACTCTATTTAGAAACCATGGTGGGGACAGATTGTGAATTGTATTTTGGATCCATTTAAGGTTCATCTTTTCGTCAGCCAAATTTAGGTACTTGATAAGAAATGTGGAATTGTGAGATTCGAAAGTTACACAAAACCCAATGTTGGCATGAAGACTAGAATAGGCTAATTAATTAATTAGCTGTATATTAATTGCATTTAGTATAGTTGACTTTTGTACCTTCCTTATTTGTAACCTTGTAGTCAGTTTATATACCATTCAATCAAAGGGGAAAATCATTCTGCCTTATTCTAACTAGAAAATAAATTATCTACTGTGCTTCTTTTAAATGTTTTAGATAGTTTATTCAATATTCTCTTTTATTATTTTGTGTACCACTAATTATGTAAGCATGGTCTGTCATCATGGCCTATTATAGTACAATTTTATGTGTGATTTTCTTAATCAGTTTCTGATAGCAACTTTCATTATCCTGCAGTTGGTCATACATTTTTATACACTATGCACTTCTTGTTGCCTATGTAGCTCGTTCTTCAGAAATTATGACAAATTTTCTCAGAATCCCCTTGTAAGGACCAATCTGTAGCATTTCCAATGTGCCCAATTGTTGCACCAACTTTTTGCTGTTTCACATCTCAATTTTATGAGTAAAAATTGTCCATTTGATGTTCGAATTATACTTCTACATTTGTTAGGTATTGATGGCAGCATTATGGTTGCAGATGGGAAAGTGCAACAATATTTTCATTGCTGTTGGGAGGCATATGCTACTTTGGAAGGTTCATCTTTACACTTAGCTTATCGTTTTTGCAAACTAAGTATATTAAAGTAAACCAATCTTGTTCTAGTAATAATACGGCAATCATGTACTGTTAGTAGACTATATGCTGAGTTAACCGTGGGTCTCGGTGATGTAGTACAGCCCGTAGGTGTTAGATTAAGCACTTAAAGAAGAATATAAGAGACCGAGGAGAAGAAATAGAGATTGAAAAGACGAGATAAATGACAGAAACAGTAGAACAAAGAAGAATATCAGAGATCGAGGAGAAGAAATATAGATCGAAGGGACGAAATCAGAGAGTTCTAGGAAAAGGTTTACTCAACATTCAAATCTGAATTTTATAGAATTACATGGGGTTATTTATAGAAAACTAAAACCTAGACATAATAGGATAAAAATCCCTTGCTTAAACAGAAATCCTAACCCAAATAAAATAGGAAACTTAAAACTAGAAATCTGGAAATCTTGAAAAGTAGAAATCCTACTAGAATTGGGAAAACTAGAGAATCTAGGAAACTAACAAATACATTAGGAAGCTAATAAATTTATGTCCTATGCGTCCTGCATCACTCGGTCTTTCTATTAAGATGACTGCTAGTCGAGAAAGCTGATCATTAGCTGAATAGGAAGTTATGCTACATGTCTGATCAAGGTTATGATGTCATTGTACTGGATAATTTTAAATGTGTGTTTGTGTGTGTATGGGAGACTGATCATGTGCATGAATGAGCAATAGTGTGTGCCTATGAAATATATTGCGTGTCTGTGCCATCCTTTCAATACCTTGAACTTTTTCTCACAGGGTATAAGACTTTACCATCTAACAGAATGAAAGCCAATTTCAAACTGGAAATTTGTTTCCAGAGGAAATTTGAGAATGTATTACCTACATTTATTAGACAACCGTTGGTTTCCAAAAGCTTAAGCTGTTAGGGAATGAGCCAATAATTATGTATTGATAGCTAATCCCCTCCCTTATGTGGAGCCTTATCCTACACATGGAGAGACAGACAGACAATTCAAGGGAAAAATATCAGTGCAACCACACCTTGCATTTTGTAACCTTTCAGATACGTATGGAATGGAAATTAGAGGCCATATGTATACCAAGCTAACAACAGTGGCATGCTAAGGTTCCAAAGAGAACTGAAATATGATGAATTTTTGTAGTTCCTCTCTCTCTCTCTCTCTCCCCAGTTGAGATTTGAGTTTGACTGTAAACTTATCTTCACATGTAGTCAACGCTTCGTTGGTGCGGTTAATGGGGTTCTGGTATTTGGAATTATCATATCTTTTGCTGCTCTAGTAGTAAGTCTCTCTCTCTCTCTCTCTCTCTCTCTCTCTCTCTCTCTCTCTCTTGTCAGGACTTGCATGATTTTAAGTGTTATTGCTCCAGAGTACAGATTCTCTGCTCCAGTCCAATTTTGACCAAAATTATGTCTTTACAGTAGTCATTAGAATATTTCCCTTGAAAGATCCTATTAATTTTTGTGAACTGTGATACATAGATATTATGGAAGAGATGCAAAAGAATTTCGAAAAGTTAAACAAAAAGACTGCTTTTATTTTTCTATTTTTGGTGAAACAAGACTGCTTTTATTTGTAACTTATTATGGAGAGTAATAAACCAGACTTGTTTCATTTTGGTGAGCCATATTGTAAATATGTATTCCTCGTCAATTTATTTTCTGATAGGCTTTATATACATTTTGAATTATGATTTAGAACCGGTCTGGCATCAAAAGAAGCAGGAAAGTCAAAACCATTTCATTGTGATCCTAACATCTTGTTATTGGAAAATTTGCTTTGTCTCATATGCATTGTCATGCACAATTCTATTTTTCTGCATACTGTGTTGCGTACACAAGTGTGCAGTATTTTTATGCATCAAATAGAACTGACAAAATGATGTTTTAAGTGGTGGGAGTTGCTTAAATGATGTTCTATGCATGTTCTATGCATCAATATCGGGCATGCAACAATAAATAAACATTGCTTTCTTTCTTAGGCCGTCGCAAGTGGATACCTACAATGGGATGTTCTTTTGAAAGCCAACTTTCAAGCTGTTCCCATGAGTATACCCATAATTGTTCTGTCGTTTGTTTACCAGGTAACATCACCAACTTATATAGTCATTCAATATTAAAGCAACTCTTTAACATTTTGAATTTACCTTCTCCAGAATGTTGTGCCTGTTCTTTGTACGAATCTTGAAGGAGACCTGTCAAAAGTAAGGTGATAATTTGAATTTTGTATGAATTAATACTAATGTAGAGTTACAATCAAAGTCCATAAACAACACTACCCTCAACCCAAAAAAAAATCCAGGTACCAAAAATGCATGCATACAAGTAAGGTGAAGACTGTATAGACATGATCAAGTCTGATTACAAGGCTATCAAAACGTTAACATTTAAAATGACCAACAAACCACCTATATAATATTTATGCCATGTCAATGTATTTGATATTTTTGAAGTACAACAGCAATCAAATAATACCTGGTGAACTTGAAGTTTTCATTCTGTGAATAGAATTTTTCGATAAGTAGTATTCTGTTATATAGAAGTTTGTGACATAGGTAGTGCTCATAAATTTATGTTCAAACATAAATTGATATGTACACTACATACTAATATGTATTATGCATACAGTCATATATATTGCATTCATTTATCTCATTAATATAGTTGTTCGTGACATATACGGAAGAATGAACTTGGTTTCTAGCCATCTCTTCCTTTTAGTTTGAAATTCAGCTTTAGTGAAAGGTTAATTAGGTTGTGTTCAAATAGTGACATGGTTTTGATGTGAAGGGTTATGAAAGATTGAATCCACGATAACTTTGTAAATAGATGAATGTGATAAAACACGAAATGATGATTAAGTGGACCGAGCTCATAGAATATTCAAATCTCGTTCACGTTCATTCGACCTAATCTTAAGATAAGACTGCTCCCCTTAGCGCAAGCAGAGTGCCTTGGATTGTGCCATATGTCAAAAGGAAAAGAATTTCAGTTGCAAGCCAATGCTTTCCAGAAATGTTCAGCTGCTCACATGAGCATGGACTTCTTCAATCCCTTGTAGTTGTCCAACAGACTCCACACAGAAATGTATTATGCCTCTATGGATGTCACATTTGTGCTTCAAACTTTAGATTCCAAGTAACTTGCGTGATATATTTTCAAAAAGAGGATCTGCTACATCATTGTTGTAGCTTATAAGTCTTTGTCAATATTAGTCCAAGGTCAAAGCTGACTTTGTACCTGGTTGATTTTATAAATGGTCCTTAAGAACTGTCATGCCTATGGCACCCTAAAAGTAATTTATAATTAGAGATTGTATAAATATGTGCCTTGACTTAGACATTTGGTTTCGTTACTTGTATAATCATTTGTCTGATAGGTTTGTTTTAGTATTTTGTCATGCATTATTGATATTGTATGTTGTGTATGTAATCAATCAACTTGTTATTTTCAGGACTGCAATTGTTTTAGGCACCAGTATACCACTTGTTTTATTTCTAGTCTGGAATGCCGTGATTCTAGGAACCATCACAACTGTTGAAATGAGCTCAGATAAGATCATGGATCCATTACAACAATTGCGATCTACGAACGAAGTTGTTGGAGTAGGTTTATCACAAGAATCGTTCTTGACTTTCTTTGAAGTAACAGATAGTATGTGAAGCAATAAAGTTCTATTTTCCTTTTCTTTTACTTTGTTTTGATTTTTTTTCAGCCTATTGTTGAGGTGTTCTCACTTTTTGCTATTGCAACGTCATACATCGGATTTGTTTTGGGTCTCTCTGACTTCCTTTCTGACTGTGAGTGCATTTTTCTCTTCCACCTAATGATTCATCTTTTTTCAATATGAATGTGTATTTAATTAGTAGAAGATGTACGATCAAATACTGGGCTTCTGTCACTTCAGATTTCAAAGACTATTCTTACTCCACTATATTGAGGGATACGGCTGCTGCTGTCTTTGTTTTTTTAGTCTGTTTTTCTGTTGTTGCTCGTTTGGCTTGTGGATTTCTTATCCACTTGTGTGTTCCTCTTCTTTTTCTTTCAATAAATTTCATTTCTATGAAAAAAAAATTGATTGAAATGAAAATAAACAAGAGCGCTTTTCTTTTTCCTCTCTTCATAGCTTCTTATTAAGAGTTCAAAACCCCTGGCCGTCCAGCCCTTATGTAGCTTCTTTCTCTTTCTTTTTTTTCGTTTTAGCTAAATCACATTTTTTTATTTGGACTTGATTGTAAGTTAAAGAAAATTAAACAACTAAAATTGACAAAATTGAAATGGCTGGGACCAAAGTGGAACAAAAATGTAATTCAGCCTTTTTTTCTTCCTTTCCCTATTGTGCATTTTTACCTACTTCTATCATAAATCCTTTTGAGAATGGGCTTTTTCTCCTTAAGCCACTGTAAATATTTTTATGCATGCTTATATACTTAAGCCACTGTGCTTATCTAATTGTACAGAGAGGTATGCTTATCTAACATCCAATGTCAATTTCCAAATACTCAGTGCTGAAACTTCCGGCTGGTCAGAGCCGATCTCTGCCATACGCAATGACGTTGGTTCCACCAATTGTGCTGTCTTTGCTAGACCCAGAAATATTCTTCAAAGCCTTAGACTTCGCTGGAACTTATGGAGGTATGCTGTGGTGTAGCTTTCAATTTTTAGTGTTTTTTTTTTTTTTTTTTTTTTTTTTTTTTTTGGATGCATGGATAACCATTACTTTTACTCATTTTGAATGAAGTTTGATTTCGTGTTTTTGTTAGTGTTGGTGCTGTTTGGAATTCTTCCTCCTGCAATGTCTTGGTCAGATAGGTACTCAAGTTCATCCCCAGCTATGAAATTGCCATTGCCACAGTTAGTTCCAGGAGGAAGGCTCACTCTTTCACTTGTAGTGGGAGGAGCTGCATGTGTCATTTTCTCAGAACTTCTTGAGAAGTTGGGCCACCCATAAAACATTTGTTCGCTAGAATTATTAGACTTTCTACTAGATAGCACATCATCAATCGCACTATTATGCCTTTCGTACACTTATCAAACACTTTTTTCAAGGATTTTCAGCCGTTCCCTGGTGGGAAATAAGCTAATCGAACTTCCCCGATTATTTTTTCGGCCCATTTAGCACTCAAACTCTTAAGAGCAGGGCTGGCCTTGAGGGTGTGCACAGAGTGCGATGGCCATGGGCCTCCAATTAAAGGGGCTCCAAATTATATATATATATATATATATATGTATACTATATTGGCCCAAATCTAAATTAAAAAATTAGAATAAGCTGGCAACAGAGGGAATATAAATAATAATAATAATAATAATAATAATAAATAAATAAATAAAGGCTCTCTCTTCCAAGACCAAGACCAAGACCGTGCTTCCTCTGTTTCCAATACATCCAAGATCTCTCTTTTTACAGATTTGTATTTCTTTTTCCACCTCACTTGCAACATCTCTCCCTCTCTCTCTCATATCTGAAAATCTCTTTTCTCATGATAGGAATTGGTGCAAACTGTAAAACAGTTTTGGTTAGTCAGTTAACCACGTGTCAAATTTTAGTTGGGAATTACTGTTGTAACCTCGTCAGTGGCTTTATTACCAATTGGGGAGCCATTGTACGATCATGTTGAGAAATATACAGAAATACTCTTTGATTCTCTCAGTTCTTGGTCAATTCCTAAGGTTGAAAGATAGAGTCTTATGGTTAGTATCAAGCCATTGATCCTCTAAGCTATTCCTTTAGTGTATGACACGTGCTTGTGTTCATACTCATTCAGTAACAAAGGAAGCTCGTGTTTTTGCACTCGAGGCCTCTAATTCCAAAAACCAACACATTTTATAAGCCATTCAACATCTTCTTGGGGATAATTCGCGTCAATTGATAATCGTCTTGATTCAGTTGATTCTCATCATGAAGATTCTGATCATCTCCTCTCGCTTCCATCTGATGACGACGATGGGGACGGCTTTCGGCGGCAAGGAGAGAGAGATCACCTTGAGAGGGAAAGGGGTTTTCTTTCTGAGAATCGTATGCCCTTTGTTAAGATGGAATTTTCCAGATTCAGCGATGGGGATGATCTAATTGAATGGGTTTACAAGGCGGAGCAGTATTTTGATTATGTTTCGATGCCAACTAAGAAAAGGGTGGAAATGGTTTCTTTCCATCTAGATCGTGAGGCTTTACAATGGTATCAATGGGAGGAATATGATTCTTCTTTGTCCAAGTGGGAAGATTTTACCAGGGCCTTTTGTAGAATTTGGCTCTCATGGGTTTGAGGATTTTGTAAAGTCACTATTTAAGCTTCGTCAAACCAGTTCTTTAAAGGATTATATCTCTGAATTCCGACGTTTGACAACTCGAATCCGAGATCTTAGTGCAAATTTTCGATTCAGCTATTTCATTGGTGGATTAAGGGAAGAACTCAAGCATGATATCAAGTTGCTTCGTCCTGCAACAGTTCATGAGGCCATGAATTTTGCTCATGAAGTGGATGCTAAACCCCAAAAGTTGAGGTCTATGCATTCTTCTAGAAATTTTAAGTCAAGATTGCCTCTTTTACCTATACAAAATGATTTAGTTCCTAGGAAGGATATGCCTATCAAGAAATTAACCCCTGAGGAAATCCAATATAAACAGCAGAATAATCTTTGCTTTTATTTTGATGAAAAATTTGTGAGGGGTCCTAAGTGTGCTAGGAAACAAATCTTGTTGCTGGATATGGGTTATAATAGCTCCAAAGAAGAGGACATAGTTCAAGAATTGCAACAAATTGAACAGGTAGTTGAGGTGACTGTTTGTTGTATCACAATTTATGCTTTGTATGGTACTCCTGCCTATATTTCTATGAAGACCATGAAACTCAATGCTTTAATAAAGAATTGTCATGTGGTATTGTTAGATTCTGGAAGCTCTCATAATTTCATCAATATGGGCATGGTTAAGAAGTTGGGTTGGAAGTCAGATCAGTCTCATATTTGTGATGTTATGATAGCTGATGGTGGACAGGTTCAAAGTATGAGTTGTTGTGTTGGGGTACCCTTGGCCATAGGGAAATATGTCTATACTTCCGATATGTTTGCTTTATCATTGGGCAGCTGTGACATTATGTTAGGGGAACAATGGTTGTGAACTCTTGGTCCAATCTTATGGGACTTTGAAAGATTAACTATGAAGTTTTGGCAGGGGAATGAACAAATTTGTTAATCCAGTTCTAAGCCTCAAACTCCATATCCTATTTCTTGTCATCAATTGGACAAGTTGTTGCATTCATGTTGTTATGGAGTGATTCTCTGTGCTGTAGAGGGTGAGAATATGGACAAGCTTGCAAGTGATTTATCCTCACCACAACATCAAGAATTGCAAGCCTTGTTGGATTCTTTTTCTGTAATTTTTGGTACACCAACTACTCTACCTCCTATGAGAGAACATGATCATCGGATTCCTTTAATTTCAAGTTGTAAACCACCAAGTATTCGCCCATATGCTTATGGACCACTTCAAAAGTCTGAAATTGGAAAGTGTGTCAAAGAGCTGCTGGATTATGGATTTATCAGGAACAATCATAGTCCTTTTTCTTCTCCTGTTTTGTTGGTCAAGAAGAAAGATAGCACCTGGAGAATGTGCATGGATTACAAACAGTTAAATGAGTTAACCATAAAGGATAAATATCCAATTCCACTAATTGATGATCTGTTAGATGAATTGCATGGGGCAGAGTATTTTCATCCAAAAGATATTGAAAAAAGGGCATTCTGAACTCATGAGGGACTATGAATTCCTTGTGATGCCCTTTGGATTAACAAATGCACCGGCCACATTTCAAGGTTTGATGAATGAGATTTTCATAAATTGTTTAAGGAAGTTTGTCTTGGTATTTTTTTATGATATTCTCATTTACAGTACTTCATGATCAGACCATTTGAGGCATTTAAATATTGTTTTGGAAATTCTAAAGCATCATCAACTTTTTGTCAAGATGTCCAAGTGTGCCTTTGGAGTTTCAACTATTGAATATTTAGGTCACATCGTATCTCGGCAAGGAGTTTCAGCAGATCCTTCCAAATTAAACGCAATGGTTGATTGGCCTATCCCTACTTCTGTTAAAAGTTTGGGAGGATTTTTGGGTCTCACCGGCTATTATCGGAAATTCATTCCTCCCTATGGTAGGGAGAGTTTTCCTTTGACTCAGTTAACGAATAATTATGGGTTTTTGTGGACGCCTGAGGCTACTGCCGCATTTCTCAAACTCAAGGAACTCATGTTATCTCCTAGAGTTCTCGCTTTGCCGGATTTAACAAAACCTTTTATAATAGAAAGTGATGCTTTTGGAACTGGTATAGGGGTTGTGTTACAACAGGAAGGTAGGCCTATTTCTTTTACCAGCAAGACTCTTGGTCCTAGAAACCAAGCCCTTTCTACTTACGAGAGGGAAATGATGGCAATTGTTCATGCCATCAAGAAGTGGCATCATTACTTACAAGGTAGGCACTTTGTCATTCAGACAGATCATCATAATCTTAAATATTTTCTCAATCATAAGGTTCATATTCCTTTTCAACAAAAATGGGTCACTAAGCTTTTGGGCTATGATTATGAGATACAATACGGGCAAGGGAGTGATAATAAGGTAGCTGATGCTTTGTCTAGATTTCCTATCAGTCACATCTCTTCTACTGACCAAGTTCAAGTTTTTTCCATGGACAACTTCACCAGTGGAAATGATGTTCATGGAGAGTGTATTGAGAATTTGGCCATTACATATCCTATCATAACTGGATGGATGATTTACGAAGATATAATGAGGTTGATCCTTGGATTCTTAGTAAAAAAAAACAAGTTATAGATGTCTTTGGTTCTACCCAATTACCTACTGCACCATCTCTTTCTACAACAAATCATTTATCCAAATTTCACATTGATAATGGTCTCCTCGAACCAAAGCTTTGGCTTCTCATCACTCAGTACCTATAGCTGGTCATGCTGGCTTCTTGAAGACTTATCAAAAGCTATCTCGGAGTTTTTATTGGCCAGGTATGAAACATGATGTACAAAAAAATGGTTGCTGAATGTCACACTTTTCAACAATACAAGTATGAAACAGTGACTCCTATTGGATTATTTCAACCCCTGCCTTAGGGATGGCAACAGGCCATGTATGACAATACCATCCCCGCCCCCGTCCCCAAACCCATCCTCATTTAATAGGTTTAGGGGAATTCCCTTCCCCGTTCTTATCGGGGGACTATCCCCCATACCCGTCCCGATTCCCCGATTTTTTTGCATAAAAAATATTTATCATACATTTTAACATTAAGTTTCATATTAAATTATCATTAACATTAAGTTTCATATTAAATTATCATTCAACACATCCAAATTAACTCAACTCAACTATTCAAAATCACATCAATAAGAAATTCCAGAGAAGATTAGGAAAAATTAGGAGAGGGAGGTTAACTTAGGGTTAAACATAAATATTATAAATATATTTATTTATTTATTTATTTAAATATAAACATATATATTTTCGGGTCAGATTCGGGGATGGGGACACCAATACCATCCCATCCCCATACCCGTCGGGGATTTTTCAAGTTCGGGGATCCCTGTATCCGATACTCATTTGGTCCCGAAATGTTTATCACCTTGAGCATGCCTTCTTATATAATTATGAAGCGTCATCGTTGCAATGACTATCTTCACTTGCTTGTTGAATGGATAATTACGCATATATATATATATATATATCCCTTAAGTTCGTTCGATGACAATCCTAAGAGAAGAGTGTGCATGGTTGAATACCTCTTTAGGGCCATTGGTTGGCCACCCCTAAGAAAATCAGGAAGATGATATCTTTCGCCTTTATATGGTCCCAAAAACTCTCACATTTGTGGGTACCCCGCATCTACTACATAATACTTCCCTATCAATTCAAAGATTTATTTTATTATGATATAATTGCATAAAGTGAGTGATTAAAACATGAATGAGGACACTAAAATTAAATAACAAGAAGTTTGAATATGTATAATAATACTTAGCACCAAAAAAAAACTTTCAGATTTGATCATTACCTTAAAGTGAGGCATATATCTAGAGTCTGACAGTATTTCTTGTGGGGTGTCACTAAACTCGGGATCAATTGGTTTGATGACATTTATTGTCATACGACATACAATATCCAACATAAGACCAAAATATCTGCTCACTATCTCACTAAAATATTGGAATCTTTCTTGTGATAACCTATTTCCTATACCATGTCCTAGCATGTGCAAGAACATTCCCAATATATCAAAAGCACTCATTCTCCTTGATCCCTTCAAGCCATGATTAGATTGCAAGTCATAACATAATATGGAAAATACATCTTTATCCATTCTAAACATTCTATAACACCAACTATCATTCCCTTGTAATACTTCCATCAACCATATATTACTTGTTTGGGAGGAATTCATACAAGGGGATTTATGAACATATTTCACATAATATAATTCAATAGCACGAGCACAAGCACATATAGCTAGATTAATCTCGTCCTCCTCCTCTCCATCATTTAGAATGTTCATAGTTTCAAATAATCTACAATTTATATTTATGTTCATCATCACTTCCATATAACATAATCCAAATAACAAATACATTATCCAAATAAGAGTCATACATTATACTCATATGAAATAACAAGTTTAAACCATAAAAGCTAGCACTTCACATACAACTCCCCCTATTGGTTGTTAAATTCATAAGTAAGCCACGCAAGTTTGACATCAGGTGTTTTCATGATAGTTCTTTCCACAACTTCCATTCAATATTAAGTGCATCCCACTTATTCTTCAACTGAACTTTACCATACTCATGTCCCGTCTCTTTCTCAAAATTTAATTTCAATTTTTCTCATCCATCACAACAAAAAAAGGAAGAATAGTTACATTTTTTTAAGTAACTAATTTATTTTGGTGACAATTATGGGTGGTCAACTAGTTTACCAAATTAGTCACTATTATATGTGTCTAATGATTTAAATATAATAAATTTTGTTGTAGGTGACGCATGAATAGTAATAATGTAATAAAATATAAGAAGATAATCTTTCCCATAATAAAATATTTACAATGGTAATTTAATAAAAATATATGAAAGGAATCTTTCTCACTAACCAAGGCTCTTTTCCCTTCCCTCTTTTGTTCTCATTTCCTCATCCTCAATCCTAAGGCTTTTATATTTTTGTATGAACCTCAATCCTTTACCTTTCTTCTTCCTCACTTTCTAATCCAACTTCTTTCACCGTCTATCTTCTCCTTCTTCTCCTTTTTCTCCTTTCAATCTTAGAATTATCAATCCTTGGTATGTTGTTAGTTCATCTTGCCCTTCTCTGTTTCTCTGCAATCTTATATTCCTAACTCAAATATTCAGATCTGAACTGCATCTCCCCATAGAAAGGTAAAGGTTTTGTTTTTTGAAGTTTTCATGTGGGTTTCATTTAAGGAATGGTTTTGGGTTTTATTTATGTGTGGGTTTGATTTATGAGACTGAATTGGAAAGCTTCCATCTCTCAACCTTCTATTGAAATCCTTTCCAGATCAGAGTTTTTTATATGTGAAGCCCAACCAACGCCGACATCAACGATGTTCACACAAATCCGATTGTCTCTTTGACAACCACGTTGAAGCCCAACCAATGACGACGTCAATGTCGTCAGTCTAAACCTTCATGTGTTAAAACGATGTTGGCCTAGATCTTGTTGTCTTTGTCTTTGGTTTAGTGTTTGAAGAACATTTGTTTCCTACACACTACTAAGGTTCCATACCAAGGCACATCGTCAATCTGATTCTCCCCCTTAACCATAACTCTACTATTTTGTGTTTTTTTATTCTCATCACGTTGTAATGTATGAAATCTAAAACAACTAATATAATAACCAGGATAATAACTTGCCTTTCAGGACCTCGAGCCAAAGAAAGCATTTGCTTACTAACTTTACCATCGTTGTATAGTTTTGTGACCTGCATAGAAAGGAAAAAATATTTTTTTTAAAACATCTATGACAGTAAATAATTTTTCCAGTACAATATTATCCATACCCTTTTAGAAATCCAGTTTGCAAATTAAAGCCTATGTGACTCCTCCACATTATCAACACTAGACTGGATTAGAATGTTCTTATGTTCTCTGCATACATAACAAATGATTATATTCAAATTAATACAGTGACATATTACATCTAAATAAATAGTAACATATTAAATACACTTAGAAATTATAGTGTTTAAGAATTCTTACTGGACAAATGGCAAAGCTTCATCACAATTTTGCAAGACATAATGAGTGGCAACCTTATGAAGTTCGATGCTCATCTCTCTAAGTACACCTTTCCCAAAAGCTCGACCAGGTGTTGAGAAAATAGATAACAAAGATGTATCATATGACGGTTGACCTCCATTGTCGTTTCTATATCTTTTATTAAACTTAGTTTCAACTCGATACAAATAACAAGAGCAAAATATTAAACACTCATCTCCCAAGACACATTCGGCAATAGACCCTTCTAGATGAGCCTTATTACGAACATAAGTTTTTAGCTTATGCAAATACCTAATTACGTCATAAATACCGAAATTAGAGAATCATACATCAGCAGTTAAACAAATCGTGAATAAAATTAATATCTAAACATTGAGATTACCTTTCCACATGATACATCCACCTGAATTGTACTGGACCGGCCACCTTTGTCTCCCATGCCAAGTGGCAAGTTAGGTGAATCATGATGTCAAAAAAGGCAGGAGGGAATATTTTTTCCAACTTGCATAGAGTTATGACAATTTGATTGTCAAGAAGATTCAAGTCATCTTCTCTTAAAACTTTAGCACACAATTCCTTGAAAAAGTACGATAATTCAATTAAAGGCTCACTTACATCTTTAGGCAATAAATCTCGCGCCACAAACGTAAGTAATCTCTCTAAGGACACATGACAATCATGAGTTTTCATACCAGAAATATTACGCTCTGAAGCATTCACACATCGAGATAAATTTTCAGAGTACCCATCTGGAACTTTCAACTCCATTAACCATTGACATAAAGCTTTGTTATCATCATTTGACAATATATAATCGCCTGGGATAAAATTAGAGTTTACCATTATCTCCTTCTTCTGGATGATAATTGTGTCTTATACCCATTTCTTGAAGATCAAGACGAGCATTTAAAGAATCTTTTGTTTTACCATCAATGCTCATCATTGTGCCAATCACATTCTCAAATACATTTTTCTCAATGTGCATGACATCTAAATTGCGACGCACCAAAAGTGTTTTCCAATAAGGCAATTGGAAAAATATCGAATGTTTTTTCCAATTATGATCTTTTCCAAACCCAAGTATTGTATGCTTTTTCCCATCCTTGCCATGTGTTATTTATCTTAATTCACTAAGTTCATTTATCACATCATCACCAGATGGTCTCTTGGGTGCAAGTCTTATTTCCCTTGTATTATCAAATTGGCTTCGTTGATTACGCCATACGTGGTCAAACGGTAAAAATCTCCTATGACCCAAATAACATGTTTTAGACCCATGAGATAACCGACAATGCGAAGTATTAGATGCACAATATGGGCATGCCAATTTGCCAGACGTACTCCAACCTGACATGTATGCATATGCTAGATAATCATTGATAGTCCAAAGAAGTGCAGCTCTCATATGAAAATTCTGCTTTGCATATATATCATACGTTTCAACACCAATTTCCCACAATGTTCGTAATTCGTCTATCAATGGCCTCATGTATACATCGATGTCATGGCATGGACCCTTGGGTCCAGGAATATGCAAAGTCATGAAAACATAAGGCTCCTTCATGCACATCCACGGAGGAAGATTATATGGGTATATAAGAACCGGCCAAATACTATAGTGCAAATTCATGTTCCCAAAAGGGTTAATAGTAAAGAACATTTGATTCACAAAGAAAATGCACCAACACTTTGGATTGCCCAAAGAATTTGATGATTTACACTTCCAACCCTTTATAGGATTTGATTTGCAAATTATAAGGTCAATTATAAGTATTATTTTAACCTCTTGAGTTGCAAGAACCAGACGTCTCACACAGGCAGCTTACTGACACTAGCACACATCTTAGACATCTTACAACACAATTACATGAACATTAATGAGAGTTATTCTCTGAATGGTTGATGCTGCTGATATGCTTTCTTAAATGACAATCAGGGAAGCGTTAAGGAATGGGTGAGGTGCAAATTTGATTTGTCATGAAAATTCTTTTTAAACATGACATATTATGTAATTCTCTAAAACATTACCCAAAAGTCTCAGCAGCAACAGAGGGAGCATAAAGGCCTTTCTTGCCGTATACCAAATTCTTAGTCACAGAAGTGCCAAAATAGAATAGTTCAGCTGTAAATTGAAGAAGAAGCTGTTAGAGTTTGTATAGGAAAATACACTTGCATGTAGTCCCACATTGGAAGAGAGTAGTTTTCTTCCATAGTTTATAAGCACCAACACATTAGAATTACTAAATAGAGTATGGGCCTAGTGGAGGCAAACTTGAGCCTCAACATGGTTTGAGCTTGGATTATATATATATTTGTGTAATAAATATATATATAATTAATTGTCAAAAGATGGGCCTTGGGCTCTGTTGATTTAATTAATAATTTATTTTTATTAATTGAAAATTCGGTTTTTTCAGATAAAACCAAAATCTGAAATTCGAATTAATTAAAACAGTTAACATAACTGTTGGATGAAGAGGTGTCAGACCTCTATATAATGACAATACGATCAAACCAGAAAGAGACTTTTGAACTGCATCATCATTCTCACATTTTACACTTCCTGAGAGAATTCATACCACTGTTCGCCAGAAATCAAGCCACTGTGCTTAGGCTTAGATTTAAGATAGTTTAATCCTGGTGGACAGACTCCTATCGAACTACAAGCACAAGGGTAGAGGAGAAATACTGTCTAAAGGACACTGCAAATCTGCAGGACTCTATCTACAATTCAAGTCAGTATTCTACAATCTATATTATTGCTGTATTGATTCAATTATATCTATATAAAATATATTCGTTGGTTTTATTATTCTGTTATTTTGGTTTATATTGATTGTTATCCAACAGAAGCCGCAGGAATACTCTACCCTGCAAGTCAAAAAGGAAGAAGAAAATAAGCCTAAACCCAATTATCACCAAAGCCTAGAAACCAATCAATTGAATGTAAACTGTTAGAGTAAGCTAAAACTAATATGGGTAATTTTTGGGGGTGGCGCCCCCCTTTCCCCACTAGCGACAATACAAGGCTAGAGATCAAAAGCTAGAGCTGTGTAAGGGATTATCAGAGGATATTTGAAGTGCATGCTTAACAATTTTACAAGGGTCATAGTAACAGAGTCATTTTATCATACAGCTGGTGGGCGAGCTTTTTACATGGATTAGATTGGAAGAAACAATATTCCATACTAAAAAAATAAGTCACTGAACCATCAAATACTAGACAGTTATGCTTTTATATTAGAAAAGTAGATTGAATTCAAACTTTTACACACACCTGGAAGATCAAAGACTAAGCCACGGAGACCATTGTGGAGAGGGTTTCAACGTGTGAAATTATGGAGGTTTTTCTTTTCTTTTACTGTTTTTGCTGCTGTTGAAGTTAGGGTAAGCTAAAACTAATATGGGTAAGAATTGGGCTTTGTTCCCCCCACCCCCCACCCCCCGAGGCTCCAGCTTCTTTTTTTTTCTTTTTTTTTGGTGCTGACTAAATATGGAATAAATTTTGAAAGACAATAACTCGTGTATGGGCTGATGATAAAGCATGATTGGGTTTCCTCAATCCATAGTTAGAATTTTGTGTTGTTTTCTCTACCTAGTTTGAACGGGTGAAGCAAATTTGTGTATTTTCAAACTTTCAAGGGAGGTCACCAAACATTTTAGCTATGGGTTATAATTATCATGTATTTGTCAAGGGGGTGAATTATTTATGCCCTCACAAATCCAAGAAAAATAATTGAATTCCTTAACATGGTGATATGGGAAACAAGACTATTGATTTCATGAATTTGGATTCAATTGGCCCAATTTGAATTTGGATCGTAAACAAATTGGATTTGGATTACATTGGCCTAAAATGCAATATCATATCTAATTTGGATTCGAATTATCATATTTAACACATCAATGGTTTTTTTAGATTTTCAAATACTCTTGATCACATGTTCTTCCGTAGAGGAAGGTAATGTATAAGGCCTGCAAAGTTAGTCATTTCTTGTGTAGATTCACTTTTATTCATTTATTTAAATTTGGTTTAAATTTTCAGGATTATAACCACTGGAGCTATGCGAACTATAGGAGTGCTTTTTTATCAGGCTATCGATGGAGCATGGCGAACATTTAGAACATTTCCATCAACTCAAATGGATTTACTGTATGATCGCTTTAATGCAACAAGATACACACACACATGCTCAGAAGAAGAGATGAGGGAGGCATTCGAACAACATATTAAATTGCAATATTCCAATTGGATGTCCGCATTGAGAAATAGTGTTTTTAAGAAATACAAGACTACTGGTGATAGATACACTCATTGCCCATTAGGGATATCTCAAGATGTTTGGTCAAAATTGGTTGATCATTGGTTGCAGCCTACATGGCACGTAAAAACTCAATTTAAAATAATATTGTTATGACTGGCTAGTGTATGCTTTGGTTCATTTATAGATGCCTTATACAGGTTCACTAAATTGATATTAGGTTATGATTTACTTTTTTCATGCAAGATAAAAGTAAAAGAAACAAGTCTAATAGGGCGAAATCCACAATTGTGCATACCACAGGTTCTGTTCCAATGGAAAAGTATAGAAAAGATGAGGTAAAAATATCCATTTGGTTGTTGCTTTTTGTTGACTGTTCCTTTTGTGGTTATTTCCAAATTTGGTCATAACAAACTTCATTGTTTAAATCTTAATAGCTTGATCGAACTGGAATTGAACCGAGTCCAATTGATTGTTTCAAAAAGTTCCATGTAAGTAAGCCTAAGAATGGAGGAGAAGAAAGTTGGCCAAGTGAAAAGGCTAAAGAACTTTTTGTACGTTGCCCCTACTTTGTTTCTCTTTTTTTAACAAAAAAAAATTTATTCACATGACATTTTTTTATATCCATATTTATATTTCTACTATTTCATTGAAGGAAAAAATGGAGAATAAAAAGGTTGCTGCAACAGAAGATGAGAATGAAGTAGATGATTGGGATATATACAAGGAGGTTATTGGTGGGCCAAGTCACAGTCGTATCCTTGGCTTAGGTTGTGGCTATAGTACAAAAGATGTGTATCCCTCATATGACCAAGGTTGTAATAATCGTACATGCTTAGAACGTGAAGAAGAGCATGAGAAATTAAAGGAGGAAGTAAAGGACTTGAAAAGTGTGCTATATGAATTGAAAGATCTAGTTCAAAGTATGAGGGAAAACAACTCAAATACTTATGCACGCTCAAGGCAATCTGCTCCAATGGTGAACTCTTTGATTCTCATTTCAATATTTTGCTCACTATTAAATATTTTATTTGTTAGTTTTATTCTTAAACAATTTTTGTCTTATTAATTATTATTTTTTATTCGACATGACAATGTAGAAAGTTGTTCAGATGCTCACCTTGAACACGAGTAGTGCAACATCAATTGTATTTTGCTACAATATGTATTTTGAATTTCAAGGTTTTGATATATTCGCAGATTGCTTATATATTTTAAGGATGATAGGGATTGTTTATGTTTTAACTATTTAGAATAATTTTAATTGAACGCTTAAAATTTTAGTACAATATGGTGTCGTATGATTTTTTTTTATTACCAATTAAATACGGATGATTAGAAAACTATTTATAGCAAATATTATAATTCAAATTTCTTTTTATTAATTTTTTTATAAAATAATTACATTTTTCGACCGCATTTCCCATCGGTAATGCATATTTCCAACAAACACTTTATCATCGGAAATACTTTCCGACAATAATTGCCTATTTTAGACAACATTCCCCACAACATAATCGGGTTGAAACAACTATATTTCCGACCACTTATTCGTCGAAAATATTTTCCGACAGAATTAATCTATTTGCGACGAATAAATGTGGTTGGAAATATATATTTCCGACGTAATGTGCTCATCGGAAATATTTTTTTATACTCTTTTCCGATTAGCTATTATATATTTTCCACAAACTCTTTTGGTCGGTAATGATAATTGCGACGAAATCTAGCCCTCACAAATAATATATCATTGTCGGAAAAAGTATTTCTAATAACACTCATTGGTCGAAAATATGAATTCACAAAAACAAGAAATCACGATAAAAGAACTATTTCCGACAATCAAATAAGTAGTTACGACCACATGTACGGTCGGAAATAAATATGTAGGGTCATTTTAAAAATCCATTTCCGATAGAAATTTAAGTAATAGCTACGAAGCATGGGCATCGGAAATGAAGTATTTGCAATCGGCCTTTTAGCGACGACTTCTGACGGACTTTTGCCATCGAAAAAGGGTAATTTCGATGGCAAAAGGCTTTTTGTAACAACAAAATGCCCTCGCAAAAGGGCTTCTGTTTTGTAATGACATATGTAGTTGGACTGTGTCTGGAATTTTTTGTAATGACATCTGTTTTGTAATGACATATGTAAGGGATCTGAATTCAGCTAAAAATAAAAATAAAAAGGAATTGGAAATTATTATAATTGTAAAAAAAAAGATAATGGAACAATGTTGGACGTCAGGGCAGTGAAATCAAATAAAATAATTAAATATAAATATAGTTTGATTAGACATGATGTGGGGCCCAAGTTCCATCAAAATGTTGAGAGGGAAAGGTTTTACACATAATGACAAGACCCGACCCAAATTCCACTTTGGAATATGAGCTGAACCCTGTGCGTGTTCGACACCTGGCAGGTGGCGAGCACTCTTGACCAAAATACCCCTCTAAGTTTCCTAAATTATTTTTCTTCAAAGTTGACTTCTGTCGAAAATTCGGCAGAGTCTCCCCTGTACAACAAACAATTTAAATATCCTCATTCGTTCAGCATGTACAAAAATGAAATTCATACAACCAAACATATGTCACATACCAGAGAGTCCAAAGATACTGACTTGATAACCTTCATGACATCAGGCCTCTTTAAATCAGATAAATCGTTCTGCCAACTAAAATTGATCCCAACCTTTAAAATAACATAAGTACATTAATAGATTTCAAAACAACTTAACTGAACAGCTTTTCAATCACTTGATCTCGCGACTACACTTAGTAACTCTAGGTTGCCTACGTACCCTTAAAAGGGGATCAAGCCACATGTAGTTCTTGCTCTTTTTATATTGCACTTGTGTATCTTGTCAATTGTTGTTTTGCATTGGGATTGCAAATCAATCCAAGTTCTCATGTTAGCGATATACTCAATAACATTCACAAACTCTAAAGTAATACTTCCCAACTTCCCCAATTCTCAAAACATTTCATACTCAAAACATAAGTAAGCCACTCACTGAGCTTCCTCTAATTCATATATCAATTTATGTATTACTGGCTTAGATTAATATATATATATATATAAACCAACAAGCTCTGAAGACACTTTTAACATTTCCTTTGAAACTCACATAAAACCCAGTTGTAAATACATATATACATATACCAAGATTTATAACTAACTTATTACAGATAAGTAGAAAAACAAAAAAATTATTAAAATAACATTGTCCACGTGAAATCTTAATGTCAATAACAACAACTTAACTGAAACATATATTTTCCTCTTTTATTTATAAAGCAAATTCATTGCTTAAGAAATTAATTGTGAACTGTATAAAATACTTAAAACTTAGAAAACTCTCCACCTAAACGTACCCCCATCCATATTCCATCAATTCCTTTAATATTCCATCAATTCCGATAACATTCCGTCAATTCCAAGTATCTTGTCAATAACATCCTCGCAGGCCTCAGAAATACAAAGTAAATCTGAGCCGCAATCCTCGCAGGCCTCGGAGACACCAAGTCTACCCGAGCTGCAATCCTCGCAAGCCTCGGAGACACCAAGTCAACCCGAGCCGCAATCCTCGCACCACAGGGTTCAGGAGTCCTTGAGACTCGTGGGGCATTATCAGAAATAACAAAACTATTTCAAGGTAATTGGGGGGTACTCCTGTGGCGGGTTTGAAAATCATGTCCAAAACTTATCACAAACTTTCCTTTATTCCACAAATTCATTTTCAAATCTTTTCTCAACTTTACAAAAATCAGTTCTCAACTACCTGTGAATTTACCCCATATACTGTTGAGAACTAAAGTCCATAATTCATCATTTCTGAACCATTGAGTATATATATATATATATATATATATATACATGTAATTAGATATTTAGTTAGTTTTATTAATCATGTTGAAATCCAATTAACAAATCATTCCATTTTGATACTATAATAATAATCTTAATAGTAATAGATAACTAAATAGATAAATAAATAAATAAATAAATAATAACTAAATATTTAAATAACTATTATCCCTAGAGATTTCGTCGCCTCCAATAATGCATATAAATCCATAGTAGATTGCATGGTAATTTAATCAATCAAAAGTATTAACCTTTAAAGAAAAACCCTTATCGAATCACTTCCCAATCTAAACTCATTAAGCAAGAAATTCCATACTAAAAGAACCACGTACTCTTAATAACAAATGTCCAATGATTTACTGATAATCATAACTTAGCCCAAGGCTCACTTTCACAACCCACCAATCCGATATTCCAAGCTCTCCCATTCCATACTTCAATTATCAATATAATATCCAGGAATTTCCATAAAACACTATTAAACGTAATCAAAATAACTCGACTACCAGTCAAGATTCATTCACAGGGTCGTTTTAGTACTTCTCGAAAGGTAAAACTGCATCGGAAGACTCACGGTCATTCGAGGGGTCATACTGCCCCAACTTGGTCAACCGGGCCCGCGGAGCCCACGACCACCTGATCCGGAAGTTCCTACAGGTTCAACAAGGTTTACTATATTTGCCTTGTAAGTTTGTTCTAAATTGAACGGTCGGATCACTCACATCACACGATCGGACGGTTAACGTTTATCTAAACTTTAAATTATTGAACCAGAGTATCCGAGACTCCGATTCTCAATCTGCGAATTCCTATACGATCCTAGAAGTGCCTAGATCAACATATTTGATAATCAAATTGACCTAACGGTCCAAACATATCAAACCCGGATATTGTCTAATATGCGATATCCGATCAACAGTCAAATGGTACCCAAAATGAAATCTGAGCATACCATCGTGCTTGAGAACAGCATGAGGATCAATTTAGGACAAAGAGGGTCACCCACACAGTGCCCACGAGCCGGCAACATGTGGGTGTCCAAAGTGATACCGGCAATCAGAAAATCTCCAAACTACCAGTCAATACTTATACTTACATGATTAGCACATAGAGTGGAGCAACTTTTGTTCTTAGACCTACACCAAAAAGTCGACGGAAGTGGCCGGAATCGGAAGCTGAAAAGTGGCCAAACTCTTATCGCTTATTTACCCACCAAAACATAGAAATTTTTCCTAAATATCACAACCAGTAGCTAGAACACCTTGAGAGGGTGAGAAAGCATACCTAGATCGCAAGATCTAGTGCCCGAAATCGTTCGAATGAGCTTGAGAAAAATTTCACAAAAACTGGTTGGATTTTTGCATTTTCCGGCGAATTCCGGCAGTTCCAGCGACTAAGATTGGTCAGATTAGTCAAGATGGGAAGATGGTGGCTGTGGCTCTAGGAGCCAACCGGCTGTGCAAAGGGAGGGGGGTGCTGTGCGTGATGGGAGAGAGAGAGAGAGAGAGAGAGAGAGAGAGAGAGAGAGAGAGAGAGAGAGAGAGAGAGAGAGAAATTCTGGTTTTAAAAACCAGTTTGGAAAAATTACGATTTTGCCTCTACTTGAATTTTGATCGTATCTCTCGTTACAACTCGGATTTGAGCCCACTACGTGTCTAGGTGACAGGATCCCACCCAAATTCCACTTTGGAATCCGAGTAGAACCCAGTGTGTGTCTGACACTTGGATGGTGCCAGGCACAAATGACCGAATTGCCCTTTTAAGTCAAATTCAAAGGTTATTACAAGATTGACTTCTGCCGAAAATTCGGCAAAGTCTCCCCTGTAATTGATCATTTCCCAAAATTTTCACCTGTTAAACAAGCATATATACACATATCCCAACTTCCAGCATGCATTCAATTTACATCCAAACAATTCAACTAAACTAAACGGCCCCAGGCCATACAAAAAGTCCTAGGTCAATTCATCAGAGCAACTAATTCAAGAATTTACAACAGAACAATTTGACTTCAAAACAAATCCTACATAAGAGAGAGGGTGGAGCGGAGTGTGGAATCTGCCTTGTGGTGGCGCTTTGGTGCACGTCTATTTCCTGGGGGGGCAAAACATTCAAAAATGTGAGTAGGCAAAAATAATCAAAAATGTGATTTTCGAAAAATAATATATGAACATACTAACCCCTCCGTAAAACATTTAGAAAACTCAATTATATTCCTTTATATACTCATACAAGAATTTCCAAGACAGGCATCTATATATACATACTAGTAATAATGCATTCAATTAAAACATCAAGACGTTTTTTGAAAACATTATAAAAGAATAAAATCCTTTCCACCTAGGTGTACCTGTCATTTAACCATCATTTAACCAAAAAGGATCTTTTATCGATTTGTAATCATCATCATCCATCTCGCCATGGTTACTTTCCTGATCTTTCATAATTAACTTCATGAAGTACTCTTTTGGGGCCCCTCCATGACATAGAAGTGCCATTAAAGACCTCAAAAGGTACATATTTCTATGTGATTTGCTTACCTTAATCACCTCAAACAACAAGCTTCCTATTTTAGGGCACCACAACCAATGCGACCTCCTATTGGTTCAACCTGAAAAACACGCATTCATATCTATATTTAGTTAACCATTCACACACTTATTCAAAACATCCTTCCGCTAAAGACATTGAAAATGAAATTTAGTCTACCACCTTGGTGTACCCATTTTATTTCTGTCAATTCCCTTATTTCCGTCTAATCCCACAATTAACCGTCAATTCCTTGTGTCACCATTGGTGACACATCCTCGCAGGTCTCGGTAACATAAAGTCGACCTGAGCCGCAATCCTTGCTGGATTCATGGGACATTTAGTTAGCCTTATTCGCATTTCCTCACGCCGCATGGTTCGGGTATCCCTAGGACTCGTGGGGCAACTGTCAAGTATGCTAACCTAACCAAAGGCAACCAATTTATCTGAAGGCAACTGAAATACCGAAGGCAACATTTATTTTATTTAGGTACTTAGGGTGGTTTAAGAACATATATATTTATGGAAGGCCTGGAATAAATAAAACGAATTCTTTTTATCTTAAAACTCTGCTGCTATCCCATTTGATAGTTCTTTGAAATTCTTATTTTCCATATTCTTTAAACATGCTCAACTCGGCAGCATATAGATAAAATATTTAAGCTCAACAAAATATGCTAGAAAAACTCAAGCTATCTAGTACTTACTCAAGCTCAAATAATGAAATTGAATTGCATAAATTCATTTATGAAAACAAAAGTCCACTCACTAACTTTGCCACCTTGATTAGTCAACTCTCTTTGTCGACTTTACCGACTTGAACACTTCCCTTGTGATAATACCTCATCTTTACCCCCAAACCATTTGTTAATCCTAATAGATTGAATGGTCAAACGACCTAATACAACACTCCACAACCCAAACAGTATACCTTTAAACTATGCTTACTACAACACCCAAAACTGGATACAATCTCCAACACTGCCTAAGCTCTCGAATCTGAGATGCCCACCACTCCACTTTTACTTTCTCCAATCCTCGACGTAACAATTTCATGTCCCTAGTTATAATTCCTCTCAAATTGTTTATTTTCCACATGTACATTACGTTTTTCCATATGAAAACCTCAACAAATTTTTCTAACACTTACTAATACCTTTTACTCAGCCATGCCGACAAAGCAAGAAAACATGAAGAAATGTCAATAGTTCACTAGAACAAGGATGCACACAAGGTGGTGAGTCTACAGGAATATAACCTAATGCTCTAATACCAAGTTGATAGAACTCGACCCAAATTCCACTTTGGAATCCGAGCCGAACCTTGTGCCTGTCCGACACCTGGTAAATGCTGGGCACAATTGACCAAATTGCCCTTCTAACTAGAAACAAATTTTTCTATCAGCTAGACTTCTGCAGAAAATTCAGCAGAGTCTCCCTTGTAATTTGCTCATTTCCCAAAAGTTTCCACATGTCAACAAACATTTATATATCCCAATCTTTCAACATGCATTTAGTTATATCCAAGCAATCAAGCATCATATCATTCTGGCCTCAGGCCTCAACAAATCAAATAAATCATTCTGCTAATAAAATTCATCTCAACTTTCAGAACATCAATAGTACATTAGCAATCTCTAACACTCCAACTTGTGGCTGCACCTTGTAACATTAGGCTACCTACTTACCCTTATTGAGAGATCAAGCCACACATAGTTCTTTCCCTTTAATAATGTAATTGAATATCTCATTCATTCATCATATTGCCATGTGTTTTGCAAATCAAACTGAATTATCATGTACTCAATCATATTCACAACTCTAAAGCAATACTTTGCAACTTCCCAAAACTCGTATCAGTCATATACTGAATATAAATATGCCATACACTGAACTCTCTCTATTTTAGTTTAAGAACATCTCAAAACTGAAATTATCTTCACCTAGGTGTATCCCCATTCCTGATCCGTCAATTCCATCAATACCGTCAATTCCATCCTCACAAGCCTCGATGATACCCCTTCTATCCGAGCCGCAATCCTCGCAAACCTCGAAAATACCACTTGTATCCGAGCCACAATCCTCGCTCCGCACGGTTCAAGGGTTCCCAAAATAAGTGGGGCATTATTTATAAATGACACTGTTTCAAAGCAACTATGGGGTACCCTCGTGGTGGGTTTGAAAAACCATATCCCAAACTTATATAAATACTTTCCCTTTATTTCACAATTCATTTCCTGACCTTTATATCAACTTTCTGATAAATTGATTCTCAACTATACTTAAAACATATATGCCACAGTCTGATAAAAACCAAGGGCCATGATTTATCATTTTCAGCT